ATGGCCAACATCTACGATCTAGTACATCCGGACTTATTCTGGATTCATCAGATCGACAGTTCCGTGTACTGTCGAACACTCAGGTGGCTGAGCCCAGTGGAGCAAGAAGTCTACGGACTGCGTCGCTACAAGCGGCGGATTGACGCAATCTACAGCAACGTGCCACGGACAGTTATCGTTGACCACCGGAATCTACAGGATTTACATCGAACGTTACACTCGTCTTCGAACGCTGCCTTTACACATTGGCTGCATGATGTGATTGATTGGCAACGAGATTCGACGCTACGACTACTCATTGGCACTGGGGACACTCAACTGGCGGATCTTCCGAGTAGGATGCTTGGCAGCATACGGATCGCGCAGGAGGAGTATGAACGTGCGTTGTCGACCGATGTTGCATCTTTGTTGACCAAACTGTTTCCCGTTAATCTTCGAGTGGACCTACGCAAGAGTGCCAGCTACACGAGTCACAAACAGCGCGACATCGCACCAGTTGTAGCGGCGGCAGAGTTGTCAGCTGACCACCGAGAGGCGCTAGCGACCTTACTGAAGGCGAAGACCGGTTTCGCAGGAGTGAACGTAGCGGAACTCGAAGCTGCGGCTGGCACCTCGGCTGCTACCACCAACGCGACCTAAAACGTACCCCGTCAGGGGGGAAGAGAAAGGTTGGGGAGAAACCGCGACTGAACGTCGACCGACGACTCGACGACTGAAGTCAGACTACTCAGGAACATGAGACTCATGGTACGTGACGTCAACCTCATTGCTCAATCGGTATGAAGGTCGCAGAAGGCTAGGTCATGGTAAGATCTAATTGGTGTTGGATAAACGACCAAGTGGCAGTCGCAAATCGACAGGCCGAAATCAGGATTCAAATCAGGAACTTTGGATGTACCGATGACAGACAGTCAGGAACCAACCTCCATCATCACCGACTGGCGCTGTTTCGAACTTACCGTCATTCGAATGGATTTATCAACTGAACAGGACTGGCATGGGGTGAACGGAATACACATCAAGAGTTGTACTAAGGAAGGTAGTCGTCAAACTGGGGAGGTCAGAATTTAGTGGTCGTAGTTGGAAAACGTTATTTGGTAGTAGATTTCAGACAATATTGATATTTCGTTATAGGTCGGCTTACAGCCGCGTTATAAGGTGGATTACACATTTTTACAGAACAGAGTCATACTACGCTACAGCTGAAAAAATTATACTAGTATTCCTGCAATCGTCTGCAAGCAGTCTAAATCTATTTTTACAACATGAGCAACACCGTAGTTGGCAGGGCCAGTGAGGACTCTGCGTCCACTTGGCTATACTTAGAACTATCAGAGTTTCGCTTTTCTCAGGACAGCATCCGATCCACATTCGCGGCGGGACGCTACAAGGGGTGCAGCATATTTTCAGCGTTTGACCATATTCATCGGAAGAGGCAACTCGATGACATTGGCATAACAGTTGATGCATACCGTTATCAGGATCGATATTTCGTTGTTAACAATCGGACTGCGGCGGCTTTGCGGTCCCTCAAAGGCAAACGCAAGTGGTCCAGTCTGTTAGTCAAGACACGGCTTGTGGATAGTTCTATGCAACTGTGGCGACACACCACAACTAACGGTGGAAGGTCCATTGTAGTTCGTGGAGAGTGGTAGTAAAACTGCAATACATCGGTCGCACGCTCATAGCAAAAGTTAATAGTTATAGTCACTGTGGTTAATGCCGTCGGCTTCGTAAGCGGCGGTGAAGAACTAAGTTGAAGAATAGACACGCTCCGGAGGTTGAGTTTGAAGATAGGTTAGCTGGCACGTAAATTAGTCTCGTGTGGAAGCCGTCGGCAGTTGACAACCGATACTGACCGGACGTCCACATCAGAGACCAGCTAAGTTAACGCGCCATGCGCAATGCCAATTCGAAGATCATTGTAGACATCAGTCACGTTGGCACGCAACATGCGCTGCATACGCTGAAATCTTCCAAGTATTATATGCTTTGCGAGTAGTCTCATGAACGACCGTTGAAAGCGAATTTTCCGAATGTCTGCGAAATGATCTTGATGCAAGTAGCTGATTCGACCAACATGCGAAGGTATAAGTCTAGATGTATAACCATATTACTTGTCGTGGTGGAGGCGGGTATGATAATAGAATCAGCTGGACAGTTTGGGTCGCGTTCGGATTCGACTGCGTCAGTTATAGCCGTGACATATATCCGCCTCAAGATGAATGCAGGAACATGTTGAACAACAGCAAGTAATAGACGTAATTCAAGACAGTTATTGTGAAGTTATATTGTTGTGAGACATAATTGCCAATTCGACCTGTACGCTTTATAACAATTTGAGGGGAAGTTTGGGTATTGAAACTAATTGGTGGTGAGTAAGCACTGGTCGTGAACATGAGCAACACTCTTGACCGCAGAGGCGGCGCCTCCGAACGCGACAGCATCTATTGCGTGATGGAGGAGAGGACTCACAAATTCCAGGAAGAGGTCGGTAACTACCGCGAACACCGAGAGAGCATGGACTTTGGGCTGCGCATCACACAGTCGAGGCAAGACAACGACAGGAAGCGTCGTACGGACATAACCAGGGCTCTGAGATGCTATCGCAGTCAGTTGGAAGAAATGCACGACGCTAGTGTGGGGCTAGCGACATACGCACGCACAGAAGGTGGACGCGAGATCGAGAAACAGAACTTCTTCGAGTCAAGCAGAGCAGCACTTCAATGTACGCGAAGGCAGATCGCAGGGCTCTGCGGACGATTCATCACCACGTTGAATCTGTTGTTCAAGGCGGTGGTTCGGTTCATTGACGCAAGTACCGGAGGGCAGGCACTGATGCTGAACAACTTCATTGGCGACATTCTTGAATGTCCGACCGCACAATCATTCGCCGCAAAGATCGACGGACAGCTTCGGGAGCAGAATGCGTACCTGCAACTGTGGAAGACGGCGACCACGGAGCTCGAACAGTATCGGATCAACACAGCCAACCGACGGGAGCGAATGCAAAATCTGCAACATCGAGCACCGCAGGAGTACTTCCCGTCATTCTATGCACCGGCCGTACCTGCAGCCGTGTGCGACACGCCAGGAGCGTCGTCGTCAACAACGGTGGACCGACGAACCAACAACACCAGCCACACGACTGTAGTTGCGACACCTCGGGATACGAACGTATCTTCTGATCCACAACACCGCACTTTGCACGTCGAGACCACGCCAGAAACAACCGGCCGTGAACGATACGCTATTGCCGAGGAACGACTGTCACAGCAACCACGGCGCGTTGAGCCAGCATACTATCTTCCGTTCGGACTCGATCCATACCCGGCTGCAGTAGAAAGTGAGACAAAAGCTCTGGCCATCTACCTGGTGGCGATCCGCATGTGGCTGCGGCAAGCAAAGAGTCAATTGGCCAGTGTGGTCGAATACACGAGTTGCTTTCGGGAGGCAAACGCTCCACATGCGATGCTGATTCGCAGGCTGGCATCGTACGATCATCACTGGCGGAGATTTTTCACATTGCTACACGCGTTGGACGACGCAATAGATCGAGCTGGCACACAGTTGAGTGGAATGATCACTAAGATTAACGGCAAGGCCGATTCTCTCTGGAAAGGGCTGCCCGCTTGCAGTCGTGACAAGCTCATGCATTTGATGTGTCGGCTGCGAGGAGCGTCACTATGGTTGAGTCCAATTTTGAAGGAACTGCAAGAGGCGGAGCGACAAGACCAACGAGGCATTACCGAAATTGCCGAAGCACGCGTCAGACTGGACGAAGTCGATCTACGAACCGACACGAAGCTCGCCACTCCGGATCCACACCTGTTTGCGGTAGACAACGCGAAGCGTCGTCGCATTGACGTGATCACTCCGCAACCGCAGTACCCGACCATCATGCAAACCAACGATGTCTTCTGCGACTTCCGCGCTCGTAGCATGGCGATGACAACATACTTTCCGATAACTGGACGACTATCCAGCGAAGCAGACGCACTCGACGAGAGTGCAGCCACGTTTCCACGCGAATTTCCGACTTTGCCGGAACGGATGTTGCATGAGATGACTCGTCGCAACCAGTTTTTGTTGGATGTACCCGCTCACACTACGCCGCTCGACCGCACGAACGACAGCGCGACGTGTGGGGTCCGATTGGCCTACAGACAGATGGCCGGATTTGACAAAGTTACCTTTCCGGACGGTCGAGTCAGTGATCGATGGTATCGCATTGCCGGCATTGCCGAGAAATCGCCTTATCCGTGCCGACTGCCGCCGCCGGTGCTTGCTTACCTAGGAGAGTTGGAGTAGAGAAGGGGTGAATGGGGAAAGATATAGAGTGTGCAATGTAATACCAACGAACCACGACTGACCTGAAATAGAAGTGTTGATGTTTGACTCTGACATTACTCCACCCGTCGCGGTGAGTTGTTGGAGCCACGTCATCCAGAATCACTGACGTGCAAATTTTATTTCCATAACAAATGACACCATCATGGTAATTGTAGGGTGCATCAGTGCGCTTTGTTGCCGTGAACTGGTGATTGCAACGTGCATGACAGATCGCCATTGAAATCTCAAGCGACGTGACGAAATATTGCGACCATGACTACCGATGCAAATCATCAAATTTGTGCATGATCAAATATCCATGAATATATACAGCAGCGACATCTATCAGAATCGGAGATAATATGCAACGATAATTAGAAGGACATACGAAGTAAGTTGAGTCGCGGTTTAGAACTACTCCGTGAAATTGCAGATGTACAGTATCACATGCACAACCAATTCACCACCACCAGGATGCATGAAGTCAACTCAACTGCCTGATTAGTGAATCTGATTCCGAATCGCTTGCAGTCTAATTGAATAGAACGATGTATTCCCCACGATTTAGTTGACAGTATCGACGACTGTTACTGAGCATTGAATGAGCAACCAATACCACTAACCTGTCGTAAATTGTGCAGATCGCATACTTCGAATAGTCTACGTCATATTGATCCGCGATTTAGGTGATATAGTATGGTAGTGGGAGACACCGGGGTACAGTACTGTCAACGACCATCATCGGATATTTTGGACGAACGAGATTGTGTTGTCACAGAAGTCCGGATCACGAGCGAGAACGAACGACGGTTGCGTGCGCATGATCAATTCCCGGAAGTGTACGACGACGACTTCATCAGCTACTATTGCGCAATTGAGTCGCAAGCTCCGACTGTCGTGTACCGATATAGACCCTCATCGCATCCACGGCGACATCCACGCTACGGCCATCAGTGCGCGGTCGAGTTGCTGCGATTAATCGACCGGATATTCGATCCAAGTGCACTCGCTGCTGACACAGTATCGGTGATCTGCTGCGCCGACATCAACCGTTCGGAACGTCCGACACCACATCGAGTAGCATTGACGAGTGCGATTAGCCGTTTCGTTTATTACGACGCGCTCGAAGAGGCAAACTTCACTATTGCGTGTTTGGGCTGCGGTTCGTGCACTGAGTTTGCGGCTGCGAACTTGACCTCACAACTTGGTTGCCATGGTGGAACTCGGCATCATTATCGGGACTGACGGAAGGACTCGACGAGTACATCACCAGGTGGCTCGTGCAGCTCAACCTACCGACCCGGAGGAACTGAGCGTTTACCTGGCCAACCTAATCGGAAGGTTTGTAGTGGAAAGAACCGAAGCCACCACTCAATACTGCATCTACACTCCGCAACGACAATACGCAGCGCTTCGTGAGCAGGGCACTATCGCCGAAAAACAGTGTGGGATATACATTCGTGCCATTGATCGGTTTCGGGAAGACGTCAATCATCTATACTTGGTCGCACTACGAGGAGTGTTTATCTGGGACACTCGACCACTTGGAGAAGGAACCCCACGCGACGTTGCGCGAGAAGCGTTTCTCGGCGGACTCGATACCCTACATGGTTGTGCATTCGCACTTCGAAACTCGTTCACAGACTGGATACATCGGTTAACGGAACAGCCGAATCCACCAGGACCGCACATGGATTTCGACGAGAAACACGACTACCGGATCACCACCGCAGCCCGACGCATCCGTAGCAGTACGGACAATCGAGAACGAAGTGCAGACTGTAAAACCAACATCGACCTACATGACCAGCTCGAACAGCGTATTATCGATTTCAAACGAGCAGCAAACGATTGGGTCGAAACGCTACGGGAGCTCGTACACATTTTGCCAGACGACTTTAAGGCCTTTTGTGCCGAAGCGTACGGGACACAACCGACGGACGTACCGACGTACCGGCAAGTCCGAGCCTACGACGATTGGGACACAGCTGTCTGTAGAGTCGAGTGTACTCGCAAGACTGCCATGCTGAATGCGAGGGTTCTAACCATGGCCATCGAACTGGTCTTCGTAGACGATCGGTTGCGATACGAACCTTATATACATAACTGGCTTGAACACGAATGAATCGATAGGTGAAGGGTTGCGGAGCGCAGTTAGGAGGCAATTTGCTCTGCGGTAAGGAGAATTCAATGGTGGAACAGCAATTTTGTATGCAGCAATTAAGTTTTAGTCCGTACCTGAGATATTGGTGGCCCCGACGAAATCATCCTGATTATAGACAACTGCACACATGGATCGCGGCAAGAGGTGGTGAAACACAGACTCAAATCACAACATCCGGATCGTTGAATTTGCGCATTCTTGGTTTAGACAATGAGTTACAACAACATGCCTTTAGAGGGTGGATCAGCACACTCGATGAACTTCTCCCGTCCAGCGTACTGCACCAACATGTCGAGGTCGGATGTGCTGTGGACGAACGACAGCCGACCATCGACAACTCAGCCACCATCGACGCATGGACGGTATGCAAGACCTTTCGATATCGAGATCCAGCAGGCGACGCCACATATTGTTGGGGGTGCGACCGCACCAGTGGACAGGTCGAGCGACCACTATCAACTTATGACATCGAACGGTACATGGTGGCCCGGTGCTGCGTTGACCTGTGGGACAGCGAACAACGTCACGACGTTCACAACCACCCAGCCGACAACAACATCGGTGGTTTCAGCAACTGTGGGTCCAACTAGATCGACTATATCGACAGCGGCTCAGCCACCGGACAGTAACGATGGCCTCGAGCGATATCGTGCACTAGCGGAGGCACTTGTGCACTATACAGCGACTCACGGGCAACCAATTAACAATTCAACTCAGTCTTCATCGACCTCTACAACATCTCGATCCATGAGCGCTAACAACATGGTGGCGACCAACTTACTACATCCAACACTGTGCTGCGCTACATCTTTGAGTCAGTGCCATGCGGGAGTGGAGACGTCGGCCACTGCAGCACTTATACCACAACCACCGACGACGATGTCGTACGCTTCGGTGTTGATGTCAGGAGTGAACACAGTTCAAGGAGGTGTAGCTGGAAGTATGAGGTCAGGGGGGAAGAGAAGGACCGGGGAGGGGTCACAGGGGAGTATCGAGGGTAATTAATTAGAAGTAGTGAACAACCTAATCATCAAGTAGTAGGATAAGCGGTCACCACAAGTGTACGATTAACTAAGGGATCATAACATCATTGAGCGTTATAGTACTAGCATCAGCATTAGGCGACGAATCTAGGGTATCGGCAAGGTGCATTGCGACTTGCAACTGCGCCCACCACTTGGATACGATTATCAAGTAGCCTCTCGATCATACAAACCAATAGCAGATACATTAGTAGTTATTTCAGTACCGGAGGAACAATTTCGAATAGACATTTACATCTTCGGCTGGCACTGCACTGGCATTCTTCTTCTTCTCTCCTGGGCGGCAGGGGGGAAGGAGGAGAGGGAGCACCGCACCAGGAGAGTCTAGCCAGACCTGCCAGTACAGCAGGGCTCAGCCGTTAACGGCAGTAGTTATCAGGACCACATAGACGTTACAGGTATGTTTAACAAGCAGACGACTTACAAACTAGCAATGTAATAGTTAATGCCGCACTGTGGCAAGACATCGATAGTACACATAATGCACTCGTTTGAAGGTAAGCTGGCTGTGCAACAACATTAATAACAACGAACTACATGCCATTTATAGTAATAGCCGGTCGTGGGGCTACGTTGAACACCATCAAGGCGTCAACCTGGCATCCTTACAGTTGCAATACATAACTAGTCTTGACAGTTGACGGTCCGCACAGTTGTCCTACCTCGGCGTGACCGTCTGAACGCTTATCTAACCTAATTTGACTACTTATTCGGCAAAGCGGGCGGTTGACGCGTCGCCAACGAGTCAATCGTCGAAATTATTACAAAAAAAACCCTCCCTTAACCATAGTTGTATCGAAAATAGTAGGCCGTCCTAAATAGTAGGTCGTTGCGCGAGCTGGTTAGACGTGCCTACAGGCTGCTAGCTTTGCTCAGTGCAGTGCTCTCGAAACGGTCGTTCAAGTCGTCAAGTCAGTCAGTGAACGTCAGTTACTAAACAGCCGATCGGTACTGTGTTAGCACTGTATGCCATTAGTCAATCATCGTGTTCGCCGCTGGCCACTTGAGGCAGCAGATTGTGAAATTTCAACTGGGCTGTTTAAGATTGTACTGGGTATGAGACAGTCCTGAAAGTCAACGTGAAGTCATCCAAGCGTCTTTTGAAATTCAGCACGTCATCGAGAGACTGTCGTCCGCAAAATTCACGTTCATTGTAGTCATCGAGTTCTGGATTTCATGTCAACTTCGTTTCTTTCATGACAATTGGTCAGAAGCAAGCCATCAAATTGTCGTGGGCGAGTAACATCATGTCCGTTTCTCCAGTTGTTTTTTTGTTAACAGTGCTTTGACATCACATCGTTGTTGATCCATAGCCGCATATTGTTTTCTTCTGCTCAGCCACACATATCCTCTGTTGTTTGTTAACCGCGAGCTCACTCAGTATTCATCATGATGAACATAGTTTGTTTTCCTAATAGACCCTCGACTGTGGTAAGTTCACTCGTTGTGCGATGCTGCGATATCAAGTCACTCAAATGACACTTTCACTGGCAAAGGATCAGCTTGTAGCCACTAGTTGTGCAAATGTCATCACCATCAGACTCAGCTACAACCTCCATGACCCATCACAAGACGCACTTTCCCCATGCATAGGAGGTCATGAACATGCGACAGCACAAGAAGTGTGACAGTGAGACGATTCACGAATGACTGATTGTGTAACAACAGTTGTGGCGACGACGACAGGAGACATTGATCGAGACTGTATCTGTTGACTACACTCAGATGGTTGAATGAGTGTTTCTTTCACAAACTGTACATGACGACGACGACGACGAAAATTACACCAACGTGGTAGTAATTCCTACGGCGCAGTAGGTGGCGCCCCTGTTAAACGACGGCTTCGCGTTCACTTTCATAGCTGACTCCATCGGTGATAGTACCTTTAGAGCGGCTACAGGTTTTTTTAAGTTTTTTAATTTGTTAACATTTTTGGAATTTCTAGAATCGTAGAGGCTCTAACTGGAGACGATTTGACCTTTGCAAATTCTAAGCACATCGCTGCAAAAATTCGCAAAAGTGTAAATTTTTCTAAAGAGGCCAGCCAGCCTAGCCACCAAGCTAAAAAGCTGGGGAAAGCAATGCCCACCGATCTGATTTTTTTCTCCACGCAGCCAGCCCCAGCCAAAAAAATTAAATCACATCAGTCGGGATTGCCTTCGCTGCCTTTTTTGTTTTGGAGTAGACGGCGAGAAAATTGCAAAGCCGTCAAGTTTATTAATTTTTTTCTTAATCAGCACCGACAAAAATTCCCCAGGGTGCTGATTTCCAGTTAAGAAAATGCCAGGAAGTTGCTAGGTTGTTGCTTTTTTTCTAATCCGTACCGGTAAAAAATCTGCACGGTGCTGGTTTCAAGTTGAAAAGTTACCAAAAAGCTGCGAGGTTGTTGCTCTTTTTTCCAATCAGCGCCGGCAGCAAGTCCCACGCTGCTGCTTTCAAGTTACAAAGTCGCCAGAAGCTGAATAGGGTTGCCCTTGCTCCTTATCTCTGTTCAATGTTGATCCGAGCCCTCCCAAACCAGGCCCGAACGAAACTCGAACCAAACTCGAACCAAACCCAAACCAAACCCAAACCAAACCCAAACCAAACCCAAACCAAACACAAACCAAACTGAAAGGAACACAAACCAAACCCAAACCCAAACCCAAACCCAAACCAGACCCAAACCAGACCCAAACCAGACCCAAACCAGACCCAAACCCGACCCAAACCCGACCCAAACCCAAACCCAAACCCAACCAAGTCCCAGGCTGCTGCTTTCAAGTTACAAAGTCGCCAAAAGCTAAATAGGGTTGCCCTTGCTCCTTGTCTCTGTTTGATCCGAGCCCCCCAAACAAGACCCAAACGAAACTCGAACCAAACTCGAACCGAACCCAAACCAAGCGCAAACCTACCAAACCCAAACCAAACACGGGCCAAACTGAAACACAAACCCAAACCCAAACCCAAACCAAACCCAAACCAAACCCAAACCCAAACCAAACCCAAACCAGACCCAAACCAGACCCAAACCAGACCCAAACCAGACCCAGACCCAGACCAAACCCAAACCCAAACCCGAACCCAAACCGGGAACAAACCCGAAGCAGGCTCAGGCCAAACCGAACCCAGACCCGGGCCAGGCTTAGCCGTGGGCCGAACTTATTCCAACCAAGCCCAGGCAAAACGTAGACCAAACCCACACCGGGCCCAGCTCGCCAGGCCTCGGCCCAGGCGCTTGCCTAAACCAAACCCAAACGCAAACCGACCAAACCCGACGGGAGCCCGCCCGGCCTTCAAACCAAACAGACGCGCCCAAAGCACACCCGGAGCCCGAAGCGAGGCCGAAGCCCGCAGCATGCTCGAAACCCGGGCCAGGTCTGCCGCTTGCGCTGAGTCTGGGGCCGGAGCCGGGCCGGCTGAGTCTGGGGCCGGAGCCGGGCAGGCTGCGACGCGCTGCGCGTGCGTCTTCTCGGCTCTTCTCTCTTCTTTTTCTTGTGTTTTCTAAACCGTAGGGAGCCCGCGGCCAGCAGCCACCGCAGCGCGCCCTCGAATCCCGAGGAGCGAGAACGGAGCGGGGAGAAGAACAAGAGAGGCAAAGGGAGGGACTTGGGCGGGGCACGGTATGGCGATGGGTGCTGCGGCTTTGGCTGCGCGTGGTCCTTCAATGCTGACACGGTCAACGCGGTCCCGCCTGTGTTGCCTTTGTCTTCTCTTCTGTTCCCCACTCGTTTCCCTCTCTTCCAGGAGATTCGAGGGCGCGCGGCGGTGGCTGGTGGCGGGCTGCGCTGGACTGCGTGCGCAGTGTGTCCGCCTCGGTCTTCTTCGTGCTTGGTTCGCTCCCGGGATTCGAGGGCGCCGCGCGGTGGCTGGCGGTGGGTTATGAGGCGAGTGCAGTGCGCTGCCCGTCTTTGTCTTTCAGAACGCTTCAGCGGGGCGCTAGACTGCTTCAAGCCCAGGAGCCCGCCCGGGGTCGGGGAGCTCTGGCGACTAGAATCCACACGCGGCCGAAGTTGGTTTCGATTTCGTTAAGCAGGGAAGGACGGCGTCTCCCCTCAACGAAATGAAGCCGCTGAGGGCCTTGCCGGGGAGGGGTCGAAATTGTCCAAATTTGACCCATCGGGGGCGTGTCCGTCTGTCATTTTGGAGACACTTCGAGACGGCTCCAAACTTCCGCCAGAACAGAGAGAAAACCAGAACGGGCGAGGGACTCCTTCGGGACCGCGGGCCCCTCTGGAGTCGCCCCGGCACATTTGCGGCAGCCCGGTCGAGGCTCATTGGTGAGCCCCCTCCAAGCTCCTCGGAAAGCCTGGGAGGCTGTGCGCGGTTTTCCTTATGCAGGGCCAGAATTTTAAACGCCGGGCAAGGGCGACGCGGCTGACGCCTTCCCCCCCGGAGTCGGTATTTTCCAGCCAAGCACCCGCCTACTTTTTAAAAAATAGAAGAAAGCTACTCCCTAACTTTTTAAAAAGTAGGCGGCTGCCCGGCTGGAAAATACATACTCCAGGGGGAAGGCGCCAGCCGCGTCGAATTATTGCAAACGGCTGGACGGCTGACGCAGAGAGCTGCTCTCTTCAACAAAATGCGAAGGAGTCGAGCCCTTCGGGCAGATGCATCAAAAAAAAGCCGCACCGGTGTCATTAATCGGACGCCGAAGCCGCCCGGGGAGCTAACTAAAAATAACAAATCAAGGGGCTCGATCTCGAAAATCGAAAGGACAAAAAACAAAAACGGCCGAAATAAAAGAGCGGCCTAACACTGCCGCCCGGTCTTATTTCTCGCGGAATCTAGTGAGTGCAGGACGATTATTTGGCTGCAAGTCGCAGACTCTTCTTCATTTTTCTAGAAATTTGGTGCCTCTCAAAACTGATTGGGCCGCCTGCAGAAAATGCAGGGGGGCTCTTTTGAAAAATCTCTGTCATGTATGTCACGACAAGATGAAACAGCAGCAGACTCGTGCCTTTTCGCCGAGCTGCCACCTCAGAAGTTAGAAAATTAAGAGGCAGGCAATGGAAAGCAGTCGCCTACGCAGCTGGGAGATGCATACTCTAGGGAGAAAGGTGCGAGAGGCGTTGAATTTTCGAGCCTGGAGCAGATGGCTGGGCAATTCAAAGAGGTGCGCTCTTTGAAATGGGGCAGCACTGCGGAAAATTCGCGGCGGCCTCATTTTGAAAGGAAAAACCTGCAGAAAGGAGCTAAGGAGGCCCTTGCTTCTCTAGTCCGCACTGGAATAAGTTCGAAGCTAAAGCGCTCCCCTCTAGTAATTGAACCAAAAAAATTGGAAATGGCTCCTGCTTTTCTAGTTGCCACTGAGATAAGTTCGCAGCCCAGGCACTCGCCTCAAGTAATTGACCCAAAAAAGTGGAGCAAGTTCCTCGCTTTCTACTCCCCACTGGAATAAATTCGCAGCCCAAGCACTCGCCCCCAGTAATTGAACCAAAAAAGTGGAAAGCGTTCAACCTTTTCCGGCCCCCACTGAAAAAACCCACAGCCCGGGCCCCTCTCTCAAACTTCGGAGCGGGGAGGTGTCCTGGACAGCTTTCCGGTTCCAAATGAAATAAATTGACGGCCCACGCTCTCCTATTTAGATCCTGGGCCGAAAAGGTGGGAGGGGTTTCGCTTTTTTCGGTCCCCCCTGAGTTAGATTCGCGGCCAAATCCCTCCCCCCTACCTAGATCCCAAGCCAAAAAGGCTGGAGGGTGTTCTGCCTTTTTATCCCAAGCGAAAAAAGTCCCCAGCCCTAGTGCCCCCCGCTAGATTCTGAGCCGAAAAAGCTGGGCGGGGCGCTTTTCTTTTATAGTCTCCACTGAAGTGAGTTCGCTGCGCTCTTTTTCTTGCTTATGAATTGCCACCGAAAGGCCACGCGCGTAGCCTGGTAGCCTGTCACTACGCCACCCGCGACACGCGGCAAGGTATGCCACGGAATGCATGGACACCAAAGGCGACCGCTGCGCTTAGGAATGGCCCCCGCGGCGAAGAGTACCCACATCGAAGAGGACCCGCGCCGGAGACCTCCCAAAGCGGGCCAAGGCCTCGAAGAAGTCCCGAAGTTTGAGGCAGAGGCTTTCCATCTGTTTCAAGCTTCTCCAAAATGATAGACAGTCACGTATAAAATTTGTCAAGTTTGAAGCTGGGCGACTTATATGGGAGGGAAAGACGGCGACGCGCTGAAGGAAAAAACCGGACCCGAAAAACTGAAACGAAGAGACCGAGGCGGAGGCCCGGAAACTGAAGAGCCAGAAACGAAGAGGCCGAAAAACCAGCAGCCGTCAAAGTATTGCGAAGAGACGAACACCGGCAGGGCGGTGGCCAAATAGCGCAGGACGGAAGAACCGAGGCCGCAAGGCTGAAGCGGTAGCTTGCCAGTTACAAACTGCGGCAGAAGGGTGGAGACTGACAGCGACGAACCGACACTGGGTAGCCGCAGCTGCGTGATAAGTGCGGACAGCTGAGGCGGCTGCGGTCGCAGACTTTTAGACCATGTGGTCGACCCTCTGTCCTCTTAATTTTATCGGTTTTTCTGGTCCTTCGAAATTTGAAACAAAAAGAATCAAAAACGCGCCCACCCCTGTCACTTGTTCCCCGCCGCGGTCTCGCCCATCCGTATCAGGCCGCGCGCTGTCCTTCCGCGGTCCGCGCTCCTCCTGTCTGCCTCCCCGGGCCGGCCCGACTGCCCGGCCGCCCCTCCATGGGCAAAAGCTGCAAATTTCCTTCGCCAGGCCGCGCGCCTGGGGTCTTGTTCAGTGCGCGGGCCGTGCAGCAGACACGCGGGCAGCCTGCCGATAGCTTGGCAAGGGAAGCGCGGGCCGCCGCGTTCTTCTCCTGGAGAAGGTGCCCCGCAGCCCTGGTCCAGCGTTTTGCACGCGTTCCGGCCGCGGCGGGAGGCGGAAGCATATAACCCGCCGGCCGCCTGGGGACCCGGGCGAGGGCGGCGGGGCTGGCGGGCCTTAGGTTGCGCGGCCTGGCTCCTCTCTTTTTGGCCCGCTGAGGAGCACGCGATCGCCGGCGAGCGGGCTAGAGAACACGAGGCGGGCTGAAGTTCGATGGATATAGCCAGGCGAAGCCGATCGAACTAACGGACCAACGCAAGCGAGGCCCGCCGCTTTCCCGAAGCTTGGCCGCCAGGCGCGCGCTTGCGGAGCGCTGGCTGCAGCTGCCTACTCAGTGACGGGCCTGACGCCGTCATTGCGCTCCGGGGCCAAAGCCGTCTTCGTGCGCATTCGTAGAAAGAAACTTTTCATATTAATTTTCCAGCCTTGTTTAGGTTGCTGATTAAAATAGAACCTTAGCGTGCTTCTGTGTGCACCTGTAGAGGGGTGTGGAGTCGCACTCACGGTTCGCGCGCTTTTCCAGACGATGTGTTCGCGGATGACCATGCTCGAATCATAAAGCTCCGGCCGATTTATTTATACGTGTGACCTTGTAGTATGACGAGGGAATGAAGAGACAAGGAGAGAGAGAGGGAGAGTGATTAGAAGCGTCCATCTGTAAAGACTTTGAGATAAATCTGAGGAAGAGCGAAGTTCAAGGTGCAGAGCGAGAGAGACGGAACAAAAAAGCTGATTTGCTGTTCTTCAGGTTGAAATTGTAACAGCCGTTGATGGGAACGGTTACCTATCTTGCACGATTTTTTTTGTTCCATACGATTGATACCTCCTGAAAGAAGCTTCATGATCATAGGATTCCCACATTTTACAGTGCTCCTGCAAGGGTTGTTTGTAAGAGTTGTCCGTAATTTGAATTCATAATTAGATTGTATTTGATGGAAACGACTAGTTTCAATAGCAGAAGAAATTTAAGAACTACAAGAGCATTGATTCCTTTTGTAATTTCAACCAATTGTTCATGTTATTGTATCTCCACTAGCCTCTACTTTTTTTCTACAAATTGTATCCTCCTAAGTACGAGGTTCTTCGAGGACGATGGTCCCGCTTCAGTGTCTCTAGTACACGATTAGACTTTGCTGTTGTTGGCTGGTGGTCTAGGCTGGCACGAAAACGATTCTGCTTACGAGCCAGTAACTGCAGACAATACAACGGACGATTCAGCCGACTGAGCTGAGACCACGAAAGTACTTCCAACTGCAACAGGAACACTAGTCCTCTACTCCACGACAGTAGTACAGTAGCAAAAATTCTCATATTACAGGTTCGCGACAACACCTCTTTCCTCAACACCTCTTCCCATACGACGAAACCTCTTCCCATACTCTCACATCAAGAAGTCTCTCGACTCGTCACACCAATCACTAGCACCCCCACCCAAGAAGAAATAAAACAAGATGGATTCTCTTCTAGACTCTGGCTCTTCGCTTTTGTCCCTTGGCGACAATGTCTGGGAAAGTTTGTTGGGTGGGGAGACAACCTCAACCTCCACCAACGACTGGAACATCTGGGACTGGGCTGCAGCAGAGACTACGCCTCAACATTATGGCTTCGTGCGACTTGTGCGACTTGAGATCATTTTTTTTGTGGTGGAAGGTGGAATCTGTTCAATTCATTCTGAATTATTCCACAGAGACTTATTTTTTTCTAAACCATAGATGTAGAAAAAAATTTCGGTCATGATTCCTTCTTGCTGAGTTCGAGATGCTCTAACATGAACAGGACCAGGACTTGATGCAAACGCTTCTGCTAGAAATGACACGATCTGATGAAGCTGGTCGAGGTCTCTTCGGATCGCAGAGTCAGGCGAACATTATGGTGCTGTAGTCGTTGTAGTTTTTCTAAAAGAAGGAGAAGCACGGCATTTTGATTAGTACCCTTTAGTTTTTTCGTGTTGAAGGAAGGTTTGACTTTGCAGTTTGGAAGAATTACTACTTGCTACGAGATTTATTAGATCAGGAGTTTCGTACTCCTACTTTCCTGCTTCAGTGATGTATTTTTTTTTCTAGTTTTGATTTGTCGTTCTAGTTTTGGTTTATCGCTCAAATTTTTATTTGTCGCACGACCTATCCCTTGTCCTCGTCCTTCATTATCCCCACAAGCGGACTTCCGATTTCGGGTGGACCTATTGGAACACTTGGAGAACGGAAAATGGGATCCTCTATCGCAGATTCTCTAGTGCAAAGCTCATTGTTACTGGGCTTGCCCTATTCGCGTGGAGGTAATGTTATGATGGAATGAGCAATGGAACATAAATGCTGTGAATGAGAACAACACTAACACAGTAGCTTGACACATCAATTGATAGAATGATAGTGAGAGCTAGAAGAACAACATCGAGAAATCAGAATTTCAAAGAACTACGAATAAGTGTAGTTAATATTCAGTTTAGTTTTTTAAAAGTACTTCATTGTTCCTACTGGCGCTGACGGTCTTCGTGGACGCGGGGGCAAGTTTGGAGCAGGAGGTGGGATGAACTACGGCTGTGCTATCGGAAAAGGCAGCGCGTGGCTGAGTAAAGGCACCAGTACTGGCTATGGACCTTACGGAGGACAGGAACGTCGATCATGGGGCAGACAGGTCGGACCTGCAACTTCTAGCCAGTACCATCTTTTAGCCGGAGGTAGTGGATCATCTTCCGCAGCAGGTGCAAGTGGAATGAACAATAACCAACATGGTAATCAACAACATTCGGGTTGTTTTCATCCTGGACTGAATGGCGTCGATCATTTAGGAGGTGGAAATTCATCATGTAAAAACGGCGCAGGAGGGCCAGCGTGTGGACCAAATAACAATCCTAACTTGGTCAGACCCGGAACCGGAACCATCTGTCGCATGGACAGTTTGGATTTTGCAACAGTGATATGGCCGCGCCATTTTTGAAGTAGGATCTAGTTTATTTTGCAAGCTTTTTGGGACAATCAGGATTGAAAACGAAAAACTATAGAAGATGAAGATCAACAATGAAAAAGGCATCTTCAACAACATCTGTGAAAACTTAAAAACTTCCCGTCAAACGACCCAGTTTGTCTGAATACTACTTACTTATATTCCTCCTCTCGCTAGTGCTAGTCAATTTTCTTTAGACCAACACCAAGAACATTTTTTCATATCTCGGTCTCCCGTTCGTGACGAAGAGTGAGGCTCCGCCTCGCAGTCCCGCTAGCCGTCAGAGCGCAGTTTTGGGGATTCCGGTTTTGGTCACATCGAAAAGCGGCGCCGATGATGCGAACAAAACCTTCTCCGCCTGTGTTTCGCCCTCACGCCTTCGCGAGTTGGATACGGTGGATGCGAGGAAGCGACGCCTGCGTAGCCTCTTTGGCTCGCAAGTTGTAGTCGATTCTATCAATGGAGCTTCTACTCGTAGTACAACAGGAGGAACAGGTGGAGCAAACGGAGCGAATAACACCACTACGACATCAGGTACTGCAGGTAGTGCCAATGCCACAACCACGACAACATCAACTACGGCTGAGTCATTGAGTGCTTTTGTCGCAGAATTCTTAGCTCCAGAGAAAGACAATGGTACAACATCTACTTCTACAGCCGGAGAAGATAGTAGTACCACCGATCACCAAGATGGGAAAAAGAAAAAAGACACGGATATTGGAGGACTGGATGAAAATAAGACTTGGTCAAACAATGATGAGGATGCGAAACCGGAGAGAACGGATTCTTGTGCAACAACCAATGGAGAAGAGGATGGGAAGGGGACGACTACTATCGACGCCACAGGGACAGGAGACGGCTCTGACATGTTGACCAAGATGCATGTAGTAAAAGATGAACCTCATCTTAACGCGAATCAGCAGGAGGATGTTACAAAAAGTTGCGAAGACGCAGACATGCTGCTAGAAGACGGACGCAAAACTCGTAGCAACAGTGCGGAAGCTCAGCTGGCTATGTCCCGAACAGTGTCCGCAGTTGAAGATCATGTTATGGCGCGTGAACAATCGAAATGTTGGACTGGATACTGTACTTAGTTATCTAAAACGTTATCTCAGAGGTGAGCTGGGCTATAATTTTTCTAAAATATTAACTGACTATGACTAAAAAGTCAGTGAATAAGTAGTTCGTCGGAAATTTTTTTTCCATCTTCGTTCAACAAACTCTAAGATCCGTCGTCTCCCCACACTTCTCGAGACCGTTTGTGGCGCTGACGATCGTACGACGATCGGACGCGAACCCAATTCAGGGAAACAAGAAGAATTTGAATTACTCTACCTAAAAGGCATGATGCGTGGGAAGATGCGACCTGGAGTCCAGATCGGGATGCCAAACGGCCCAAACAGCGGCTTCATCATCTACAATCATCCTAATGTTGACCAACAACTTCGTAGAAGAGATGGTGCTGTTGGCTCGGAGGAAAATAGTCGAAAGAATTCTTCACGAGGCGAAAGGAATGCCAGTAACAGATCGTCATCGTCGACAAGTATCGCGGCAGCATTCAACGCGGCAGCGGCATTGGAGGTATGGTCTTGGTCACTATATTGATTTCAGTTTGTAGTGAGCGTCAGGCGAGCGAAATTGCGAACTCTTTGTTCGTGAAATACTAAATAGTCGACCTCGACGTCAATAGAATCAAATACATTTTGTTCTTTCTCCTGGTTACTTGCATTTTTCTCTTGAACAACGAAGCATGATTCTAATAGCACGAGAAAACAACCGAGAGAACAGTGGTTATAGGGATGGAGGCGAGTTTCGCCGGAGCCGTTCTGCTATTCCAACACCACCTGGGATCCTTCCACCACCAAAGCGTGGCTCAGGGAATCAGTCTAGTCCGAACGCCTCTCCTGCACTGATGGAAGCCAATGCGAAAGGTCTCCTAGACTCTCTACTACAACAGGACCCGCTAAAGAGTATGCCTCAAACGGAGATTGCCGCGTCAGCGAGTCTGGTCTTGGATCCGGATAATCAAGACATGTTGTTACGGGAGGACTTGAATATTGCAAGGGACATCAAGGTTTTGTTGGAATGATTTTATACTGCCAGAGGATTTTGTTAGAATCTTCTGGATAGAAAGAGTACACGTGCACTCATCAAAAAAACATCTTCTACGTTCTTCCCACATAGAGACATCTTCTTCCTATAATTATTCCCCTCTAATCTCAACCGGCAACAATGTAAACGCCGATCACATGCGTCCAGTCGCTGATCCTTTGGCTGCGCTTCTAGCATCAGCAGTGGATGCCGCAAATCCATTTTTGGCTGATTCAAAGATGCCGGAAGAAGACGAGCCTCCGAAAGCAGCCAGAAACGAATGCTCTCTAGCCAAGACCTTTGGATTATCATCGGTGGCAGGAGTAGATCAGTTATTATGACACACAGGGAAAAATTAGAATTACTCATACTCAACATTAGACTCTTCAAAAGTAGATTGCATTACGCAGGTGGTTCTCAGGTTCTCAGTAGGAAACTAGCTACCTACTTCGTGTTCGCCACAGCTAGCTACTTCGTCGTAAACACGCTGACACCTTGAGGACTAGTATGAGTAAACACTTTTTATTCGTCTTCATACTTGTCAGCTACAACAGGAGCAGAATTATTGCAGCAGCCGAACAGTGCCAGCAAGTTGGCAGATATAATCTCTTCTGCTGTGTTGGCGGAAGGATCGTCTGCGTCGTCAAATGTGCTCTCTTCGCTCCTTGCGACAAGTCCTGAACTGTTGGAAGCTGGTGACTTACTCGAAGTAGCGAATCTACAACCTAAAAAGTCGGCCAGTCGGGTTTTGGCAGTACCCCCGCCAGGAAGTTCGGGACCTAGTTCGCGTGTTTTATGGGCTTCTGAAATGTGTTTTTTGGGTCGAAAATTTTTGATTTTTCCTAATCTTGTCGAAGTGCGGCTTGCTTCTGACGAGCCTAGTAAACCTACTACTTCCGACGTCAACCCCTCTCTCTAACTTTCGCCTCTCGTGTAGCTTCGCGTGTGGCTAGTCGGTCTCCGCAGGATCGAGGTGTCTTGCCTATTTCAAAGACGACGTCACGGTCTCCCTCCGAACTACGAAACCGCGTGATCCAAACCAAAGTCTTATCGGTACCACCGCCAACTAGAGCAAAGAGTGGCGCAAAAGGTGGAGCAGCGGGGGCTGCTGCAGGAACTACTACATCATTAAGGAAGGTGGGATAACAAGAATAAGTGCTTGAGACGACCCTGCTTCAGAAGTACTTGTTTGTTTCTTTGTTTTTTTTGTTTTGATGCGCTTCGGGCGACGCGTACGATCCCGCCGGATTTCTTTGTGCTCTGTGTGTGTGTGTAGTGCTATGGTCGTCATTGCGAAGTACTTCCAAACTCATTTCGAAATATTATGGACTTCCCACAACAAAACGCAAGATTCTAATATCCTCCTCGTCCTCGTCCCTGCTGCTGACAGACTGTGCAACGAGTAGTCCAGCATTGAACAACCCATTTGAAAGTGTAACAGCAGCCGCATTGCTGCAAAGTCCAGAGATTCTTGCAGCTGCTGACAGAATAGAAACAATGACAGGTACTGAAGATTCCACTTGCTTTTATGTTTAAGTCCTAATCAATAGTAATTTCTGTGATTTATGTTTCTTTTGGGTGTTGGTGCGTAGTGATTGCATTTCTGCTATCGAATCCCGCTGGGGCGGTTCTCAGTGACAGACTAACCTAAGCTGGTTGCGAGAGATCGACAGAACCAAATTAGTTTCGTGCTTTTTCGTAGTTGGTTCGTTTTCGTGTTTCATTATAGAAGTTCTTCTATGGAGAAATCGTAATGTTTTCTCACCTTCAGCAGACGAGGATGTCCTGATGGAAGGATGAGCGGGAAGCAGCCCGCGCGGTGGAGAAGAGGGGTTTTGGGATAAAAAATCTATTTTCTCGTCACATTATAAGCAATGGTTGCACTGTGTTAGATTTCGTATCACGTCTTCGATTTACGTTTACCAGTGGAAGTTCATCTAGTTGCCGTTACTTTTGTTCATCAGATTTACTTTTTGTTACCTTTAATCAATGCTTTTACAGGAATTTTTTACATCTTGAATTTACCGTTGTACATCAGGAATACATGATTTTTATCTCACTACTCGATTAACAATTTAACATATGGCACACTTACAGGGTAGTATCCAAGATTTATTTTTAGGAGGGAGGATTGTTACAAGCAGTCGCTAGTCAATTTTTATTTAGAAAGCTGTTACGGTTACAATATCAATATCATCGCATCTTTCACAATAGGTTTTAGTTCTCATTGCGAAACTTCGTTACTTTTCTGCTTCATTATCACGAGTTAGGAATTGTCATTTTTGACTTACGGGGGAGCTCAAAGGGCTTTTTTTGTACATTCACATCTGATCAACATGTATCTGGGGGGATAGCAAACATTTAAGATGATGTTCGGAGCAAAAGGTCTCTGCATTATCCAAGTCATATTTTTTTGTATCCACCAACAACGTAGTTAAAAATATGCGTAAGAAGAACTCGAACAGAATCATAAAGGTACTACGTAGTATACTGCGGACGTGTGGTCGTGAATGTGAAAAGTAAGAGCACCATCGACATGTGTTGAAGCAAAAAGGAAAAACGACTCTCGAATTTTAGTAGCACCTTGAACTTGTTTTGAACAGTCCGCAACACGTATTTGTTTAGAGCGAATTTATTCACTACATCTGCAAATGTCTGCGAAAAAAGTTTAACCAACAACGCTGTGTCCACAATTATGTCATACTTGAGGTGGCTTTTTAGAAATAAAGTCTGTCATGTGAATGAATGCCATTTTCAGACTAATGCATCCAGTTGTTGTCCTGTGGATATCCAGTTGTCCTGTAGCTGTTGGGGTAAAACGAAGAAATTTAATTCATCAAATTTACCTGTGAATCGGTAGGGTCCGCGGTTACAGGAGAAAGGCGCAAGTTCACGCTACCCAATGGCTTAGTGTTTAAGCTCAGGCATTTCATCCTCTTTCTGGGCCTCAAGGTTGACAGGAATTTCAATCTCAGTATTTTTCTAATTCACATGCATTTTTTTGCAATGTCAACAAGGAATAACTCCTCTGAATTCATACACCTGCAAGAACACGAGATCTTTACCCACAACGATCGCTTTTCCCCGACTAGTTTTTTCTCCGTAGAAATAGGAGATTCAACATATAAAATTTTTCCACTCTCCCTCATATCAAATTTTCCTACTCTGATGATGCCTCTAACCTGTAGTCCTTTTTTTGAAATATTTTTAGTTGTAGTGGGGATGTTTTGTAGTTGTTAGAATAAGTTGGGTAGGTCACGACGGTGAGGTAGCATCTTTTATGTGTGTTGTATTTGGTGTAGCAGCTATGATCGTCGAGATTGAAAGTGTCCTCGACGTGAAGGTAATTCTATTAGTTCCATATCACAGTAGAGGGTGAAGAGTTCAACAGATCGAAGATTGAAAGATGTTTACTAGAAGAATGTAGGACAAGAACTACTTATTGTTGTTACATTATTTCAGATCGGGCACAGATGTTGAAGACACAGAGAAGATCCAAGTTGGAGGGAGAAACCATCCTTGATAGTGATTGAACAGCTTCTACAAGATCCAATGTCGATCTATGAATTGAAAAATTTTAAATCGAAAACCTTCTGGTACTACTCAAGTTCAGAGATTGATGTTCGGCGCCCTTGTCAAAACGCATGCGACTGGACTTCACAAGAAGAATTCTGAATGTGAATGAACCTAAAAGATCGAAACCTGCAACGAATCTTGTGCGAGAGAGCACCACATAGTTGACCATGTGGCGGCTAAGAATGGAAATTCCTCCGAACGTCAGAGTATATAAAACACACGATGCTGTGGAAGATGTCTGAAGTAATACACTGATTTCGAGGAGGACCGCAATATGACACGGGACTTTGTTAAAAATGTGAACAATTGTTATGTGACTACAAGAGCCAGGCCCTTGCGATTTGCTGAGTGCTACGGGCGGGCTACATTTCCCATTGCAGTTTCCCTTCTCATTACAATTTTTTTTTCCCTTCACGAGAAGGAATTACAGATAGTATTCTACTTGTGATTTGCATAATTGCATAAGAAGATTATACAGTCGAACTAGAAATAGAATAACTTGATCGTATTTGATTTAGCTTGCAAAAAAAAGTCATGGCGCACAAGTTTTTGAGTTCCGTGCCGTCAATCTACAAGCAGGGTGCTGGCGAAGACAAGGGAGATGTCGCGCGACTCCAGGCTTTTATCGGCGCAATTGCCATCGGCGACTTAATCAAATCCACCCTCGGTACTACTACGACACAAGCCTGTGATTTAGTGAGTCTATCTGCCTTTACTGTTGATCTCTCATTTAGGTTCTCGAGTGTTTTCAGCATGGCATTTCCGTTCTTCAAAACGACTCTTCGTCTATCAAATACATGAACCAAGATCATCAACCTCAGGTCCAAAGGGTATGGATAAGATTTTACAGCCTCTTCCTGGAGAGGGAGCCTCCAAGGAGACGACAGTTACAAACGATGGAGCAACAATCCTTAGTCGCGTCTGGGTCGATAATCCTAGTGCAAAAATTCTTGTCGACATATCCAAGGCACAGGATCAAGAATGCGGAGATGGTAAGGGGATAAGTGGCTATCATTATATGATAGTGTTCAACTTCTTCATGTTCGATGCTTGATCTTCAGTGTTCGAAAAAGAGTTCGTGGTGCCTGCTCTTCTTTCATCGATGATTTTGTCTTTTTGAAGTATCATACCTCATCAACCACAACCTTTTGCTTAAACTTCTTCTACTCGTTGTACCCCAAACCTCCATTCTCTATTTCCATTTCAGGTACAACATCAGTTGTGGTCTTAGCGGCAGAACTATTGCGACAGGCAGAACAGTTGGTGCAACAGAAAATGCACCCCCAAGTTATCATCAAGGGATACCGTATTGCGGTCGAAGCCGCACGAACTCAGTTAGAGCAGTGCGCTTTTGATAATGGTATTACAGGATTTTGTTTAGTACCATCTTTTGCAGAGCGTGCTTGACCAACTCGTAGTCGTCTCGAGCAAAGTTCTATAGCAAGATCAGACAATACTTCAACATTCGACGTCATTCGTGCATCAATCAACATGCGACGTCACGGTCACCCTAACAATTAATATCAACATCAACCACTTCCACTATCTTCCATCAGGCAAAGATGAAGAGAAGTTGCGAGCGGATCTGATCAAGATCGCAGAAACGACTTTGAGCTCAAAGTTGTTGAAACACGAGAAGACTCATTTTGCGACACTTGCGGTAGATGCTATTCTCCGACTAAAGGGAAGACCAAACTTGGATTATATTCAGGTATTTGATAATATTCTCGTAGCAAAAATCTTCCTCAGTTTATCTTTACGGAAATGTTTGACTTTCTTTTCCCTAAAGAGTTTGTCTACTTCTACTATCGTTTCATTACTGTCATTTCATAACGCCAGTCTCTTATGACTGTTCATAAAAGCAACTTCTCCTATAAACCATTCTAGGTCTTGAAAAAAGCTGGTGGTGCAGTTAAGGAGTCATATTTGGAGCCGGGTTTTATTCTGGAAAAGCGAATCGGAGTTGGCATGCCCAAGAGCAAAACGGGTTGCAAGGTACATAGAGAAATAGGCATTGTAGCTACATCTTCTTGTTGAAGGGCTACCATGTCGAGATGGTGCAGAGATTTTTTATTACAGGTTTGTAGGACAACCCACTAACAACCACCATAGGGAATGAAATCCAAAAATGACCTCGTGCCCCGTCTCCAGCTGTCTACACGACAGCTACCACTGAAGACTATTAACTTGGCTCTTGTGTTATATTTTTTTGTCCAAAGAAACTGAAGGATTTTGGTCTTCTTCGGTTCAAAACATTATTACAGGTTTCCTTTCTTGCAACAAGACTCTACTACCTTCCTCCTCCCCACCTAAAAACCCGATTAGGTTTGCGTTGCCAGCACTCCTATGGATGACTCTATCTTTCTCCTCCCCCCTTAAAATATCCCGATTAGGTTTGCGTTGCCAACCTTAGGTTTGCGTTGCCAACCTTAGGTTTGCGCTGCCAACCTTAGGTTTGCGTTGCCAACACTTAGGACTCTTTTTTTCTCCTCCCCACCTTAGGTTTGCGTTGCCAACACTCCTATGGATAGCGACAAGATCAAGATTTTCGGAAGCCGAGTGAAGGTTGACTCCCTAGAAGCTATGGCCGAAATCGAGAAGGCTGAGAGGGATAAGATGAAGCGCAAAGTTGAGCAAATCTGCGAAACTGGTTGCAACGTCTTTATCAACCGACAGCTCATTTACAACTATCCGGAAGAACTCTTCAAAAAAGCAGGAGTCACATGCATCGAACACTCCGATTTCGATGGTACTACTAAGATTGACTAAGTTAATGATATTTTTGTATTTTAGAAGCAGGTGGAACATGATTTTGCAATCAACATTTGTACAACCTACCCTTTTCTTCTTGTAGTTCACTCCAGCAAGAACCATGTTGATCCTGGATAATTCCCAGTTTGTCTTCCTCCATGATTTTCATTTTCATCTTCTCCTCTATAACAAAGGTACGGAGCGCCTCGCCGCCGTTCTGGGTGGCGATATCGTGTCAACGTTTGATGATCCGAGCAAGATTAAGTTGGGAGAGTGCGACCTTATCGAAGAAATTATGATCGGCGAAGATAAGGTTATTCGATTTAAAGGCTGCAAGGAGAATGAAGCATGCACTATCGTGCTCAGGTAGCATTTGCTTATATTTGAGGCTCTGAATTTGGGTTTTGTAGTAAGGTTTTTTTCTATTTTCTTTGAGGAAACACAAAATCTGTAATCCACTTCTTCACGTAACCTACACTTTATGTACTTCTTCGACAACATTAGGAACCTTGATTTACAACTCAGGGGTGCATCAACGCATGTGCTTGACGAGGCTGAAAGAAGTTTGCACGATGCCTTGGCGGTTTTGTTCCAAACAGTTACCCAGGATACGCGCGTTATTTGCGGTGGTGGCTGCACTGAAATGGCCATGAGCCGAGCAGTCTTGGAAAGAGCAGCGACGGTAAAAATCAACTAGAAGAGTCACTAGTATTAGAGTCAATATGTTGTTTGCAAGATCACTAGCTTGTAACACGACTTCGAGGATTGATTATTATTGTTACAACACACACAAGAATCTTCGACCAGGACAAAGGTTCATCTTCGTAATATTCGTATTTTAGCCTTTCCAGCATCCTCTCCACAACTACTTTCCACAGGTCGGCGGCAAAGAGTCTGTTGCCGTTGAAGCTTTCGCGAAAGCCCTCACCCAAATCCCGATGATTCTGAGTGAGAACGCAGGTATGGATGCACAAGAAATGGTGGGTGAACTCAAGAAGGCTCACGCCACTGGTAAAATCACGAGTGGTATTGACGTCATCAAGGAGAAGGTTGCCGACATGGAGGCCTTGGGCATTTACGAGTCCTACCGTAGTAAGCTGTCAGGCTTGTGCTCGGCAGCCGAGGCAGCGGAACAGGTAATCCGCGTCGACGACATCATCCGAAACGCACCGAGACAGCGCGAGGGAATGTAAAAGGGAGATTCTTCATCGAGTAGTAGAATAGAGGTGGTAGAAGTACTTAGAAGTGCTGAGGACTATTGTGGCGTGTTGTGTTGCTACAGGGTCTGAGAAGGTCCACTTCAGATTCTCCACGAAGAAATAACGCGACACCTGTGGAGGAGAACGAGGCTTCTGTGGTAGAAGAACTCCTGCAACAACGAGTACCAGAAAGAACTTGCACCTCGTCACCACTACTTCCTCTTGAAGAACTACCTTCGTACTAGACAGTAAGGAGAAATCCGTTTAGTACCGAGCTTCCTGCTGATGACGACGTGCCTTTCGCGAAGACCATGTTCGGAAATAGCTGTATCTCTTGTTGTTGGTAATAGCACTCAAAAGACAAGCGTGAGAACGATATCCTATAGTTTTATGGCACCCGTGAATTAATAGATCAGTTTGAAGACCATTGTTATGAACGTTAGAAACCTTCCCTGCTGAACAGACATGCCCAGAGCCTGGGAAAATTGCCCATGATTTCTTGTTACGTACGACCCAGAACGATAATTAGTACTACGACATCTTTTAGACTGCTTCTGTATCACATTGTTCTTGAAACCACCAGCATAGATCCTGTTGTTAGAGTTGTTGGAAGCGAAACCCAGATAACGGCTCCAAGACACGCGAACGACGACAGTTGGAAGACGTGTTTGCGCAAGCATACGCACTTTAGTGAGATAAGAAGATCGTCTTCGTCGACATGGTAGAATCCGCTATAAGTGTGCTATGAAGTAGTCCACGTCTAGCTGCAGAAGAATCTCTTGATCGGTGGTGACAAGCTTCTACGAATGCTCCGCATATTTCTTCCATCGGTATGTCTGTCCTACGTGTCAGAACGATCAGTCGGTATCTTCGGAGTTTGAATTGCAGTTGTGCACTTCTCTTGTTGTCGGTTTCACAATATAGTACCTTTTCCCTTGCATCCCAATGCATGCATCGACGCTCACCCAGCGAAGTTTTAGCTCGTCGGTGGAAATAGAAGACCATGGAAAAAGAGTAGCCGGCCGCTTAAACCCAGTAGAAGACAATGGCAGAAAAAGTAGGTTAGTGAATTCTTTTATACCCCGCGAATGGGTACACTACTACTACTACTACTACTACTACTACTACTACTACTACTAGACATCGTAGAGGTAGGTTCTTCATAATTTAGAACCACAATAATTGCTAAAAAATTGTTGTCCTTTGTGAATCACCTAAAAATATGTTGTCCAAACACCTGTTGCCTGAGACCCTTGGTGCTGCTGATGTGCCTCATTTTGGTTCGGGCAAGACACGGATCATCGATCATAGTACGGAACTACAGTCACCTGTGTCAACAGGGGTAGCGCAAACGCGAGAGCGATGTATCGTTGGTACTAGTGGAGCATCTTCCTCGAGCAGTAGTTCTTCTTCTTTCCTTGGCCTCGATGGCGCAAGAAGCCGTCCGCTTCGTCCTCGTAAGCAGGCAGCTCACCTGGACCGAGTAGCAAGTGTAAATGATTTCTTCCAAGAATCCTCCCTAGTTGGAACTGCTTCCAAGAACAAGAACCGATTAGCGTTAACAACACTAAAGCGTTCGTTACGACCTTTGACAAAGATCACTACAAGAACTACTTGTTTCAAGAGTAGTTTCCCTTCTGGCATAAGTGAAGATGAGATGCAGCCAGCTAGTCCGCGTGACAACAGCGGCGGCGGCGACCCTCCTGACGACGAAATTTGCCGAGATTGCTCTAAACCTTCTCCGCCAGCGCATCCGCACTGCAATCCATTAAAGCTCAGCGGGAAAGGAAGTACCGTTGCTGCAGAAGAAGAGCAAGCAAAGCGATGGAGAGAACAGAAGACGTTGTTTAAGCAGTCATTGGCAGTGGGGTTTTTTGCGAGCTTGGTGTACATGGTAAGGACGTATCTGCAGAAGTCGAATAGGTTACGGAGGCTTAATCGGCATGGTGAAGAAGCACAAGAATTTGAAGGTGGGGAACTTGTGGTTTGATGAATATGGAAACTTCAGACAGATTATTAATCTGATCGTATCTATATGGCGTGCGCAACCGGAAGGAACGTATTTGCTATACCGCTTCTGTAGTAGCGTTGTGACCGGGATATTGTTGCATCACTAAAAAAAAAGAATCACTACGGAGCAAGTGAATGTCTACTCTAGGAGATGTGGTCACGAATGAGTGAAGATTTTCTGGCTTCGGTTTATGGTTTTCTTATCTCGGTCTCTGCTGGTGTCGAAAGTTGGGTCGTAGTATGGTCTGAGCTCGGTAGAGGCCCACTGTCGTGTACATACCCGCGTGAACCCCAACATCCTCTACTCTTTTTCCCTCAGTATTTTCTACTAGCTTCGTAGGAAAGCTGTATTTTTCTTTCGAGTACAAGATTTAACTCTGGAAATATTTCAGATTTAATGAATATCATGATACAAAATAAGACCGGTAGGACTCTCTTCCAACATACGAAGAGAGCAGTTCTTCTTTAATAGAAAAATGACCTGAGGTACTGCCTAAAAGTGCACGTTTAAGGCAGAAGAAGCGGCAAGATGCATACTGTGCCGCATGAACAACTGCCGGAGGTATCATTCTTGCCATTGAAAGCGATTCATCTACCTTTGTGAAAAGTAAGATAGATGTAGAGTTCTCTCGACAACGTGGCTTGGCCACAAGTTCGCGGACCCTTGAACCCTGAACCATTCTACCTTTTACACCACATCAATCGAATTATTCCAATCCATTCAAACTGAACATTGATCAGCCACGGGAGCGGCGGACATTCCCATTCGGCGGAACGCCACTACCCAGTCCCGCACCAAGCGCAGTATCATCCTCAAGTTCACGATGGAAAATCCACAAACCCGGACAAAAGCCAGAACTTCCCTACATATTGACAGCTGCAGGGATCGAAATTATAGGAGAGCCGGGACCAGCGAATCAAAAGTACCTTCAGTTTTGTCCATGCATTATCTGTCGCTTTCTGGTGTAAGCGACTGTCAGCATCCAGCAGTCGAACAAGATCATATCTTCTTTCTTTCGTGCTATCTATAACAACCTCAACATTAAAGATTTACTGCCCCTTCTCACATCCTCCTCATTCAAAACTCGAACTTCAGCGTGAGGAGCAAATCGGAGGTGCCGAAAATAATGCGACAGAATTTAAAGCATCATATTTACAATGCCTACAATAGTTTCGGGCACTGGCGTGTGGAGAATAATCTAGATCCGCATCTGGTCGCAGAAAATATACCGAAGTGGAGCACTAGCAATAACAGGTATAGAAATAGATGTGGTACATTCCGTTCACTATCAAAATCGATAAGTTTGCCTTGTAATCTGTATCCAAATAGATGCGCTAGATCGGAGGGCTTCGTCTACTTTGGTGTAGTTTTGTCTATTGGCAGATGCGCATCCATATCTTTGATAAGGGTTCTCTACAACTGCATAGAACTCAATTACCAACTTCGTTCCCAAATCCTCCTTTTCACCTCCAAATCAGCTATGGACACCACTATTATCATCCGCATCAAAAATTTGCGCGTGGCTTCAAGAATCGGATGCCTGTCTGGCAATACGACGATAGTCGCCGGTTCGTCTATTACCCAGACGAAAAAGGTAAGAAACGGGAATACTGACCTGCTTCGGAAAAGTTGTATTCGTCTGTTGGGGTAGTTGTACGAGGTGAACTCGATCATGCATTTCCAAAAAAAGATTAGACAAGCACTGAAGAATCAATCACTTCTCACAAACACTGTTAAATAGCAAACTTCCTTATAATCGCAAACTTCCAAATCTACGTCTGGACGTGTAAAAGCAAACAATCAAATAACTGGAGTTAAGCAATGAAGAGAAAACAGCTGAACCGAATGCAGATGGGTTTAAGCAATCGACCCCAATCCATCGACCCCCTGAGTGGTAGATCCTCCCGTACTACTGCACTAGTGGATACAGGAGTCCCCATCCGTCAATGCTGAACTGAGTCATTCAACCAAGACTTTACTAAAAGGTCACATCACGTCGAAGGCTAATGTTGACGTCGTACTTTGTTGTCTGTCCTCTGATCCGCGAAATTATGAGACCAGACACGGAAGAATCCCGAAACCAATTCGAAGTAGAAGTCTGTAATGCTGAGTTGCACGAGGAGCATTCATTGGTACAATATTTACATCTCTCTGTCCGTCAGAGGAACGATATTTCTGTGGAGAGAGAAGAACACTGAATGTACTATTGAGGGATTTTTACTCTGTAGAGCGAGAGGGGGAGAGAGCGATGTATTGCAATTCTGTACGCTAAGAAGGAGATAAAGACTCTCCGATGATGGTATTGAGTCACGAAAGAAAGCAAGCATCTAATTAAAGGACGTCCAAACACCTCTTGTTAGGCACATTCATTCATTCATTCATTCATTCATTCATTCATTGGTAAACTTTTCATCGTATCACACAGCATTTTTCTGCCCTCCCCATTCTTCACACTCCCCTTGTATATTTTCTTGCATTGTTTGTTCTCCGTGTGAGTCTACTCATGATAAACAACAACAAACTTCTGAAATGATTACTTGATCATGTACTCCGCTTGTGCTCTACTTCTAGATTGCATGTTGTGTACCAAAATGAAAATGGATTTTGATTTCTCCAGCTGTACTTTACCCCTTCAATAGTTTTCTCCTGATTCAAAAAAGCCATCAAAGCCTGAAAATGAAGGGTGACATTGATCCTGCTGTTCTGGTTGCGTTCATTTTGACGTTTCTCACGATGGCCGTGTTGGTCGGATTCGATATCTACTCCACCCTCACTTCAGATGGCCTAGAGGGCTTCATAGAACAGAAGATCTATCACAGCCGGATCGGACACTACCTGGGCGCAGGAAGAATGCATGCGATGTATTTGTTTTTTATCTGATCTTCTGTCTGATAGATAGTCTCCTGAAATGAATGGTGGGTGATGATGACATAAGTACACTGCCAAGCGATGTTTCAACAAGAAAACTGGAACAATTTAGAAGAACTTCGCCAGTGGCAATAATCACAAGAAAAACTCTACATTTAATGCTTCTTTCTACATTCAACAGGACCGCTCAAGTTGTGATTAAAGACCTGCAACGTGAAAACGCTGCGCTGTCGAAAGGCGCGGACGGCAAGAGTCGAGGCAACGTCCACGTTAGCGCGAAAGGAGTGGTTGGCAAAGGTGGGAAAGTCAGACTCAAAGGCGGCGCCAAAGAAGGCTATGGTGCGGGTATTGCCACAAGGAGTATAGGCAAAGCCATGAAAGGGGACATGCTGGCTGCGGCGAAAGGTCTTTCCGTGAACCCGCTTGTAGCACAAAAAGGTTTGAAGAAAGGAGGAGGAAAGGGAGGATCCTTTAAAGGAACAATAAAGCCTATGGGGAAGGGAATGTTTATGTGGTGAACATTTGCGACCACGCATAGAAATTGACTGCCTTTCGAAGAATCTACTGCATGAACGCATTATCGTGCTGCTATGCTTAGTACTACGAATAAATCTTTACGTTTTCATTACACCGATAGTGATTTGCGTCGAAGGACGAACCGGTAAGAACGTGATGATAGGGTGAGTATATCTGCTTACAGCGACATGAACCGAGCTTTCTTTACATCCCCTCGTCATGCAACACATAATGATTAATAAAACCCATCCGGCTGTCGCGAAAATTGGATCATTTGGTATCCTGTTTGCATGCTGATGTTCCTCCTTAGGAATCGGTTCTTCGGTGAGAGAAACAGAGAGCAATCAGTAGAGATGGAGAGATGGAAGGGAGCGTTGGAGAGGAGTATTTTTCGATAGTCCACTAAAAGTAAGAAGGTAAAAGTTCATCCTTTACATTTACTGCACATGCTCTTTAAGATGATTCACCACTTCTAGACGTAAGGCGACAAGGTTCTTCGTGTCTGTCACTGTAGTGAACAAGTTCAAGTGCTTCAGTTGTCTATAAAAAGTTAGCATGTGGTATTTGAATGCCGGTGACCTCGTAGCTGCGAATTTGCGTTTTGCTTCATCTTACCTTGGCTCCGATGTTATCTCCGGTTTTCCGCTCTTCGCATCCGACACCCTCACATTCTACGTCGTCACGCCCCGCAAGGTCTGTGGGAGGACCGGGTCGAGTGGAGGACCTTCGAATGATGAGAGAGCTACAACGTCCACCGCCTCTTCTGCAGCAAGTGCCGCAAAGCGTGATGACTCGTCGTCGATGCGGGCTTTCTCTGAAAAGTTTGAACAAGGTCAACGTGAAGTCCAAGAAGCTATTGAAAAGAGTCAACGAGACTGGAAAAAAGCCCAAGATGGACTGCATCGTGCTAGTTCCAGGTTTTTTCAAGACTTGAGGTCAAATCTTATAGGTGGCGGTGGGTCCAATAACCAGACTTCTACAAATGAAGGAATCACTGAACCTTCTAGAAATGAAAATTCCGATGAAGGAATCACTGGGGGAGGAACAGAACCTTCTAGGAATGAAAATTCAGATGGAGGACTCACTGGGAGAGGAACAGTTAGTTCTTCCAGAGTGGACGTTGGAAGTGACGAAGAGAAGGCTCTAGCAGCGCGCGCACGTTCTGCATCCTCGAGAACGCGAACTGCAGCAGCATCGACGGGCGACACAGCTTGGAGAAGACCATCATCGTTGGGGCGACCTCCTGATGGATCAATTACAACTGCGACGCCTTTCCTAGTATCCCCACTCACGAACAACACTGCGGCATCATCGAATGAAGATAGGAGTAGTGGTAGTGAAACAAGTGGTGGTCAAAAAAATGAAGATACTAGTAGTAGTACTACAACGACAACAGCAAAAGCGATTGACTTCTGTGAGAGTAACTTTGATCCAAATGAATTGTACTTGGTTGCCATTCCGAAAGTCGCTTATGAAGCTGAGTCTGTCGCCTCTTACCGTGCACGCGTAGCTCTACTACAGACAGACAATCAGCCACAAAAATTGGTAGCTGGTTGGTCACCTACTGCGGATGAGACTTTGGTTTTTGGTACAACTGGCGCCGTGACAAGAACGGAGTTAGATTTCGAACTTAATTCGGGTGGTATTGGGCCACAACGGCGCGAGCAAAGTGGTGTGATTGGTAGTAGGTACCCTAATCGCAGATTCTTGTATCGGTGGAACGATGTTGATGATCGATCACGGCTACACGCTGATACAACAAGAAAGCAGACACATCAACTGCTAGCTGAGCAGCAGCGTCAGGGAGAGGATCAAAATCAGATAGAAGATCAGCGTCTCACAGCAACAGAGTGGCATCAAGTGATTGAAGAGTTCGGGAGTACGTTGAGACAGTATGCAGCGACAGCCAGGTGGGATGACGGCGTGCGAAAATTTGCTGGAAAACTAGAGAAAAGCCTACTGGTTCACGCGTCCGTGGCTGAAAAAGAAGCGGTAGCTGGACAACAAAGCGGATTTGGCACACCGACTACGCCGATGCTTTACTTATGAATAGCAGTTGTCGTTGTGACTTTTTTAGATGCTGAATCAAGTAGAAGATTCGTGAGTTAAGCCTACCTGGGAGTTTGCTTCTAATCCGCGGATCACCTTCAGATCATTTTGACTCCGATTTCACGCCGCGTGCTGGATCAGCAAGTGGGGTATCAAGATTTAGAGTGCGGGCACCAATGTTAAGAAATCAGCTAAGTCAAGATTCCCCAACAGTCGCTAACAACAGTTCAGTTACAGTCACTACGAATACGACTACGACACCTCCAGCATCAACAACATCATCGACCACCGCAGCGTCCACAACGACAGATGAAGTTGTCCCTAGTGCAACACGAAGAGTACCTGCTGGAGCCGAATTAGGTGAGCTATCCGGGGATGATGGCTTTGCGTTTGAGTTCTTTCAAAAAGATGCAGAGTCGGAGAACGAGGACCGCCGAGGCTCACTTAAGAAAGACGATAAACAGGATACTCGTCCAATCGAGAAAAGTCAAGACGATGGTGAAGAAATGTCGGAGGATATTGGGGAAAAAGAGGAAGGAAAACCGTTAGTCCAGCCGTTGCCTGAGATGACGAGACGACCATCTAGGCGTGATAGTGCTCGCAGCAGGTTAGATGATAAACAGGATATTCGTCCAATCGAGAAAAGTCAAGACGATGGTGAAGAAATGTCGGAGGATATTGGGGAAAAAGAGGAAGGAAAACCGTTAGTCCAGCCGTTGCCTGAGATGACGAGACGACCATCTAGGCGTGATAGTGCTCGCAGCAGGTTAGATGATAAACAGGATATTCGTCCAATCGAGAAAAGTCAAGACGATGGTGAAGAAATGTCGGAGGATATTGGGGAAAAAGAGGAAGGAAAACCGTTAGTCCAGCCGTTGCCTGAGATGACGAGACGACCATCTAGGCGTGATAGTGCTCGCAGCAGGTTAGATGATAAACAGGATATTCGTCCAATCGAGAAAAGTCAAGACGATGGTGAAGAAATGTCGGAGGATATTGGGGAAAAAGAGGAAGGAAAACCGTTAGTCCAGCCGTTGCCTGAGATGACGAGACGACCCTCTAGGCGTGATAGTGCTCGCAGCAGATTTATTGAAGATAGTGGAAGTGGAGAGCAGGTACCTGCCGTTGCGACAGGCGATGTGTCAAATGTAGGAGACGGCACTACAACAAGTAGAGCTTCCGATGCTAATGCTTCCCTCCAATCTACAACAACAATTGCACGTGGCAGAGCTTCGTTACGGAGTGGCGATGAAACCGGTAGAGCTACAACTACAGCGGTCGATGTGATACCTAGAACACGAATTGGCGACGGCGATGTAGTACCTGGTGCACCTCTACGAGGAGCCATACGTGTCCTGCAACCGACGTTAACAGGAGGCATCAGCTATACAACAGTGCCACAACAACAGGTGATGATGCACAGTAGGAATGGAACTTCTACTAGTTCTGGCACTTTTACTTCCGGAGTTGCGAATCAAGGGCAACAATCACAGCAACAGGGTATGTCTCACAGTTCTCCACCACGAGCAGTTGTCCAGCCTGTTGTTACTGGGGGACATGAACATCCGATTGGCATGACAACCAGTGCTACAGTAAATCCAATCCAACCACGAGTTGTGCAACAAAATCAAAATGAAAAGCGTGTTGTTATTGCGCCTTCTGTGCGGACAGGAAGATTGCCTGTGGCAACGTTTTCACAAGTCCAGAGGACTTCTACAACCAGTAGACCACTTGCGTTTCCTCAGAGCACTTCTACAACAGGCGCACCTCCGCAACTTCCTGTCGTTCCTAGAGGCCGCTCTTTCGGAACAACTAGTGGTTCAGTCGTGCCTCAAGCCGGCGACTCTTCGGAAGGCAGTCCGATTCAAGTCGAACGTGTTCGGCGTCCGAGGTTGAGTCGGCCTCCAAAATTGCTGGATCATCGAGGACAACAAGCGAGTGGTCTTCAGCATCAAGGTGCGAGTGAAAGAACAACTTACGGCGCTCCAACAACTTACGGCGTACCTACATCCTCCAACATGATCACAAATACCTTAGGCAGATTGGACAGTGGTTTTTTCTCGAGCCGCAACAGTAACGCAGGAACACCAACAGCAGGTGGTGGTAGGGCGCCGTCCCTCGCTGGTGCAAGCAGCAGTGCTTCTCGCGCAGCACGTATGACTCAAGAGGAAGCAGCAGAGGCTTTGGAGAAATTGCGTACAATATTCGACGTGCGTGCAATGGCGTACAGTGACTTCCGACGTTTGAAGCGAGTCCACGTGCCAGTACACTTTCAGTTGTTGAAAGTAAACTTTGAAGTCGACAGTACATTGCTGCTAGGTGGACAGGAGTTTGCAGCATCATCACGAAATCCTTTTGATCATGGCGGTAGGAGTAGTAATGCAAACAAGTCGAAGAACCTCAAGAAGAACAGGAGACGTTATCTTCAATCTTCTAGTAGGAAAAAAAAACTCTTTGAGCGTTTGCCTGACATTCGAATTCCAAAGTTAGAAGATCATCTGGCTCGTTTGTGGCGACCGAGTCGGAAAAAAGGTGGTTACCTCTTCAGCATGCGTGTGCGACGTAGGAGGAGATTCGAGGATGGGACGAAAACAACTGAGCATGAATTTCTGTTATGCCCAAAACCAGAACTGAAAGCAGAGTTGTATCTGCGAGCAACGGAATTCTTACGACAGGAGTTCGCGCGTAAAGTTGTACCACTGATTGCAGCTCCTTCTTTGCGCGACGGAAATCAAGGGGAACAAACGCCAGCTTACAGAAATAATGGTGGTGGCGATCATCAGAGTACGATTAGAACCATGACCTCAGCAGGAGAATCACAAGCAGATGAAGATTACACTCGTACGACAGAATCGACTGCGGTGCCAGGGTCCTCGACAAGAGGCTCTAACAGCGTTGAGAAGACAAGTTTTTTTCTGCCTGAAACATCTCCTGCGTCATCAGATCAGCGGATTACCGATAGCAACACTACAACTTTTTTAATCACGACAACACCAGGAGGAAAGGCTTCGCCTTTCTCATACAGTGAGCGTGTCCCAGCAGAAAACGGAAGCGACGAAGCCACAACACAAGTAGAGAGTGTAACTCCGGGCCAAGTCCTTGCGAAAATCCAAGCTCTTTATCGTCAAGAACAGATTGTCCATACCGCTATCATCCCTCCTATCGATGGTCTCGAGTATAAGATAGCTTTTGGGTTACGGAGTTTAAAGACCCAAGATACTGCCGAACTAGCACAAAGAGTGTTTCAGTTGTCTAGTACGACTTCTATAAAGACGAGGAACTCTGAACTACAAGTAGACGATGATGACGAAGGGTCCACCGAAACGAACTTCTACGAAAATTCACTTGTTGATTACACGTTTCTCACAGACTGGCGTAAGGATGCAGGAATCGTTGTGGTACCTGTATTTGTCGAGTTACCAAACGGTCGACGGTTTTTCTTCCGTGATGGTCGAACGATAGCTGGTTCAGCATCTTCTGGTTCTTATTCGTCCGGAGCTGGTAAGACTGGCGGGACGAGGATAGGACCACGGAGGGGACAAGCTACTTCTTCTAGCCAAACAAGTACCACTAAAAGCAGAAGATATGGTGAAGCCAACAACATACCAAATTTCTACAACAAGCATATGATCAATGTCATTGATTCTCCAGGATCATCAGCACCAACTATGAGTGTTCGCACCGCACTCGTGTGGAACCCATTTTTGAACCGCAATGTCGCTCAATTGATGCCCACCAGCGCACTAGACGGCGCAGAGCGATACGATAAAGTGGAGTTTGCGTCGCCACATCTGTGTCTTGCAACAACTGCTATAAGATCTGTGACCTCTCTAGAACACTTCGTGACGAAGGGTGAAATGTTTGTGGCATCAGTACAAGCTGGAAATAGCAACAGTCCCGAGACCACGTCCACGACGAAGAAGCAGCAGCCACATCGTGAGTACAGTATTCTAGACAACTTTGTGTCACCGCATATTCAGGCCATGATCCTGCCACCACCGACAAACTTTTTTCAGTACTACAGTAGCCAACGTGGAGCATTCAACGTTCTACCAGTGACTGTGGAGGACCTGATATTAGGTAACTATCACCCCGACGACGAGATGTACATCTACGGTGTCCTTGGCGTGGTGGTGTTTTCTTATGGCAACGACAGATGAATTCGCGGCTATACGTCGAAATAGCTACAAGTACTAGAAGATTCCATCCTTCATATACCTTGAAGATATTTCTAATCCCTTACCTGTCTCTTGCAGCTTTCGCTTTGCGTCTGCATCTGCTGTTGTTGTCATCGTGTCCTGTGTGGGAGTTCTTTGGGTAGGCGGAAGAAAGGCCACGTGAGGTGGTCTGAGCAGACTAACGATGATGATTCACCAGTCAGTAGTTGCGGGAAGGACTCGAGTGACAACATAATTACGGCTATAGATAGTCTTCATAATTCATCTTTTGGTGCATCGATCCTTGAAAAGTAAATTCTAATTCTACTGGAAATGGAATACTTTCAAAGGTTTGCAGGCCAGAGATGAAATACGTGGGAGAGGTCTAATTACAAATCTAGTAAACAAGAAGTACTTTCTTCTTCTTCTTCTTCCAGTTCTTGTTCAGCTTCGAACTTCCTAGTTCGAGGACGCTCATCTTCTGGTCAGCATAGTAATCGAGGAGGCCGCGGGGGGGGTTCAGGTTCTCTATTGGATGTCAGATACGTGCGACCGACATCGCGAAGACAGCATAGTTTCGTGACCGACATCTTTCAAAATGCGTCGCCACCGGTGTTTCGTGTAGCCGCGCCTGGCCTAGTCGGACGCAGCTCAGGCGGAAGCGCAGAAGGAGCCCCGGATCATACTCTGAGACTGTCCGCATCGGCCAGATCGTCTAGCGATATGACCTCGAGAAGCGTGTCATCGGATCTGGATTCCAATGAAGAGGGGGAAAGCCCTTTGGAGTGAGCATATTTGGAGTAAGCATAGGACGAACTAGTACTAGGATAATTGTAACAACACATTCTTGTCATTGATTCCTTATCTAACCTACTACTACATGAGATTATAGTAGAGGTCTTGGTCGTTGATAGTAGAAATTATGTACCACATGTTGTCCACATACATACTGCATTGTTAACAACGCGTCATCTCCGAATAGTTGTTTTATTCTAGGTTTTGCAAAACCGTGAAACTTGAAGCCTACCCTGGTTTAATGACCATTTATGTTAGCCCGAGTACGTAGTCATTATCTTGCTTAATAAAGTATATTGAGTTGTTGATCTTATATGTAGTCATCTCCTCGACAGATATAGAATTGCTTCGTTCCTACAACTAGTAAAGTGAAGTTATAACTACAAGAGCATTTCTTTTTTCGATTGAGGCAACTATCTACAAGATCGGAAGACGGGTGGCGTTCGTTCTCGGCTGTCCACTTTGAATGAAGAAGCCTATTGTTCTGTAAATTATGAAATAATCAAATTTGTGGTCTGCGAAACTCCAATGATGCCAATACTTGAACTTGAACTTTCTGCCGTTTGCGAAAACGAAATGTACCCATGCCCATAGACTCTTCATACTTCACGTAGAGTCATCAGTGGACTCTCTTCCTAGCAGCGCATCCGACGTGGACTGCGACTCCGGACAGCTTTACATTATAACTCTCGCGAAGTCGGTGCACATGGCACTTTGGCTTGATCGCCGGCAGGCACACCGGCCGGCAGGCACACCGGCCGGCAGGCACACCGGCCGGCAGGCACACCGGCCGGCAGGCACACCGGATATCACTAGTATCACCCTTCCGGCGGTCTTAGCCTTCAAAAAAAAATTAGCCACCAGCATTTTTCGCTCAACCGCAGAGATATGCAGACGATGTGGATTATCGAGGACAACAAGCGAGTGGTCTTCAGCATCAAGGTGCGAGTGAAACACATCATGTCGCTCCAACAATTCGACAACATCATTTCTACATACTTTTCCGTGTATCTTCTTCAACTCGAAAAGCCTACACTTGGTCGTTGGCAGACCGCGACCGCAGCGCGGCTTGGTTGATGCTCTTGCCTGTTTTTGGCTCTTCAGTAGCCACTGAAGTCTCCTGGTTTACTTAGTAGACCCACACCTAACCTAACCTAACGAAGCGTGGATGAACATCCACGGCCCGGAAGGAAGTTTGATTGCTTGAAATATGTCAACATCGGTGTTTTCTGAGCTCCTGTACTTGTGGCGTATCTACTTCTTGAGGTGCTTACTGAGTAGCAGAGAGAAAGAAGAGATAGAGAGACAGGAACGAAAATGATACGGAATATCGGTCGTAGTGATCGTGTGCTATAGTAATTACGAGGTGCATGTTGAAAAAGCTCTCCCTCTGTGACCCACATCTTTCCGAGATCATCTAGTCGGTTTCTTGCTTGCTTGTATTAGTCGCTGCCCTCAATGATCGTAATATTTCCCCTATCAATTGTTCTTCTTCGTGACATCTCGATATTTATTTTTCATTCTCATTTACAGCACTCGATTCCTCCTGCTTCCCAACAGCTTCAGCATTGCATGCTGGGATGAAACATCCGTCTAACAAAATGATCCTTAGCTTCCGGCGTCAACGAGATCAGAATGTTGACGTTCGTTTTTACAAATCGTACTAGATAGTCTGAAAGTACTAGTAACGTACTCCACACTAGGAGAAGGGGTGCTGACTCTGCTGTGTCTCTCTGAACAACATGGCAGAGGCGGCTGCGGCGTCGCCCGGATCGCCGGAGCTGGCGAACACTGGGCAGTCAGTTGGCGGCGAAGAATGTACGGTGTCATTCGTGATTTTGCCCGAACACTATGGGCAGACAAAAACACTCAAGCTCGACCAGACGATAGGAGAAATAAGAGAGTAATTATACTTGCTTTGTAGTTTTTGTGAAATGAGCATTTTGTTCTCTGGCTTATGAGATAGTGCACAATGAATCGAATTTCAGACTGGTGTTGACTCACGTTTCTTTTCTGTTGTAGTAAATGCACATTCTTGTTTCAGACTAGTGACCCACGTTTCCTTTGCTTAGACAGTTAGGGCCCAGCCTTTCGTCTGCGCGCGTATATCAACTCTACATCCCATTTTCCTCCGCTGCCTACTGACCACAGATCTCTCGAACGGGAGTTGGCTATTCCAAACAAGTCGTTGTCAATGATGCAGCTCACTGGACTGGAGGGTGGCAGGATAGTGTCGGGAACACTCCAAGATGGCATGTCTCTCCGACAGTACGGCATATTGGCGGGAAATCAAGTGGGAATCGAGCTTCGAATAAACTACTACGAAACGACGCCGGCAAGAACGTCAACGTAACTCTTCTTTTGGAAGATTTGATTTTCTATGTTTCGCTCCTATTCGATCTTCTCGTATCACCTAAAGTGATAGGACAATATGGAAAAAGTCTTTCCTCTGTTCTTTCAGCTTTCAGGAAATTTCCCTTACCCTGACAATAATATCTGTCATCTTCGCAACAGATACGTCATGCCAGACACCTTAGCGGTGACAGTGGCGGATGCGGATGGAAGGCAGAGGCAGATTAGTGTGCAAGTGGAAAGGCAGGCCGAAATAAAACCATATATCGGTGGATTTCGACACAAGGGGACTGGTAGTTTGACTCTCTTTCTCTTGGAATATCGCTTTTACGTCAGTCTCAGTTACTATTCGAACGATCGACCACTCCATTGACTTTTCATCCTCAACAGACACTATTGAGCTATTACAAAAGTTTAAGTTCTTGATTACAGTGACAACCATTACCACCATTTATCAGGTGCTATCTTCCATCATGGGAGCACGCAAACGGCGAAGACAGAGCAAATAGTGCATAAAGAAAAGACGCACAGGGATACACAAACAGTGGACCAGAGAACGAGGTCGGTGCAGTCGACAAGGGAGACAGGAACACAGATGCCGAAACAAGGTAAACCTAAAGAATCTATTTGGGTTTTCGATTGTGACAAATGTTACCATGATTGTTTTTTATATTGCGAGGAGAGTGCGTCTTGTCGAAACACCATCCGACCTGCCCTTCACCTACATGCTGCTTCTTGAACAGGGACTAACTTGGACTACTGCTAAACCTTCATCTATTACTAAATCGCGACGGCCCTCTTGCTTGTGGAGCCACTTGTTTACAGCGGCTTCTCCACACATCAAGTTGTATCTGTTTTTCAACACAACTCCAACAACAGGCGTCGCTTATGTCAGTGAGAAAACCGATAAAGTTCTCTATGGATCGAGCTATTTCAGTAGTGGGGATCTCTTGGCTTTGCGACTGGAGAAGATTCAGATAATTCAAAGCCACGCCCGTGGCCTCTTCGCAAGGAAACGAGCGAGGATGCTCAGACAGGTACTAGGTCGAAAAGGAAGTTGATAGGAATGAGACAACAGGTTGCTGAAGATACTGGTTGAATTCGGTGTAGTCTCCTGTCTGTTTTTAGTAGAGGATATATAAAGGAAGAGTGGTGCTGAAGATTCCACTTGCTTCTTCCTTTTTTATAAGGATGAGGCTTAGGTCCAGCGACGCTCAGAGCACAAAAGTAACGCAGCCGGTTCGTTTTCCCTCTACTCTTCGACTTATCCCTTCATGCAATACAATTCCGTGAGATTCACAGCGCCACTCTCCCTTTACACATCCTCTACTAAAAACAGAGAAGAGACGAGATGGCGCAAAAAGCGACGCAAGACTCCGAAAGGCGAGAATTAGAAGCTGAGCTGCGGCATAAGCGGGAGATCCAGAGGCGTATGCACCCACGAACGTACGAAGATTTCGATATATTACACAAGGAGCTTGAGATGTGGAGGAAGAAGGAAACGAGGAGGATAAAGGACGGTAATTATATTCTTGGGACATGCGCCGGCGCCTGCTTTCTGCATAATTTGTATCAACGCTTTCTCACTTCGCGTGCATTTTAAGACTACTTGTATCTATAATTTTGTCGATCATCGATCATGGTCGTGTTTTCTAGAGATATTCGATGTATTGACTCTGCTAGTTCCATCCCCTCCTCCTCGCAGATCCAGACACTTCGAAAGAGGAGAAGCATCAGCAGCTAGAGCAGCTATTACATAAAGAGACGCGACTCCTGCAGACCCTCGATAAGTTGAAGCTTCAGGCGCATAAGCACAATAGAGCCGCGAAAGTGCGAAAACAACTGGAGAGCATGGCACAGCCTAAGGTTCAAGGCTTCTAACATTAAGGTAGGTGATCCGTCGTATGCACTCATAGTTCATTTTCACATTTTGATTTCGACTTACTCACGTTTACACATTATTAGAAAATCTCTCGCACGACTCGACTACTCGATGACAAAAACAACAGGTATGGACGCAGTCAGACAACGAGACAACGACTGTCCATACACCTTACACAACTCGCGCCAAGGAGCTCTTAGACCTTTATAACGGCCTAAACCTTCCACTCCTCAGTATCGACGAGAGGCTCGACGTGCTGCTTCACGTAATTATATAGTGAATATTACTGTAAGCATATTTATAAAATATGTTTGCAGGAATGATACAAGAAGGTCGATTTGTACCGAGATGAAGGTTCGAAAAAGATGCGAAGCAACAATTATGTGGAGTACTGGATCTTTTGCAATTCTTATGACATTGAGAGTATTGAATCTGATGACCAGCACCACCACTTGCTCATCACAACATTTACAGGTAAAGTGGACAGTGAAGGAGTTTGACTGCAATTTGACGCGTGATATCGTAGACTTGATCGATCGAGAGGCAGACTTGCTAAATCGAGGCCGATCCGAGAGTAGCTTCACTGCGCTCAGAAAGCGGCTTTCGAATCTCTTTTTATGGCTCCTTTGATTCCGGATCTTGAACTAAAACTATACTAGAAACTTTTAAAAGTGAAAAAAGTGAAAAGATAATTCCACTTCTGAATGAAAGACCACATGTTTTCCCTGAAGACTGACCGCTGATGTAAGAGACTTGTCATCCTAAAGGAACCCTAGCCATAAGTTGAATCAAGCCCTGTTGAATCAAGACCGCTGATGTAAGAGACTTGGCATCCTAAAGGAACCCTAGCCATAAGTTGAATCAAGCCCTGTTGAATCAAGACCGCTGATGTAAGAGACATCCTAAGGGAACGTTCTTCTAATTCTGTTGCAGTTCATCGAGACTCCTGAGTTTAATCCAGAGGCAGCCCGCTTCCAGCACGTTCCTCGCGATATGATTCGCCAAACAGCTGTGCAGCCTTTGAGCACAGTGCCGCTTAACACTGCTGTGGGAAGGAAGTAAGTCGAAATGAAGGCAGTGCTGTGAAGATGGATGGGTGGCTGAAAGCGGGGCGGTCTGCGGTCACTCGTGCAGACCTCACGCTTCTGTCAAAATACAAGGTTGACGAAAACCAGAGACCAGAACTACTATTACCAGACAGAACTAATATACCAGAGACTAAATTTTCTATCGTTTGAAGACATCATGTAGCTCATAAGAACCAGAGACTTGTCAATCAACCAGTAATCAACCAGAGACTTTGAAATTGCGTATTTGTAACCAGAATCAACGGAGTAAAGGCTTGCGTATTTCTTGTAAGGAGAATCGATTATAGCGTTAGCGAGGAACTTCTAGAGTATGTTTCGTCGCCTCATGGTGGTAGACCTACGATTGATGGGGATCTTGATGAGAGTTGTGCGGGGCGACGAGGAAGCGGAACATATTAAGTGGTTGTAGTGGATTAAAAATGCCTTTGTAAATTCATAGATACTAATTCTTCCTCAATAAGAGAACGGAGGTTGTCCGCTTCTTCGTTTCTAGGTACTTAAAGTTTGCATAATGAGTATACAGAGGACTCGATGAGGTAGTTCGCGCCACGGACACTTCACGAGGCCGCTTGCGCGCTATCTTAACATAAGAATGAAGCTTGCGCATCGATTAGGACTTAGAAACTTATTCCAGAATGCTTTGCTATCCAGATTTATAACGACAAGATGCTATCGATCCCTGTACAAAAAATTTTGGTTTAGATTAGATTGATGTCAAGAAGATAAGATTTGCATCTCTTCAAGGATTGAAAAGTTTTGGATGTTTTGTATCGATCCCCTGTTGTGGTTGTTACCTGGAAGACGAAAAGCATGATAATGGACGCGGAGGCGGACGGATTACAGGCTGCAGGATCATATGCCTTCAGCAAATGCCCTTTACAAACGACCAAACTCGGCACCAGCATGATCTGTGGAATTACCTTTTCGGTAGCATGGTCTCGGTTTTTGCATCGGTGAAAGCAAAATCATTGGTCAGAGCGAAGCGTGTCTGTTGATATCTCTGTCTAAAGATTCGTTTCCCCGCCTAAATGCAGTTGCCTCCGAAAAGTTCTCAAGCGGCCAGTCCTATTGCTCTCTAAAGATTACCTTCAGCCGCCCTTCTTCGAATATACTAGAATCCAGGGAAGCTCAATTCCAAGTTTGACACAAAAATTCGTGTTTGGTCTGCAATTTACTTTCTCATTGATAGATTCGACAGGACTAGTTGTCACTTTTTCTTCCATCTAGAAGGAGAAGCACCTTGCTTCAGTTTCGTCTATGTACAGAAAGAAGAATGCAGGCTATAAAGAAGTTGATCGACCAGGCGAAGAACTTGGGTGCTTCGAATGTTTTTGAGCGGAATCCGCCAATACCAGACACGCTTCTTCGTGACGGCGATGGGCCTGATTCGGTTACATTAGACACTCTCCAGACTCGCGGAAGCGAGACAGCTCGACGAAGCGCGGCTGCGTACAGACACACGAGACGGGCTTTGGGCCACGCAGATGCGCTTAGTGTGGACACTTCGCAATTGTTGGAACGATTGGCGTATTTGCGGCAATACCCAGAAGACTTTTGCCAGGTGCGAAGAGTCCATCTGAAAAGCGAAAGTGAGGTACTTCAATCGCCTGTTTGTTTTTGTTCACGTATGATTTATAATTTTGGTTCTTCACCTCTGACTGTTGCTATCTCATATACTTTCTTTTATTTTTCTTCGAAACAATGTACTATGACAAGCATTCCGTCCCTCCCTCACCTAGGACGTCTACCCTGTTGTCGACGAGGCAGAACCATTGGACCTTGAATTGGATGAGTTAGCACAGTCTGCACGTAACGGCCGTGTAGACGAGGATGTTTTGCTTTCTAGAATCGAAGGCAAAAAAAGAGCAGCGGATCAGCAGAATCTCGAAACTATTGAGTTAAGATTCAATTGTGGGAAGTATTGTGAAGTAGGACGTAGCGAAAATATCAAACCTCTTATCGTTGTGATTCGCAACAACTTCGCATCGACGACCCTAGTAAATGAATAATTGGTTCACAGATCATATCTTCCATTTTGACTTTCATTCTTGATACATACCTTCCAACGTCAACATCATATTGATTTCTAATCCTCGCCCGCAACAAGGACGTAGAAGCTCGCCGGCTGGCACGAATCAAGAGGACTGAAAGATGGCAAGCGGAGAAATTGGCACGACAAAGCGCTGAGATCGACGAGCAGGTGCCTAAGGCTCAAGAACGGTTATTCTTAGACGCTGCAGAGAGAAGAAAACGGCGACCGCAGATTGTAGGAGAACAGCGACAAGCTTTATTGGAAAGCATGGGTGCGGAAGTTGCAGCGGAAGCAGAACAAGTGGAGAAAATAGAAGTGGAACGAGGAACTCTAGGGGTTTCTTTTAATGATAGCGCCGCAAATCAATCGCATCCTGTCCCTCCAGAAGCATCTTCTTCAAGCAACGACGATTCAAGTGTGCCTGAAGAAACGAGGAATCAAGATATTAAAGTAGACGATGCTCCTGGAGGTCGCGCTATAGTAAATGCAGGAGACGAGAAACAAGAGCTGGGACCTTCAGCATTGCTGGAGATTGGTCGCGAAGGCAAAGAACAAAATGCTGAAGATAGACTTGCTGAAAAGATGCTAGCAGTACCAGAATCTTCTAAGCAGACTATGCGTCAGCACATACAGACTGCCCAATTTTTGGAGTTACCAACTTATTCTTCCGGTCTGCTGTCTCCAGGAGAGCATGTGAGGGCTTCGCTGCTGCCACGAGGAGGTCCAAAAAGCACGTTGAGTTTTTCTGCAGCTGGTGCCCTGAGCAGTTTCTTACAGCATGTAAATAGTGTTATCCCAACAATAACGGGGCGGAATAAACTGTGTGGCTGTATGCTTATGCCAGATATTATTCCGCTCCGTTATTGAGCCTAGTACCTTGAAGTTTGGATTCATTGATAACTAGGTTTAGTTTTTTTTGAATGGTCTACGACACAGGACTTGGTCAGTACCTGAAAACGAAAGATGAAGCAAATGTTGGCTGAGTGTTCCAACATCAAGAATGCTTTTGCTTGATGCAAACAGAATCTACAGAATTGAGCTTGGATCTGTCTTCAAACGCGAGGATATGAGAGGAAGTGTGTCTGTTGGCGAAGCGTCTGTCTGTGTTTCTGTGTGACAAAGAGGGTTCGCATGACAGTCAGTGTTGTCCAGAGAGAGAACTAATGCGATATGTTCGAATGAATATCATGTCTGTTACAGGGTGGAGTGAATTTGTATCTGTGTTCCGAGAAGAGCGTGCTCCCGTTATAGAATAGGATGTAGTTGTGTCATCTTCTGAGGTCTTTGAAGCCGTAATAATAATCTGTGGAGTCGTCCTCGTGAGAGCGAATCTCATCGACTACGTCTGTCGTGGTGAGAGCGGTGTCGCTGTTTGCACAACCCGTCCGTATTACTGAAATCTGGAGTGCTATTGGTATACCCACTGTCTATAGTGAAACAATCCAGGCACTTTTGACTATGTACTAGAATAAAGACAACAGGAGTCTGAGAATTTTTTGTCTCTATCGAATTCCCTCTACGAACGCGCAAGCTTAGGTGTTTTTGATTTCCCCCTCTCTCCTTTTCAAGGTCTACGGTTTCTTAGAAGTATTGATACTACTCATCTTTATGAATCTTGGTATCTGACGTTCAGAGGATAACAAACGCTTAGAAGACTAGAAGACGCTTATAGACTTCTTAGTTCTTCAGAAGATTCGGGACACGGAGACAAAATGGCGTTTAAAAGCTTGAACGCAAAGCGCGGTATGCTCGTCCTGGGGAGCACGACGACCACGAACCTGTTTACCCACCAAAGCATCATTATGACCATAATTCATCTTAAGAAGCATCTTAAGCCTCTTTTTTACCTTTATTTTAAGAGAAAAGTAGAAATCGTGGCAAAAGTCGTTCCAGTCAAGGATGCACTCAAGACATAAACGGTGGAAGCATTCGAGTCACCAAGGTAGAAAGATGCTTTTGAAGATGAGTATGGGCGGGAAGGTCTAATATCATTGGTGTATATGCGCAAGGGGCGCCTTGGAACTACACAGCGGGGTGTTTGTTTGGGCCGGCAAGTGATGCGCACTGTAGCGCTTCTTGGGACGCGTTTTGGGCTGCTGCACAGACCAATGCGGCCTTCAATATGCTGGACTACAAGTGCTACAATAACGTCACAGTTGAGGTGGCTCCTTCGAATTGCGTGGGAGCAGACCGCTTCAATATAGGCAGGACGGCTGGGTACACAGGATCGAGTTTCAATTAAGGCTTCCTCTAATCCATCCTCGGAAGCATCTTGGGAACGTTTTCAAGGGAGGAAGGGGCTCAAGATGCGCCTCAGGATGGATAAGGGTGGGCGCTAAATCAAGTGCCCGACCAGCGGCATGAATGACGACGCTGCGGTAAAGCTTGCTGCCGTACAGACACACTTCGGTTAAGGATCTACTCGGACCACCACATAGCCAACGGATAAAAAGAAGTCAGAACAAGGAGCGGGGGTTTCTACTTCACTTTAGAAATGACCTCATTTAAGAGGTAGAAGGATGATGCGAAAAATGCAGAAAATGCAACTACTTCTTCTACTTCTTGTACTTATATATAAGACCTCCTGAGTAAGGCACTGGAAAAACCCCCTGCTAGGCACATTCATTCACTCACTTTCCCTCATATATCCTGGGTTAGTCTTATTTATTAGAAGGCAAAACCCCCTCACCCTCTAATATAGATCTTACCTCCCGCAGAACAACACCGCGACTGAAACCTGTGTGCCTCCGAACAACGTACGCATGTGTACCGAAGACCAGATTGATGCGATGTGTACTGCTGGGCAGCTGCGGTCGACTTCCACAGCAAAAGCCTGGGCAGATGCCAATGCATGCGTGCTTCCGGTTTACAGCTGTGGGTACTTGAATTAAGGCTCGGGGAATGAGAGTTTACATGCAGTCATCTGAAAGGCGCATTTGCAAGAAGGAAAATATGAGCACATAAAGAATAAGTCACCGGTTAGCTTTTTCCTCATAGCCAAGGTTTATCCCACAAAGCAAAATAAAAGCACCCATATGATTGATTTCTCAATTACAGACTTTCGTTACCCCTCACTCTTCTAATCAAACCGCTGCGTGTTTACAGCACAGTCGATTGATTCAACCTGCGTATCTGTTACTGTTACTCACACGGAAATTGTACGAACGACGATCTCGCTCACCGGTTCGCCCATGCTCTCTTCGGTACTAGCACTATTAATGAAGTAAGTATTAAGATTGACGGTGACAATGCGAGGGTCATAGTTTTTAAAGCTCCTGATCATGTGCGAGGGTTCTCCTTCTCAGTTGTCTAGGTGGAACAAAGCTCTGTAGCAGTCCTAGTTTTTTTTTAAGTGATTTCTTTTTGGCTCTTCAGCAGCCATCTGTCTACTAGTGATTCTTTGGTTGATCCTCCTCCCTCTTAGGGTTGAGGCAGCTGAAGCGTGGCCGAGGTTGAGGCAGCTGAAGCGTGGCCGGCTCGTTTGAGGCTTCAGGACTTCGCTATGCCGTCCCCGTGGACGATGGTAGAGTAGTGCGGAATCCAAGGCCTCCCTGTATTCCTTTGGTTCGTCGCGCAGATGAGGGGAGCCACCAATTCTCTCTTTCAGAGTTCCTTTCCCCACATTGTTTTACTCTGTCTTTATCTCGTTGGCTCACAGGTTCTACTCTTCTGTGGATCTTGTCACATCGATTCATCCTGCCGGTAGGTGCTATAAGCTTATCAGGGATGCACAGAATAGAATACTAGTGAAGCTGTAGACCAACGCCTAGCCTAAAACCGACTGCAATTTCATCAGGAGGGTTATTGGGAAGGCCGCATGCTGGCGGCTGCGGTATTGTTAGAACGCTGAAAACCTAGAAAGCTAGACCCTTGGGGGAGTCAAGGCGGAAACAGTTCTCGCTCTACCTGCGGAGGTTGGAGGCAGTCCACACAGCTGGGCGATTCTCCTGCAGTTCCAAAGTGTGCCGGTCCATGTCTATGAGTATCAGGCTACTTGCTACGCTAGGGGTCTCGGTGCTGAACTCGATCCCATTCGCTTCCCATCTTGATCCCCCTATTGGTGACCTTAGTGGTGTGAACTTCCTCATTGGCGTGTTTCTGATCCTGTGAGCCATGTGGTTCTTGATCATCCTTATCGTGACCAAGTGGCTACGATTCCAGTGATCTCATGACTGAGAACCTTGGGCCTTTTAATGTTGATCCATTCACTATCATTCTGCCCAACAGGTGCCCACTGCTGTGGAGGATGCGGCGAAAGAGGCGCTTTCTCTCGCGCTAGTCGCCACTGCCACCAGAGCTTTGCAATCGAATGACAATACAAAGGGTTTGCGTCCCAACGTGACGAGAGTTATGCTCAATCTAAATAGAAGTGAATCTTCTAAATATTAGTGCTCGCATTCATAAATAGAACTAAATACAGAACTAGATACCAAGAAACAAAAACAATTATCGAGTACTATCTGAGATTATTCCCTAGCATGCTCCGTTATCTCAGTTTTTCGAAAAGTCGCGTTAATGATGTTCTTTTCGCAGTATCTCCTCCAACTTCGGAGTCGTACTCTTTTGTTCTCATAGAAGCACATCTCGGCTCGGTACTCTTTTTTTCAATAAGGCAAAAGCCCACTCCTCAGACGTACTCTTTTGTGTCCATATAAGAATAGAAGGGCAAAAATGCATGTCATGGTAATCTTGCGTTCTCTAAGAAAGTCCAAGCTATTTATCCGGAAACCGGGAAAATGGTCCTCATCGGAGATGTTTCGATTCCCCTACGTCCGCATGAAAAACCTGGCTCCGCAGCTCTCACTTCCGTGAAAAACACGCTTGCAAGCGACATCTTTGGTTCTGGTTCGAGCAGTCAGTTGCAACAGTTGTTGCAGCCTCAGTTGGCGATGGAAGTTGCTAAGATCGGAGGGGCCCTGGCTGCGGCGGTTGATGTCAGTGCTTCGGGAGTGACAGTCTCTTCGCGGGATCTAGATTCTGGACCCGCATCGTCTTCCTCCACAAGCGACGACGACGACGACGACTTTCCCACTTGGGCGCTGATTGTTATCGTGGTCGGAGCGGGCCTGCTGGTGCTTGGTGGTGGAGTGGCTGCGGCGGTCATGATGTACACGAAGAAAGGAGTTAAGGCCTATGCAGTATACTCTAATTCTTGCGCAGTACTATTCAGTTGCACAGCATAACCATAAGTAGTAAAATCGATACTAGCCATTTAAAACATGAATTTTTTTACATCATGATAGATTGGTACAAACCTTTATTTGTGCCTTCGACCAACAACTCTTCCTCTAATATTCCTACGACCAGCAGCACACCCAGCGGTCAGACGATGGGCGGACAGGGTGAGAGTGGTAAGGCTGGTGCAGATCAAGGTCAAGATGGCGAGTCGTGGGATGGGGAGCCCAATGCTTTCGATACTGTTTCGGCACAAGTCAATCTTCCACGAGAGAAAACACCTACAACCAATGAAGCTGCCGATCCCAGCGCAGTTGTTGTGGATGTCGAAAATGCCAACCAAGGCGCTGATGCTGGCACAGAGTAAAAATGAGGGACAGCGTAAGAAATCGTCTGTATCTATTATTTTAACTTCTTGGGGTACAGCTTGGCGATAAAAACTGGTTTGTTTAGGGCTTAGGGCTTAGAGCTGTGCATGAAGTAGGCGTTTTTATTAATCTGTTTGCATGACTTGCACATCCAATTAAAGATGCTTTACGCCAAGAGTGGGTACATCAATCAATCAGTCAGTCAATTGCGGTTTGTTCTTTCAGATAGTCATTTGTACGATCTGGATGGGTGAACTAGTCCTCCTACTATTTTTACATCCACTACTTGTTTGATAGAATAAGATGAGGTCACGGTCGTGACCTGGTCTCCTTGATCCAAGATGCAGGTGATTTCTTGGCAAAAAAAGTGGAGACTTTTACTTTGTCTATCACATGTAAGACGAACAAATTGTAAGTGGTTGTAATTTTCTCCCAGCATAATTATAAAGTCTATACCGCATCATGAAGTCCATGATCGTAAGTAAGTACTATACAACGTATATAACCTTTGTTTACCACTGCAGTTCCGTAAAATGAAACTGAGCTTGATCAAATGCGGTCTAATAGAACTATACTCAGGCGTCGTTGTGTGGAAGTACGATCTTTTGCACTGTTCTCTCCGCTTCAACGTGACACAATCATGTGACGCCTGTTTGTATATGATCCGTATCAAGTTTTCTTTTTAGTAGGTCAACGCTTTTACAAGAGTTGGAAAGATGGAAAGCAAATTAAAAAAGTCGATTCCGCAGCTCATTTTTCACGTATTCATAATAGCAATACTGTATCAACGGCGGTATTCATCTTTGATATATTAGATTATCCTCCCTGCGCACAACGGATGCGATGTGCCGCTCGCGAACGAGTCTAATATTGATAAAAATGTAAAAATGTAAAATATTAGCTTACCCCCAGATTGGGCACACTAGTACTACTATTGATATCAACAACAGGGAAAAATTGCAGGGAAGTCTTAGGCAATCGATCCGCCGAATAGATTCACGTCGTCAATAATAGGTTGATACTATGTCCTGACCGATCGTTGTACAGGTTACTTAGCCCATGACTTCTGTGCAATATTGTCTCTTAGGTAGTCTTATGGGAGCTGCGACAGGGACACAAACACATGACACATGGCATGTCTTCACGTTGTGGGTGGTCGACGCTTCAATTAGGCTGTTCCTTGGCGATGTATCCTACATGATGCCTCGACGCCAAGGACGGTGACAAACATGAATTTCGGCTTCAAATCTTGAAATTCGTACAGAAACTCGAACAAGTGGGTCGGTAAAGTGGGTCGCTCAAGTTCTGTCCCCAAATCGAAACCCGACCTCAAGCCCCTTGCCAAACCCAACCCCAGACCTTAGCATCAACCACGAGAACTTCTAATTAGTCAGAAGCAGTTACAAACTCGCTCTTCGATCAAAACAGTTACGACTCACTAAAACTAATGATTACAACATTCTAGAGGGCTACATCCATCCTACAACAATCCTAGACTAATCCTCTCCTACAACAACAAAAAATGGGTCTAGCTTATAGTCGTATTTTCGAACGCATTGGGGATGCGAAGATCGTCGTCACAGGTCCGCCTCACGTTGGAAAGAAGACTCTGTTTTCCCGGCTCAACGTTGGTGAAAGCGAAGCTCTCTTCGAAGAACCGAGGAGTCAAGAGTATGAGGACTGGTTGTAGTAGGTGAGTCTTCACAAATCTTGAAGTCGAAACTGCCAATCTGCATTAGAATATACAACTTGACCACATTCACATAATTTGGCTCATAGTTACAGTACTCAAGAAAAGTAACCGGTTAGCTTTCCCTCAGAACCTAGGTCTATCCCACCAAGCAATAGTTACAGTACTAAAGAAGCAGTGGATAAAATTATCAACATGAAGAACCGGTAAATGAATGAATGAATGAAGAGCAGCACCACCTTAACCTTTCCTCTCATATCTGCGTTGCGCGAGGCTTTGCAATACGACATACTGTTGGGCGACCGATGTACTCTTTTGACCTGGATCGAAGGTCATGGGCTAAATATTAAGACGTTTTTTCTGCTCTATTTAACACCCATGTAGTTTGTTTCAAGAAGAAACATGGTCCGTCCAAAGACCATTGAAGGCGCATGCACCGGAACCTCTAAAAGTATGCACCGGAGATGCGAAAACACTATGGGGATGCTGACGGGATAATTTTTTTGGTGGATTCTACAAGCGATCGAGAAGACCTCATGGACACACGAGATCTCCTTCACCGATTACTCAAGGACCGTACTTTACTGGTGACTGTTATACTAATTTATTTCTTACACAGAAGATTAGTCTTTCAAGGATCATCCTCGTACTTGTTACACTTAAATTAGACTACAGACGTACTTACACCGAAGATTAGTCAACGACCTCCGCACGACTTTTCTTCAACATTAGTGTTCAAAAAGATAGAGAATACCAACAACCTTATCAACAGCTTTGGTCGCAGATAGTGTTATCCTCGTGTTGGCGAACAAGCAGGACGTGCCTGGCGCGCTGAGCGTCTCTTCACTGACGCGGGCTTTGTTTATGCTGTGGTTTGTCTTCTCTCTGAAAGTAAAACAAAAAGAAAATATTCGTATTAACTTTTTCCATGACCGAGTCAGGCAGTCGATTAGCAGAGTAACTCTCGAACTTCTTCCACGCACTCGAAAAAAACCACCTCTCTCTGAAACCACCTCTCGAAACAAACACGACGCCTCAAACATTCCTCACTCTTCTTCTAATTTTCCCCTGGAAGCCTTCAACCAGATGATCTGGCGTGTTGTGCCTACATCATGCGTGAATGAAGAAGGCGTGTACGAAGGGTTAGACTGGCTGTCGAGAACACTAGTGAAAAAAGCTGAAATTGCACAAATGCCACTAGGGGGATGAATCCTGATGCACGCCTTTTTAGCGCACAAATATGCAGCTTGGTGAGTAGAGCAATGGAGGGCATGATGCCAGAAACGGCCTCTTTGCGAGGACCCTCTTTGCTCCTTGCGCAAGCAGGGACGCTGTGAGAGCAACGTGAACAATAAAAGGCTGCTGCATGATCTTTTGCTGGAACACCACATCATCCCAGTCGCGCTGCTGGTTTTTATCCGGCACTCAAGCAGGGGTTAGTTAGGTGCCAACAAGGTGGCGTTCTTCGGGACCAAGACGGTCGTGCATTTATTACTGCGCATACAGGGAGGTGTACTACACAGTGCATTGACTTAAGCACTTGCATGCAAACTGATGATCACGTTCGTAGAACTGTATCTATGACCGAAGTGCAGAAAACAAAGGTCGTGGTCGAAAGAGCACGTTAACAACTGTTGTTATCAGTCTGTGAGTTCTATTCTAAATAATCCTGTATGGAGGACCGACGAGAGAGGCAAAGGAGGCCATGAGAGAGTGATGAGCAACAATAGACCACGTTTGAATGAAAAAACTTGTGTTAATGCAGGAACTCGTGCAAATATGACAACATGTTCTGCACTACGAGAGCTTTGCTGTTGCATAAGTGCGAATCTGTCCTCTACGAGGGTGCTGCATAGGTGCGAATCTGTCGTCTACGAGAGTTTACGTCCACAACCTACTTAGTTGGTATTTACACCATATAAATACTGGAAAGGGACGATTTCATCTTACTTCTTAGGATAGTGCTTTCTTCTCGTCCGAAGCCATATGGTCTAAGTTCTAGCAGTAAATGTCCAAGTTCCTTTTCTCGGTACTGTTAATTTTCAGGGAGGGTACTGTCTGTCAATGAATAACAGTTGCTGCTCTTAATTCTTAGATTATCTCTTCTAATAGATTAAGGTTTAGATTATCTAATATAAGAAGCTGGCGAACATTCTGAACCGCTGTCAGAACAGCAAACTTGCGGCTCATAAGCGTGGGCACATTTTGACCAGGATGAGCCACGTGGATTTTTTTCACCGTCACTTGCAGGCGATTCTCGGGAAGGAGAAGTGGCTGGATGACAAAGATCCGCAGCTGATTTTTACGCTGGTGGGCGCATAGATGGGAGGCCACATCGCGGCTCGCTATCAGCAGGCCGACCCTTGTACCTGACGCAACATCATACTCAACTGCGCCGCCGGGCACTGCGAGGGGCATCGGCTTGCTGGAATTGTGATCGGATCGACTTTGAGATATCTTGGCAGGGAAGCTACTCTCGTTCTACTTCCAGAGCAACATCTTGAGGTTGAAGGATCTGCGCGACATTTTGTTGGATAGCCATTATCTATGAACTCTGGACCGGGGTCCGGGAAGTCGATCATTACCTTCGCTACATGTTTGTGTGGACTGACAGTCTGCAGGTTCGTGCAAAGAGCGAAAAAGATGGGCAGGAGCGGGGCGTGAGAAGATTCGTTTGCAGCGAGATATGCTGCAGAAAATGATGCGCCATGGCCGAGATAGTATGGGTATTGTAGATGCGCGCCGGTCCTCCACAAACGCTGTTGACAACTCGATCCCCAGTAAGGAAACAAGCGGCCGTTTGGAGCAACAAACCAGTGGCAGAGGTTTGGAGCTGGAACAAGAAGCTGGTCTAGCCTCTGTTCAACAAGACGAGGAGCAGAAAGTAGATAGGGCTGAACTTGAGAAGGACGACTCGAAGATTGTTTCGAAGGCAGCAGTCGTGAGTGGGGCCACACGCAATGATGAGCAGCACGAGGAAAAAAAGATGAAGCGCATTGTGACTTTACAGAGAAAGGCAACGGCAGAGGACTTCGCCAGCAGTCTTTTTATCTGAGGAGCATATGGTGCGCCAGCCTGTGGGTGTGATGCAGTACACATGGCGCACTCACGACGCGATGTGTCTTGGGATCGAAGCCATGCACTTGGAGCGCTTTTGGTGGTGCTTGGGGGACCTGAAACCTGACAGAGATGTGGGCATGGTTGACACTTGGTCTCTTGTCTCAGCAATGAAGGACCGGTCTTCGTCGACCACTGAGGAGCAGCCTTCCACGCCAGTCATGAAAGCTTTCAAGCTGTTCTTATTCTTTCCTGTGTGGGAACAAATTTGGAAGAACCATCTTCGCCGAAAAAGCAGTCTCGAAGAAGTTCGATGGAACTACCCGACTTTGGAGACGTCGGAAATGTTGGATCTAGTAGGAAGTCGGAAAATTGGACCCGCTTGGCAAATGTCGCTATTCGTGATGATTAAGTTTGAAATCCTGATCCTCACATGCAGCGTAGTTGTAAAAGATTTACGGAACAATAAGAGCACGGTTCAGTGTAATTGTAAAAGATTTAAGAAACAATAAGAGCATGGAAATAAGAAACAATAATCACCTATTTTTTCCACCTACCTGTTCACTACGAACGGAGGCGTTTTGGAATTGACAATAGTGTAACTAGAACTTGGTGTCCATTTTCCGGCGGCCCCTTGCGTTTTCTGATCATCTGCAGAGCAGGGGACATATTGCAAACTGCTCCTATCATAAAGCGATAGACGCCAACTATAATTTTCCCGAGAACTGCTTCGGAATGGGCGCTGGGGTGAGTGTCATTAAACAGGTGGGAGCCCCGACTTTGATTGATTGAATTACGCGCCGGGCCCTTTTTCGCTTCTTAATGAATCAATTAAGGACTGCTCAGGGAATGCTTTTTCATCGTTCATCTTCGTATGGTGTATTTTTTCTTTTCGTATTTGTAAGTGCCTCCCGCACGTTTAATCCACGCGGAAAATACGCAGGCAGGTCTTGACTTATCGGGACTCGCTCGCACTACAAAAAAAGAAGCTCTACTTTATCTTATGAAGAATTGAGTCGAATAGTAGAATGCATAGAAATAAATGCCTCTACGCAAAGGACAGTAAGGCAAGTGGAGAGGGACCGCCATTGGCCTGGCTGAGCACTTGTTGTGGGAGTTGACATTTGTGTCGGCTTCCATTCTGTCGCTACGGCATATAGTCCTAACTCAAAAAAAGCAAAACTCTACGGTGTCTCTTCCTCCAGAGCGAGATCTGTTTGAGAGTTGAGATAATCACTAGTGGTCCTTAGGGAACGCCAGAGTGGTTCGCGAGCTTCCTCTGTCTTGCGCGATGTGACTGACGTTAGAGTTAAAGAGTTTATGCCTTTGCTTCAGTGGATGAGTAGACTTATGCAGCGTAATCAAAAGGGGTAGAGCGTCCCATCGTTCTCCCTCGCCGATCTTTTTATCTCCCGCCCGGTTGTGGCTATCAGGCATAAGGTAGCCCCTTTGGTCGGAGTTACCCCTCCACTTTTTTGCTTTTTGGTCTTTGTTTTTTTTTTATCGATCCTTTGTTTTTGGCGAAGTCCGACTGCAACATCATGTGACGGGAAAAAAAAAGAAACAGGATAAATCTCATCAATATGACTTTTTAGTAGCTTAACCGTAGCGGCAACTACTGCCACTCCCATTCTTTCACCAGGCCGCATTCATCACGGTTTTAGCTCCGCGCTGTAGATGACTGGTGAGGCATGTGACTTCACCGGTCGAGATCTCGCAAACATTATTTAACTCCGATCTCTGCGCTTAGGCTTAGCACAGGCTTGTTTTACTGATTTCGTGTTTGTTAGTTAGTTAATTTTTTAACCCTCAATGCATGTTTTAGGAGGTTCATCATTATATCAAACATCAGTGTTGCGGCGTGTCATACCCCTGCAGGTGTGCTGACTTGCTCATGGGGCCCCGCTGCGTCGGGTTGCGCCTTAGGTTTTCTACAGGGGCCGAATGTACGGCCTCTTCGATAGTTGTAGATTTGTGGCCGATTGTACGGTCTTATGCGCACCCAGTATGTAAGTTGGATGTTTTATATAGGTTAACTAATTGATTGAAAGGGTGGCAGCATATAGTCCTAACGCAAAAAAAAAAAAAAAAAACCTACGGTGGTCACGAATGATCATAACAGGCGCACACACATGACATGTCAAAGTAGCCACATAACCTTGAACATGGTAAAGCAAATTTAGAGAATTGAATAGGTTGTGTCTAAAATCTGTCCACCTTCAATCTACCAGCAGTTGTTTTTTTGTTAAAATATTTTTCGGGGTCGACCTCGACTGGAATTATTGTATTTGTTTTTCGATTCGATATTTGTCGTAGCTTCGATTCTTCAAGTTCTTTCATGACCTTTTTTTATCAAAACAACCCACAACAACGCACTGACACTTAGAAGAAGGTACTAATCCACGAAGTTTGCCGCTCGCCGCCTCAGAGACTTGATGGAAGTCCTCGCTACAATTTCACTCCATAGAAATACTGATCTTAGAAAGTCCTAGGCTCCTCGTATTATTGTATTTGTTTTTCGATTCGATATTTGTATTGTTGGCTGCTATTGTATTTGCGCAGCGAACAGTTGTATGACTAGTAAAGTATAGTACTTTTGTTTTTACTTGGGAGGATGTCATAAAATAGGTGCTGCTTTTCTTAGGTGTCAGTCACCATAATGAATAGCTGCTTGCAGGTCGGCGTTGAGCTACTGCTCGTCCACAACGCTGTGTACAACCCGGGCAACTACAAAAAGGTCGTCGAACTGCCAGTAAAAAAGGGACCGCCACAAATTGAACTCAAGAAGGTAACTACATGCACTGCAGGCATGACTCCAAATTGAACTCAAGGCATAACTAGATGCACTGCAGGCATAACTCTCAGTTCTTGCGGGCGGGTAGTCTGTGCCTTTATCAAGCTTCTCCAAGTTTGTCGACATCCCGAATCATTTGATCTTCTGCTAGTATGCATATTGTGCCTTGTTCTGTTTTTGAACATCGAAGCTGGAATCGATCTTGTCGTGTTTCTCCTCATTACTCAGTTTATCGAAATCTGTTTTTGGTGATTTTTGTTTTTCATCGGTCGTTCAGCTGTAATAAAGATCTCAACAGTTCACTACAGTTTTTTTATCCTACCTACTTGCCTTACCAAAGGATATCAACAAGAATCTTTGGTCATGCATTTCGATTTCCACCATTTTGTTTTTTCCAATCGGTGTTTTTCATGTTTTTGTTGGCTGGTTTTCTGACCCCACCCGCCCGTTGCGATTTCTGCCTGTACCCCATGAATGGGCTAAGTTGTAATACTACGTGCTACTGCTCCTGGCTTGATTCCACTCCTACTACCATTAAGGCTGCCGTCCGCTGAAGCACTCTCAGTATCATCCCTGGTCTCTTTTTCAAGGCACGACTGCTGTGACTCGGCCACGAGAGAAAAGAATAGGGATGCTTTCAGGGATGCGAACGAGGTAGCTCTAATAGTACTGGCTTGATTTTTTATCCATTTTTCACTGCATAGGTGTGTGTGTCTACACCAGAGAGCTAGATTCTGTTTGGATAGGTAAGGGAGCTTCTTGCAGTAACTTATCGATTCCCATGACTTAAATTTATTATCTCTTATGGTACTGAGCTAGGTGTCCGGGGGAGCTTGATTACTTGATGATTGATGGAAAATGCAACATGCAGTTAATTTCTTCCCTAGTAGCTCCTTCTATCTCCATTTATGATCTTCGTGAATGCTCAACACCTCTCTGTAGATGAATAGATTTCTTCATGATCTTTTTTCATGATCCTTCATCAAAGACCGTCTTGCAACTAATTAGAGATGCGACACCCCGCGAGTGGGTAGTACATCAATCAAGCAATCAATATGCCAACCAATGTCCTCGGTAAAGTTGTACATGGAGGAACGATTGAGTCATGCTGGCAAGGAAATAAGCGCTCACCCTCCAGTGCGATGCCACTGACTTTGAGGTGTATGCTTATGTCTTCTGATGTAGTCATCTGTCTTCAACATTTCTCTTCGCGTTCTTAGAAACTTGCAATTGTAATCCCGGAACGAGAAGAGCACTGACTGACCTGAGACCCACGACAACATGGACCCGAATTGTGAAATGAAAAGAGTGAAAATTGTAGGAAGAATAGGCAACATTACATCTACTTATGATATTGGATGAATATACGATCGCAGAAGACCCGTGGTACTTACCATACTGGGTACTTACTGTTTTTACCATAGCAGGCCTTCAACATGACGGCACTCAATTGTAGGCCAGTATCGAAGGAGGTCATTCAAGTTAAGGAGGTTGCTTATGTCTTAAGGCTTACTCAGTGTTCTTACTGGAGCAGAGAATGACGAGACTCCTTCGCCGTACTTACCATACTGGGTCTGGAGGCAGCAACCTCCTTCAACATGACGACACTCAACTGTTCTGAAAAAACTGAGTCGAAAGAGGACCGCTTTGAGAAATACAGGGACCCGACGTGAGTTGAAAAGATGTATATGTGCCATCTGAGAGCTGGTCGTGTCTATATGAGTGACGATTCTTCGGCGTAGTCTGTTACGAGAGAAGTGTCACACCATTCTGGGACGACTTGAAATCTTGAGGCCGAGGCCCTAGTGAGTGAATCTATGGGCTAGTGCCTCGTGTGCTGATCAGTATTCTGTTATGGGAAAGGAAGTGTACTAGACTTCAGCGCCCGGTAGCTCTCATCGCACTGGAATCCTCCACCCTCTGCACGGACTTCCCCCGCCATTGCGTGGCCCCGCTTGCCCGGCCCCTTCCCTGCGCGACAACTGTCTGGCGGAGTTGATCGGTGGAACAGCACGACAGCCGGGCCCCTGGCGGCCTGCGGCTATTGAAAAGACACGCCTGGAAGTGGTAGGCCTGGGGGCTTGTTGGTCTTCTGTTAGTTTTGGCATCTTCGCGGAAGGCTGAAGCGTTTAGCTTTCAAATGTTGAAAATTCGCCCACTTTGAAGAAATTGAAAAACTTTGCGCCCAGTTTTTTGTAAAATTCACTTTCTTCGTTGAAGTCAAAGCCTCTGCCATTTTCGTGCTCTCAGGTTTGGGCCTTCGGTTTTTGATATTGTCGCACGCTGCAGCGCGCGCTGTAGCGTTGTAGGCTTCAGGCTGAAGACTTGAAGCCCCAAGGCAATGGAAGGCTTTGGGCCCAATTCTTTTAGAATTTCTCTCCCTTTGATAAGGTCAAGAGCTTTGCGGCTTTCGCGCTTTCAAGTTTAGGGCTTCAGTTTAAAGCCTTTCAAGGTTCCAAATTTTCGAACTTTATCGCCAACAAAATAGATTTACGCGCCACATTTAGCATTTATCTCCCTTACCAAAAATTTTGTTATTTTCGTGGTTTCAAATTTAGGGCCTCAGTTTGAAATTTTGCAAAATCCCAAAACTTTTAACTTTATCGCCAACAGTAAAAATGTAAGCGCCAGGGTGGCGCGTTATAGGCTTCAGGCTGACGGGTGAAAGTTCATAAGCCCAGAAGCTCAGAAGTTCGGAATTTCTGAAGTTCACAAGCCCACAGTTTCTCAAGTTCTTGAGTTCGTGGGTTCAGAAGTTCGTGGGCTCCTAAGTTCATCAGTTTGGGGGTCGGAAGTGGAAGGGTGAGGATCTGGGGCTCGGAAATGGAAGAGTGAGAGTTTGGGGTTCGGAGGTGGAAGAGTGAAGCCCCGGGGCTCGGAAGTGGGGAGTGAGAGTTTGGGCGGTCGTTGTGAATTTTTTATCTAGCTCTTTAGTATTCTGCTATAAGAGCGGGAGAGGTGTTATAGACATTACGCAGTGCACAATGATCACTATTCGTCTGTCATGAGAGGGGTGTGCGCTGATCAGTATTCTGTAGTTATGAGAGAAGTTTGAAGTGCATCATTCTGTTGAAGGGTGCAAACTTGATGAAAGTTCAAGCTTGATAATTTATGGAGGCGTAAAGCTATAACACTTGATCACTAAGCTAAGGCACATCGATCTACTTCACTAGGTAAAAAGCGTGTATGACGAAAGTGTGTGTCTCTGAATTGCCGCAGCCTATCTCTCTCTTTCTCTCCCTCTCTCTTTCTCTCCCTCTCTCGTTTTCGTTTCTAGTAAACGATACGTTATAGTCAATCAAGCAGTCACTAATTATCAATCAAAAGCAGTCAATCAATCAGTCAATCAACCAATCGCACTCATTCAGCCAAGGTGAAGTAGCCAGCTAAGGTCTTGGGCGAATTTTTTTGAAAGATGATGCCAAAAGTGTTAAAAATTGCTATGGCCGCCCTCTTGAAAAGCGGCGCCGGGTTGAACCTGAAGATGCAACCCCCCACTTTATCCCACGTTTTTCAACATCGGGCCAGCCTTCCTACGGAAGTGTCTTGTAAGGATTTTTATCACGTCGCGGACCAGGCCTTTGTTAAGGCGAGCAGCATGCTCCATGATGCAAGAGCCTACGAGGAAAACGAGCATGTCAAAGATCTCTACAACGCGATTACGAATCTACCGAGCCTTCACTACGAGCTCCCAAGCTTTTGTTAAGGCTCACGACAGTAATTCCTTCGTCAGGCATATGTTGATCTTGATCTTAGGCCGGCAGCTGCCGAATAGTAGACTCGAGTCATCAGCTCACCTTCATGGAATGAAGAAGACCGGCCCTCTCTGTTTCCACCTTAACCCCCCCTCCTCTCCTCTCTTGTAGGATATGAATTGAGGTGAGCTCTAATTTTGCGCGGCGAGTCAAATGAAGGTCCGAGTTGGGGCAATGATCAATACAGACGATGCATTGAAGGAGATCTCTGGTTTGTTCTCGCTGTATGGCGCGCGCAATGCGTCTGAAGAGGAAGTCAAGAAGGCGGTGCTACAGTTGCTCATTGAAGCAGCGTCCGATACCGCCCAAGGTAGGGCCGCATGGGGAAAGGATAAGGGCGACAAGTTGCGCGCTGTGTGCTGCACGACTGACACCGGATCCGGCTCGAATACTGCTCGTCGAGCCTCCTCTACGGCAGGTTCCAGTACCCGTTCGGGGAGCCAGTCTGCACCGCGTGCCTCCTCTACGACTGCTCCATCGACGCGTACCTCCTCTGCGACTGCTCCATCTAATAAGGGCCAACAGCAGGAGGAGAGTGGGTGCTGCTGATAGAGGAGAGTTGTGAAAAAGAGTGTTGGAAGGTCATAGTTCATGATGTTGATGGGTTACGGGATCCAGGAGTAAGTATACAACTATAGAAATCGGCTACCATGAATGTGTGAAGATGATTAATATGGGAAATGATCATTATTTAGGTGGATGTGGATAGTGTACGAAGAGAGAGCATAGACGAACTGTATTATAAGAATGAAAGCAGATGACTAGTAGTAGGGTGATTAGTTGTAGTGATACTACTGCTACTAGAAAGTCTCATATATGTATAATTTGAAATTGGTTTTTTTTGATCGGGGGCTCCGAGGTCGGGCTGCTGTAGTTGAGGAGCTGCTGTAGTTGAGGATAACAATCACAGCAGCATCTTCGTCTTTGTGCGGGATCCCTAAGAAAGTGTCAAATTAGCTCAAAGAACTAACGAGGGTTACGAAGTGAATGAATGACTGAGTTTTTGAGTCTAATTTCTGACTAAGTGATGTTATTCTTTGCAGCTAATTGACTCGACAGTGACACTATTATTTGCAATATTTAAAGTGAAAAAGTGCGTAGTGCGAAAGATGAAGCTTCAGTGTTGATATTTGATTGAAATAATAATAAGGGAAAGTATACGTCGTCGTTTACCGTCTAGGAGTTTTATTGTGTTATAAATGTTCAGGATCAGGGAAAATGAGAACTAAGCAATGTAGTGCTATGAACGAAAAACAGAACTAAAATGTGTACTTCCTTGGGATAGAAAGATGGAATGTGAAAGTGATAGAAATAGGTAAACGATCTCTCTCAACAAGATTGTAAAAATTTTCCAAAAAAATATTGTAGGCGGGAAACGGCGAGGAAGGGTAGTTCAAGGTTGTAAGTAGTATGTAGGGAGCGCGCACACATGGCAAAGGCGAACTTCGTAGACTACGTCCAGCAGGAGATACGAGGCTCGCGAGACGAATTGAATTAAAGGCTAGCACATGTAGGGAACGCGCACAATCTACATACTTTTTGCTCGCGCTGGTAAATGCTGACAGATGTAGGGAACGCGCACGCATATTCTCGCATATGTAGTAAAAAAAGCAGACTAGTGTCGAGCTAGCTTTCAATTGCGTGGGTGGCAACGTCGAATCTGTTGAACCAGAACAGCGAGTCAGGGTATAGGCAATGCGGATGAGCATCCGCCCTGAGTCCCCACGAGATTATCGTATTACTTACAAACCTGAAGACTAAGCTGGAGAAGTCCGAGTACCGACCGCAAAATCAAAAAAACACGTAGGGGGCGCAGGCAAAGCGCGACGCCCTCTAGAAGCAGTCAGCCCGCACGGGTGTGTGTGTGCGTGTGTTCGCTCCGCTCATTTTCAAGAGAAAGCGGATTAGCATGGCAGTGCTCACTGATGTACATCGTCTTCAGTCATCGAGCTTTCATCTTCATCGCGGTCTCGTACCTTGTGAAGAGGTGTGCTGTCTGTCTACCTTGTGAAGAGGTGTTCTGGAGAGGTGTGTTGGCTATCGTCGTGGAGAAGTACTGTAATTTGTGCAACATTTTGTACTTCATCGGCGTGGTCTACTCGGAGAATTCTTCATTTCTGAGAAATTGATCCATCGTTGGTCCTCTGAGAGAGGAGTCTAATATCAAATAAAGATAGGATATCTGTCACATCGTATCTATCGTTGAGAGGCATTCAGGATGAGGACGCTTGAAATCGCATTGTTTGATGAGAGACCGAGACTCTAGAAATGAGTATCATTTTCTCCTTCATGATGACGGTATAGGCTTAACCTGTGGAAGGTGATGCAAGTACTAATATCCTATCTTATCGGGACGTTACCCTCTTGCTCTTCAGTCTATCTGTGTGATGACGTGTTGGACGAATGGTTCTCTCTCTCTCTGTTAGTCTTGTCTTCCTCTTTCTGTCTTCGCGAGCGATCCTCTATACGAGATCGTCAATTCGATCTTTCCATAGGGTGTTTCCACGTGCTTTATTTAACCAATTCTTGAATGCTCCCACGTTGTTTGAAGATGTAGCCAAACACCCCAGGACAAGATAGAGCTCACGCCTCTGCTTATAAGTCAAATTTTTTTTTTGAATACTCAATGGATGAGATATTAGCTGAACTGGTTAAAGAGGTGTTAAACCGAGTTTATGACGACATCAAGTTGCTAGTCACTCTTTTTTGATTCCTTAAGGAACCGAGTTTATGAGAATATCAACTTGCTAGTTGCTCTTTAATAACCGAGTTTATGAGGATATCATGTTGTTGATGGCTCTGTAAATGATTCCATAAGGCAGATTAAGACTAGGAAGTGGGGCGTCAAAATTTTTTGTACCAAGTCAACAAATTTCTAAGAAATTGAAATTGTTTCCTGTATCTTCCTCTGCAGTCTACACAATGAATTAGACTGTTACAACATCAACATTAACATCTACTCATGAAAGGCACTGCAAACACCTCCTGCTAGGCACAGTCATTTAAAATGGATCCTTTATTGAGTCCGGTGCCACAGAGCACGGAGAGTTTTTCTCCGGACAGAAGTCCACCTTTGAGTCCAGGCGACCGAGCATCCGAAGTATCTCACGACGACACATTTGTACCGCAGAAACTCAAGCCGGAACAGATAAAAGGGTTGATAAATCAATCGCTGGGTGACGTGGCAAACCAGTTCGAGGAAAGAACTTTTCCAAAACCTTTTCGTATTTAGATTTACTGTTTCTTGATAACCCAAGGCTGTTAGTGTTTTGATAAGCCAACGCTGCAGATAAACCTAAACTAACCACGTGTATGGTCTGAATGGGTTTGTACTTTGTGAGATACGCAGCTACTTCTTCGGGTCGAAATAGCACGTGAGAATGTTGCATTGCCAAGGACAAACCGACTGCTCCATCAAAATCCCCAGGTCAGCGAGACAAGAAGCAGGAGATAAATAACTATGCGGGTGCCGGTATAATACCATGTACACTCGTAGACGGAAAACTGCATGTGTTGTTGCAGCAGCCAAAACATGGGAAGAAATCAGGTGTTAGGTGGTACGACTTCGGAGGCAAGAAGAAGGATAACACGGAACTACCTGTGGAGTGTGGTATTTTTAGATTAGTGATAGTGTGCTCTGTATGTTTACTTTTGCAATTATGTTTTATCAGAATCTTAAATCATGTGCTGGGTTACATAAGTAATTTTGTTGGACCACAAGAGCACAGGCCTCCGAGCAAGGTTCGTTTCTCAGTGGAAACGCGATGTCTGAATTTTGAACGCAAGCAAGTCTCAGTATGCCTGCCTGTGGCTTATGATCACTGGCTGGCGTAGTCCCTGTTTGGTTCATTGGGTAAGATGAGCCATTCATCATCAACATAAGCACGTCAGAAGGGATCGGACTGAACGTGCATCATACGACTAGGATCAGGATAACCGTGCCTAGTCTATCCATTGATCACTATGATTGTGCATTGGAAGTAGCATTCATGATCATTGACATTCGTGTCCTTTGAGATCATCCCGATGACAGTCGAGCACGAGGCTTAGGGTGAGCCACTGAGAACAGAACAACACGGCATCCGAGAGGCTTGAGCCATACATGACCAACATATTTACAAATACAATGCTAGATGTGGGCAATTCTTGCTCGCAACTTCTTAGCTTCCGAAACACCTCTTTCAATGAAGGATAGTTCTATTCTTGATCGCAACTTCTTAGTTTCCAAAACACCTCTTTCAATGAAGGATAATTCTTGATCGCAACTTCTTAGTTTCCGAAGCACCTCTTTCAATGACACCATCCTACCTTCGAAAAGACCTCTCCCTCCGATACCACAGCATGCCGTAAATTTACGAAGTATACGTATGGTCTCTTTTCGATTGAGACAGATTGGAGCTCACCTTCCGTGATGGACGAGCTGTCCGAAATCTACTCGAGAACGACGACTTGGCCTTTGCTTCTCAAAAGTGGAACCGAGTGGTGCAAGACATGGCTATTGGAGAGTGGTATTCACACTAGCATTTATTAATACTTTATGAAATTACAATTTGAATTTTTGTTACTGCACGACGACATGGCTATGGGAAAGTGGTATTCAAAGATAGATCCTTTTAGAATCTGGAGTGCAGAATCTGGAGTGCTGCAATAAAGGAGCAAGTATACTAGGTATGGTCGATCTTAGGCATCTTGCCGAATAGATTCAAGTCATCATACTAGGTATGGTCGATAGAAGAAATATCATACCCCAGGGTCGTTCAATATTTTCCCCTATTTACTTGCTCCTAATGATGAATGATTTAGTCAAGCAGGTTCAAAACCCGCCCACTCCCTAGTACAACCTCTACTCCCGCGTCCTCCAACAAAAACAGATGGCATTCCGTTCTACAATGCGGGTCAGTCATATCATGTATACCTGATGCCGGTTCCGTTTTTGGCGGCGGACGTCTTTTGCGAAGTGGGAGCTACTATGGATGACAGCAAAAGGGAGTTCCAGTGGGTTCCACATGACATCTTCATGGCAGGACCATTGGCGTGTACTTAATCGTTGTTTTTTGTTTTTTTGCTGCATATTAGAATTCTGGGTTGTTTTTTTGTGAGAATGTTTTCAGTAGTTCTTGTGCTACTACTACTGTACTTACTGAGGAAGATTGTCGATTCATTGTTTACCAAAAAGAACAAGAACAATCTGCTCTCATCTCTTCTTTCTATTTATTCCTAATCCAAATCGGAATCCTAATGATTGCATATGTTCAAACCTCACACAGCACGGATACATACACGGGCGCTTTTCCAGCAGCTCACCGGTCTCGAGTCGACGAAACTAGTAGCGAATTTCTCCAGAGTTGCTGATCGTACACGGCCGAATACCTTCGAGGTTCTATCCGCAGGCTAAGGAGGACGACGAGATAGATCATTAGCCTCTGAAATTAAAAACGACTTTTTTTCTATTCTCTGCAGTGCAAGCAAGATGGTGGAAATATGATTAACTCCCTGTTTATGATAGATACCTTTGTCAGATCAATCCAAAAAAAGAAATCAATGTAGCTTCTCTTCTTCAAACAAGAAACTCAAACTCAAAGATGTAGCGTAAAAATCGACAAGCGTACAACTCAAAAATGTAGCGTAAAAATCAACGTGTTTGTAGCGTATAACGTGCATGTAGTGCTGTGACAGGGAGAGCACGACCGGGGAGACGCACACTAAACAGTCATGACTGTACTAGCACTCGGGTCGCAAAAACAACATGGGTCTGAAGAGACGCTAGAAGACATCATGTACATTATGATTTGTTGGCTGAAGGTCGCATACACATGATTTCAGAATTTTCTGCATAGGTTGCAACATGTCATAAAAACTTCGTAGGCTGAGCTGTGCTGGAAATCAGCTCCTATGCTTTCACGTTCTGTGGAAAGAAACTATGAACATCGCGAAGCGAGTATCAGCTTTCCTTTTTCCTCTATCATTTTTCTCTTCTCTCTCTTCCTCTGGAAATCCGTACAACGCCACACTATTCGGTTAATAGTGTCGGTCGGATGCAGCTGTGATCTCCATCCCGCTCCATGATCGTCGGTTAGTAGTATCGGTCGGCTGCAGCTGTGACTTCCATCCCGCTCCATGATCAACCCTAGTACAACTACTCAGCCTTACTACTCAGCCTTACTACTAGAGTAGAACAAGCAGCAATTGTGAGCATGAGGTAACACTGGCATTGAAGACTACTATGTTGTTGCCGGCACAGTGTTGGAATTGGATCGTCGCTTCGGTAGTCGAGGAGTACTACTAGGGATGGGAATCAATATCAAAGGCTACGACTTCGTCACCGACTTTTCCTAACGTCAACGTGGTAAGCAAAAGACTTACATATTTGGAACTTGAATGATCAATATTGCAGAACCTTCATGTCCTATTCGTTCACAACACAAGTCGCAAAATGGAGCCTTTATTAGCCACCGTTCCGAAGCGAGGATCATTGGGAACAGTGCCGAGTGTCATTCTGCCTGCTGCACGAGATCGGCCTTATATTTGCGCACCAGTAACAGAAATAACTGGAAAGCAGGAAATTTCCGTACCTGGCGTAAAAAACGTGCTTTCTGATTTAGAGCTACCAGATACCGTGTCGCCGAACCGCTCTCAACCCTTTCTCTGTCTGCCGATGGTGAAGCAGAGCAGTGTTGGTGGAGTTGCGCTGGTTGTAGAAGGATTAATAGGAGGGCTTCAGGGAAGTATAGATGGATCTCTTATGGCATTTTTAGTGGGTGGGGTACATGAACTTCATAGAAGCAGACCTCCAGAAGTCAAACAGATGATGCTAAGAAATATACCCAGGACACGGCACGCGATATCAGATAGGACAATAACTACAGATGAGTTCTTATGATGTCAAAGTCCTAGGAGTAGTACCAGTTTACGACGATGATGCTGGTGGCAGGTTCCTTGGACGGAGGCGCGTTGCTCCTTGGGCACCGCGTATGGATGTTCACCCGCGCGGCAGATGTTCATCAACCACGACAGGACTACTTCGTCTAGTTCTTACCTACTGTGCTGACGAGGATGACAAATTGGAAATTTTTTGGAGTTTGATTTCAAAAATGAGACGAGCAGTCATTTGTAGTGAGAGACCGGAATACGAGTGATATATTAGGTATTCTTTGGTTTGTGATAAGTGAACATGACTGAAAGACCTCACATCCACTTGACCACGTGGTAAACGAGGGCACATGACATGACATGAACGCCTCAACCACTAAGCCAACTGCGCAGTTGGCTTAGTGGTTGCCAGATGAATGTAAGCCCTTCTTTCAAATCACATTGGCTGTGATGCAGAGATCATAGAGACAGAAATGCTACAACATTGGTAATCGCATCAGAGAAGTTAGAAACTAGCCTCCACTGATTCTTCAAAATGCTTGCTCCCTTATCTCTTGGTCTAGGCAAGCCAGCAGCGGCTGAAGATGTTGGCAGACGTGGAGATTTCAAGGTCATTTGCGTCTTAGGTTCAGGCGGCTTCGGTACGGTGAAGTTGGTCCACGCAAAAGATGATGAGACAGAACTCTACGCGATGAAAGTCATCGACAAACGACATTTGTACTTTTATAGATTTTAGTGGTAGCCTGTTCTTTAGCGTTATCATGCAAGCCTAGCCAAGTTGTACTCGGAACAAAAAAGAAGTACGAGAAGTGATTCGACTTTCCATTCAACGTGCACCCTGTCCCTCTATCCCAAAGAAATTAACTTTTTCTTTTCACAGACACCGCTAAACCAAATCCTCAGAATCGAACACCAGCTCTTGGACCCAAATATTAAGCGACTGGTGGAGACCGAGAGGGAACTCGCAGCTGAGTTTGGAGCGGAGAAAGAACCGCATCCGTTTATCGTGCAACTCCACGAGGCCTTCCAGACCAAAGAGAAGCTCTATGTACGCGCTTGTTGTAATAGTCGTATTGTTGATGTTCTACTAAGTAAGTGTATTTACTAGAGTTGACTTCTAAGTAAGTGTATTTACTAGTGGTGACTTCGACTTCCCAATGGTATATCTTCACGCAGTACGAGTGAAAAACACCTTATCGCTTCTATTGATAAAAACTAGTTCTCTACCTCGTACGAGATTGATATACTCCTTCCCTGCTCCCAACCCACTTTCATCCCTCTACGTATACGAGTACTTGAACGGTGGGGAGTTGTTTGACCTAGTCAGGGTGTTGAAGCGCTTCAACGTGACGCAGTTTGGGTTCTATGCGACTGAAGTTGTCGAAGCTCTCAGCTTCCTCCACGAAAAGGGCATTTTGCATCGCGACGTCAAGCTAGAGAATGTTCTTTTGTCCGCAGATGGACACGTGAAGCTGTGCGATTTCGGATGCGCGAAGTTCTTCAATTAAGGACAGTTCTAGATATAGTCTTTCCACATCATCCACTTGTAGTATTTTTCTTCTTGTGAACTTGTAGTATTCTGACTTTCTTGTGGGAAGTCACAGAGATCCTTCTAGAATCCTTTTGAGGCAATTCGGATTTTGTCAAGTTACTCTGACGCAACAACACCAGCGCCGCTAATTCGCGAAAGAATTCGTAGCTCCAGCTTCTCAGTCGTCGGCAACGGAGGATGAACCGATTCCCGTTGGGCGAACAAACACAATGTTGGTGGTTTCCAGAAAATCACTCATGTCACCAGAGTACTACGATGCAGGCGTCTACGGGGTAGAATTGGACACATGGCAGCTTGGACTCATGTTCTACACAATGCTACAAGGTACTTTTAGTCATGTCCTGCTCCAGGATGCCGCATAGATACATAGGGACATCTTTGTTCTTACAGTTAGAGAAATTCAAATTTGAATATTTTCTAGTACCTTTTGTACTGTAACAAACATACAACAATGAATTTTACATGCATCTTCTATCTAGTAAATGCATACGAAAAAATCAATTATCTGCCAGGTCGAAGCATCGACCTCTATTCGCCGGACCTTGAAAGGCCGATCGACGTTTCCGATGTGAATGCGAGAAGTGGCGACGCCTCTCTCGAAGAGATTTCTAAGTTATGAGTTTCTACGCCTAATCGTCCTTGAGAATGCAAAAGAGGCATCATCTGAATGGAGGCACCCAAGAAACCTAGTAATCCCAATTGAAGAGACTAATACCCTAAGAGAGAAAGCTCAAGCTCTTTCTTCCTCTAACCCATCAAGAATCCATCTCAAGTCTTGTGAACGATTTACTCAACGTGAATTACAAGTCGCGGTTGGGGCATCCACTTGGTGGGAGTTCGGTTAAGGAGCATCCCTTTTTTGACGATGTGGATTGGGCAAAAGTACGGGAAAAAAGTTGGGCGATGCCGCCAGAACTGGATGAAGCAGCTGTCGAAAGGATAGCAAGTACACTGCTAAATGGTGCGTTTTTATATACTTGATTCTAGTTTTAGTAGTTGTTGATTTAGTTCTAGTAGTTGTAGTGCACCGCTAAGTAGTGCTATTTGTATTTTTTGATACCGTCGAATCAATGAATGATTGCGCTGCACTGCAATTCATTCTTTGCGTGGAGAATTGCAGTGCAGTTTGTGAAGTTGCTCACTTGGCTACCAAGATGGGTTGAGTCCGGATCGCATCAACACAACAGGTTTCCACAACGATTGGGGACGTGACTCGACACAAGTCGCTTTAAGCACTGACCTCTTTCCAGTAGAGGGCTTTTCGTTTGGCGAGGGACCACAATTGAGTCACACCCTCCAGTCAGTGGCGAAGTCTATGTCGATGACACGACAGAAATCCATACGCGATCCACATCCACGGCGAAAAAGCATACGCGAAGATCCTGGGGCGCCAAGAGGGGGCATGGATGAGGACCTCCTCACGGAAGGGCAGGAAGAGGATAGTGATTGTTACGGAACAACTTGTTAGCTTGCCTTTTTCCGTGACAATCACTATCCTCTTCCTGCTTCCGTAACTGAACCTCAATAACAACATCAGTAATATGTTTTTCAGGGAATTTTCGATCAAGGAACACCTATGACTAAACTAGTATATATACGTCCTGTCTCTCGCGCTGTGCACTAGGAAGAGGAAGAACTGGGCGGGTCTACTCGCTACTGCATCCCCTGTCGGCTACGACGTCGAGTCTACCCTGGTCATCCTGTGTACAGTGTGTGGCTAGTGAGTACCACCGTTCATCCTGTGTACGTGTTGTGTACAGTACGTGTTGTAGAACAGTTTATAAGGTTTCCGGGGGCCGGTTGGCATGGCACGAATGGAACGGTTGGAACGAATGGCAGGCATCCAATCCGGGGCTTCAATGTGCTCCGCCATAAGTACCTGCACTTTTTGGCTTCGTTGGGTTGTTCCAACCGTGTCATTCGTGCCAACCGTGCCAACCGCCATTGTGTTCGGGCAGGAAGAGGATAGTGATTGTTACGCCTTCAAACAATATTTATGGGCGAACTACAAATACCTGCTAGAAAATATGGAGAGTCTGCTCACCACCTCTAAGATTCCGACAGCACCGCGGCTCCGGAAGCAAAGGTACAGAAGAAATCCGACGGAGCACATCCAACCCTGTTGGAAAAAACACCTGCCACAAAGAGTCTACAGAGTCACCCTGATGACGCCGCGACACCTGAGAAACCATAGAGATTATTTGAATGAGTTTAAGCAAGTATATTTTGTAGTGATGCATCATAGAATTAGAATCATCATCTGACAGACTCTTGTAACGACGCGGTAAAGTTGTGCCGTGCCTTGGGAGTCAGTCTAGACTTTGCATTTTTCTTTTGTGCTTTTAGCTAAAAGGAACTACCAGTGGAGCTTCACTTTATTTGACCTTGCATGCACTAACGCTGCTAACCAATGGTACGTCCTAAGTAAAATAGAACGTAGAAAATATGCTTACAAGCGGTACAAAAAGAGAGAAACGCCATTGAATCTAAGAAGTACAGAGAAATTCTGGAGTACATGGAGATTTCGGCTCCAATGATGTTGTCAGATGAACCAAAGAAAAAAAACTTTTGTTAGTCCCCAGTGGCAGTGGAGCACTTGTTGTTCGTCATGATTGATATCTACTGAGAGGAGCCTACAACTTCTTCAGAGTGGCAGAGCGCATCCACATCATGGATTTGAAATGCCATGAAATATGTTCCTTTTCATGACTTAAGATCGCATTCTGTGTTGAGCACGAGTTCTTGTCTCCATGATCAAAAAACGCGAAAGTTTGAGTCTGTGACCACGAGTCCTTTCTACCCCTGCTGTGCGCAGTACGAGTTTCAATATCATCAATCGACGAGTTTTCAATACGCATTTCTGTTCCCCAAAATTCTGCTTCTGTCGAGAGAGTGAGGAAGAGAGACTGTACTAGAAGATACCGTTGTTCAGCTGCAATTGAAAACACAATGGAGTGTGTCTGTCATGAGTTCCTCAGAACAAGTCTGAGTCACAAATTTAGAGAGAAACTCTGAGGCTCTACTTGATCAAATCTGTGTACGACATGTTTCACTGAGCGGATCATCTCACTCACTCGAGTTCTAGTATTATGAAAATATTTATAAGGATGATCATGTGCACCGACCCTCGGTCATATGCACCCTCGAGGATCATATGAGGTTCTTCTTCTCCAGAGTTGTGGAGATAGAAGAGATACAACGTAGGCATAGATGAAGATCGTATGCACCCCTCCACCAAAACGCAGTCAACTACGTCACACAAAGAGTGAATCTCGAAAGAGACACAATCCAAGGAGCCTTTAGACGCTTTACAAGGATTGCCTAAGGAGTTCTAGGGAGTAACTAATTTGGTCCTTTTTTAAGTTTAGTTCTCGTCTTTTTCTGAGTTTTCTTCTTGTTGTGGATGGTTGGCTAGCGGTTCATTTTCTTCACTCAATCATTTCTTTTCAGCCCGGGTGGGGCTACATCAATCAAAGCCGTCTACTGGGACCGAGATACGAGTAGGTGCATATTACTCAACATACTTAGGTCAGTCCCAGATAGTCGTGGTGGCGTAAGTAGCTCTAGGTCTAGGTAGAAATAGAATAGACGTAGTGTAGCCATACAACGGGCGCATATCTCGGTTGTATGAGTATCTCTAACATCGGTGTATAATTGCAGAAACTTGAGCGCATCTAAGTACTTTAATAAAGAATTATTTACTCACCTAGTTGGTTCCTAAAAGGTTGTGAGTTGTGTGGAGGTCGTTTTAGCAGATTGCTCAACAGTAGTTCTTCACTTTTCCTTCCATTGGTCTTGGTATAGTGAAATAGTAGAAGGACAACGAATCTAGTAAGTAGTCGTCCTATCGAACATCTTTAAAGTAGAAAAATAAGTCTAACAGCTTGAACATTGGACTTGACTTTACAATAATATTGAAAGAATATTCTTCACTTCTTCTATCGCTTCTATCTTGCAATAAACTAAAGGAAGAACGGACCACAAAATTCCACCAAAAATAGTTGACGCAATGTCATCTCGTGGCAAGAAGAATCGAAGCCGGAACGAGGCAGAGCTAATCGAGAACGCGATTCTTGTGGAAGCTCGCTTGAAGTTCGAGACTGAATTGCACGATGAACGCGCGTCCTTACAAACTCGCCTTGAACAGCGCGAAAAAGAAATCTCGGATGTACTTCTTTGTTTTTTCTTTGCTCCTCATCCTTCAATTGGTTAACGATGAAGACCATGTGATGTCCTTATTTCCAAGGCTTTCCATCCATATCATTTTTTACCTTTCCATCCGTATCTCCAAACACTTCCACCACAGGCTTTCTGCGAACAGCTGGAGCAAGAGCGCAAATCACTAGAAGAATCGAATGCCAAAGCTGCTCAGGAAGCAGAGCGTGTATTCCGTCAGCGCGAACAAGATTTACTTGAAGCTGTCAATAGAGAGCGAAACCGCTTGTCAGCTGAAAAGTTAAGATTCATTTGGTATTGTATTTTTCAGTGGTTATTATATATTAATATTCCTTGGTGTCTTGTTCCTTTTATGATTCATATCTACTTGACTTAGCTAGCCTTTCTGCCAGAATAGCAGGCTAAGTCAAGTCCAATCTACGGCTAGTTTTGGATATCTGTGGGTAACACACCCCGCACAAGAATCCAACTTCGTCTTGAACCGCGAGACGTTTTCAAAAGTCTGATCTGTTTGAATGACACGTATCCAGCACCCACTCTTGGACCATGCTTGTACTATCTATACCCATACTAGTTGTTCTAATTTTCGATGCGATCGAACGCGAGCGGAAGGAGAGCAAGCTGAAATCGAAGGCAGAGGCGAACAAGATTGCAGAAGAGGAGATGAAGAAGCTGAAGAAGCAGGAAAAGGCTTTGGAGGAGTTTAAACGTGGTGAAGAAAAACGTTTCAGACGCAAGATTGAGATGGAAAAGGAAAACCTGAAGAAAGAATGCAACTTCAAGCTACAGCAGGAAAAGAAAAAGTTCCAAGACAAGTTACAACTGAAGGAGAAACAGTTGGCGCAGAAGAAGGTAATATTTCAGCGACGTAGTGATTTTTCGTGTAATATGTGTCCTACAGCAACAAATGTGATTCTGCTGTGATCTTCTCCTCTGAGAAGACGTAGTTGTAGAAGACTCGTCATTTCCTTGTGGCTACTAGAAGCATGGGTTTCATAGTGTTTTCAGAGTGAGGCCATCATACTTGTACTTCTACTCCCACATCAACAACATGACCACCTTCATTACCCCTCCCACGAGCACGACAACACCATTTTCCTTTCCACTCTTCGCTAATCAGGACCTAGAACTCGCTGATATTCGAACTTTGACGGAGCAACATCTGTCCGAGATCCGCCAGCAGTTAGGCAAAGAAAAGGACGAATTCCAAAAACGCATGCGCGATCAGTTGGAGGACGAATACAAGTTTGAGCTGGAGAAACTGAACCTCCAACGCAAAAAGGACCGTGAGGAACCTGGTTGGGTCTTGGTCGGCGGAACACAGAACGTGATGCTGGTGGAAGTGTGAGAGATGGGTTCCTTACCTTTGTTTTTGTAGATACTAGGTATAAAAATTTGACACTGATAGAAATAGGTTCGTTTTTAGCTATGAAACTACTGTTTTTGAGACATCTTTAAGTGGGCAGTCTGTGGACTTCTTACTGTGTTGATAAAATCAGTCACATTCATCTTGATGCAGAGTAGAATGATTTCTAGAACTAAAACGACCTATATGTCAACAAGATCACATAAATTCTAAGAACAAGAAGTTTTCGATGGTTCGATTTAATGAAAGAGATAAGGCACTCTCCATTCATTGGCGACGAAGTAGATATTTAGATCTTCGTCAACTTGAGCAGCTAACCTGCAAGGAGATGATCGTCGATGTGCCACGCTTCATGGGATGGCGCAACAAGTGTTGTTATGAAAACGGGCGGCTGGAGAAGATATGATTGATGAAAACTAGTTTTAAGGGGTGGAAAAATGCTTCTTTCTATCTTGGGGAGAATTTTTAAGTAAAGTAGAAGTACGAATAGTTGTGGCTGTACAAAAATGTTTCGTGCTGTTTTTGGCAGTTTTGTTTTGTTGTTAAAATTGTATTTCTGGTGAGGGTCTTCAACATCAGAAGTTTGAAGAAGTGATATTGGTAATAATATCTTGGGGAGCGCTGTGATGTCGCCTTTTTTGAGTTCTATAATTCTGGGGTGGTGTAGTGTGGAGCATAAGCACCAAGTAAGAAAGTGGTGTTAAAATATGAAAAAAATTCAAAAAATGTACGTGGTATCTGTCAGGGTTTTATTTTCCGTAAGAGCAGTATTATTTTATTATGTACAAATTATGTTATTTAGTCAGAGTCACTCTTCTACAACAGGTTATTCTCATGGGATGTTCGAGTAGAATCAAATCGATAGAGTGTTACACAGAGTGTTACGCACCAATCACATCGTCATCATCATTATATATTAGATGTGACTGTTTTTCTTAGTTAGTTCCAATACTTAATCACGTCGTGACTGATTACTATTACAAACATGTCACGCAAGGTTGCACGAAAGGTGCAGAAAACCAATGACGCGGTCTCGTCGGAAGAAAGAGACAAAAAGAAGTCATATCGTTCTGGGGGAGAAAAATGTTCACTAGATATAGGGGAGATGAAAAAATTCGTTTGTATCTCTGTGTATTGAAAGGGGTGCTGGAGGACAGCTGTCTATCCTGTAATATAAACGAACCCTGTAATATAAACGAAGTTTAGGTTAGTTTTTTATGAAGAAAGATTCCCGTAGAAGAACCATAGCAGGATGAAAATAGGGGGGCATCAAGAATGCAATGCTTCTTTTGGACCGGACGCTCGTCTTGCTAAGGTGCTCGCTCCACGGTCTGCATGGAAGAACCCAATGCTGAAGGACAAGCTTGCATGCCGCAAATGTCAGAAGTGGGAGCTAGATTTTGACCCTGCTGCGATGTCGATTAGAATGCTTTAGGCACATTCATTCACTGACGCATCTGCTTCTATGTATCCCGTATCGTGGAGGCTAGTTGTATCTTGATGTTTCGATCTTCGCTAAATCAATGAATGTTGTATATGTACTAGATGATCAAAATGTTGATTCGATTCGTATGTGAAGAGAAAGATTGAAAGCGCAGCTCGCATCAGGCCACCAAAAAAGTACTAGAACTTTTTTTACAAAACCATGTGGGGAACCTTTCATATGTTTTCTAGAGTCTTCATCCACCTCTCAGAATCGATCATTATTGTCATTAAATCTAATGAAAGAGCCATCATCACAATCTTTATTCAAGCTAGAAGATGACATAGAAGCATCGACACAAGCTAATACATTTTCATCTACTTGATAGCCTCAGTGAGCTGTGAGAGAGCACACATTAGGGTCCTCGAAGAAGAGCAAAAACCGAAGTTAGTGGCTCATTTGATGTTACCACTCTTCCTGAGTGGGATAGGAAGAGGAAGACGCAGAGATTTCTGTCGTGGTCGGCTCCTACGTGTTCGTATGGAATGCATACCTTGGATTTTTGGGTTCTTATTGATGATCCGTGAAATGCAAGACTTCTCTGCGCCCACCCCAGCTGGTGCGCTGGCCCTTTGGCCGAAGACTTTGAAATTGATAAAAATTACCCTCAGAAAATACTAACAACGAGAGTGAGAGTGAGACGCCATTTGCTGGCCAATGACATTCTACACGCACACTGAATCTGAAGAATGACCTGATCGAACGAGTCCTAACTCGAACGAGTGAAGCTATTTTGACACTGAGAAGACGGATAAAACAGAAATACTTGCTTCTCACCAGTTCATGAGCGTGACTCCGAGTGAAACTAGAACTACATTTGAGAAGATCGCGGAAGTATAAGGAGCGACTCATTATGTGGCGTCGATGGTGTTCTTTGCTTAGATTTAGATGAGCCCCAGAGATGATACGAGAGTAGCGAATTTTGAGAAGACGAAATATGCTCGTGACGAGTTTCTCTGGTGAGATTTGAAAGTTTTGTTTAGCTGTAGCGAGCGATTTTTTAGTACGACGAGAAGACCTTTCTCTTTGCACGGATATGCCTAAGTACAAGGATTCAGAGAACGAATGAATTGGACGTAATCGTATATAGCACTCTCGTTCTAGGTGTTGCAGTTATTACGACGTCTACAACTACAGACAAAGAATTCGATGGTTAAACAACCACAAGCGTATCTATCAATTCCACACCTAACCTTCAGCGGAGAGAAGCAGAAAGATTTATGTTACCAAAAGGTTTTCCCCTTTTTGAATTCTTTCTACTTTAAACATAGCTCTTGTAATTCCTCTATCAGTCAGAGGTTTGCAATTGCTATCATTCTTGAATCTACTTGTAAGATAAACAAATGTGACTTAACATCAACTCGATCATCGAACCAGTCCAAGTTTAAGATCGTTTTGTTTTAGGCAAGAAGATAAGTGTATTTTACATTGATTTGCACTTTTTTTGGCCTTTCTCTTTTGTGTAGATTAGTAACCAAACGAACTGTTCAAGACCTTTCGTAATAGATCAATCACTCAATCGAACTTCAAAATTTCAATTATTCATCCACCTGATTACACTTAATAGTGTTTTGTAGGTACCTATAGGACCACAAATTGTTTTCAACGATCTTGCACTTCTTTTTAGTGTAGTTAACTTTTTAGTACTTAGTTTGTGGTCAGTGATCTCACTTCTACAACAGCGAAAATGACGGCAATTGTCTTAGGAGGTGGGCTGTCTGGTATGGCCGCAGCCAACACTGTTATGGAGAACGGAGGTAAGGTCATCCTCCTCGACAAGTCGGCCTTCTGTGGTGGTAACAGTACCAAAGCCACCTCGGGTATCAACGGAGCTAACACCAAGACTCAGCGTGCTTTAGGCATTGAGGATTCAGTCGAATTGTTTTCATCCGATTGCCTCAAGGGTGGTGCCAAGAAGCCGGAACTCGTCAAGGTAGTGTGGGATTCCTTGTGATTATGCTTATTCTACTGTGTTTTATGAATTTCATCTATGATCAACAGTAAACGTAGCAAAAAAAGTCCATTTTGACGTCTAGAGTGGTTCTAGAATTTTGAGTTTTTCTCTCCTAGTAGTCATCGTAGCGACATCTTACCTTCGTTTCAGGTTTTGGCCCAGAACAGTGGTCCGGATTGCGACTGGCTGATGGATGTCTTCGGATTAGACTTGTCGCTCGTTGCCCGTTTGGGTGGCCACTCCGCTCCGCGTACGCATCGTGGTAAGGAGCGCTTCCCGGGTATGACTATCACCTACGCTTTGATCCAGATGGTCGAGAAGATCGCGGAAAAGACCAATGGCGAGTTCGCAAAGGTGGTCACCAAGGCAAAGGCAACTAGCCTCATCTTCGAAGCTGGCAAGGTGATCGGAGTCAACTACGAGAAAGGTGGATCGATGCTGAAGGAGATGGGACCGGTTATCATCGCCACCGGTGGTTTCGGTGCCGACTTTTCCCAGGACTCGCTGCTCGCCAAGTACCGCCCGGACTTGATGCACTTGCCGACCTCTAACGGAGAACACTGCACTGGTATTAAATTGAAACCCGTTTACTAGCAGAATCAAATGATGATCTAGCATCGGCTCTATTCCTGTCAAGAACAATCTGAACTTGGGGATTTGATTGCAATTTGTTGTACTACAACGTTGATATGTAGAAGACGCAGAGGAAAAAGAATTAGAGACGTTCGAAACGACCAATTCCAACAGGTGATGGCATCAAGATGGGCGAGGCCATTGGTGCTCGCACTATCGATCTTGAGTGGGTGCAGGTTCACCCGACCGGTTTGGTGAACCCGAAGGACCCGGATGCAAAGGTGAAGTTCTTGGCTGCTGAGGCGCTCCGTGGAGTAGGTGGTCTCATCTTCGATGCCGAAGGGAACCGTTTCGCCAACGAGTTGGGTCGTCGTGATTACGTCACCGGCGAGATGTGGAAGAACAAGGGACCCTTCCGTCTCTGCCTGAACAAGGTAATGATTGAGTCTTCCATTCTGATACTCATAGGGTTATGATTATGGTACGGAACAAGAAATATTTTCTGGATTTTTGAGGTCATTTTCTTACCTAATATGATATGCTTCAAACGAGAATGACTCACTAAACTTTCTTCTCTTTCTACACCCACCTCCAGGCTGCTGCGGACGAAATTATCTGGCACTGCAAGCACTACACAGGTCGTGGTGTGATGAAGTTCTACGAATCTGGTGCTGCATTGGCCAAGGAGCTCGGTGTGCCAGTTGAGCGCATGGCCGCCGCGCACGAAGCTCACTACCAAGCCGGTAAGAAGCAGGAGAAGGATCCGGAGGGAGGACCCTTCCCCGGTTACCCGACTGGTATTACCTCCTACTGCTACTATGTATTACTCCAGTACGTAATTGCTTTTGCTTTTCACACTATTCATTGTGATGAAATGATTTTTACTTTTACTTCGTCCCCAATTATACGAGCATGACAAATCAACGATTCGTCTCATAATTAGTTTGTCCTCTTTTCCCTCCAACAGGTAAGACTTGGGATGAGCCATCTGGAAAGACTGGAAGTGGAAAAAAGTTCTTTCACAACATGATTACGGGATCCCAGTTCGCTTCTGAGCCATTCTATGTTGCGATTATCACACCGATCATCCACTACTGTACTTGAAACATCCTGTTTTTGTTAGACTTTCGTCTTCGTTTGAATTGATTTTTGAAGGTGGAAGGAATCAGAAACGTAGTTTGCAAAGTTCTCTGATGTTTGTTTTTCTAGTGGTCTCATACTCATTCGTGTTTACATCTGTAGCGTATAAGCAAAATATGATGAACCTTGTTGGATGTCTTTAATCATGTAAGAGAGATCTTTTTTCAACCGACCTTGTTCCCCTTGCATACTACTCCTCACCCGACGCCGACCACTATGCTGTCTAACGCAACAGTCGCACCTACCATTCACAGGTATGGGTGGTCTGGAGATCACCACCGAAGCCGAAGTTGTCGGGGCGGGTGGCAAGCCAATTCCTGGTCTCTTCTGCGCTGGTGAGGTCATGGGTGGCGTCCACGGAAACAACCGTCTTGGTGGAAACTCTCTCCTCGATTGCGTCGTGTATGGCCGCGTTGCCGGTAAGGCTTGCGCTACCTACATGTTCGGCAAGAACGGCCTCAAGGCGACCTCTCTCCAGACCCTCTCCGGTGGCGGCATTTCTGGTGGTGGTACCGAGAAGAGCGCTCTTTCCGGTGGAAGCTACGAGGATGCTCCGGGAGCACCCGCTGCAGCAAGTGGTGGTGATGGCAAGCTGACTTTGGAAGAAGTCGCAAAGCATACATCCGAAGATGACTGCTGGGTCGTGGTCAACGGTGACGTGTTGGATGTCACGGAATTCCTTCCGGATCACCCGGGTGGCAAGCTCGCGATCTTGACCTTCGCTGGTATTGTAAAATTTTAGTTTCATGAAAATGATTTTCATTTTGATTATTCTATCCTTGGTTTCACTTTCTTCACCAAACAATTTAGTATTGAAAATTCGGGGTAAAGAACCGACATTTTTCTCCATTTTACTTACTTCATTGCGTAAAGAGGCAACTTCTACTACAGGTAAGGATGCCACTGAGGAGTTCAACATGATCCATCCTCCGGATGTCATTGAAAAGTATGCGCCGAAGGCAGTCTTGGGGAAGCTGCAGGAAGGAGGTACTGACTTCCATTTGTGTCATTCTCTCTTTTTCACGATGAATCAGATACCTGACAAAACATCGCCCATCACGTATTCGAGTTTTACTCTGTCTCCGTATTATTTCATTATGAATTCACGACGGCTCCCTCTCTTTATCTTCTCTATATCCGAATACCAGGTTCCTATTGATATCTCCCCTCTCGCAAACAAAAGGTCCCGCTCCTGCTGCCGCTGCACCAGCTGCGGCTGTGAAGGGAGGTGCTGCCACAACCACAGTCGCAAAGGTCCCGAAGGGAGCTGCTGGTATGACACTGGCCAACATGGTCGAGCTCATCTGCTGCAAGCCATGGGGATATTACAAGTAGACATCTCCTCTTCGTCTTCTACAAGAACTTGCAGAACTGGAAGTATGGAAGTAGAAAATTTTCGGTAGTAGTCGGAAGGAGAATTGAAGATGTGTGTGCGCGAACGTCTCGCTGAACTCAAAATCCGCTAAGTTGTTTTCACCTGAGAGGTTTTGAATGTGGTTTGGAGAAACTGAAGATGGACCTGCAGAAAATAACTACAATGTTCGACCGGACGATGGTACAGCAGCATCTTTTTCCCACAAGACGCAGTGTAGAAGAATTCGAAACACAAGAAAGAAATGTCGTGATATAAAAGTAAGTGGTACAATGAGAAAAAGTACTTATGATGGTGAAGATGATTGGATGGACGAGATGAGATGTAAGTTGCGCTGCTCTTGAGAATTCAATAGAGTTCTTTCTTGAGCTAGTGCTCACCATCTCCCGTCGTTGTGTAATAAAAGCGATGAAGCTCTGAACAGTTGATGTAACGAAAGCTCACTACTTTCGAGTACGAGTTCTGATCTATCGAATTATGATCTTAGTCCAAGTTTGAACGTCTGATATTTCTAGAACCCCTAACTGAATTAGTACAAGTGAAACCAGAATAACACCTAGGATTTAGCATGCAACAACTCACTTTCACAGCAATCAATCTAACTGTAACCTAACTCTGATATTCATTGCAGGTCTTTCAACAGAGGCACATCTGCAATTTTCCATATTTTCGTTTTGATGTAGTTTCAATTTTTTTTTGAGGTAGGAACTTATGGGGATGACTGTCTCATATGACCGATGCAAAAGCCTAGAATACCCGATTGAGACAGGATGTAAAAGCCCCTGCTTCATGATTTCAATCGGTTCGTTTCTATAATATTTCCTTCCTCATGTTGAAGGCCTGATGATCATTCTATCCTAGGCCTGTTTGTAGCAGGTAGAACGCAATTTATTAGAGGGACGAATAAACGTCCTTGTCTCCGGGTAAGGCTCTAAAACTATGTGTCCAGAAAGTCCCTGCATCTTCTTTGTGTGTAATTTATACTATTTATTCTTCACTCGTGCAGGCAGGACTGCTGTGACGTGGCGTTCAGCCCAGACGAAGGGTAGCCGCCGTCGCCCATTGAATTAAACCAACTAAGCTAGAAGATTTACAAGATCTTCTATGTAGTATTGTCGATCCTGATTACTACCACTATATTACTTGCGTTTCATCTCACTGATCATAAGACTACAACATCTCATCAGATTTCCATTGGAAGATGATAACTGACACCGCAGAGAATCTACAAGACCGGAGCAATCTGTGACGAGATTGGCCGTAGAACTCGGGAGCCCGATACTTCGGTGGCATCTCAGCTAGCTCCTCGAGTAGTACCGGTCCGGAGTAGCCTAGCATGAGGGCCCTCCACATATCATAATAATTAAAAGACCACTGGAACAAGGACGATCGTAGCAATTTGGAAGCAAGATGATAACTGTGACCAAAAATCCTGTGTATAATTTTTTCTTGGACTCATCGTTCGACCTATGATATCTCCTGTTTTTGTAGTTTGGATTTTTTTTCGTTCATAAGGGAGTGTGTGTGGAAGAATTCACACACTCTCATATGTCAATCAGCGCATAATTTCGACGTAAATGAAAAGTTATCTGTCCCTTCTTGTGTAGGCATGTTTTTTCGCATCTCCGTGCTTGGTTGCCTGGATATTTCTATCCTGGAGAAGATTTTTCAAAAATTTCAACTAGGCCAGATAATCAAGCACATTCATAAGCATGCATGCATCAATTTTAGAAATTATGTTAGATCCCCTGTAGAAAGGAGTATAGCTGCTGCAATCAATATAGCGATCGATTGAGATGATCGCGCCGTGTCAAGCATTGTGTTACAGGCGTGTGCGCGAGAAAAAACTGTCCGACAATCATAGAAAAACCGAGTTGGAGGTTCCATGCGGATCGTTCGGCGGATAAAAGGAATATGGAACTCTTCAACGGAAAATTTTCCGTCTAGCGGTGGAGTGGTGGCGATGGATAACTCGACTCCATCGGCTTGCTAACATGGTGGTCCTCGTAATCAGGTGTTCACCTTCTTCGCCTCACACACTGGTTTCGTTTCTATAACATTGGCTTTGTTCACGACAGCGATCCTGCTCCAAGCCACCTTCTTTGCCTCATATTTGGAGCTTGATCCATTCAGTGCGAGAACAACTATTTCTACAACAAGGCCTACGAGACGAGGTTGGAGTGCTATACCGAGTTTGAAGGAGTAGTGTGGAGAGAGTGAGTTTTTTGAGAGAGGATTTCATTCTGCGATGGGCGCGCGAGCTACGGAGACAACGAGCGGGTATCGGGTGATCTAAGAAAATTCTTTGTAAGTACAATGGTTGCATTTTCTTGTAAAAACAGGCTTAGTGCGCTCTTCAGGGGGGTAGCTGCTCGACGAGTTACTACGAAGTAATGTAGTACATAAAGGTTTCTCATTATAGTTTTTCAACGTAAACATCTGTGTCTTCATATCCACACAATCAACTACATAAATTCATTTTCAAACACAAGGGAAAGAAATGGCTCGTTCTAAGCAAAGTTCTAAGCGTGGGTCTCGCGATGAGACCTCGTACCGCGAAATGCTGGGTGCTGTCGATGCTTCAGCGCATCCGATTAAGACAGTGTTTGCGCCTCCACCCATTTCTGGTCCCGACACTGAGTTCGGTGCGCGTCTAGCCCGTCCTCTGGTAGCCAAAAAGAAGCCGGCGCTAGCGAAGCAAAAAAGTGTCGAGAGTAATGGAAGCGGGAGTAGTGCTGGTGGGGGTGTGGGAAATATTAAGAAACTCGATAGCACTTGGACGACCGGTTCTGATATGAAAGATAGTTCTGGTCTCCTATAACACTGAAACAGCACCAAAAACAAGTAACACGTGTTCAACTAGAAAAACAAGAATAAGAGGAGAGCTAAAAACAAAGCATCAAAAAGCTTGATCCGATCATAATTCATGAGCGCTATCCACACTCTGTCGTCCCCGTGCTAGAGGAGGATAAAGATAAATATGAAAATCCCTCTAATTTTTCCAAGCAACCCAACACTGGAGACGATCGCGAAACTGGTTGTTCTCAGAATGGTGAGGAAAATGTTGTGAAGACTTTTCCGATGCCTCGCATTCGCACAGCGGAAGAGGAGTATTATGCTTACATGCGAAAGCTACAGGAAAATGGCTTACAACCAGGAGTAGTTGGAGCATCTTCTGGCGCATCGATGAATGCGACCAATACAGCCAATCCTGCCACTTCTATGATGGCGAACAGTAACTACTACAACAATTACGTAGCTCCACATCCACAAACACATTCTGCGACGACGACCACAACGACAAGTGGCACAACAACAACAACAATGTCGAATTACTACGTTCCACCTTCAACGAGGATTGTGAGTTCTTCGCCAACCAGCAATGTTGAAACTACTACTGTTAAGGGTTACACCGAATTGCATCCTTCACTGCCATTCTTGACCTATTCTCCAATAGGAAAGCGGTCAAGGATGATCTGAGAAATGTAATTGGGCAACCCCTAATACAACTGGTTACAACATGAGCCAAGAAGGAGATGATACTAAGGATTTTTCAGCTCAGAAATCTTGTGCTACCTTGAATACTGAGGAAAACGATGAAACAGACGAGACATCGAGTGATGAAGAGGCTTTTGCCTTTGCTCCTACTGAACTCACATTTCTACCGCGTGACGAGATTGTACCAGGAGAAGGACAGCAACATCGCGTGCCTCCACTTGGGAACAAGGACATGGTCAATGGTAACAACAATCATGCTGCTAATAATGATGCGGAGGCGAATATTGATAAAAAGAGTTACAACAGCACTCAAGAGAATCCTTCAATCACTGGCATTCCAGCGAGGATGATGGGAGGTGTGGACTATGCTGGCATGCGCATGCCTAGTCTGGCTTACGACAATGCTTCTGCTGGCATTCCAGGGCTTACACATCCTACAACAGCGGCTAGTGCGGCTGCCTTAGGATCTAGTGGAGGAGGAGGGTTTGACAACCTTGTGAGTGCTATTCTGGGACACAATGCCGCTCCTCGAGGAGATTCGACTTCTGTTAAGACCGAAACCAGAGAGATGTTCAAAAAGACAAATGAAAAACGCGAGGAGAGGCCGCGTGGACCTTTTTTTTCCTAGGGACCGACGCTGTCTGATGGAGGGACCACTTAAGATGAATACAAACAATTATCGTTCTCTAAATCTACAAACGGCAGTCCTGGTGCGAAGAAGACAGTGGAATCAGTGGAGAGCAAGCCTGCTGTAGAAGACCTGAATCTGCTACGTCCGAAAGCAAAGAATAATGGCGAATGGAAGCCGACCCTACGATTGAAGAAGAAAACATGATAGACGTGCCCAGAACAAGTGACAAATTGTGCTGGTAAGGGTCGAATGAAGCATATCACTTCCAAGATTTGAATGAGGTCACTGTGCGCCTCGTAATGACATCAAGACCGACGTGTAATGGTCTTCAAGAGCATTCTGTCCCTTTTGACCTCTACAAATTTTTGTAGCCTTCATCGTTTAACTCACTCACGTGAAAAAAAAACATCCTAGCAGTTACGTCATGCCATGTTCATAATAAGGTACGTACTCATGCTATAGTTGTGTAAGTCCTCATGCCCTCCCACGATCATATTGCTTGTTGCTTGTTGTTGATAGATCAAGTTCAAGATCCCTTTGGCTGTTTTGAAGTAGGAACCTGAGCAAAGCTTTCAGTCTCTATATAATGAAGTCGTCCTGCTCAACATGCTACACCATTCAAATATGGATGTCTTACTGGACTCTCCATCGAATTGTTTTACTGTAGACTTTTTACGTGATCTTGTTGAAACTTATCCTTGAAACGACTCTAGCAGCTGCTTGTGAGTGTAGGAGGAAACACTGCGAGAAGGTGTTTCTCTGACTGGGAAGATTCCTGGAGCGACCCTGTTGTCAGATTGGCGAGTTTCGCTAACAAAACCGCTTCGTAAAAATGGAAGAAAAATCGGCAAGACCAAGAAGACAAGCAGGGTGATGATTTCACCAAGGGAGGTGGTCCCAAAAGATGGGACTTAGAGTTTTGGTGACTATATCACTTGATATTAAAGATAGGGCCGATGTAACCGTGCAAAAAGAAAACGTAGCGAAGAGAACTTGATATATGTTGTCATAGTTATAGTACTTACTACGTACACGGAGTTGTATGTAGATGTAGGATCCTTCTTCTCGTCACTTTGGGATTTCGACATCATCGTCCTTAACCTCATCTACTTCAAAGTAGATCAACGTCATGGCCCCTGCTCGGCCAGCGGAGATCAACGTCATGGCCCCTGCTCGGCCAGCGGCCGCGACAGAGGTGCCAGGCGTCACACTGCGCCTGTGGGCGCACTGCAGTGAAGAACTGCCCACGCTGCCGCAAGTCAAAGTCGATTTCTTGTCGACTGCGGAGCAACCGATGGAGAAGGTTAAAGATGAAGAATTCTTGGACCAGGACCAGCGCAAACATCATGACGAGGACCAACAATGTCATGATTAAGGCTTGGGAGTTGACCTATCATCTAAGGGCGTCTCTAGCATGAACAATCTGACCCCTCCTCGTTTCATCTATGCTTGGGAGTTGACCTATCATCTATGCGCGTCTCTATGTCTTCTTCAAGTAGGAAAGCCACAGATATGCGAGCTAGAGATGCCAACTTTCAACCCCTAACATGACGACCACAAGAACAGGAACAATCTGACCCCTCCTCGTTTCATAGCCGGTTACGAGACGTCGCTTTCTTTGGGCGATGTAGGTGTAGACTTCCTTCGTAATTTCGCTCGTGCTGGAACGGCACACTTTAAAAACAGCATAGAGAAGTTTTCCTTAGATTTACTGCCGCTATTGACCATGGATCAGTCGAGAGACTCTTTAGGGGGTTCTACCGAGCAGGTCAGGGAGGAAGGAGTAGAGGAGGAAGAAGAAGATGAAGAAGAAAATGGGGGTTGGGGAAAGTCAGGAGAAACAGGAGAAGGAGGAGAACGTAATGTACCAGAAAAAGGAGACAGAGCAGCAGACGCAGGAAAACCACAAGTATCAAGAAAATTCGTTGAAATCGTCAGAGACACGGGGACGGGAGGAGATCAAAGTTAAGGCAACCAAGAGAGCAATCTGAGTACCATCCAGGGCTCTTTTTCTACTTGAAAACCAGCCAAGGATGCGCGGGAGGGTGCTAAAAATGGCGTTGCTCTAAAATAGGCTTCAAGGCATACGATATTGGGAGATAGGGGCAGAATTGTCGGAACCTCTGAGTAGTAGTCTAGCCCATCAGATGATGAATCCGTTTAGTATCTCAGTACGAGATATTTTACGCGATGACACTTGCGATGAGGAGTCGGAGGTAGTTTTTAAAAATAACGATGGCAAGGGTAGTAAGAGTAGGCCAAGATCTACACGACATGCAGGAGGAAGCTCTTCTTCAACAGCACCCTATGCGAAAGTAGTTTCCTTAAAAGGTCGGCGAGAGAGCAGCAGCGGTAGAAAAGTGCGCATTAGTCAATCAGGTACCGAGGTGTTCAGTGCTGGAACACCTGCTGCACAACAAGGACGTGACGATCCTATCGTCCAGAGATTCGACGACTTCACTCTCGAGGAGCACTGCATCGACCGAATCGAAGTCACCTTCTTGGAAGAAACCAAAGTCCTTTCCGGTGCCACGCTTACAGCCGTTTGGTTTCTTTCAGATTTGCGTGGATACGAGGTGCAGGATGATTCGGTTGGAGGCATCCCAAATACGCCGAATCTCGTACGTCAACAACTAGGACGCGAAAATGCTCGTGTGCTGAAATTACAGAGGTTTGGGAGTTACCAAGAGCTTTTTTTGTTTCGAAAGTTGCAGCTGCGGGTCTTCTTCTCGAGAAAGGAGGACGGGGGGACCTTTGGGGAACAAGGAGGGTTATGGCATTGGACTGAATCTGATTATGCGCAAGTGCGCGTGTTCATTATTGGGAATTTTTAGGCTTCATCTGTACTACACAGGTCTAGCATGACCTTGTCGACGGAGCTGTTGTATATCGATCGCATTGCACGTCTACTAAAAGCTCTCTTTCATAATTCGTCCCCGTCCCGCAGCCGCAGCACGCCCTCAAAGAGTGTCTTTTGCACTTTCCTGAGCTAGCACGCGCTCGTGGGCCTTTCTCGCACAGTGTGTCTTTGTTGCCGGCTTCGCGGTATCGGGATCTTGTTGATGCTGAACAAGGCTTCTGTAAACAGAAACTGGCAGTCCACGAGCTCTTCGATGTCAAGAAAAACAGTAAGGAGCGTGCAGAGCGTGCGGCTTTGCGTGCTTTGCTAAAGCACGGAAGCAAAGAGGCATCGAGAAGTAGCAAGGAAAAAGCTTTACTGGGAAGTGTTATGACAAAGAGATAACAACTTCTCTTTGATTTATTAGGTTCTTCAATCTTTCAGTCTCGGTGTAGAGCATGTGCAGGTTAAGCAGTGTAATGTGAAACTAGCTAAGACACTGCAGTTAGGAGAGCACTATTGTTCATTCATCTTAAAGCACATTCTATTTCTAACATTCGCAACAAGGAACGTGGCGGGAGTAAAGAACAACCTTCAATGGTTGGCACTCCTGTTGTACCAGAAACGACAACGGTAGACGCAAACAAGGGATCGCTAACTTTGGTTGAGAAGGAGATTCCTTCTCTAGACAACAGCACTTTCTTTGATGCAGTTTTTCCAGCGGAGGAAATTTTATTTGACGTTGCTTTAGGCCACGTTGTTGGGCGTGGGGCGAAGACATCCACAAATGACGCTGTAGTTGGTAAAACATCTTCGTTAGTAGTGCCTCCTCGCAGGGCAGCCGGTCAACCTGCTCCTCCAATTGCTTCGGCTGAAGAAAGTGGTGGTAACTTCGCTACTATTGTGATCGTAATTCCCAACGAAGAGGAGATTGTGCGACCAGCGTCTGCAACGTATGTACGGAATTTGCTGCGTGAGAGTAGTCCTTCCCGAAGTCCAGGGCGAAATAGAACTCGGAGCAGTCCTGTTCGCAGTCCCTTGATGTCGCCGAAGCGTGTGCGGAGTCCGAGACGAGGAGAGGGAGGCATCAATGGGGTAGGTGGGATGGTGGTGGGTGAAAATGGAAATCCTGGCGCTGCCGGGGGTGCGGAGGCGGGTGTTAGTCGTGTACTTGTACCAGCGACACCACCTGTATCACTTATGGAGCAAACGGGTAGTTGTGTCATAACTGGATGTACCAATTCTGAATATTGGAATCAAAGTATCATTATATTGATCAACATGAGTCTGGCATGATGTCGCATCTCTAATCCCACGGCCATGTCCTTGTGGAACGCACTATTAACCTGTATTGTGAAGCATAACGCGAAGGTCATGCAAGTGTCGCAGGCGGAAGTCGTCTGCCGCCAGCTCGCGGAGGAGGAGAAATATAGCACTAGACTAGACGTTCTGAGTGGTTTCTCACTCTCCGATCGCAAACGACGCATCTTGTTAGTCGAAGGTTTGCATCCTGACGTCCATGAAATGCTGTTTTTCGCTCGAAAACTCTTCAACCCTGCAGACAACGCAAAGCGCTTCCTTTTGAGGCGTGGGACGACTCGACATCTGAATAAGTTGAGGATAAGGCGGGAGTCAGTAGCAGTAGCGCCAGATGAGGACATGGCGGCGTTGTTTAGGAGTCCTCAAAGTGGAGCCGGGAGTAGTCCCGGAGGCGGAGATCAAAGTAGCGGGTTGACTAGTCCTATGAGCAGTGGATTCAGTCCACCGCATGGGATGAGTGCATTAGCGCCGGAAGGTAGTTCTTACACAATGAATGCCAATGTTCCTTCTTCGGAATTAGGCGCAAGAGATTGACGTATTATACATTTACTACCTAGTTGTACAAGATCACTCTATGATCTTCATTATAACTCAAGAACACTTTTTACTTGTACTAGAACCTCTCATGGGCTGCACTTCTCCTCTCACCTCAGATCGTCCGCAACTAGCAGAGAAAAATCGTGGTGGCGTGCGGCAATTGCTTGGGTTACTACGCGAAAGTCAGCGCTCGAGTGATTCGCCTCCCGCGCGGATCTTTTTCCATGATAACTTGCGCTATTTCCGGAGACAATATGCGGATTTTGATCTGTTTCCGAAGCCCATCTCTCTGCGTGTGTCAGTGGAGGAAGCCTTGTTGAGACCTAGTCTCTACGAGTGCAAAACTAAGGCGGATTGCAGCGCAGTGGTAACACTGGAGAAGATTCTCAGTATTAAGGCTTCACCTAATCCATCTTCCGGTTCCGAATCCGAGGCATATTGGGTAAGCTTCTCAAGGGGAAAAGAGTTCCAGGATGTACTTATCTCAAGATGAATTATACGGCGAGCTCTAATCTTGTAGACCGTTTGAAGCATGGAGCTCATTTGCTGAAGGCTATGAACCTCTTTCCGAATGCGGTGGATTTGGTAAGGTTGGAGGCTCTCTACGGTGATGGTAGTGTGTCTAAAGGGTATGTGCCACCGACGGACGCTGGTGTACAGAAGAAGAAGGGAGCGACGGAGACAGAGAACACTAGTGCTGCTGTAGTTGGTGAGAGGAAAGTGGCGATTGGTCTTCCTGGTAGTGTTGGTGAAGTACTACAGGTTGTTCGATTTGAAGATGGCACTAAGGGCGGCGGAAAGGGTGCGGGAAGTAGGCGGCCGAGGAGTGCTGGCAGTGAAAATGGGTCTCCTCATCTTTATGAAAGGAGAACTGTATTCAGAAGTGTTTGATGTAGTCTCAGCAAGACAAGCATTCCCTTCTGCAGTTTATAATTCCAGAAAAAAGAAGACATATGTTGTATCTACCTAGTATTCCTCACCGTGCGCTCAGCACATGACAAGTACTAGCAAATCCCCTTTTTCATGTCCTCCAGGGTAAGAAGCCCACCAGTGCAGAACGCAAGCGTCGAGATGGCTCGCCTCGCCTCCAGCAACAAAGCCACACGTGGAATTTAACATTTTTGAAGACGTTGGCGAAGCGCAAGGATCGTCAAGAATTCGTCAGGAAGATTATGGCTTTCTGGCTTAGTTTATCTTATTGTTTTTTGACCTTGATTTGACTCTAAAATTGATGCATTCTAAAGTTTCTTAGATCCAAAATGTGAAACCTTTGACATGTCTGATGTTGAGAAGGCCTTAGCCAGCATGTTTCTGCTATCCAAAATGATACCATATGCCAGCTCTGGCAACTAAGGTGCATAATTTGACGATTTGGCTTCGAATGAAGTAAGTTTGATTTGGAAATGAAAAGCTGAACGTCAGGAAATGAATTTGAATTAAAATCGATAAAACTGAAATTTCTTGGATATCCCTTTGATCTGAAGTTTTGGGATTTGAAAATTTGAAGAAGACAGTAAGGTGAAAGTATCATAGTACCATTTAAGTAGATGTAAGGCATCTAAATGTACGCCAAGGCTTTATTCACAAGCAAAAACAACACAAGGGAACAACAAAGGACGAAGCTTGTCCGTCTACAGAACAACATCTCCTCTCTCTAAAAACCAGAGTCCGAAAAAAGCCGAGAGCTTCTTGAATCAGATTGCTGCATCGCTTTTGCAGGGGAGTTCACAAGGGGATTCGAATGTACAACTCACATCGACGTCTACAGCGAATACCTCTGCCACAGCTGCGATGAAGAAAATGTCCACAGTTGTACCCGACGCAGAACAAGATGGTAGAAATAGTCCCAAAAATGGTCTTTCAAGAGGAGCTTCGACTATGGGGAACAAGAATGGTGTTTCTAGAGGAGCAACGGGAGATCTGGCAGCGAAAGACATGACGGACGGAGGTGGCGGAAAGTCCTTCGCTAGGACAGGAGTGACGAATTTTGCAGCTAAATTGTGGAGCAAAGCTAAGAGCGGAACCGCTATGCTTAGTGGGCGAAACGAAAGGACTCCTTTAGCTTTGAACGCTACTGATAAAGAAAACCTACTTAATAAATCAGCGAGTTTCGCTCCTGTGTCTTCTGCTTTAGCGGAGAAAATGAAGAAGATGGCGCAAATGAAGCGTGCGGCTAGTGGTTTAGCAGTAGAGACGAATATGGTGGACGTGGTTTCCAAAAGGAATAGTCCTTTAGCATCCGCGAAGAAAAGTAGTCCGACCTCACCGCAGCAGAGCCCAAGAGGGGCTGCTCAGGTACTTGAATGCTAGTAGAGGTGTGTTTTATAACTACAGTTTTTCACGAGGAATAATTTTGTAATTCGAAAAAAAAAAAATGATCTCTCAGATCCAACTGATGAACCAGCGCCGCGACATTGCCGCACCACGGCAAACTACGCCAGAAACCGAGCCAGCCACCGACGGCCTTGGGGGTAACTTGGCATCTGCCCTTGGCCAATTAGTTGGGGGACCTTCATCTCCCACTGGCAGGGACAAGAAGAAACGTGGAAGTGTGTTAGCGTCGCCTTTTGGTGCGGATGAGCCAATGGGCTTGGGGAGAAGTGGAAATATGGCATGGCTTTGGTCCGCAGAAGTCGTTACTATAATATATGTACATGCCCAGAAAGCGGGCCCATCAAGGGCCCGCTGCGCCGGGCATAGGTTAACAACTAGACAGATTGACTACTAAGAGACAGAAAGACAAACGAAAAAAGTCGCCAAGTCTGCTCGCCAAGGCTGGGAAGCTGGCTCCCACTGTGTCAAAGAAGGGAAGGCTGGGGAGGTGACATCCTCAACGGCTTCGACTTTCATACGCAGAGATGTATATCTGTGGCCTTCTCATGGATATGATGACGCTCACCAGGGTCCACCCTTCAGACATGCAAGTCGTCACGGCTATCATTCTCACACGCATCGACATCCTCAAAGGCTTCGCCTTTCACGCGCAGAGATGTATATCTTTGCCCTTCTCGTGGATATGATGACGCTCACCAGGGCCCACCCTTCAGACATGCAAGTCCTCACGGCTATCATTCTCACAGGCATCGACATCTTCAACGGCTTCAACTTTCACACACAGAGACGTATATCTTTGGCCTTCTCATGGATATGATGATGCTCACCAGGGTCCACCCTTCAGACACGCAAGTCCCCACGGCTATCATTCTCACAGACATCGACATCCTCAACGGCTTCGACTTTCACAAACAGCGATGTATATCTTTGGCCTTCTCATGGATATGATGACGGTCGCAAGGGTCCACCCTTCAGACATGCGCGGCCTCATGGCTATCATTCTCACACACATCGACATCATCAACGGCTTCGACTTTCACGCGCAGTTATGTATATCTGTGGCCTTCTCATGAGTATGATGATGCTCACCAGGGTCCACCCTTCAGCGATGCAAGTGCTTCCGGCTATCATTCACACAAGCATCGACATCCTCCACGGCTTCGATTTTCAAGCACAGAACTGGATATCTTTGGCCTTCTCGTGGGTCAATGTGATGACGCTCGCCAGCCTCTGCCCTTTCAAGTGCTCGCCCTCTCCCTTACAATTCTCCTACTTTTGTGCTAATAAAAATGCACACACGGGCTAACCATCTCCAAGGGATGCCGCGCGCTCTTGTGGTCGGTTGTTGTGTGCGGAAGGTAGTCGCGGAAGGGGAGCGAGCTAACTTTTTCCCAAAAACTTCAGGGGGGTCGTTTCGTTTTCTCTGTATTTGAATGGCCTCCCTGAAGTTTTTGAAAAAAAATAAAGGCGCTGGGCGATATTTAACAAGGGGAGCGGTTGGAAGTTCTTTGGGGCGATTCGCTGGGGCGGGGTGGGCGCGTGGTGTCCTGCTGCAGATTGATGCGGCTGGTGTACGTGAGTAGCCTACAAACTAGCAGCCGCGAACACGTTAACACGTGGCGTTCGCGGTGCTTTTGAACTCGTAGCACTAGCAACGCAAGTGCTTTAGAGAGCCTTTTGAGCCCTTCAGAATCCCTTAAGGAGGGCGCTAATATTAGCCAAGGGCTATAACAGCTTTTCCTTAAGGGCCCTCCTTAAGGGAAATCTTTCCTCTTAAGGAAAGTTATAGTAACTTTTCGTAATAGAAATCCCTTAAGGAAAACCGTTTTCCTTAAGGAAGCCACTTAAAGGAGTCCCTTAAGGATTTCACAAGCCATCGCTAACCCTATAAATACTAATATCCTAGCTTTCTCTAACCCTCGTCCTCGATCTGGGATGGCTCCATTGTCCGCCTCCGACCTCTCCTTCGACGAAACCGATGCAGTCGTTTCGATGCAGGCAAGACGGAAGACTAGAATCACAGCCGCCGATTTTGGTCGTCTCTTAGCATCCTCATCAAAGAAGAAGAGGGATAGTGGAGGTAATGAGAATATTAAGGCTCCCGCTGAAGCATCCTTTTCAGCATCCTTTTCATCATCCAAGGGGAAACTGGGGGAGGGGATGCAGTCAGGGATGCGAGCGCGGCAGGTCTAAGGGTTTAGGGTTCGGAGGCGGAGGCGGACTGGGAGGACAGCGGGAGGATATTGGTAGCATTCAAGGATCTCACAAGCCGGGGTCGCTTGGTAGCAGTCACGCTAGCGACATTGTAGGGGCGGCACAGCTTCTCTCCTTTGGTAAACCTGCTAAAGGACCGCAGATACAGTTTAAGCAATTCTCGATTTTATGACCACGATATGATTTGTATATTGGTAAGTACTTCGGATGATATTTGATTGGAGGTATTGATGATGAGTATCAAGCCTATAGCCACCTACTTGTTTCTTGCAGGAACCACGCACCCTCCTCCGCCTCTGTCCTCCTACAACTTGCTTTCATTACTTGAAAACGTACGGAAGCAGCCTCGTACGCCTCGGAATAACGCTCCGATGAAGGAACATTACAAGCGGATGCCGGTTCTGCTTCATACGACGCCGAAAGCAAGGCAGGTTGCTAAACAACTGAAGTCTCTTTTCAAAGACAGATAGCCGGTTGACATGTTGAGTATGGTAACTGTATTATGATTCGAGTAGGTGCCGGCGGAGCTCGACGTGCAGGATCCACAACCTAACCCAACCCATTCATACCAACATGAAGTTACCACGATCATAAAGGTTTTCGAGAGAACGCCTCTATAGCCGATATCAATAGGAAAAATGTTCATGACAGTGTGTTGCATATTAATGACAACGTTTTTTTATATCGTTGAGGTACTTGATTTACGATGCATAATAATCAGAATCAACACTCAATGGCACTAGTAGGCCTGCATGTATAAGTGCAAGCAGATCATCATGCGCTTGGTTTCAGAAGTCAATCTGCATAGCGTTGAGTTAGTAAAAAGTTGAAGCAAGAAGTGTCTATCGTTGTACAGCTGAAGTTTGCAAAGCAGTTGCAGTCCTCTTCCGTAAAAGTAAATGATTCAACGTAATAGTTTGCATAGTAGGTGCAGTGTTAATTTCTATGAACAGATTCCTAGCGTGTTGTTACACCTACTTATGAATGTTTCTACAAAGGTGGGCTGAGAAAGCATGGGAGATACATCAGACACACGCTAGACCGTGACAGGAGGGCTTCAACATATTTAATCGAAGGTTTCATGAATAGAAGGGCCTCAAACGACGCCGATCGATCTGGTGACATGTTGCTAGAAGGACCTCAAACGACGCCGGTGAGTCTGCTGACATGTTGCCATTTGGAGTGCGGTAGAGGAATATCGATGGTTGATCATTTTCTTGAATTAGGTCAGTGGACACTGAGAGGTCGTGGATTAGGTGCAAAACTAGATTGTGGCTTCTTCATCATTCTGATTCTGTGAGTCGTGAAGAGAAGACTTGTTGTTGTACAAGAATGAATTTGTCCTTCGTGGTCCACAAGAATGCTGCGGGTTGCGTTTTTGTCGTCGTTGTTGTGGATTATTTGCGTTGAAGCGGCTGTCATCCGAAACAAAGACCGAGTCTAAAGTTGGTTGGCGGCCAGACAAGATCCAGGGTACGTACACGCTTTTTTTCTGTATCTGTATAAGTACGTACTACGTAAACAATTTGTTCTGTACTATCTTCTAAGTGTTTCCTACGCTTCTCTATATCTACTACATCCACCGATAGTACCATTGATACATGCTTTTGCCGAATAGATTGACATCATCAATACAGGCTTTTGTCCAACCGCAATAGCTCTATCTATTCTATTTTCACTTTGAATCAACACAGCACGAATTCGACAGAGACTGGCAATGCGACGGCGGCAGCGCAAGTGGAGTGCAATGCGGTGTTTGCGGAGCCGACCCTTATAAGGCGACTAAAATTTGACAGTCGTAGGTAGATGGGCACGCATGAGTTGTCTTACACTTACATTTTGTAACAACACCGTCTACCTCTACGTCTTCTTAAATCAAATTTTGTAGAACAAATGAATCATATTCCCACTAATTCTTCTGCACCAATGAGACCCTTCTTCTAAGACTCACAACGGAACGAGATGTAATGTGACGGAAGTAATTCGGGTGGAAAGTCTGCCTTCTTTCGATCCAGGAAAGGCAGTCTTCAACGAATGCAGAAAGCTTTGTACGTTTTAGTGTTTGTAGTCGTCTTTGAAGAAGAGTCCAGGAAGAAGTCGCTATTAATTACCAGTCTGTTTGCTAGTCAGTCACTACTACTACTACTACTCTCAGGCGCCGACTACAACGAGGCTGGCCCAGATCCGTTATGTGGCGCGATTTATACGAACCAGAAAGAATGCAGGCTGATCAAGGAAGGTTACAATGCCGATAAGTGCCTTTTGCCTTTACGGTTCATCTTGGTGTTTGATGTGTGAATAAAACTTGGACATCCCTACATCCCTACATCCCTAGTGCATGATGACAAGAAAAGAATCGAGTACGTCATGTAAGTAGTTGGATCGGATCGATCCAGTTGATGCGTCCATCTCTAATGTTCGTCGTGGGAGGAAACGCCATGCTTTGGGATGTCACGGGATGCTGAATGGATATGGACACAAGGGATATGGACACGTAACTGAGAAGCTTTGGAAATTCAATTTGAATTTCAATTTGTTGAAATATTTTCAATTCTTCTTCTTGAATCCTCGAAAAAGTTTCGATTTATCCCAACTTTTTCGAATTCATTTCCTGATGGTCCACTCTTTCTGACATTCCAAATAGTGCACTTTTCTCTCTGAATCTAAACCTAGAGTCCACCCACATTTGAAGATGACACATCAAGTAGGACTGTAAGTATGGCTTGGCAATAGCATGGGATGACTCACACAATTAGAAGCTCCATCTGAAAGAACTTTCAATGTGATACGATCAAGATTCTCAGATATTCTTCAAAGTTTCACCAAGTGATTGCATCAAATGCACATAATGCAGTGAACTCTTAAAGTAGCAGTTTTTCTACATATTTCTGACATCTGCAGCTTAAGATGCAAACAACATGTCGATATCTACATTTTCTAGGAGCGTTATCTTAGTTTTACATTTGTACTCGAAACTACTGAATAAAGCTGTAAAAGCTCTAGCTTCGGGCATACTACAGGGAATAGATAGGTCGTTTCTGCATCGATATTTGACATGGATAGGAATTCGCTCCATGAGAGAGACTGCGATTTTTCCCAATGGATAGAAGCTGCACAGGAGACCAAGTACATTTCGACATGGTACAGGCTTCGTATTACAACTAAAAGGGCATTAATTATCACTGTCACTGAGTTACGGCATAAAGTGACGCCACTTTCAGACGCAGCGCGACTGTAGGGCATTTTGGGCTACGTGCCGAAGCCCGGCAACAGACTGCTTAAGGCTTGCACTATGATGTATGAGAGGAGCGAGATTACTAACAGAGGTATGGTATGGAAAGAGAGGAATACTCACTGGGAAGATTTTACAGCAATGATGAAACTACTTCTAAATGACGAGCTTGTGAACGCGCTCGGTATGGTATGGAAGGAGAGGAATACTCACTGGGAAGATTTTACAGCAATGATGAAACTACTTCTAAATGACGAGCTTGTGAACGCGCTCGGTATGGTATGGAAGGAGAGGAATACTCACTGGGAAGATTTTACAGCAATGATGAAACTACTTCTAAATGACGAGCTTGTGAACGCGATCGGTATGGTATGGAAGGAGAGGAATACTCACTGGGAAGATTTTACAGCAATGATGAAACTACTTCTAAATGACGAGCTTGTGAACGCGATCCCATGATCTTCTTGTTGCAAGGGTCTGATGATCTGGTTTTACGATGAATATTTAGTTTCCGGCACCAGGATCAGGATCTGCATGTTCTACTTCACCTATCCGCCGTTGATGTCGGTTAAGGTTCTTCTTTCTGTTACTTTATAAATGACTACAATTATGCAATCTTCACTGACGACTAAAAAGACACGCAACTGATCTTCAATTTCGGAAAAGATGGCTTGACATATGACAGTAGCACCAGTAGCCGTACCACTTCCGATGTTGACCTAAGAGCGCAGAATCTTGTGCTCAGCCGGGTTCACGAGGATGTTGTTCGGCCTGAGGGACAACATTGTCCAGGGGTTGGTTTTGAATCCGAAGTTTGCCGATGCAGCTAGGAAGTCAAAGGTTGGGAAATTTTTGCTACCGAACTTCCTTGCTCGTGCAAAAACCATAGAAAATCAACGTCGTGATGATTTTAGTGTACCGCCAATCACCCTGCTTACGCCTGATGCGAGTCCTGCTAGAACGCGTGAGCTAGCTGGAGCTCAAGCCTTGCGTGGTAGGGATGCAACAAGTGTTGACCTCCGTGTTCATGGAGCAAAAGTCAGACTTGGCTGGGCGGTTCAAAAAGCACAAAAAAGCAGCGCGAAGGAGACCCTGTTCTTCAAGGAGGCTGATCTACGAGGGTTAGAACGCGCAGCGAAATGGAGGAATATTCTATGCATGTTGGCACGTACTCTTCTCACTCTCTATTCGTGTAGGCACACTTCTTTTATCACTTTTGTCATTAGCTACATCTCTCGTTTGTTCAGATATTCTTAGTCCCTATTGACAATATTAGTTACATCTCTAACTCCTGCGCCCAGCACCGCCGGTGGTAGACCATGGGACGAGTATCAGACCTTCATGCGCTTGCATGCGAAAGGGAGACTCGGTCGTTGGGTATGGAACTGGCGTAGTGGAGGACCGCTAAAGAGATTCGTCTCTCACGGATTACAAAAGCTGATTGCAGTGCCTGAAACGACAGCAACAGTATCCGAGGATAGACTGCTTCCGGTACCGTTGACATTAAGGGTTACAACAACATTGCATCATACCCCATATTATAAGATCTATATTCGAGGACCTTCTAGTACTACTACTTCCCGATTGTAGAAAGACAGGAATGAATCGCAGGAATGCAATGGTGTAAACTCCAATGACGAACGAAATAGTGAAGGACATTTTGCAGCTTTGCACAGTTCCTGAAACGCGACTGAAGGTTGCGGGTGCTCATTCTGCTCACTTTTTCGACGAAAAAAACGGCATCTACAAAGCATGGAGCGATGTCATTCGTGCCTGTCAAGTTATGTCGGCACTCTTAAGCGGGCTTGTTGAAATTAGTTCGATCTAGGTGTCCTCATGCGATACGTGATGCTTCATCATGAGGAAAGAGATTAGTTACAGAGTCCAAATACTAGGTGATAGCCATTTTCGCTCAAGCATAGGCATGCACCCATCATGACTCCAAATCGTCAAGACGACGAAGGATCCACCCCAGTTTAGCTGCTCTCTAGCAGGTTATCCTCAAGCTAGCGTTGAAACTTCGATGAAATGGATTCAGAAGTTTGGTTTTAGAAGTCTTGATTCTAAACCTGTTCTGATATGTTTCTTTGACATTTGAGAGTCATGTAACTTCCTAAGTTGAGTAGAAGTGAGATATTTGTTGAGTTATTCGTTGAATTGGAATTCAAATTGTCAATTTGAAGGGATATCCAAGAATTTTCAGTTATATTCCATTTTAATTGAATTCATTTCCTTTTTTTTTTTTTGTATCGCGGGCGAGTTCCGATATATCCAAACCTACCTGCGTATTGTACAAGTGAGCGCAGATAAGTCAGTACCTGCCTACATATTTTCCGCGTAGCTACCGGCGTAGGGGGGAGTTCTGAATCTCCTTAACAAACTACGCTACTGCCCCTACGATTTACCATGTTCAAGAACTAGGAGCTTTCCTGACGAAGAGCTTTCATCCACAATCAAAATTGACTCAAATCTTCAGATTAAACTCTATGACTAATCTTCGTTGTACAGGAAGCGGTTAGTCCATAACGTCTGTACAATATTGTCTCTTAGCTGGTTGTCATGAAGGAACTGCGAGAGGGACACACACATGTCATGCATTAGTACCAAATAAGTAGGCACTATAGTAGGTGAAAAGAAGCTAAAACTTCATAGTTTTCATCAAGAATAACCATTTGATCTTAGGAATTCCAACATATGACGTCACCTTTGATGCTCTCTCTGTCGAATGAACCGAAAGTGATGAGAATGTTATTAAGTGTGCTTCCACCAAACTTATTAAGTGTGCTTACTTATCGATCTTGTACTAGTCTTCAATGATAGTCCGTCTTGTTTGTTCTTAATCGCAAATCTAAACCTTATCCCATACGAGTATCGTGTCCGTGTGATCAGCAGAATTTCAACACCCTCCTGAAAGCACCAGCTCTAGGTCGTAGTTTAGTTTTTGGCTCTTCATTAGCGAACTATGTCTGCTACTGCTAGTTTTTCTAGTGGGTCCACACCTAACCTAACCTGACCGAACCTAACCTCTTTTGCCATCCACTGGCGTGTACTTCTCCCGACTACGTTGTATTCAGTAGTAGATTTAGTCGTGATAGCGATAGGAGATACTCATACTCTTCTCGACCTTTTGCTTCGTGCATCGAAGTGGCGGTTCCGTCTTGTCAGTAGCTGAGGAGGGCTACATGAGACGCCATGATGATGAGGCGATGCTTTACTAGGAGTTCTAATCCACTGCGTGTAACCACTTCCTCTGCTGAGAGCGTTGCGGAAATGCATTGTGGCGGGTTTTGCATGCACGAGAAGGACGTGGAGAAGAAGACGACGCAGTTCTTGGGAGGAAGATGGATGATTATGATCACCGCATTATGAGTTTGAGCACCGCCAATGCATCTGTCGTGCATTGATCTTCTTATAATCTTCACTATGTCACTCAGCCTAGCTAATTATTGGAAACCTCTGCACACTAGAGGAGCGTTAGGTTTTCTGGAGGACGTTGCGATCCCGCTGACAGCTATAATATTGAGACCTTTTTCGTTACGTGGTTTCGTAAGCAATGTATGCAAGTGCCGGGACGCTTAGAGGCCACTGGAGGTGAAAGGCAGAGCACTATTGTTACACGTTCTGATCGCAGTGCTGGGGAGAGCGGAGCTTCAACCCGAGCTGTCACTAGGGGTGGCCGATCCATGGGCGCGGCCCGAGAAGGGAGAAGCACAACTACACCGGCAACTTCAAGTGCAACAACAACCTCATCTAACGACATTGTCCCACGATCATCGAATCATAATCATGCCCCTCCTAGAGGAACCTTGTCAACAAGGGACGATGCGAACAAGATGAGCCTCGAGGATTCAAAACATCAAGATCAAAATGCACCGTCATCTTCTTTGTTTCCACCGTCGGCCAAAAAGGTACCAGCGCTTTATGATCCGCTCGCGGCGGATCTGCTCTATGAAACCGAGGCGCTTTACCTGGACTCCAACATGGTTTCGCTGAGCAGCATGCTTTTAAGTCTCTCCGTCGTTAACCCTTTGACGGGATCCCTGAAAAGTATCCTTAAGTGCCTCCCTGAAAAGTATGATTAGGTGCGTCCTATTTTATCCTTCTATCCATTCTTCAGGGATGCAGCTTGAAGATGAAGTATGGACGAGAGGTCTAACGTTCTTTTTCGACGCGCGTTTTGAATCACTCTTTGCTTTATTGCAACGCTGGCTAGGAGTGCAGTTTCGTTGCGACCGTGCACGCTCGACCGATCAAGAAATCATCTATCACGTCGAAATGGATCCTGCCGTCTTTCAACACAGGAGCGCGAAACTACCTTTCAACACAGAAGCTGCTTCTATTATTAAGGCAGGTCGTGGTCCTTTCTCATTTTCTGGAAACTGGTTAATATTTTGATGTGCGTCTGTTGATCCGGAGTAGAATCCTCCTAACGAAAGCGAGTGAGGGACTCCTGAGAAAAATAATAATTTCATCAAGTACTAGTAGTAAGTATACTGAAAACTTACAAAGCTATTCCTTCTAAGTTTCGTAGAGTTGTATCTATATCAATTAAGTATCCCTTCTAAGTTTCATAGAGGTATAAGTGGCACTGTGCGCATAAAGACTGCAGATCCGAGGGAAAAGAGGCCTCCCAACGCCTTCAGATCTGTTAAGGCTCACCCTAATTCATCTTCCGAAGCATTCTGAAGAGGCTTTGCTTCAAAAGGGGAAACAGAAGGCACCCAGTATGCTTTTCAAGATGCTTTTCAAGATCAAGCTCTAAATCTGGTGATCAAGAAATCACCGTCATGCAAATCCCATGGCATATTGTTTCTGGCAGTACTGCACCTGCGGGATCTTCAGAGATCACAGATTCTGTTAAGGCTCGATACAATTCATTTTCACCGGTCATTTTCTTCTCTTTCCTTCGTTCTCACCCCTATAAATACCTCATGAATATTACTAGGTACATCAATCACTCAATCAATCAATCACGACTCTGGAGAAATGAGGGGAAGAAATTGCCTTGAGTTCTAATGCTGAAGGGCGACTGCGATATGGGATGATCGGTCTAAAGTGGGTCGCCACTTTACTTCACGAGATGGGCCATGCCTTGCATAAATTGGGGACTCCAGAGGAGGACATTTTTATCATGGACCGTGATATTTCTGAGTATCCGTCTACTCTGTTGGAGTTTTTGGCGGAGGATGAAAAATTTTTGACCGAACTACTTGCCTGTGCGCCTGAAGATGAAATCTTTTTACGGCTGAAGTAGTTGTTGTGTTTTATTATCCAGTGTGACAGAGTTATCCTGATTGGAGATGGAGTTCCGTGGTTAGTTTCGAAGCAGAAACTTATCAGGGTAATTATCTTTCAAGATCTTCAAGGCATAACTCAAGAACAACCATGGTGGATACTAGAACTAGGGAAGCAAGTCGTGCCACCTTCAGTTTGTAAAAAACGCAATAAAGCAGCCGTTACGCAGAAAGCATTCGATTTGAATGAAAGGTTGATGAAAAGCTGGACCTACTGGCAGAGGTCTTTCATCTACGACAAGCTGTACGGAAAAGATGGCCTAGCGAAAATTCTAGGGCTTGCGAATGCGAATCCGAAGACCACGATGGCATCAAGAACGAACAGTTGTCGAACAGAAGAGAGCCTATCATCCGGTACCTCCGGTGACAACACGAAGTCAGCGGATCAGTTACTTGCGTTGAAAAGCAATAGAGAAGGAGAAGATGAAAAGCTACTTCCAGGAGCAACCGCTAGGACTAGAAGTTCTCAGGACACTTCGTTAGTAGAGCTACCTTCTGCGAGAATTCAGAAGAGAAAAGGACTAGTAGAGCAGCAGGATTCAAGAAGCGTTAGAAAGGACGGAATGGAGGTTCCTGTATGTTCTTCTGATAGAGACAAACATCAAGCAATGTGCGACTATGTAAATGCTGTAGTTGCCGAGAGCATGGGCTATGAAGGGTATGGGAGCTCATCAGCCGGAGTTCGTTTAAGGCTCGAAATAGTTCGTCATCTTCGCAGACCACTATGTTCTTGTTGGCTTCGAACATCAATAGGGTTAATATGGTCAACAGAAGAGATGCATTATATTCTGATAATTCGAGCTCCTCTAATTTATTTCGAAGAGGCTACTACTAGTAGCAAGAGGTCTTGTCTACATCCTCTCGTATTTCCGCGCGTCCGCGAATCTTTCGACAGCGTGAGTTTTTATACTGGTCTAGCCTACATCTTTCCGCACATTCGAGCTCGGCAAACGTTGGAGAAATTTCGAAAGGCGAGGAACAATCCAGCGATACTAACGGAAGCTTTCACTTAAGGCTCTCCCAAAGATAAATTCATCCTCATACTGATTCTGATAAGGGTTGTTGTTGTTAACCAATTACATCCTCCACAACCATCCAGCACTCTCTTTCTAGTAGGAAACAGGTGGGGGATGTTCTGAAGAATGTATAATGTGGCAACCTTTAACAGAAGCATCTTTGACCACATTTTCAAGAGGAAGAAGCGTCAAAGATGCACCTTCAGATGAGAATATTTGGAAGGTGTCTAATTTACGAGGGACTACTTCGTTTACGGCTCCCCACAGCATTTCGTTCCGACGCCAGAGGAAATCCGAAAGCATTTCTGTTTCGCGGATGAAGTGGGGAGATTGTAGTTGTCGTATTTTTATTGTGTCTATGTATGAGGATCACGATCAGTGCAATTCGTAGTCACTAGTCAGTCATCCATGTCCGTCGTATATACAAATGAAATCTACTCAAAATTTTTATGTTACTCAAGCAACCGACTCCAATACTCATTGACAAAGAACGCTTTGTGCGATTCAGCGTACCAGAGACAAGTTATTAAATTGGAGAGAGCCAAAGATGACAGTTACAGAATTTCCAGAGATGACTGAATTGTTATGAAATTTGGAGTTAGCTTCGCTACGCGATCTGTTCCGAGAACAACCAAAGTTTCTGTTTTTGTTACAGTGTTCAACTACGCATGTAGTACGAAGAAAAGAATACCCTATAAGAGTCTATAAAACAAATTATCTGTTTGAGTCCATCTTCACTACGAGTGTTGATCTCTGTATTTGTGTGTGGTTTGTTGAGAGCAATCAAATTTTTTGTCTTATACGAATTAATACTTTTATTTTTTCTTCCAAGAACGGACCTTAGAACCAAGCTATGTGAATCCAATTCACCATAAGTTCCATGAAGAAAGAAGGAAGAATGGTATGTCCAACCGAAACAGTGATCCCAAATGGTATTTTCCCCATCATAATCCTTGTTTTTGTCTGTTACCACAAGGCATTCTAGCAACGTATTCATACTTTTGGCTCACCTGAATTCTTCTTGATTTCTTTTATTTTGACAGGATTTGCATGCATGTAATTAATTAAGTTCTCCGCATAAAGAGAGTAGCTCCTTGTTGTAATTAATTCATTGATCATGGCGCATCATGCCTATACGCTTACCTTGTCGTCGCAGGTGAGCTAACTCCTATCCTATCCTAATTCATTGAGTCGGACCGTAGAAGGTATTGTTGACAGTCTGTAGTGTAGTTTTAGTCTTTTTTTGAGAATACATTATAAGTGAGCACGACTTGGAAGAAGATGTTATTCAGCGCAGCGTCAGCGTCAGGCATGGCATCCGACGGACCGGCTGTAGAGGTAGGGGCTCAGGCTCGTCGGGGTATCGTCAAGGCTGCTGCTCCCAGGTCGAACAAGCACAACATGAAACACCTTACCCGAAGGTTCGACGAGGACGATAGAAGTAGCGTTCTTGCGCTGTTACCTGTAGTGGTTTCTCAGATCGAGTCTATCGCACGACTAAGGCTTGAGACGATTGGAGCCTTGCTCATCCTTTTACCGATTACGCTCTTCTTGGTCCAGAATCCGATGTTCGTCGTGGTGCTGCTTGGCGTGTCTTTATTCGTGCTGAAAGCGCTCTCGCTAGTGCAAGAGCGGGGTCTTTTGTCACTCGTGATGCCCGTGCAACAGGTGGCACAGTTGGCGGTGAGTGACACGGCAAAACAAAGTGTGTACGACATGGTGGTTACTACCTCGCTCGAAAGGTTGCAGATGGCCAAGAAGCTCATGCGAGTAGGGCTCCTAGTGTCGAACCAAAACATGACAAGAGAAGAAATCAACTACATCGTGCAGGTACTATTTTTAGATTGGAAATATTTGGATTTGTTATGCTTGGTCGTGCAATCGTACTAGAAGTCTGACATAATTACAGAACAACGACCACACTTAAGCTTAACGTTCCTTCCTCCAACCTCTCACATCACAGAACGACCAAGAATACTTGGATTTGTTCCGGAAGATTGTGGGAAAACCGCTGGTGCATTACCTCCCCCTCAATTGGCGACGGTTGCTCTTTGGGACGCAAATATTGGAGGACGAACGAGACTTCCTGATCGAGCAGGACGAAAACTTTAAGCAGCAAGCGATAGCGGATGCTGAGGATGACGGGATGATAGACCCATTTGGCGGATCCACCTATGACGAGTCTTTATCAGAGGAAGAGGAGGAAGAAGATGAGGAAGACGAAGATCCCCTGGACTTCGATGTGCTAGGCGATCCTAGGGCATCAGATACATCTGGAGGTGAACTCTTGCTAGAAGAATTGCTAGAAGAGGAACTTCAGGCCTCATCCAGTACCAGTCCAGCAGCAGTAACGAAGAGGATACGTCGTGGAGGTCAAGAAGTAGATAGAAATGTAATTTCAACATCATCTTCCCAGCGTGCTCCCTCTACTCTCGTAGCTGGCTTGGGAGGCTATCAAGGTGACACTGGGAGCGGAGGTGCTACCTCATCCTCAATGTTGGATTCTACTGTTGCGGGTAATACTACTGCAGGAGTCGGGACCTCAAGTACAAGTTCAGGTCTGAGAAGAAGGAAACTATCGGGGGCACCGAATCCAAGTAAAGGAAGTACAGCTTCTCCTCACGTACATTTCGGAGGTGCCTCGTATCGCTCTGGTACGTCTACCTCGATGCTGAGTAGTGCTACTGGATTTGCTGATTCATCTTCTCCCTCAAGTCGCATAGTGCTCAGTAGTGCAGCTGGAGGACGACATACGACGAGCAAGAGGACGCGCGTAGTCTCCTCGTTCGGATCGACAGCTCTGAACAGCATGGTCGGCGGCGTGGATTTGGGCGGCTACTGCAAGGAAGAGGGTGTTTCGGACAGTTTTGATTTTGGCGACGATGACCACTCGGGTTTGCCTGACGTGGTGGCTCGCGCAGTGAGCGCCGCAGTAGGGTTCTACACCAGCAGCTTTATGTCATCCGAGTTTTTCACTACCAGGGAGTGGGAGAGGAATTTCCGCTTGGAGGATCACATGAATTTTCAGCTGCACGCTGACCGGGACGCACTAGAACTGAGTCCGAGACGGGACCGGGATAGTACTATGCATTCAATTAATATAGATGTTGGAGGAGGACTTTCAGACGAAGGAGTAGGTGTAGGAGGAGGCTCGTCTTCTTCAGGTACTAGAGAGCATCTTCAGGACCAGCAGAGAGGCGCAACGTCATCGAGACGAACGGGAGTTTTTACAAGGTCACGAAGTAACGACTTCTTAGATGGCAGGGACACCAGACAAACCACTGGTTCAGCACTCTTACCTTCCAGTAATTACGCACGGGATGGGGGAGCAGCGGCGCGGTCGGCGTCCAATGACGCAGTGACGAGGCCACGTCGGCGCAAGTTCTCTCGAGGAGGGGCCACTACTCCTCCAATTGTAGGTAGTCCTCGTAATAGTGCTATTACGTCGAAGTCGACGACGGAGCAGGGAGTTCGAGGACAAGTCGGAGGCACCACGGATAACGCGGAAGGGGCGATGAGCCGGTCTTCGCCACTCTCTGTCTATAGAAATAAACATCTTTCAGTCATTCGAGAAGAATCCATGAATAGCAGTAGGAGTGAGCACTCAAGTACTGGGACACGATTTGTTTCATCCTCTACAACGACTGCTGATGCTCCTCAAGCTCAAGGCCTAGGGCGTGTGACTCCAACACCTGTTGCACAGCAAGGATTAGAGGCGGCGGTGAGTGGCAAGCAAGAAGGAAAAGAAGACAGTGCAGAGCTGGACTCTACGGGGTCGACGTCTCCCGGCACATCTGCGGATGGTGTAGAGCATGAAGACGATTCCACTGCGCGCGACGAAGACGAGCTCATAGACGTTGAGGAGGAAGACGAAATGGTAGGTGGTGACAAAATTGGTGAAGATGGAGCTATAAGAACATCGCGAGGAAATGGATCAAGAACGAAAGGAAGGGTAAATCATGCATCTACTAGAAAGATGGATAATATTAATGGCTTAGGAACAGAAGATGGACAACTGCTTGCTCATCAAGGACTAGAACATCTTGGTGGAGGAGACTCAAGCTCAAATGGTGCGACAACTACAGGGGCAACTAGAGTTGTGAAGAGTGTAGTGACGAATGTGAGGTCACGCATGCGTGCGACCTTAGGTCGAGGCTTCTCGAGAATCGCAGACCGACTGCCGTCAGCAGTCACTACACCCGTCGCAGGACTTGTTCGTGGGCTCATGTCCTCTTCCGGCAGGCCTTCTTCTTCGCTATTTCCTACTTTTGCTGGTGGCGTACGCGGTGGTGCTGGTGGATTAGGTAGTAGCAGGTACAATTATAACAACATGAGTAACAACATGAGTCATAGGGCTCCTGGATCGCCAGTGCGGTTTGTGTTTAGTTCTATTCTGGAGAACACGCCATTGCCGATTTCGGATGCTGAGCGACGAAAGGCAGTACAGATCGGAGCGAAGTTCTTGCAGAAGAGGATAAGGGAAGTGGAAGACGTCAAATCTTTAGTACATCGGAAGCAAGCGGAGGCACTAGCGCGCAATAATGCCACGAGAGGGCTGCTGAATGCGAATTTCGATCCTAGTGTCTTCTTCTGGATGCGGATGCGCACCTTTTACCGCAGACACCTAGAACAGCACGTCTTCTCTGGTCTGCAACTTTTGGCGGGCTGTGGCGTTCTGGTCGCTTTGAAGGGCATGGTGGAGGAGAAGGCTAGAGAGTCTCCGGCACTGTTGCGAACACGCGCGGCCTTTGCGGCAACCTGTGACTACCTGGCGCCCTCACGAGCGACCTTGTATGGCTATGCCGGAGTCAGCTGTGGCTACATCATTTACCGGCTGCAACAAAAACTGAACGAAACAAAGAGCCGATCGAGGATAGACTGACGAGGACATGTGTTGCTTTCCAGTCTATGGCTTCGTCCAATAAAGACAACTACAACAATATCCTCTTGGCGCCCGCAAGACTGAAGACTCAGCTTCGAGGCCTGTGTCGCGATTTAGAAAAAGAGACAACTTCAAGCTTCTTTTCGCTGACTCGGCTCTTTTGTGAAGATATCACTTCTCGCAATCGGAGGCTTGCCCTCGAGGACATTTCTAAACGACCGCCTCTACAACCACTCACAACATCCTCGAAGGGACGCCTCTTCAGATGCACGCAGTACTAAGTACCGAGCGCGTACCTCTCGGCTTCGCCAAGTGTGAACTTTTTGTCGGCTTTGTTCTTTCTGGAGTCACTGGAAGCTTGTACTCGAAGAAGATGAAGTAAACTGCCTAGTGCTTTAAATCATATGGTAGGATTCATCGCCTGAGCCCTGCATCCTTTTTAGTGCGACATAGAGTAAGTTCTTAGAGGGGCAGTCGCCGCATGCAGGCAGAATCTTCATCAGACACTCGTCGCACAGTCGCATTGATGATCTTGTTATACTACACTGGTTCACCTGGACCGTACGGTTCTGGACCAGTCGTTCGACACTCTAAAAGATTTTATTGTCTTTCGCCTTACATCAGAAGAGGTTGATTTAATCATAAATTTTAATTTTCTTTATAATAAGCTAACCTTACTAATAAGACGCTGAAAAGTTTACTCGATCCCCATGTCCCTTTCCACCCACCGCCCTAGGTATTTCTTGCCATCTATTTCTATTTTCCTTTCAAATTAGTCAAAGAAAACCAGCATTGAGATCTTCGATGCAGGTCGCGGAGGTTTTTCCTTTGCATAGCAAAAGCAACATGCAAATCGCTGTGGTGCTGTGTGTTCTCCGCATACTGGATATCGTGTCGATAGATGAACGCATCAGATGCCAATATAAAGCAGAAGATCGGTGTGGGGTAGGAGTGGAGTGAAGACAGAGTGGAATAAACTACTAGTTTCAATCGGAAATACAGTGGAGGAAAGAAGATGTCACTGAGCAGAAGTTAAGAGGTGTTGGCTTCTATGAATCTTAGGTGTGACCAGAAGTTATGAGGTGTTGGCTTCTATGAATCTTAGGTTATGCACGATTTGAGTACACCCAAAATCAAACCTCAAAAGGAACTATACATCAAATCTGGTCCTAGTATGCGAGAATTTGAGAGGAAATCATATGGTCATTCGAAACAGATGACATGTTTTGGATGTCTCAAAATTGAATTTAGATGAATCCTCGAAAAAAGTTCTTTTTATTCCACTTTTTCAAAATTCATTTTCTGAGGAGCCATTGTTAATTCAATTGATCTAGCCTCAATCTCTGCACAAAGATCATACCAAGAGAAGACTACTCTGGTGATAGCTTCAACGATAGGACTATAGTAGCATGGCGATTGAATCCTGCTACATCTAAACTTGTTTTGGTAGAGTATTCAAATCCAATTTGAGACGAATCCTCGAAAAATATTCGTTTTATCTCACTTTTTCCAAATTCATTTCCTGAGGAGCCACTGTTAATCGAATTGATTCAGCTTCAACTTCTTGATCATAGAGATGAGCGGCATAGCGGGCGCAGTAGGCTTCGCTGGCAGAAGCAAGCAGCAACGTGTGGATGTATTGTTAATGCGGGATCCTCCTGCGACATCGAGTTCCAGCACAAAATCTTCCTTCTCTGGTTCTACTTCGCCAGCCTCAAGGACACAGTCGCAGAGCACTGCTTCTTCATCGTCATTAAGATTGATTTAGCAGAATAGATTCCGCCCATCAGATTCTTGCATGTAACTACAAAGTGAACACAATTTCACTGACCGGTTCTGCGAAGATGGTCCGCACTCAAAACAGTTCTAATGTCATCAACATCCAAGAAAGGAGAAGCTGACAAGCCAGGTACGACTGGCAAAGTAGATGCGACCAAGAAAAAAGAGGAAGAGGGCTTAGATTAAGGGTAGTGTATCACTATCCCATGTGGAATATGCTGAGTGGAGTCGGTCCTCCTTTTATATTTTTAGGGGCAACATGGGGCAAAGAGGGCAACCCACTCGCGTCGGGGTAGTGAAAAGCTACCTTTAAGTAGAAGAGCTGGAGACTTTTCTAGCACAGCAGATAGCATCGCACCGACTGATAGCTCGCCCGGTTGCCCTGTGCTATGCACTTCTGGCGCTTTTCTGCGGTGCGTGGGGCGGGTTCATAGGGTATCAGATTTGTAACTTTTGGATAAGTACAGGGATAGTAAAGTTATCACGTCTTCATTCACTTTTGGAATTTTATTTCACATGCACATGCTTTTCCTCTTCAAGACTAGCTTGCAGTATTTTGAATCGGTGTTGATTAAGTACATATAGAAGACAAACTGAAAGTGAAATTGTTTTTTACCAGAAAAAACTAACTGAAACTCAGGTCAAGGCTCGGTATAGGGGAGAAGTTTGCTGCTTCACTAGGGCAAATTCCTTGGTTCAATAGATCCTCATGGGGGTCAGAGTCGTGTGTCCGCGAGGACGTCGTGCTACGGAAGCTGAGATCTGTGATAGGCAGTTTAGCAAATCTCTCTCACCAAGAGCTGCTCTACATGGAAGATACGCTCTTTTATGATCCTGTATGCCAGTAGGGTCGTGTCATCTACTACATCACTTGGCAGATCTAGATGTGAAGTTTTCTCAAAACCCTTCTTGAGGTTATTAGTTATATACATCAATCAACCCAGGAAACTTTCGACATCAATTGCACTGCTTTTCCCCCTTGAAGAGCTATATTTATCACCTTACCCACCTCGTGGAGAAGTGTATCATGTCTTTACACGCGCTCTTTTAGAACTGGGTATATCATCATCTAAATTCTTCCAGAGGAGCCTGACGAGCCGAGCGGTGACGATAATGTTGAAGCAGATGGTCGTTTGGTGAATCCGAGTAGGGTTCAAAACGCATTTACCGAGGACGACGATAGTGGTGATGCACTAGAAACGAGGCCTCCATCTGCCGTCTCTAGAGTGAAGACATCGTCAACATCACTTATGGGAACAAGTACTTTGTGCGAGATTTATTACATCCCTCTACTTCATCGGTTTACCAATTTAAACATGTCATGTCCAGCAAGCCCAACATCCATCCGCCTCCAATTCTATTCCTCTTCGTATATTGATCCAAAGTTCTAGTGCAGGGGTTAGTTCACTAAACGACCCACAATCTAGTCCTCTCATCATCATTATTGTATTGCAGTGTGCTGTACTTAGTTTTCGGTGCGGCCTGGCCGCGGTGCAGTTTACGCTCAACCTTAACCTTACAACTTTTTGTATCATCGTGATCGCCCTGTGTCGTTGTCGAGGATCATCATCATTTTGAATGTCTAATTGTTGTACATTGCTCAACTTTTTCACAATCGAGGAGTCCCTCTAAATCACGCAAAAAGGCAAGGGATCCATCTGGATCAAGTGGAGCACGAGCCTCGAGCACACAGCAGGTGTCAAAGTCACAGTTAAGAGATTCAGAAGAGATTCAGAAGAAATAGAAGTACCAATAAACAAGTTTTTTTACGTAGTACCAATCTACAATTTTATTGAAAGCAATAGAGAGTACCTATATTATAGCCACAATACTATGAGCTCCAAAAGAACGTCAAAAGGATAACAGTATCTTTTATATCATCTATAGCTTTCCTTGAACTTCTACTTACTTACTTGATATTGTAGGCATAAGTACTAGCATTGATTAGCAAGGAGAAAAACTTATGATATGGAGATACTGCTTGTTCATTTTCACGTGGAGGTCGTAACCGTGAGAGGGCAATAGCAGCCGAGCGGGACTTCGATATGGATGGTCCAACCTCAGTCCTACAAAAGAGCGCAGACAAGGGAGTCGAGAGTTTCAAGACGGCTGCAACGGGTAAAATCCTCGATCGGATTTCCGAGATAGCTCCCTCAATCGGAAGACCTCGTGAAGGTGGAGATGAATGATTCTCGAAAAAATGAATTTTTATCGCCTGATAATTCCAGTTCATTTCCTGACGAGAGCTTTCTTCTTCATAACTGACGAATCCTTGAAAGTTGTTGGGATGAATGAACAGGGCTCATATCCTTGCAAGAACTGAAAGAGAAATGACTTCATCCACGATGACTCCAAGAGATTGACTTTACAGGACATACAAGATGACGGATCGATGATAAGTACAACAGTTGAGATGGCTTCGCTACCGTAGGATGTCACAAGGACTGAATGGTTTCAGACTGACCGATGGAGAAAAAAAGAAGATCAAGATTTATGGCCTTGCATAGAACTGGATCAGAATGAGACTGACAGGTAGAAATAGGAAGAAAGAGAGTAGTTCTGTACTTCTTCGTTTGCTACGCCGTCGCACCTAGTGTCCACCTGAAATCTGAAATCTAGCCAGAGAAGATCTTGAGAGAGAAGACCATCAATCTACAAATGAAGGATCAGGGAAGCAGATCTTCAAGTACTCAGGAGCTCTTGAGGAAGATCTTCAAAAACAATCGATCTAATTCACGTTCACCATCATCATCAGCATCATCATCAGCCTTTGATGTTTGAAGATACAAGTTTTTTCTTTCTTTGGTGAAGTAAGGAAACTCCAGTTTTTTGAAACAGAATAAGTTGTCCCCATAATTTTCTAAGCCCCTCGCAAAACGCGTCTTTTGCCCTTCAACTCCATACAACTGTTAGTTTTTACTGTCTTGATTCGATTTTTCACTATAACTCTATCGAAAACTCTTAGTTCCATATTCTACAGATAGCCTTTTCCTTGACAAGAAGCAACAAAACAAACAACAAGATGTCAGTGCTGTCTTCGGAGGGAGAAAAAATCGCAAGCTCTGTGGACGACGTGAGCATTGCCGTACCAGATCGCACGGTTTCAGATTCCGCCGACGGTGGCCAGCCAGCTGCGGAGGCTGCTGAGTGCTCAGCCATCCTAGCCCCCGAGGAGGCCAGTATTATCGTGAAGAGCATGTCCCGTGAGAATTTGAGCACCGAGGTCCAAGAGATCCGGGAGAGCTCGCCTTTGGGCAAGATCCACGTGGAAAAAGCCCTGAAACGATTCAAAGAGTTGTTCTATGGGACGACGGGTTCTCAAGAAGATGAAAACGCCGAAACTTCCGCAGAGATGAAGAACAACCGTGGAGAGGAAAACCGAAAAATCGATTGCGCTGCCTTCTGTAAGCTCTACCGTGAATTGTTGAAAGCTTCCTTTTCCGATGTTGTTGTGGAAGTCGATGCAGAAGGTAAAAATGAAGACTCGAAGCGCGTCTTTCGTGTCCTGGACAAGGACAAGAACGGAGAGTTGGACGCTATGGAGTTGTGCACTGGACTCTCCATGTTCTGCGCTGGCACACCAGAAGAGAAAATCAAAGCGGTACTTGTAGTTTGCATTCGAGCTTCTTAGTTCAACTGGTGGGAGGTTGTATACATGATACACGTCGACAAGAAGATGAGCTTGTTTTTCAGTCTTGAGTTTCTTGTGCTTATCATGTACCCTCATGTAACTAAAAAAATCAAAATTGCGGATTGATCATGATAGATAATAAGTCTATGTCTATCCTCTCCCTCTTCCGCTTTCTGTCACAGGTATTCGATTTCGTAGATGAGAATGGCGATGGCGTCGTTTCTCGAGCAGAAATGTTTGCCTTCTTGTACTCTTATTTCGTGGTCATTGTGACACCGGAAATGCTCGAGAAGCTGAATGGTGCTTTGAAGTGCTTGACCGAGACTTCTAGTTTGCAGGAGCATCAAGAAGAGAATGAGGAGGAGGAAAAACAAAAAGGAGAAAAGAACCACGAGCAAAAACAAAAAGAAGAATCTCAATCTCCAACTTCAGAAGTCGACAACGAAGAGCAACCGAGCAGTGCTACAGGAGATGTAGAAGAAGTAAAAGAGCAGCAAGTTCTTCAGCCCTACACAGTGGAGGGATTGGCACGGGAGACGATGGACAGCTGTTTCGCTCAAGCCGAAGTCGATGCGGAAGGCAATTTGAGTGTGGAAGAGTTCACTCGCTGGTTCCTCGCTATGCAGGCTGGTATTGATCAAGCCGCAGAAGAAGGGGAGAAGGCAGTAGAAGAAGGACAGAACTAGAAGGAAGAAGGGATCGAGAATTACAAGACGAACACGAAGAGAGAAAATAATGAATATTGTGGTTTATACTTATTAGTTGAAGCTTTCAATTGACTCTCTCGTGCATGGTAGAGAGAAGAAAGGAATAATTCTTTTCGTTGAAGAAGGTCATCTTTTACAACGAACCCAGAAACTGAAAGTACAGCAGGTTTTCTTACAGCGTGGTCCTTCTGGAATAGTATATCGTGATTCATAGTATGTAGTCGTCTTAGTATTGTACGAGAGAATTATGAGAAAGTATTTCTTTATTTTGAAAGTTCTATCTAGTTGTCATGACTCTTGCACTAAGTAAGGAGAAAGTCTGTCAGCACATTCAAAGTATGGCCATTTCTTGGTAGAGTTTGGTCATTCATCATCATCGCTTTGTTCAAAGTATTGCGTCCTATCATAGATTCATTTATTCTCTACTGAAGTCACCTATTTATTATCCAAATCTGCGTTGGTAATCCTTTTGACCCCCAAAGCTGGGTAGACTCTCTCGGGCATCTTCCCTAACGTCACCTGATATCTTCTTACCCCCACGCGTTTACCATACTGTATTGTGTGTTGTAGACGGTCTTTTCAGTGGGTCCTGATCCTTGGGACGTGGCACACTCATGTATAGGATTCCCCTCCTATTACTATGCGGTGGTGAAAAAACTTTATCGAAGATCGTGAGCATTTGTTGCCTCTTCATGGTTTTTTGATTCTGAACATTGCAACAACTAGCACGACATGAATCATCCCTGTGACAAGAAGAAAATACTTCTTATGCAGAGGGGCTGGAGGAAGTGCAGCAGGACAACGATGAAAAGAAGCATGATCGTGAGTTCTATTCTTTGCTCCAAACGGAAAGTTAAGTTTGGGGTACTGGTGTGGTTCTAGAGAGTGGGATATTTGAAATATTGTTGTCGTTTTCGCGACTGAGAATACTCTGTTGAGAGTGTAAAGGAAAGAAAATCCATGTGCGAAAGGAAAGAAAATCCAGATCGAGCCGCTAGCTACAAGCTTCCGGATTCTAAGGAGATGAGCTGAAAAGTGGGATCATCTCCTTAGCCCTCAGTCGCAGACTGCGGACTCTCCTCCTAGTAAGGCGCCAAAGACTTCTCCTTTATGAAGACGCCCATCCGCTGTGCTGAAAGATGTGAATGACTGCCTATGCTTGCATTGCACGACATCAATGTAGTACGCTACATTGCAGGAAATCTGTGTATTCCTGCATTGGCTTGACATCAATGTAGTACTAGTCAAAGGGGAAGGTGAGCATGCAGTACTAGTCAAAGGGAAAGCAGCAGGCGTGCAGCACCGATAATTTGCCTAGGAGAATGGAGAGGGCTTTCTTCGTGCATTGGAGTTTTTAGGTACCTAAGGACAGCGCACACCGTAGCTTCATCTTATCAGTAGAGTTGCTGACTCTGAAGATGAGCTCAAGACTGAAACTTTCTTAGAAAGCCACTATGGTATGAAATTAGAGCACGATGCCTCTCCAAGAGGAGGTCCAAGAGGTTTTATACAGGTCAGAAAAGTTGCTGGGGTCAATTTGAAATTTGGAATTCAAACTTCAAATTCACCCAATTCTCGAAAAAATGGTTTTTTATCGCCTGATAATTCAAATTCATTTCCTGACGAGCGTTTTTTTCTTCATAACTGATGAGTGCTTGAAAGTTGTTGGGTGTACTGATCAAGTACGTGCTAGTTTCTAGCTACTTATATGCAGGTAGAGCTGCATCTTATCATATTAGATTCAAAGTATGGTAGTTGCCAAAGTTAAAGTTTGGTAGTTTTCAAACCTTGATAGTTTTCAAAGTTTGATAGTGTAGGTTTTCAAAGTCTGGTAATTACCAAAGTTTGATAGTCTAGGTTTTCAAAGTTTGGTAGTTACCAAAGTTTGACAGTTACTAAAGTTTGGTAGTTTTCAAAGTGTGATAGTCTAGGTTTTCAGCCATTGATAGTTTTCAAAGTGTGATAGTCTAGGTTTTCAGCCCTTGATAGTTTTCAAAGTTTGATGGGTTCTCAATACTGGTCGTGTCTGTTGCTAAGGATTTAGGTCTAAGCCTCGATGTAGTGTTCATCTGTGTTGCTATGATATTGTGATGTCACTGTGTTAGTGTTTTGACGTTTGTGTCGTGAAAATGATTCTAGAAGTACCTTGAAGACAGATGCATGTCTCTGGAATTGAGTCGAAATCAACAGTACCGATGTCGTAACTTTGTTCCAGCACCATTTGTAACTGCTTGTTGCTGCGACCAGCACCAGTGGCAACGGACTGTCATTGTGACAAGGCTACACCGCTTGTAGAATCAACTACATGGAGGTTATTTGTCTGCTCTTGTTTGAGTGGAATGCACTATGAAAGATCACTACTCTTCTGATGTTTTTGATGAGTGAACTGAATCTATCTTCAGATTGTACTTCTCTGTTTCTTGAATGACAGCAGCGACTATTCCCACGTGATTGAGAGTGACTCCGTCGGTTCCCTGTCAACTCTTTCTTCAGTAACAAAGTGTCTGTCTTGCGAGTAGTGGGGCTTGCAGCCGTCTGTTATGAGTTTTCTTTGCTGTTTACGTTACTTAGTGCAAACAGAGGCTTCGGTCATTGAGGGTCTCCTAGAAAGACGTGGAATCTATTCTGTTATCGAGAGATGAAAAAGCCATCTTATTGTTGAGAGATGAAACTCCATTGCGTGCTTTGTCCGAAAGATTTCTATTTCATGAAAACGAATCTGTGTAGTATGAGGGACCTCAATGCCTTCTTGTTTGATGAATCTGTATGGGCCGAGTTGCCTTTCTTGTTAATAAGGTTGTCTTTGTGGTTATATACGTACAGCAAACGTGCTTGCAATCAAACTCAAAAACCTTCAACCTTTTTTCGAAAAAACAGAGATTTTAAACTACATTGATTTCAAATTTGACATTTTTTGTCCTGAGACATCTATCATTCGATTGGTTGATGTCATCATCTGTTGTTTAACAAACTCCTGCGTAATAACAAACTCCTGCGTAAAACTTAACGCAAAGGCATATCTGCTAAACAACAAGGCTACGCCTCAGAATAGCATATCACCCTAGCCAGCATAGATCCGACTCTGTACGACTCAGAAGGAGTTGTGTTACATACTGAAACTTTAGTCCTCAACGTTTTCTTGGTCTCTTGTCAGATAATAGAATAAAAAAGATGGCGCCGATGAATAGCTGCTTTGGTGTCACTGGCTCGACCATGGCACCGAACTCTACGATGTTTCTGTCTGCAACCATGGGGAATACAGCGACAATTAAGGCGTTCAGTCTGTCATTTGAAATTGATAAGGACGTTCACCTTGTTGCATTTGCATGATACTAAGTAACCTATTTTTGATCATTAGATCATCAGGCAGTGACCACGTCGCGTTACGGAAACTAGAGACTCTGATAAGCTAGCACGCAATGAATCGCCTAAACGACTAAGCCGATTGCTCCCTCTCTAGTGCTTAAGTCCAGCATTGGACGTGCAAAGGTCTTCTCTCATTTTCTCGTCTAATGCACCGACGGGCAGCGGTCGTGGATTCCCAGAGACGAAGATTGGCGAGCCGATTTCGAACGATACTTCAGGTGTTGACAATTTGCGTTCGCGGATCTGGGATGACGAGTCAAGAGTCAATTAAGGCCTTCAATGATATTGAATATGAGTTGTATGTGTTAATATTGATCCGTAACAGTATCAGTCCGTCGTCGCCATTGATGAAGGCTGCATGATATATTCATGCTTTGCAAGAAGATAAGTAGTCATGATCATAATTCTATACTCCTACACAAGAAAGTTGAAGTTCTAATCTTCCTCGACCTTGTTGGCGTGCGAGATGTCGGATGGACGCAAAGCTTTGATCCCGAAGAAGGACGTTGGCAAAGGCAACGCTTACACAGACACTTTGCAGAAGCAGCGAGTGAATCTTATGGTGACCAGAGTAGAGTGGACTTTTTTGAAGGCTGAGATAGCTCACTAACAGTGAGTAGATTAGAATCTATTTAATCGACTAGATTTAGAGTAGAGACTAGATTTACTGTAGAGCTAGAAGAGAGCCGATCTTTAATATCGATCTTTAGAATTGTTCTTGAAAGTCGATCTTTAAAGTCGAAGACTATCCATTAGTCTATCCATTAGTATCCATGTATAAGTAGCCCAACAACTCGGATCAGATGACCAAAAAGACTTACCTCTTCCTCTAAGGTTCTCTATTCCAAGAGCCTCCAAGATCCAAGGGCAGCACAAGAGCCGGTGATCATTGACAGGCTGTCAGAGTTGAGCAGACCGGGTATAATTTTTTCTCTTTGTTGATAGATGCACAGTTTTTTATCATACATGACACGGGATTCGAATCTTTCTTTGGTGACAGCAAACCGGAAAATACACTGCAAAAAAAACGTAACTTACTAGTACTACTAACTATTACAAACAACTTACTTTACAGGTTTGGAGTCCTTAGACTTCACCGGACGCATTCCATACCAAGAGCCTCCACCGATCTGGCTGGTCATCAACGGCACAGAGTTATGGATTCAAATCTTCTAATAAGAGGTGGAAAATATAGGTGGAGTAACTTCTACTCGACGAAAAGGATTCAACTTTTTTTAGTCTTTTTGAAAGGCTACAACATTCGTAGAGGAAGAACCCAGAAAAGAAATATTCCTTCTAGTCATTGTCCAGCATGCATCAATGGATGAAACTCTCTTACCCCTCTAGCTCTAGCTAGAAGTTCTAGTACTAGAATTTTTAGCAACTGACCTCCTCGTATGTCCATTCTAGCAAGAAAATTTGTGTGCTCAACCTGTTCTTCCACGTCAAGTACAGGGTTCGTAATGGTTGTACTCTGTAGAATGATATGAAAAATGAAACTCTACCTGTAATACAAAATGAAATTCTCGACTTACCCCGTCTAATATTAGAATTCCTAGCCACCGCCGGACGCGATCCGAGGAATGGAACGAGGATGGAGCGACACCCGCAAATGCTGCACCTGGAGGAAGGCGATTTGGTGCTGAAAAAGTTCAATCCCAAGTTATGATGAACTGAATCATGTTGCAGGAGATATGTGCAATATAGCACAGCATACGCTGAGGACCTCCCATTTTTGGAAATTTTCGGGTAAGAAGCGGTAGTGCTCCTATCATTGAGCTAGTCTGAGTGTTATAGTCTATGCAGGCGAAGGGGAAACCGTGCCACGGCTTTGATTTGATCGCTTAAAGGCCCTATTTGATTTGGCTAGTACTCTGTAACTACAAGCGACTGATAAGACAAAATTCTTCATAGTAGATTTCTGAGTAGATTTTGCAACCAACTACTTTTCTCTAAAACCTGGAAACTTCTCAACAAGAACCTACGAAGAAGAAGAGTTTGTCGCACGCGCAAAGTTCCCGCACATCTCGGACAAGACGTTCGAAAACATGAGGGTACCACTTCACTACTTGTTTTTATTTGACGTTCGAAAACATCAGGGTACTACTTCATTAAATCAACGTGTAAGGAAGAGCATCGTCATCCTCTTTGTGTTACTGCTAGCACTCAGACGCAGATATCATAATTATGTTGGGATATACTTCTAGAATGAATGAAGTAGAATCTACTACCTTTGAAGATTACATCAAGAACGCATAAATCCATCTTGTGATTATATATTCATATGTTATCACGGATTCTTCAAGCCTGTGATTAGTACACACACTTAAATGTAACCCCAAGAGTATGCATACCCATACGCACTCATCACGACCATAGGGCGACATTTACATTTGGTGCCGAAAGCTTGGTGCAGCTGGTGGAAGGATGAGCGTGGACAACCGTCCATTCGCGGAAGTCGGCACTAAGGAGCATCCTTTGATCGACTCACAAGAGGGCTTTGTACCGATCTCGATATTGGAAAATCGTGCTGAGACAAATTGGCCTGCAGCCGATTGCACCGCGTCCTTCCCACAGAGGGCAGCATTGCAGCCTCGATTTAAGCTCCCCTAAAGGAAATAAACCGTCTTGCACATAAAATTGAAAAAATTGCGGAAATAGTATTGAATTAGTCAACATGACTCATTGAGGATATTTTTATTTACTCATTTTATTTTGGGTTTGTCGGGTGCTGTACACATGATTTTTTTGTACTATACATTTGTTTTGCATTAAATGTAGTGGTTTGGGAAATTGGAATGAGAATGACACACATAGAAGTATGGGGAGGGCTTTGATGTAGCATTTACGGACAGCAGCATTCACGGACATTGACTCATTGCGTTGTTTTCATCGACTTTTGGGAATCTTGAATGAAGATGGGACCGTTTGCTTGTATTTTTCTGGAATATGTTGATTGAAACAACCATCAATGCGGTCCATCTTGTTACAACTACACTGTACCTTATAGCTATTGGCATACATTCTTGTCATGACCTACCTAATGAATTGACACTCTTGGATCACCTACACAATGATGTTTGGGATATTCGGATAATGGTAGGTTAGTCCCTTCTATCCATGAATGACGATGACACATTTCCCTTTTGCAGCAGGGACATGATCTCATAGATCTAGAAACACACAGATGACCACATGATAGAGCAGACCCACGACGCTTGAGGAACAACACCAATGGATAAGAGAAGGGAGAGAAGGGCATCGATATAGACTATTGATCATGTAAAAACAGGACAGCTGCAGTAGACTTAAATGTAGATTTTACAACTTCAAAAACATATGGTTCTTAAAAATGATTTATTTGGTTAAGTGCATAGTGATGAATATTAATGAAATAGTAAGGACTTCTATTGGGATGTTGTACAACTGATTAAAACACTTTCATGGCAGAGACTGGCAAGAAATACAGCGTGAAGTACTATTTGGACCTCCAGCAAATAGTGATGTAAAACAGAAAAAGAAACGGAACTACCTTAAGATTAGAAAGGTGGACATTCGATCGAGATGCGTCTTGGATCTCGAGAGATATAGTCCCATGCGATTACATCAGAAAACTTCAATGGAAGAAGCGGGTCTTCATTGTTCGTGTGTGCTCAGGTTCTGAAGGCCTTGTCTGCTCTCCTTTGCTTTGTCGTGCCAAACGAGTCATCGTGATGTCGACGAGTGTGTGTTTGAGAACGAGTGAGCCGCAGCACAGTCATGGGATACGTTCTAGTCGTCATCCATTCCACTCAAGTATGGATGAAACCGTTATTGCTACAACATGTGTTCCACCATCCTTTCGTGGAGAGAGTTTCTTCTTCTCGAATAAATGATCTGTTGTGACGAGTTTGAGTTTGAGTGAAGGTATCATGTTTCGTTCCAATTGAAATTCTACTAGTCGTGGCCCGTGTGTTCAGCGGTGGTCGAGAGAAGAGAGGAAGAAGAAGAAGAGGGAGCTGCTAGGCACCAACCCCTGACATTGCCACGCAGGGCACCCGGTGAACGTCTCCAGCGCCTAGGCATTACCCGGCCCAAACGCGCCCGGCGGCCACGTTTAAACCCGTTAACGGCTGCGCGGCAGGCGTCCGCGCTGTCAGGCACAGAGTGCACGGGCCGCCACTCGGGCCGCTGGCGTTGAACTCGAGAAGGCGGCCAGCGCTGCCATTGGCCCGCGTGGCTCCGCGCCTGACGCGTTTAGCTCGAGGAGGCGGCCAGCGCTGCCACTGGCCCGCGCGACTCCGCCCGTGACTCGCTGAAGCGCGGGCGCTCCCAAACCCTGACACTGCAAGCAAAACTCTGAGGCGCCAAACCTTGACATTGCAAACCTCTGGCCTTCCGAACTCTGAGGCGCCAAAGTCTGAGGCGCCAAACCCTGACAGGGCAAAACTCTGGCCTTCTGAACTCTGAGGCGCCAAGCCTTGACATTGTAAAACTCTGGCCTGCCGAACTCTGAGGCGCCAAACTCTGACGTTGACTGTAAAACTCTGACCTTCCGAACTTTGAGGCGCCACCCAAACTCTGAGGCGGCAAGCCCTGACATTGCAAAACTCTGGCCTTTCGAATTCTGAGGCGCCAGCCCCTGACATTGCAAAACCTTGACCGGCCGAACTCTGAGGCGCGAAGCTCTGACATGGCAAAGCTCTGGCCGTCCGCACTCGGAGGCGCCAAACTCTGCCGCGCCAAACCCTGCATTGCAACGCTCTGGCCTTCTGAATTCTGAGGCGCTAAACTCTGAGGGGCCAAGCCCTGACATTGTAAAGCCTTGACCTTCCGAACTCTGAGGCGCCAAACCTTGAAGCGCCACGCCCTGACATTGCAAAACCCTGAGGCGCCAACCTCTGAGGCGCCAAACCTTGACATCTCGGAGGCGCCAAACCTTGACATTGTAAAACTCTGTCTCTGAGGCGCCAAACTCTGAGGCGCCAAACCCTGACATTGCAAAACTCTGACCTTCCGAACTCTCTCTGAGGCGCCAAACCCTGACAGGGCAAAACTCTGGCCTTCTGAACTCTGAGGCGCCAAGCCCTGACATTGTGAACGCTGGCCTTCCGAACTCTGAGGCGCCAAACCCTGAGGCGCCACACCTTGACATTGCAAAACTCTGGGGCGCCAAACTCTGACATTGCAAAACTCTGACTTTCTGAACTCGGAGGCGCTAAACTCTGGCCTTCTGAGTCTGCGGCGCCAACCTCTGGCCTTGCAACTCTGAGGCGCAAAACTCTGGCCTTCTGAACTCTGAGGCGCCAAGCCCTAACACACACTGTAAAACTCTGACCTCCCGAACTCTGAGGCACTAAACCCTGACTGCCCCACGCTGAGGCGCCAAGCCATGGCATTGCCATGCAGGGCATTCAGTGAACACCGCACAGGCATTGACGTTACGCGGCCCAAACGCGGCCGGCGGCCTCGTTAAAACCCCTTAACGGCTGCGCGGCGAGCGTCCCCGCTGTCAGCCACTGAGTGCCCGGGCTGGCACTAAGGCCGCTGGCGTTCAGCTCGAAGAGGCGCCCAGCGCTGCCAGTGGCTTCTGTGCCTCCTCCTCGACTCGCGCGAACGCTGCCCTCCCACCCCTGACTCTGAAAACTCCGAGGCGCCAAGTCTTGACATTGCAAATCTCTGACTTTCCGAACTCTGAGGCGCTAAGCCCTGACCCTGCGAACTCTGAGGCGCCAAACCCTGACATAGGAACACACTAACCTGCCGGACCTCTGAGTCGCCGAACTCTGAGTGGCCAGGCCCTGACACTGCAAAACTCTGACCTTCCGAATTCTGAGGCGCCAAACTCTGAGGCGCGAAACTTTGAGGCGCGCCAAACCCTGGCCTTCGGGACTCTGAGGCGCGCGTCCCTGACAGTGCCAGCCCCTGAGCTTCCAACCTTTGAGGCGCCAAGCCTTGACCTGCGGAACTCTGAGGCGCCAAACCATGACATTGCAAAACTCTGAGGCGCCAAACTCTGAGGCGCCAAACCCCGACACGCAAAGCCCTGACATCCGTTTACGCGTTTGCAGCCCTGAGAAACCAAACCCTGACATTTGCGCCCTTTTGCGCAAATCTTGAGACTCAAAACCTTGACATGGGTTCAAAGCCCTGGAATTTGGCTGTTAGCGGCAAACCCTGAGACGCCCTGACTTTGCCCTTAAAACCCTGGGGGCCTTGGCCTTTGTTTCCGCCCCCCTTGGGATTCTCTTTGCTTCCCCTTAAAGCCCTGACGTCGGACCTCGATTTTTGTCGATTATTAAGAAGGGGGGAACTCGTTGGCGGATTGCTCATCTGATTTTGATCCATGATCCGTTGCTTGTCTATAATGTCTTTATTCTTATTGATCGTGATTGATCTTCATCCTGAATCTAGGCAGTCTTGACCAATCGACCATGCTATTGACTGATCGAAGACTCTTTACTTGACGTTACTTATCTATCATGATTGGAGATTTAATTTTGATTCGAATTTCATCACTTGGAAACTGGGTGGGTGGAAAAATTAGCAAGAGATAGAGAAGAAAGCAACTCCAGAGGAGGGCTGACTAAGTAAAAAGATTTACATCTATTCAGAAGACGGTTAAGTACAACTATTGGAGAAGGATAATTTCTTGAAAGATCAAAAAAAATGGTGCTGAGAGAGATGCAGACGCCGTTGTCCACGGAGATGCGAGCGAAGTTGGCCGCGGAGGCACTAAAGAAACTCGGTGGAGGAGGAGGCTGTTCAGTGTTTGTATACGTCTGTAATCGTTCCCAGCTGTTTGAGACGTTGTACGGAGGGCACCATGATAAGTTGCTGCTTCCAGACGGACTATTTTCAAGCACAGGTAACGGAAAACCCAACGATTCTGCTCGGCAGGTTTTCGTGTGCGACACCAATAACGAAATGGAGGTCCTCTCCTTCAAAATCGACGGGCAGGAATCCGCGAGCCTTCCTTTATGTTCGTCGTTTTTTTTAATCCTGCACTTGCTGTTGTCTGGTTTTCCGTCAATTGCATTTTTAATTTATAGCTGACTTTGCAAGACACACTTGACTCTAATTTACCTTGCAAATCGATTTTCCGTTGCAGACACCTCGATCATGCAAGGTTCCCTGAGTCTGGACCTGAATCTGAAACTGGTGGAGCATATGCCGGAGGGCCTTCAGAAGCATTGCACAGACTCCGCGCCCAGTAAAACGATTCAGGTCTTTGCAAACGGAAATACTCTTGCGTCGAGAGGAGGAGTGGGTCGGCGTGTAGAGATGCTCAGCGATCTGAATCTCTTCATGAATTCCATTTTATGGCAAGAATAGCATCATGTCCTCTATTCGTCTGCATAACAAACGTCTTCCGTGCCTTGTTGCGCGTAGACCTACTTAACAGTTGTTTGACCCGCACAAACATTGCCAATAAATTGATGGAACTCTCAGGGGTCTACGACTATTGATTCCAGAAATTTGAGCAGCTGAGAGGGGTGAACATTGTCGACGAAGTGCATTATTAGTAATTTAATACTGTAGTAGTGTTGGACCATTCGAAAGCAGACTGTTAAGTCGCGTCTAGTTTCTCGGTGAGAAGCGCTTGAGTTTGATACAGATTGCACGACTGCACTCACAGCCTGAGACTAACGGCCTCTGGCTGCTTTGATCCCTGGAAATGTTCACTGGGGTTGCAAGGAGGAAGTCTCAGCTTCTTCATTGGGATACCATGACGCATGGGGAAACTTTCATATGGGAGCGCCTATGCTATCGTCATTGATTCGTGCGCTCATCTTGCGTCGGTGCTCATCATTGATCAGAACTGACAAGACGTTATGGACCTGATTACAGCTATGAACCTTCGTTATTTCTGGCATCTGAATCCGTTGAAGGTCCTTTGCCTGTTGATCATTGATTTTGGAACCATATGCGTTTAGGTCTGTAGGTTTCCTTGAGATCTTTCTGGTTGCTTTGTCCTTGACTGTGTTGGGAGGCTTGAGCCACAAACGAGAGGGAGAGGAGAAGCCAGAGACACCCGCGCGACGGTAAACCCGTCGGGCGTTTGGATGGTGCTCCGGTAACCTTTTGCCTGGCGATCTTGGTCATTTCGTTGATCTTTATATCCTTCTGATCTTTGTGACAGTTCCAGGATTATGATCTTGGCCAACAAGTAGGCACGTCAGTCAGTGAGTGAATCTCTAATACAGCCGCGCGAGGTGCTCGGGGGCGAAGTGCTAAAAGCTTTGCAGACGCTGGGCAAATTGCTTGGCGGTGGAGACAAAGGTGAATTTTTGCTCGAGGAGCTGAGCCGAATTGATCACCACGAAGCACGAAAAGGAATCACTAAGGAAATCATGCGTGGTCACTGGGTAACGAAGGAGCAGCTGGAACAAGCCATCCTCGCACAACCACAAGAAGCTGCAATTGCACAAGGAGAGGCTGCAGCCCCACTTGATGATGTAAGGGCAGGAGCTGTAACACCCATAGCAGAACAAGAATCACTATCCAAAGAAGTACAAAGTGCGCAACAACACGCCGAGATTGTTGCCGAAGCAGCACCCGCTGTCAAGGAGGAGCTTCCTCCCACACCACCAGAAGCTGCAGAAGCACAAAAAGACGATGCTGCACACTCACAAGAAGACGGAGCTGCAACACCCATAGCAAAAGAATCACTACCCAATAATGAAGAAAGTGCGCAACAACACGCCGAGACTGTTGCCAAAGCATCAGCCGCTGTGGCTGTCAAGGAGGAGCTTCCTCCACCCCCACGACAAGGTGAAGGTGAGGCACAGGGGGGAACTGCTGAGATTGCCGCGCAAGCGGGCGGGGCTGGGGCGATGCAGGCCGGGGCGCCTATGCGTCGTTCTGAGCCACGTCCTTCTATCCCTGAGCGTCGTCTCTCAGCGAGCGAAATAGACCAGCGTTTTATGGTGATAAGTAGTAGTAGTACAGTCTTTGAGACGAGCAGTCTAAAGAGACGAGGACGACTTCGGATGGACGGGATTGTTCGGATGCAGCTGTCCTATAAATCCGCCCATTTTATTACTTTTCACGAGGTCAATCTGTTCCATCCCGTCCATCCCATCCATTCTTTAGTCCCAGTATACCCCAATGATGGAAATCTAATAGTAGGATGGAGGAGCATAATTTAATGTCTACATCCTTAGGAGGTGGAGCACGTGTTTTCGGGGGGAGTGCTGGGAGTATCTCGCGACAGCGGACGGGACTGGCACTAAGGTCCGCCTTCCTGTCGACAACCAGTCAGCCTACTCCATCAGCATCCGGACAGCAGGGATTGCTCACGTATGTGGACCCATTGTCCGCTGCGCTGGGTGTTGGAGGCGCTCTTCTCGGTTTTTTGGTGCTGCGCAAGTGCTTGCGACGTTGCCGCTGCGGTAATCTGCTTTACAAGGAGGACGAGGAGGAGGAACCTCTGCTGCCTTTGCGGCAGTAAGTGGTACTATAATTAGCTATTTATTTTACAGGATTGCATTTGCAATGGTACAATAAATATGGTAGGAAGAATAGCATTTTGTGCTACATCATCGACTTCTAGTACCCCTCATCCTATCCCTACAGAGAGCATCATCAAAAGTCGAAATTCAAAAGTCGGAAATCCACATCTGACTCAGGTACTTCTTGGAGTATCACAGCAACGGACTTCAATATTCAAGAATGAGAGGAGGTGGAGGAATTTGGGTGGTGGAAGGATTACCGACTATGCGGGCGGTAGATCAGTGAGAAAGGGAGCAATAAAACACGGGGAGGTGCTCAGTTATAAAAATCCAGACCTTATTGCCTTTCTTTCTTCATTCCACTTCGCAATACACCTTCACTTTGAACAAAATGATGATCATGGAGATCATGTTTTATTAGGATCATGCTTGCATCACACCTGACAACCTTCTCCTATCTCTCTTGTCAATCTCACACTCCCAGGTTACAAAGCAAACGGTGTTTAGCGAAACTCGAAGATCAAAATTTGAATTTCGGAGAAGATTTTTTTTCCGTATTATCGGATGCATGGTGGAGATATTTCAAGAATATGTCGGGGAGATGAATTGTGAGCAGAAACAAAATTGGATGAGCCGCAGAATTTAAGCGGTGTGGAGGTACCGGAAGAGTTTGAATGTTACATGTTTTGCATTTTTCTAGAGGAACAATAAATGAATCAATAGAAGGCGTCACACAGCGTGGTCAACTAACTGGTGCATGGAAGAAGCATCATCTTCTTTATTAGGAGTTCATTTCGAAGACGTATGAATCAGAAAAGATGAAATTTATAAGAGCAAACATTCTCAGGTGGTACTCTCTGTCGCAGTACTCTCGGAATTGGTGGACAAATGGAATGAAAATTTTGAGCCAATTAATATGTCTGGAGGAGCAGGTCCAGACTCTGCAGGAGTGCGGATAGGAGTGCTGACAAATTTTTATAAGGAAGGAATGTCTTTGAACTAAAAATATGAGTACATCGTAAGACAATGCACAGTCGCAAGAAGTCTTCAGTGTAAGAGCAGTATCTATCTATTCTTGCTACTACTATTTTACAAAAGTCGCTGAACACAAGCAAAAACATACACGTAGTTTCGCACGTAGCATCCTAGCGAGTTGTATTTCATAACTTTGCGCAGAAGCAGAACCGCAGAAGGCATATCGCTAGTTTTGATATGAAAATATCTTCATAGATGACTAGAAGTCCTGTTCTTTTGCCAAAAGTTCAATGAAAATTTTTGTTCTTATTCTTGCTCGGAAAGTCTTCATCCGATGGAGCACTAGCCGCAGCAAGATTTATCCAACAGAAGCACTTGAAGTCGCGTGGAAAGTACTTGTACAGGTCTTCACGTAGTAATGAAGATAGTAGAGAGCAATAAACGTGATGCACATCATTCTCATCATGAAATCAATCATAAGCTCGTGTGTTTCAAAAATTTATCTTTCATAGATCATCTTGTTATGTTACAGTTTCTCTTCGCCTTCGTTCGTTGTGCTTCTGAGTTTTTGGCACGACAGCATAGAGAAGCATTCACGGTTGTCTGAATGAACGCTCTAGGAAACCCGAACAAGAAGACGAAGTGTACAGTCTCTATCGAGTATTGACATGAAAACATAACGGATGGAGATACGGCAGACATCAGACATCATTGTCATTGAGCTGTAAACAAAAATATCCCTCACATGGAACATCATCGTAATTCTTGTTGCAAAATAATCATTTCTGTAGAAGAAATCGTGGACACGCCCTACTTTCGTCATATTTATTTCCCCAATTGTAGTAGCTTTCGTAAGATTCCCTCAACTTGTTCCATAGAGATAGAATTCGTAAATTCCTCCAACTACATAGCTAGTAAGTATTCCTGTGATTTCCCATTTGACTCATTCTAATCTCTACTCAAGAAGCAGCGCAAACTACAACGATCATTCTATCTTCCCTGACCAGCATGAACTTGCGCCAAAAAGAACAGAATGCTTGACTACCCAGAAAGATAGAATGTTTGAGGTGGTTCGTTGTAGCAGCTGTAGTGGAGTAGTTTTCGTTTTCCAAGAATATCGCTCCATTTAATGTTGTAGGTACGAGCTCTGAGCAAGAAATGCCTTGCTGTCTTCTTGAACTGGCACTAAGAATAGATGAACTTTGGAAGTCTATAATCATGTGAGGCAGTCCCTAGATGAGCTGAGCACATTCTAACTGTCTTTGAAGCAGTCGCTGACGTAGCGTCGAATGCACAAATTGAGAATCTAATACGTAAATTAGATCTCCATCCATATTAACTCGATCGACTTGATAGAACCACAAGCACAACATCAATATGATTTGTCTTATTTTTGATCCCTTCTGTCCTCAAAGACAAGTCGAGTCTCCATTGTCACAGAAGCAAGCTGCGGTGTTCTCAGATGTGGCGGTGGACGACATATCATTCCATGGAAGCGGTAGAGGTTCTTGCTCAGACTGCAGCAATGGAACGTGCGTTTTGTTGGTATTTCTTCGTCTCCTAGTTCTTGAAGAAGATCTACACGTGTAAAAGATCTACACAGAAGCCGTCTACATCCGCTTATAAGTCACTACATGTTGTAGGTAGTCATCTACTACATCTAGCATAACTAGGGATCCGAGAGGATAACAGGTTATGATACTCATATTTTCCATTCCTTCAAGCTGTTTATGAGGCCTTACAGCGCAGGTTGCTTTCTACGGAATGCTTGTATGCTTGGAGTCCGTATGTACAAGCAACAATACGAGCATAACTAGGAAAAGTAAGAAAAACAAAAGAATAAGAGTGTAAGCTGAAGATTGGGAAAAAGAGAAAGACAGACATGTGAGGGAAGAAGGAGGTGGTCTTTACACAGCAGACAATGATCACTTCTTTGGCTGAAAAAAATCTGAAAACTTGCTTAACAGTAGTCGCTCCCTACACTGACGAATGGGCGTGGATTCGCTCTCACTCTAGTAGGCGCGACTGCTGTGATGACTGTCCTAATTTGTTGATTAAGTAAAAGATTTGAAGGACTTCAAAGAAATTAAACACGAAAATGGAGAGACGTACAGACATTGAAAAATAGCGACTGCGTTGCCCACTACCAGCTGCTTCTCTTGCCTTGAGGTTGACAACCGGGAATAGGTTTGTTCTTCTGGTGCGCGATAAGTTGAGGGCTGACAGTGCAGCCCTCCTTCAGCTCCTCTCCCAGTCAGGTCTTTGCCGCGACCGGGCCTTTTTTACAGGGCGCGCTCACTCTCCCTAAGGTGTTTTGCAGCTATGAGATCCGGTTCTTCCTCTCTAGGCCTTTTACGGCAGGGTCGAGCGGCGCGGACCATCATGGAGCGCTATCGACAGATACGGCCTGCGCCGTATGACACTGGAAAGCCATCGCCAAATACGCGATTTAGAGAGCAAGATCATGCACATGCAATAGAGAATCAGACGTCCTCGGAGAACGGTTCAAGCGCCTTCCGCCATCAGGGAGATTTTTTGTTCCAGACATCTACGGAAGTGGACGTCGACGCGAAAGGACAAAGTTGTACCTACTTCACTACTTGTTTTTATCAGACGTTCGAAAACATGACGATACTACTTCATTACATCAACGTGTAAGGAAGAGCATCGTCATCCTCTTTGTGTTATTGCTAGCACTCAGACGCAGATATCATAATTATGGTGGGATATACTTCTAGAAAGAATCAAGTAGAAGCTACTACCTTTGAAGATTACATCAAGGGCGCGTAAATCCATCTTTTGATTATATGTTATCACGGAATCTTCAAGCCTGTGATTAGCACACACACTTAAATGTAACCCCAAGAGTACCCATACCCATACGCACTCATCACGACCATAGGGCGACATTTACATTTGGTGCCGGAAGCTTGGTGCAGCTGGCGGAAGGATGAGCGTGGACAACCGTCCATTCGCGGAAGTCGGCACTAAGGAGCATCCTTTGATCGACTCACAAGAGGGCTTTGTACCGATCTCGATATTGGAAAATCGTGCTGAGACAAATTGGCCTGCAGCCGATTGCACCGCGTCCTTCCCACAGAGGGCAGCATTGCAGCCTCGATTTAAGCTCCCCTAAAGGAAATATACCGTCTTGCACATAAAATTGAAAAAATTGCGGAAATAGTATTGAATTAGTCAACATGACTCATTGAGGATATTTTTATTTACTCATTTTATTTTGGGTTTGTCGGGTGCTGTATACATGATTTTTTTGTACTATACATTTGTTTTGCATTAAATGTAGTGGTTTGGGAAATTGGAATGAGAATGACACACATAGAAGTATGGGGAGGGCTTTGATGTAGCATTTACGGACAGCAGCATTCACGGACATTGACTCATTGCGTTGTTTTCATCGACTTTTGGGAATCTTGAATGAAGATGGGACCGTTTGCTTGTATTTTTCTGGAATATGTTGATTGAAACAACCATCAATGCGGTCCATCTTGTTACAACTACACTGTACCTTTTAGCTATTGGCATACATTCTTGTCATGACCTACCTAATGAATTGACACTCTTGGATCACCTACACAATGATGTTTGGGATATTCGGATAATGGTAGGTTAGTCCCTTCTATCCATGAATGACGATGACACATTTCCCTTTTGCAGCAGGGGCATGGTCCCATAGAACTAGAAACAAACAGAAGATGGTATATTACAGCAGACCCACGACGCTTGAGGGACAACACCAATGGATAAGAGAAATGCATCGATATTGACTATTGGTCATGTAAAAACAGGACAGCTGCAGTAGACTTAAATGTAGATTTTACAACTTCAAAAACATATGGTTCTTGAAAATGATTTATTTGGTTAGGTGCATAGTGATGAATATTAAGGAAACAGTAACTGGGGATGTTGTACAAGTGATTGAAACACTTTCATTGCAGAGACTGGCAAGAAATACAACGTGAAGTACTACCTGGACCTCCAGCAAATAGTGATGTAAAACAGAAAAAGAAATGGAACTACCTTATGATTAGAAAGGTGGACATTCGATCGAGATGCGTCTTGGATCTCGAGAGATATAGTCCCATGCGATTACATCAGAAAACTTCAATAGAAGAAGCGGGACTTCAGTCGTGGTCGTGTGTGCTCAGGTACTGAAGGCTTTGTCTGGTCTCCTCTGCTTCGTCGTGACAAAGTGTTGATTTTGTTATGTTGATGATAAAGTCGTAATTTTGACGAGTGTGTGTCCCTTGTGTGTTTGAGAACGAGTTGAGAACGAGTGACGCCGTACAGTTACATACTACTTAGCACAAGCTAGGAGTAAGGTGGATGATCCTCGTTTCTTGTCCTCGTAGAAGGAGTTATGTTTGTCTTCGATTCCTGTCGATTCGAAGGCAAGCAGTACGCGGAAAGTCGTTCTGCCTTCGTGTGTTCCATCCCACCTTCGAAGAGAGATGTTCCTGCAAAACGTGATCTGTTGTGAGTTTGAGTTTGAGTGAAGGTCTGTCTGTTGGAGATAATCGCATGGAGTGAGCTCTTTCGCTAGGTGAAGCAAGTATACAGATAGTTGACGAATCGAATAATTCGCAAGACAACTTGTAGGGACTCGGACTTGGCAAGACAACCCGGCTCTACCGAAAATTTGGATCCAATTCCATCACTTCCAAACTAAGTAACATCCATGTTATTAGGGCAATTTCGAAAATCCAGTAGCAGAAAGAAGTAGTCGTAGAAGTTCGCTTCTTTTCAGAAACAGTAGGACAGAGGAGTACTTGGCAACTCCAGAAAAAGACTGACTGAGAGCATTTACATCTGCTCAGAAGACGCTTGCTTACAACTAGTTCAGACAACGATATTCTTAAAAGAAGAGATATAAAGAATGTCGGAGCCGGAGGTGGATGTCGAAACTGATTATCTTCGGGCGCTGTACGGTGCTGATGATGAACAGTTGCGCAAGTGTCATACTCATGATGTTGGAACTCCAGGCGCCGATGTTGTGTCCAGGATCGAGGAGCTTCTGAGACAGTTTTTTGGAGTTGGACCAGGAAGAGGAAAACGATTTCTTAATGAAGTAGAAGAGAAGCAGAAGCTTTACATCGAAAAATATTTATGTCACCATTTGTTGCCCAATCTAGGACCATTTATTTTGACCAGCATCTCCTTTTCGTGTATGCAGAAGACAGAGTACCGATAGAAATGAAGAAGTTGACTTTGAGCTACACCCCAGTTTCCAATTCTAATTCATGTATTGGAACCGCTGCAGAAGCTGGACAAGGCCGCACCGAATTGGAACGATCCAGCCGTACGTTTGGAGATGCTTGCCGGATTAATTAAAATGGACAATTTACTGTTATGAACAGGCTCTATGAAACGGCCAGGTTCGATGAAATGCTTCATTAGTCGCAAAGTACAGCCTTTGAGTGGGAACGGCAAAGAGTCACGCAATCAGTTTATCAGCCAATCAGTCTTTAAATCAGACAATCTAGCAAACAAGCGATCAATTTGATATTTCTCTAATTTTGGGAGTGCACAAGCAAAACAATGCGCTTGAAGAATTGTTCAAAGCCATCGGAGGAGGGATGGTACTATGGGATCGTTACGAACGTGGCCATGCTGCCCCCCGTGTGCCCAAGGTTCTCTTGTGCTATTACGAAAAGGATGGGGGGTCTAAAAAACATCTAGCGGAACGGCGGAAGCTCACAATGACGGCAATGCTAGGGAAGGTAGAGCATCTCATTGATGCAGCATTGTACCATACACCAGGAGATCGCTATATGCAGGAGGTAATCAAATCTGCGAAGGGCGAAACTAAAACTAATCAACCAAGTGTGCAAGACGTCGCCCAGGCTAGCGAAATACACCAGTTTATGATGATAGCATATAATATTGCAATTTATAGATAGAATTTTCGATGGACGGGACGGATCGGATGCACCTGTCATATAATATGTCCGCACATTTTTCAACTTCTCATTACTGCGTGACGAGGTCCATCTTTCCCTAGCCGTTCCGTTTTGTTCATCCTATCCACTTTATATGGATGCATGAATTTTAAGAGTCTAATAATCACCGCGTTGTCAAATCCGCCTTCCTGTCCACAACCAGTCAGCTCACTCCATTGCTTACGCATGTGGACCCAATGTCCGCTGCGCTGGGTGTTGGAGGCACTTTTCTCGGTTTTTTGGTGCTGCGCAAGTGCTTGCGACGATGCCGTTGCGGTAATCTGTCTCACAAGGAGGACGAGGAGGAGGGAACTCTGCTGCCTTTGCGGCAGTAAGTGGTACTAATTTGCTATTTGTACAGGATTGCGTTTGCATCCGTACAAGAAGGTAGGAAGAGTAGCATTTAGTACTACATCATCTACTCCTACTCAGCAATCTATCCCTACAAAGAAAAATCCAAATCCACATCTGCCTCAGGTACTTCTTGGAGTATCACAGCAACGGACTTCAATATTCAAGAATGAGAGGAGGTGGAGGGATTTGGTGGGTGGAAGGATTGCCGACTATGCGGGCGGTAGATCAGTCGGAAAGGGAGAAATATAACACGGTTATAAAAATCCAAACCTTTGGCTTTCTTTCTTCATTCCACTTCGCAATACACCTTCCCTTTGAACAAAATAATGATGAAGATCATATCTTATTAGGATCGTGCTTGCATCTACTGCTGAAAACCTTCTCCTATCCCTCTGTCTTGTCAATCTCACACTCCCAGGTTACAAAGTAAGCGGTGGTAAGCGAAATTCGAAGATCAAAGTTTGAATTTCGGAGAAGATTGTTTTTCCTTATTATCGGTTGCATGGTGGATATATTTCAAGAATATGCCGTGGAGATGAATTGTGAGCAGAAAAAAGATTGGATGAAGCGCAGAATCCAAGAGGTGTGGAGGTACTGGAAGAGTTTGAATGTTTCATGTTTCGCATTTTTCTAGAGGAACAATAAATGAATCAATAGAATAAAGAGTCACACTCACACAGTTTGGTCAGAACTAGCTGCTGCATGGAAGAAGCGCTATCATCTTCATTTCAAAGACGTATGAATCAAAAAAAAATTATTATAATTATTATTAGCGGGACGCTTAAGGTCTTCTTAGGGAGGATTTGCAACCCTCCCTACACCGGTTCTGATAGGCTGACTGTTGTAGAAATGTGGGGTTCTAGGGTGCATACAGGTCTTCCTCCTTTCCGGCTGGGTTAGCCTCTTTTGGTCCCCCCCTTTATATCATGCTTTATCTTTCTCTGACTTTGTCGTTCAAATCTGGTCCGCTTGCTTCAGCTCTTCAAGCGCTGCACTTTCCCTATTGATTCTCTTACCTCATTGTTACTGTTAACATATTACTGGTTGTTCCTTATTATTAGCGGGAATCAAAAGACATGAAATTAGAAACAAACATTCTATCTCAGGTGGTTGTACTCTCTGTCGCAGCACTCTCAGAATTGGTGGACAAATGGAATGAAAAAATTGAGCCAATGAATGTGTCTGGAGGACGAGCAGTTCCAGACTCTGCAGGAGTGCGGATAGGAGTGCTAACATGTCTTTGCACTGAAGGAGTATCAATATCTTTGAACTAAATAAAAAATATGAATACGTTGTAAGACGATGCACAGTCGCAAGAAGTCTTCAGTGTAAGAGCAGTGTCTATCTATCATTGCTACTACTATTTTCCAAAAGTCGCGGAACACAAAGAAAAACATACATGTATTTTCGCACGTAGCATCATAGCGAGTTGTATTTCATAACTTTGCGCAGAAGCAGAACCGCAGAAGGCATATCGTTAGTTTTGATATGGAAATATCTTCATAGATGACTAGAAGTTGGTTCTGTTCTTTTGTCAAAAGTTAAGTGAAAATCATTGCCCATGATCTTACTTCTACCTGTATATGAAAAAACTTTGGAAAAAACCTTTGAAACTGTAAGGAATAAAACAAAATGCACAGGGAACGTAGTGTTGATATTTTTGGCCTAAAAGTGAATCATTTAATTCTTGCTAGAGAGGCGGGTAGAACTCGTCAGGGAAATCTTAGGCATCTTGCCGAATAGATTCAAATCATTAATTCTTGCTGAAGCCTTGTTTGTTGTGACAGGCACTCCTGCCAGTGCAATGCACTATGCCTTTGAGCAAGTTGTTAATTGGTCACTCTTGGATAATCATATTGACACACACGACTACAACCGAATGTACTTCGTGAAGTTTTGGTTGGGAATGATCCATCATGATGTCGAAGGCGGGTGGCTCTCTACAACTCATGACTGAAGAAGGGGCAAGTCTGCGTGTGAGTCATCGGGAACAGCACCCTAGGTCAAATAGGGCCATCCTTGCGTTGCTGTTGATATCCAAGGAAGCATTGGAAGAAGCGGGTTGTGTTCTACTACAGAGAAAAGCCATCACAGCTTCGAGCGAACAGGGTGAAAATGTTAAGGAGAGACTTCTTCTGGGAACGACGACTACATACGAGACGTTGGAATCTTGTGTGCACCATTCTCAACAACCTGTGAGGGTGGCCGAAGAGGGGCCAAGGACAGGGAGGGTGGACAAAAACATAATAAGGGTATCGCCAGTCGGTGTATCTCTTTGAGTACATGAGGGACTAGAGACGGGAAGAAAAAAGGGAGTAATAGGGTGCAGTACAAGTGGATATTTGGCATTTCTTAAGTCGTCTCGGCTTACTGCTGGCACTTCTTTTGAGATCTCAAAGAAATTCTGAAGAAGAATAGAAGGAGGAGAAAAAAGATTTTTGGCCGATAAGAACCGAAGCAAGGTGTGCCGAAGAAGTAAGTTTTCGTCGAAAAATCGTTATTCAAAATAAGTCAGCTGGATGTTACTGGAAACACAAGTCAAACAGTAAATATGACTAAAGCTGTTAAACGAAGTCTTAAGACGTATCACACTCGAAGAAAATTCAGACAGCGCGATCCGAAAATCAGGAATACTCCGCAGGATCTACTTCGTCGAATTTTTCGAATTGCGAAATTGATGCGAAATGATAATGCGGCAGGGCGACGGGAATGGAATGGGCGACGATCAAGGGGAGGAAGGTTGACATTTGCACAAGAACAACATGAAAGACGAATACATGTTTGGCAAGACAGAAAAGAAAAAAAGATCTACCAATCTGCACATTTCTTGTCTTGCACATATCTATGTTGCTTTTCAACATGCTGCTTTGAGTTGGATATGCCGTGCTTTGTCACGATGATTGTAGGTTTAATACAGATTTGAAGTCCTGCTTCAATTCTCTGGACTGCCACTGCTTCAGCCGGGTCTCCGTGGAGCATAAGCCCAGTTACCCTTCAGGTGGCTGATCAGCTTATATTCTTTGGTAAAACCTGTCTGCGTTGCGCTTCGTTACTTCATTTACTTATTTGAGGTTTCAGGGTGTCATCGTATAGTCTAGGGGTTCGCATGCTAGCCAATGGTAGACTCAATGGAGTGGCTTATTGCTAGGAAAGTCTTCATCCGATGGAGCACTATCCGCAGCAAAATTCATCCAGGGTAAGCAGTTGAAGCGCAACTAGAGCACGCACTAGACCGAAGCCTCCTGTCACAAGTAACAAACCAAAAGCCTGAAGGGCGTTCTGTATCAGGATCAACAGGAACAGAGAGAGAGAGAGAGGAACCTCCCCGATCTGGGGAGGGCGGTCGCCTGGCCCCGACCTGCTGGCGCTCCGGGTGCGGAGGGTTCCCCTCCGGGCACCACGCAGCCAGCCCCTGGCCTTGAGGCCTTGCGAATTTGCCCAGGTGGCGCCCCCTGTGTTTATGCATCACCCGACCCGGCTACTCGGCAGGCGAATGCCGTCCAGTGATGGCCAGGGCTTTGAGCCACACGGTGGACCGCGTGGGCGCGGTGCCGTCAGCTGCTCGGAGGGCTCCCCGGTGTCTCATCTCCCTGCACTGTCTGGCGCAGCGCGGTCCCAGTGTTTTTCTCCCCTGGCTGTGGGGCGGCCAACGGCTTGAAGGCCACACCCCTGCCAGTCGAGTCCCTTCCAGGATTCGAACCAGAGACCGGAGCGGAGTGCAAGCACTTGCCCACTGAGCCGATCAACAGGGACAGTCGCGCGACCAGTTTAGTGACTAACAATCCAACAACGAGCTAGACGAGCGGTTAGAAGTCGCCAGGGAAATCGTAGGCAGATCGCCGGGGGGATTCATATCGTCAGGCCCTTGAGGTAGGGCGGAGAGTAGTTGCGCAGATCTTCGCGTAGTACTGAAGATAGTACTAAAGAACACAACGGAAAATGGAAAAACAGGATGCTCATCGTGAAATCAATCATATTTCAATGCAAGTTCGTGTCTTTCAAAGATATAGATCTTCCAAAGATCTTGTTTGTTTCTCTTCGCCTTCGTTCGTTTTGCTTCTGAGTTTTCGGCAGGACAGCATGAAGAAGCCTTCACGGTTGTCTGAACGAACGCTCTAGGGAACCCGAACAAGAAGTCGAAGTGTACAGCGCCTATCGAGTATTTACATGAAAACATAACAGCTGGAGATACATAAACTCATAGGCAGACATCAGACATCACATTGTCATTGCTCACATGGAACATGATCGTACTTCTTGTTGCAAAATAATCATTTCTGTAGTAGAAATCGTGGACGTCCCCTACTTTCGTCATATTTATTTCCCCAATTGTAGTAGCTTTCGTAAGATTCCCTCAACTTAAGAGATAGAATTCGTAAAGTTCCCGCAACTACTTAACTAGTATTCGTGTGATTTCCCATTTGACTCATTCTAATCTCTACTCAAGAAGCAGCGCAAACTACAACGATCATTCTATCCTCCCTGACCAACATGAACTTGCGCCAAAAAGAACAGAATGCTTGATTAGCCACAAAGATAGAATGTTTGAGGTGGTTCGTTGTAGCAGCTGTAGTTCAGTTGTTTTCGTTTTCCAAGAATATCGCTCCATTTAATGTTGTAGGTACGAGCTCTGAGCAAATACCTCGCTGTCTTCTTGAACTGGCACTAAGAATAGAAATTTGGAAGTCTACAATCATGTGAGGCAGTCCCTAGATGAGCTGAGCACATTCTAACTGTCTTTGAAGCAGTCGCTGGCGTAGCGTCGAATGCACAAATTGAGAATCTAATACGTAAATTAGATCTCCATCCATATTAACTCGATCGACTTGATAGAACCACAAGCACAACATCAATATGATTTGTTTTATTTTTGATCCCTTCTGTCCTCAAAGACAAGTCGAGTTTTCATTGTCACAGAACCAAGCTGCGGTGTTCACAGAAATACTGTCAGACCACGTCTCTACGGTCACCATGAACGGCGATAACAGGGACAACAGCATGCATGTTCTCAGATGTGGCGGTGGACGACACATCATTCCATGGAAGCGGCAGAGGTTCTTGCCCAGCCTGCAGCAATGGAACGTGCGTTTTGTTGGTATTTCTTCGTCTCCTAGTTCTTGAAGAAGATCTACACGTGTAAAAGATCTACACAGAAGCCGTCTACATCCGCTTATAAGTCACTACATGTTGTAGGTAGTCATCTACTACATCTAGCATAACTAGGGATCCGAGAGGATAACAGGTTATGATACTCATATTTTCCATTCCTTCAAGCTGTTTATGAGGCCTTACAGCGCAGGTTGCTTTCTACGGAATGCTTGTATGCTTGGAGTCCGTATGTACAAGCAACAATACGAGCATAACTAGGAAAAGTAAGAAAAACAAAAGAATAAGAGTGTAAGCTGAAGATTGGGAAAAAGAGAAAGACAGACATGTGAGGGAAGAAGGAGGTGGTCTTTACACAGCAGACAATGATCACTTCTTTGGCTGAAAAAAATCTGAAAACTTGCTTAACAGTAGTCGCTCCCTACACTGACGAATGGGCGTGGATTCGCTCTCACTCTAGTAGGCGCGACTGCTGTGATGACTGTCCTAATTTGTTGATTAAGTAAAAGATTTGAAGGACTTCAAAGAAATTAAACACGAAAATGGAGAGACGTACAGACATTGAAAAATAGCGACTGCGTTGTCCACTACCAGCTGCTTCTCTTGCCTTGAGGTTGACAACCGGGAATAGGTTTGTTCTTCTGGTGCTCGATAAGTTGAGGGCTGACAGTGCAGCCCTCCTTCAGCTCCTCTCCCAGTCAGGTCTTTGCCGCGACCGGGCCTTTTTTACAGGGCGCGCTCACTCTCCCTAAGGTGTTTTGCAGCTATGAGATCCGGTTCTTCCTCTCTAGGCCTTTTACGGCAGGGTCGAGCGGCGCGGACCATCATGGAGCGCTATCGACAGATACGGCCTGCGCCGTATGACACTGGAAAGCCATCGCCAAATACGCGATTTAGAGAGCAAGATCATGCACATGCAATAGAGAATCAGACGTCCTCGGAGAACGGTTCAAGCGCCTTCCGCCATCAGGGAGATTTTTTGTTCCAGACATGTACGGAAGTGGACGTCGACGCGAAAGGACAAAGTTGTACCTCTAGAAAAGTCGAGCACTGTAGTACTAGTTCCGACGAACGAGACCAGGCAGCAAGAGTACCTTCCGACCTGGAAATTCGACTTGCTCGCGATGCCTTGTCGCGTAGTCCCTCTGAGTCCTCTACGAGCGGGGGGCGAGCCACATCCGACTCTTCAGCGACGACGAGTCGACGAGCCGCGAAGAATTTCTCCAGTAATTTCGAACAAGTGCAACGTTTACGAAAATGATTACTTCTACAGATACGCATAGAATAATTAATAGAGGAGAACGACTGTTGCAGGACTTCTAACATTTGATTAATGATTTTGTTTACGGACAGACGAGTCTGGTAACTTCTGCATTGCGGTGTAGAACAAGATGAACAAAAAAAAGTCGCAAAAGTATAGAAGTAAAAGAACCGTTCTTGATATCTATTCAGTAGTTTGAGTGTCCCACATTTAAATTTGTTTTCATGGTATTTGCCGTGCTTTCACAGCGTACCGACATCGGCGCGCACTGGCTTCACTGCGTCTGGAACGGCTACGTCATCTGCGGCATCGAGCGCGTCTCCTACAAGCACAATCTGGGAGAAAAGTCCACCTGATGCGTGCGTGTTGCGTTATGATCAGCATTTAAATTCATCTCTCTCTTTCTCTCTTCAGCTTCTCGATACCCTTTTCCCTTGTATTTCATGGGAAAGGGGTCGAGATGAAAGGGGTCAAGAAAGCGGACTCTAATTGCGCGTTGCACTGCTCGGTCTTCCAAATGCTGGAAAGAGTTCATTACTCAATGCTCTGGTTGGAGGTGCCGCGGCGGCGGTGTCTTAAGGCTTTTCCTAATTCAAAATGAAACTTGTTTTCTCCCTTGGTTGACTCAAGAAATCCATAATTCAAAATGAAAATTGTTTTCTAGTACCTACTTGACTCAAGAAATCCATAATTTAAAATGAAAATTGTTTTCTACCTTGGTCGACTCACGAAATCCATGATAGATGGTGGTCTGATGTCATAGTTGTTCCTTGAAAAGCATCTTCGACGCCTCCTTTTGTCGAGGGAAATCATCTTTGACTCATTTTTGAGATGAATCTATTGTGGAAAAGACAGCTCTAAGTTTCACGGAAAGCTAATACGACGGACACGGATCAGGTGAGCGGCGTGGTCACACGTGGTAACGTCCAGCTGATCCTGCAGGATGCTCCAGGCATTTTACCAATTTTATTGCACAAGATGATTTGACTCGACCTATAAATATCTCATTCGCATTTCATGGCGTCCTTTGAGTACTTAGTTATAGGTCCTGCGACGCTCAAAGCACTAAGTAAAACAACCGGTTAGTTTTCACCTCCACACTCTTAGGCTTATCCCATGCAACAATACTTAGCTACTTCACGATACCGACAATTATCGCTATCGCTGAAGCTGTTGACGGACTCGGGTTATTCATCAGTGTAGGTCTAATAAGCGGCAATGGGGGCAGAAGACGGCTGAAGTACAAAGAGCTGTCTCGAAAGGCTTGGAGTGGATATCAAGGGGCTGACGTGGTCTTACTAGTCGTAGATGCTGTGAGGAGGCCTACTTCAGAAATTTTCGGGCTTCTACGAAAGCTTGGCCCTCTGCCACCTCTGCCAGCCCAACAAGGGAGTACTTCTCTGCCACCTCTGCCACCAGGGAGTACTTCCCGCGTTGGCAAAATAATGAAAAACGACGAGTCACCAACATCTTTTTTGAATGAAGAAGAGATTAATAGACCGGCATTTGGTATTGGTTCCGCACGTTCTAGCTCCACCTCCTGTATCAATGTTTCTAGGCCTTTTTCCATTCCTGGTGAAGATTTTCTTTTGGATGCCCAAAGTATGAACGATCAGCCACGAGGACCGATCTCAAGCGCCTCATCGCCACTTGTATACGATTCAAGTGTAGCGGTTGGCAATCCAAGTCTCGCAGGAGGTGGTCGAGATGATTTTGATTTGCGTAAGATAGCAAGACGCAAACTAGCGGCGCAAACGGACGGTGAATTTTCCGACTCTGTTGATGTCGAGAAAGAACCAGAACGAACCGCGGTCAGAAAGGAGGATGCTCGGTCGTTCGTGGAGGAGGAGAAGGAAGAGTTTCTAGAGGAAAATCCGGAGCTAGCTCATCTTCTGCCTGATAATTTTGAAGAGCTGCTAATGTCTACTTCGTCCAGTCCGGGTGAGCGTCCGCCGCTTATTTTGGTCCTGAACAAGATCGACAAGCAACCCGAATTCCGATACGTAACGGCACGCAGGAAGGAGTTTACGGATCGCGCGTCCTTCCTTATGGTCAGCGTTTGTGATCCATCTTTCTCGGCGTCTTGGTGCCCTTTCTCCCTGTTGTATTCTCATGAGGAATACTACACAAGGGAAGTAAAGCTGATTCTGTGAGGAACACACTGTTGGATTCTCATGAGGAACACAGCGAGATGAGGGGACTGAGAAGACGAAGCCGAAGTGATGAAGTAGGAGGGCTCTAACTTCCGCAAGGTCTTCTACACTAGCGCATTAGAGGGACGTGGGATTGAAACTCTGGCTAGGTATCTTGTGGAATTCGCCGACACTGGTGGCCAATGTGCGACAAGTTCCTCCTACATTGTCCCCGAAACTTCCGAATCTTCGCGTATGAATAACAGGCGGGTGAAAGATCATTCTCAATTTGTTTCGGGAGATACTCCACGACATCTTCAGAGAAGTGCAACGTTATCGCAAGAGGAAGATATTTTTGGTAGCACCTTGGCGGGCCACGACAGAGGCGGGGAAAATAGTCGATTCACTGCTTTGTCGGATAAGAATTTAGATGCATCTACTGGGCACAACCACAGCCACAATAGATACCGACGACCTTGGCTGTTTTCGCCGGAGCGGAAAAGTACTGCTTCTCAAGTAGAACAGGTGAAGCAACTTATACGTTCCGCTATGAACAATCTTGCGGAATATCTTCTTATCTTTTCTTAGCCGCTAGTTTTTTCTTGGAAGTATGTTGTACTAGCGAAATTAACTAAAGAAGATTTAGTTCATCTATTCACTTTTCTTACTACACTACATGTTGATAACCAACTGTGGTCTAACAAAGATGTTCCTTCTAAGTATTTAAAATATGAGTTGCGGAGTTCTTCTTCTTGGCCGCTATTTTCTCTAATATGTTGCTGTTCACCTGGTTCAACAAGGATGTGCCGTATAAGATCGAGCAGGAAACTGTAGGGTGGATGGAACACGAGGTTGTTGAGGATGCTGTGGAGCAGACCACGGAAGAACAAAGCGCTGTGGAGCAGACTCAGGGAAGAGGTGCGGAAGATGTAGATCCGTCATCAGAGACTTTTTCTACGAGCAGCACTGCCAGGACAAGCGATTCTGAATCTGATACCCATGCAATCGAAATGAAGAGAACTACATTACTAGCCCACGACATGAGTCAAGGTGAAGAGGCAATGCTGTCGTCAAAGATACAGCGTCAACAAATGGATGACGACGAGAAGCAATCGGGAGGATGCAACGGGAGTACAACATGTCCTACTTCAGGGACCACACCTGCAGCAGCAGGCATGAAAAAGAAGGTGATTGTCATAGAACAACAGTTGACCGTGGAGGACAGTATTGTAGCCAGAATGGTTTGTGGCGTTGGTGGGAGACTTATTCAGCGTCTACGCGAAAATGTGGCGTATCAACTGGAGAGGCTGTGGAGCGTGGACAAAGTAGTCTTGCGAATCACGGTGAAATGTAAAAAGGCGAGGCTCAGCAGAAGAGACTTGTTAGATAAAGCACAGGCAGCGAGATTGCTGTAGTCTTTTCCCTTATTCTGGTTTGTTTTCAGAGCCTTTTCGTATTCAGAACGATTGAACCCGGCAGCTGCTACATGCTCATGCTGTAACTCGTTTAGTTTGATCTGACATTCTACTGATTTGATTTTTATGCTACTAGGGTATTCGGAGGGAGGTAAATATATGTACGTGCGGGAGAGAAGTAAACTGTCATGCAGGAAAACTGTCATGCGGGAAGAGGTTTCAGAACATTTTGGCTTAGCTACTCCAGGTAAATTCTAGGTTGTTGTTCTTCTTCTCGTACGGCATCGCCATGATTATGTTGGCTACTTAACTAACTAACGATAGTATTGCTACTATGAAGTAGAGTGCCCACTATTTCGTGTGCGCTTCATCTTGGGCAAGACGCATACTAGGGTGGAACACGGCAATGTCGATGCTGAGTTGTCTGCACATCTAATGACAGCACCGTATCTATAGGAGTAAAGGATACGAGCTACTGGGAGACCTTCGTGAAGAAGGTGGAGAAGAGGTGCGCTTCGCGTTCGTTGGAATTGCCGTCGGTGTTATCTGTCAAAGGGGAGGGAATTCTAAGACAATATTCAGAATTTCTGTACTTTCATCTTTGTGGTAATATACAATACGGCATGCGTCGCGCCTGGAAAGAAGCAAAGTACAACTTTTATTTTCTACTTCACCTAAACCACTATCACGTGCTGTTTAGGAAGCCTTTCGCAGGTTCTTCTCTACAGAGTGCTTGCGTGCGTGGTTATCTGCACGTGAGAGCAATAGCCTGAACACGTGATGGAGACGAGAGAGAAACTGAAATCATGAAAATCTAAGGAAACAACAAGGAAAACGATCAAGAAGATAAAAATGTATCCTTCTTATTTTTCGCCGTCTCAAGGATATCCTTCTCTTTGTGCTCCTGCTATGTTCGTCTTCTTGCTTCTGCTATGTTCGTCTTCTTTTTGCTGGGTTGGGGTTTTTGGAGCTCAAGGAGAAGGAGGAGGACAAGAGCAAGATCCCTACAGTCGTATCGGACCAGCGGACTGTGCATCGCTGCTTGCTCGCCGTGTACATTCCTTTGAAGACAATGCCAAGTTTAAGGACGCGGCTTGAGGAAATCAATCTTCTCTATTTTTTGTCATGCACATTGCATTTCCGAAGTTGAATCTGAGCAGGCGGTGGCATGTGCTCAGAAAATAGCATTTGATCAGTTGTAGTTTGCAACTAGCCAGGACGGTAGTTAGATACTTAAATGCTTTCTTCAGAAGGAAACGCTCTCTGAAAAGGTTAACAGAGATGGATTTCATCAGGAGAGCAGCAGTACAGATCTAAAAAATACGAGGAGCTGCGAGGGGCGTGCGCAGTACGCGCTTTCTTGCAGTATGGGAAGAAAACAGCGTCCTTTCGTCGTTTTGTTGAGTGTGGAGTTAAGGCTCAACTTTCATTGGTCATTGAGTTTAGTCACTGAGATCCCTCTTGAGCGAACAGGGGAAAATGAAGGGAAAGCAAAGGGAGAAAATGGAGGGGCCCTTTTCTTTCAGAATCGGTGACCACTGAGACCTTTAATGGAGGATGCGGTGGCGAATTCGATTATGGAAACTGCATCGTTACGCGAAACGACGGCATCTCCGAGTTTGCGGGAAAGAGCGAACGAAGTCTGAATTGGCAGACAGGCTTGTCCACAAAAGACATACATTATGGCTACAAGATAAGAGGAAGTTGCGAGATGAAGGCGAGTTCCAATTGTGTTGATTAATACTTAGTTTGGGAGGTGGCTCCACCGCTATTTATATGTTGTGGCCAGGCAGCTACAGCTTTTCTGAGATCAGAATGACTCATCTTGCTCCGTGTTGAAGAAATTCATATACCAGAACTGCGAAAAAGTGTGTGGGCAGATGCACAAGAAGAAGACACTATGGCACGAGGAGAGCAAGCCCACACGGGAGTTATGGCATTCTTTTTTTTTTGAGTTAGTCATTTGAGAAATCTTCAGCTTTCTTTACCTGCCTTTTTTAGCTGCATCTTACTTACAGTTTCTAAGTTGTTATTCCGTTATCCTCATGGGAATTCAGTTATTTTCTTTGCTTCTTCATATTACTGGTGGAAAATAGATATCGTCCGCGCAGGAGCTCTAAGAGAGTAGACGAGGACGATGTAGCAGCCTTGGCATTGGGTTTGATTCTGGATTCAGCACCTCTTTATGAATGAAGTTTTTTCGCCTATTTTGCTGTGTAAAAAGGACTATCAACATGATGGTCATGTTGATGGTGATGGTCCGGCTACTAGACCACGGAAAAAACTACTTGAGCTTCTTCTACACTGTAGTGGAAAAATCGCCGAAACAAGGTGCGTCTGCGCGAGCCTTCCTGCCTGATGCACGGTCACTGGTACGAGATAAACTGAATTCTGAGACGACAACATCCGATGATCGAAGCGGCGCCTTTGGTCAGCGGTTGTTATCCGAGTTTCTTTTTGGTTATGAAAGGAGGATATTACTGCTGGAGGAACGCTTCATCTCAGCTTTTCTAACTACACATTTCTCTTATAGCCAAAGTTTGTGGTTGCTAGGTTCTGAAGATAACTCAAAAACCTAGCTTCGCATTAATAGATTGGCATCCGGTGGTGAGAGTGCGATGCGGCCATGCGCCTTACTGTGTTGCGGAGTCGGTTCCCACTACGTGCCCGCGAATGAAGAAGAGCGACGTATGCTTTCGCCAACAGGAGTTGTGTCAGATGCTGGAATGGTAGAGGATGTTGCTAGGAGGACCACGAGTTCTCCTGATCGAAGCTCAGCGTTCACTGCAACAACCATCGCCAGTCCGCAGCGCTGCCAGGTAGATGGCGAGGGTCGACACACGTGTTTGCATCCCAATGTCTGTCTAGTGCCAGGACGAGAGCTCTTTTTCATGATGGATGGTTTGGCAATGACAACCGCAAGAACTACGACTGCATTGGATGAACAAAAAGTATCATCTTCAAGTTCCAAGAGTGGTGGTGCTGAATTAGTAGTCGACCCTTCAGGATCAAGAAAGACTGAAGCAGAACCATCCGAAACCCTGTCCACCTCACTCGAGAGTGAGCCCTTGTTTGGCTGTCCTTCTTTTTCGTATGGACAGCCGTCAGCCTTGCACTTGTGGCACCAGATGTTCCCTTTTGATTTTCCTTGTGGATTCACGTGGCCGAATTCGTGGAGAGAATACTCAAGATCTTATGTTAAGACTTCCGTTGAGATTGGGTAATCCATCTAATTCATTGATTTTGTAGTAAATTGTAATTGAATGATCATCTTTCTACCTTCCAAAGTGGTAAGAGAAATCCAAACCCGAAATCTATCTTCCAAAAGAAAAAGCATTTTATTGGAGCAGCTGTGCCAAAACTAATAGGACAAGCAGCACCACCAAGATGTTCATCTTGCTCAAGATGACTCGACTCTGTTAGTACAAAAAGTGGTAGAACTTCTAAATACTGGCTCCGAATTCCTGAGAAAATCACGGCAGATGGGAACCATATTCGAGCTTTTCGGGGAAAGTCGTTGATTGTGGGCTTACCGGACACTGGTGATTAAGGCCGAAGACTTTCTCGACGTAAACATTGATGACACTAAGTAACGCACGGGACGTAAGTATTCGTTAGACCAAGTCATCTCATTTAGTATGTTTCTCTCCTACTTGTTTAGTCTTGCTCCTCCTCGTTTCTATCTCTCAGTCTTATCGGACACTTATCTCACGCGTACCACGTTATTAGACCAAGTCAAAACGTGGCGATATAGAAAGGCTTCCGGGAGGACATTGGAGAATTATATATAGAAACAAGCTTTTCCATACATAGAATCCATGACAATCAGGGCCGATGTGATAAAGTACAAGCGCTTTTAGTCTCCTGTGGTTATTTTTGACCATTTCCATTGCTCTAATCCCAACCACCAACAATCTGGCACTTTATTCAGCATCTTTTTGGGATAGTGGGCGCAAAAGCGTTGTACAAGGTGTCGAAATGGACCTCTGTGCTGGTTTCAGATCCAGCTGGATGGCTCAGTCGGCCTCATTCCCAGTTATGCAGGTACTTCCGTTAAGAAGAAGATAGCGTTAGTAAGAGATTCTCAATCCATTCTCCATCTTCGAACTGATGGTAGGACAACGTTTAGATACGACTTCTAAGCCCTCCGCCTCTTCGAACTGATGGTAGGACAACGTTTAGCGACTGACTTACCTCATTTCCGCTACATCGGACCTTCGGCGCAGTTGAGCGAGCACACAGTTGCCGGAGTCGGACTGCGGTTGAGAACGGAAGAGGAAGAGCAAGACCAGATGAATCACGTGACACCACACTCGACCACGGATGATAGCGCTAATACTAAGAATGCCGGCCACGACAATTCCGCTGAAACCATGTCAAGGGATGACGAGTTGCTGAGAATGTTTCAACATGGAAACAGTGGCAAAACCACATCAAAAGCGCTCATTTTATGAAGAAAAGAATGTGCTCATGTTGACAATGTACTTGTTTAATAGCATTTCGGGTGATGAATATTGCTATTGTTAGGAGTGAATATGGTCACACAAGTACTGTACTGTTAGGTCCCTAGAGGCACCTACTCTAAGACCAGCACAGGGTAAAACGAATTGTTTTGAAGAAGCGGTTTACACTGGGTGGACACCTACGGGAGTATCTGGTACAAGGGAAATGCACTTTTTTCGGGATCATATGAAGCGGCTGTACCCCCATATCAAGCAAAGACGATATCATGTCCTATACCTCTCCAGAAACCCGGAAACCGTTGCGAGAGTAAAGGAACGATATCGAAAAAAGGCCGCTGGAAGCAGAGCTGGGCGACAGCATAGGAGAGAGTTAAGGCATCATCCCAGGAACGCATTTTTTCATCACGGCCTTAATCATCTCTATTCAATTGTAATACATCTGGGGAATCATAACTATACATCTGGGGAATAATTGTAATACATCTGGGGTGGAATCATAACTATACATCTGGGGAATCATAACTCTGGATCATTTTTATTCAATTGTAACTGAGTCCTCGCTGTCGCTCTAAGATGACCTTGTTCGCCTGCTCGGGAAAGAAACATTGGAGCGACGGAGCGCACAGAACGAGTCCGTGGGACAGAAGCTGATGAAGTGAACCTGAGTGCAGACTTAGCCTTACCAAGCTACATTGTACGCGACTCTTTGTACAAGGACCGGAGTTTTATTCCTCTGAATACAGGTGAACAAGAGGAGTCGAAGGGCGTAGTAGAGGATCTTCACGAACGTGACGTTGGTGAAGGAAGAACAAGAAACTGCGACCCTCAAGAACAAGATCGTCAAGAAGAGAACACACTACACTCTCAGGAGCAACGAAAGGAAGCGACGACAGTGGAGACAGAAGCAACAAAGCCAAGCTCCATTCTCAGGAGCAACGACAATGATGACAATGACTCCTTTGATAGAAAGCAACGTGCAGCATCGGGTATATTGTTCAATTTGGGCAGAACCTTGCTGAACGAGGAAGCCTTCGTGAGTGCGGTGCAGAGTCGAATCTTTCGGTTTTTTCGCGAAGCAAGATTCGTTAGCAACGCTTCGCCTTATTTTTAAGGCATGTTCTTGGTCACTGAGTTTGTTGTGCCGTTGTATGTAGTTCTTGGTCCTAGTAAAAAGAAGTAGGAAAAAGTTTTTTTTAGGAAATTTCAAATGTTGTTGAACGACCTCTAGTCCCCGTGACATGGTGTTGCCCGTCCTCTAGACTTTGCGGGGTCGGTTTCATACGCTACGTAGAAAAGGAACCTTGTAAGTAAAATCTTCCTCGCTAACATCCACGTGTCCACACAGGTGCCGAACCCTTCGAGACGCAGATGAAATTGTTTGCGGAAGCTGCGCTTGTTATAGGGACGTTTGCAAGTGGATTATCGAATTTACTATTCCTACCACCTGGCGCACACTTGCTAATACTGAACTTACCAGGGCACATGCAAAGTCAGCAATTCTTAGCCACGAATGCAGGCTTATCACATCACAATTAAGGCTCTTCAGATAAATTAGGACTCGACTTAACGAGGATAAGTTCTCGTTTACTAGTTCCAAAAGCTCTAAGACAATTTCTTTCTCGACATTGACGATGGAATCGAGTGTGAAGATGGAGGCAATCCCGATTTCGATCTGCCTCATCTACGTTCTCCTTCAGACCACATCAAGTTTAATGTCGGGATACCACCATGGCGGTCCGATTTTCCTCTGCGGAACCTGTCAGGTGGGCACTTCGCCAGCATCAAGGGTCCGGCGGCGCACTTGCAGTGGAGATGCAGTTATCGGGTCAATATTCGGCGCTTTTATGAGGAAGTGAGATGTTCATTATCCTTATCGATCCTGTAATGATGTAGAGTATCGATCCTGTAATGATGTAGAATATCTAAGACACTAAATACAACTTATTCTTCGTTTTTGAGAAAGCGCCACTACATCAATGAAGATGCTTTTCTATTTCATAGTAGGAAAATCAAGATGAAGTACAACCACAACCCACCTGCTCTAAAACTTCCTTCCCGAATTCGAGCGGTACTTTGGTGAGGCGTTTTCTTTCGTAAAACGTCGAAGAGTACTGGCAAGCGAGAATCTTGAATCATACTTGCTGGACAACCATAACAGCTCAAGAGCTACGGTGTCAGGGCCAAGAAGTGATGAGGATGAGGAGCGCAAGAAATTTGAGCTGGCAGCTGCTTTTGTTATGTTCTTGGGTGTTGTAGTTTACAGGATTTCTGTTGTCTTTATAGGGCTGCAATCCTGAGCAAGAGTCTGACTCTAACTTTCATTACATCATTCAATCAATCACAAGCTAGAACATCTTCATTGGAATTTACCTCGTAAGTAGAAATGAAGATGGAATAAGTATTCAACTCATGCACTATATACAACACAGATGAAATCGTTCGTTCTTTCCCTTTTCATACTTCTGCGGGAACGAAAGATGCCACTGGACCGAACGGCTCATGAGTTGCGGGTAGAGACTGTGAAACACCTCCAGGAACGCGTTGAAGCCCGATTCGACGCTGCGAACTACATAATGCCGACTTCCAGTAGTTCTTGATATGTTGGCTTTATTGCTGGTACACGTAGTTGCTGGATTTTTGGACTCCCCCTCACATCATCTAACTGGCGGCCTCATGCATGCTGATCCTCGACCCCTCTATCTGAGTGGTCTTTGTTCTTTCTACTGTTGCAAACATGTTGCTACAGTGAGTGACTGTTCTTATTGAAACAAGTGGAATCCGTCTTCTTTTGCATGACATCTAACGATTATTCTTGAACTGGATTTACTCTGCCGCATCTAACGATTATTGAACTGAAGAAAGGGTTGCGGTGAGGAGAGAGGGAGAGAGCACACAAACACACTTCTTCTGGACTGTGACTTCGTTGCAGCTACGTGAAGCACGGTTCCATCTTCGACTTCACACATGATCCCAGTGAATATTTTTTCTGTGCAGATCTATTTTTTCTGTCTGCGATAGCAAGCTGGGTTTTAATTTCTGTGGTAACTACTTGATGAAGCAAGAGGGTCAGAGATGATGATGAACTGAAACATTCTGTTAGCGGACTTTTCTGTCTGTGGGTTCTTTGTAGGCATAGCTTTACTGAGATGTTGAGACAGCCATTCGATTATCAATACAACTTATATCTAATCAAGAATATGATACTGACCAGGTCCCCATGCATTGTTCTCCTGCTCCTCGTTCTTGTAAATTTTTGTTGTCTACTAGTCGAGTTAAATAATGAAAAAGCATACCCTTGCATTCACAGTTTGTCGTAACTAGTTGTACCTTAATTTTTCTTCTAGTGATCCCCAATCTTATTCAACATTGTAACCTTTGTTCGACCGCGTCTGATTCATTGTCAGAATCTGAAATAACGGATACAAAGTTGTTATAATCTTCTCCCAACCATTGACTATCACCTTCACCATACAGTAAAAGTGCATCATTGTTCTCAATTTGAATAACAATAAAGATACACTGTTAATAAAACAATCACCAGTTGCAAAGATGTCGAAGGAACATGCGGTGAATATGGTTCTTGAGGAGCTTCCTCGTTTAGTGGAATGCCTCCAGGAACAGCACCTGGTCGAAAAATTGCATCCCCAGATCCAGCAAAAGTTGAACCAGTGCGTGGAGCATGGCGCATCGGTTCTCGAACCTCTTTCCAGTGGCCAAGCAGTGACAGATGAAGTTAAGGCTTACAACCGTAATTCTTTCTTCATCTTCCTTGAGAAGCATCTTTGACAGACGGGCTTTCAAGGAGAAAATGCTGATGGTCAAAGATAGATGCACGCTAAGAAAGATGGATAAATCGGCATCAAGTCTTTCTAATGAAGGCGCGCTTGCAGGTCAAAGGCTGTTCTTTGGGGATTTGCTGCAGGTGACTGCACACGCACTGACACAGTTCAGTCGTGCTCACGAAGTCGAGGGACCCGTGGCACCGTTTATTTAAGGCGGGGATTTGATGTGCTGGGTCGGTCCACGATTGCAGAGCTTTTAGTCACAATAACACACTACCTAGATGACAGAGCTTCATCAAAGCAACTGTTAGTGTTGACGACGAGCACTAACCCTGTCTACTCTACTGCAGCTGGACAAACCCCAGACTATATCCACACCCTAGAAATAAACCAAATTTATCCTCACTTCTACTGAACCTGTAATTTCGGCATTCTTTCACACTATCGACTGTGCTGATCTTATCTATTTTCTAATTTCTGCATTCTTTCACACTATCGACCGTGATTTTTTCGCAGTTTGTGGGTGCGCAAGAGCCCGTTGTCGCGTACATTCCGCCTGAAACCTTCGTCGCAGCTACGGAAGAGCAAATGTATGACCCGGTCGCGTCCATTGGAGAACACATCCTTGGTCTCATAGGCGATCACTTCGACTACTGCCTCAGGGAAGTGGTGTTCAACTGCGGCAGCGACGATACCAGCAATGACGAAGTGTTACTTAAGGAGAAAGGGTGTGTTGTTCCATGCATATCCCTAGAAGTAGAAGTACAAACCACCTAGAAGGTCGACCTCTACTAATCTGCATGTCTTCCTTAAAAGGAGAAAGGGTGTAAGTAAGTTGTGTAAGGAATCCTCGCTTGAGATAACTCGTCTAATCTCGTTCCTGCTGGTGCTACTAAGATTTGGCGTCAGCTCCCCAAGTTTTTCTACCGCCCTAGTCGTACTCGTAGTCCAATTTGTTCCAAGTTTTGTCTAGCAACCTCAGCAACTTCGTACAAGTAGTCCAATTTGTTCCAAGTTTTGTCTAGCAACTCTACCTCTCTCCTCTAATTTGAACGCCAAGATCTGTTGTCGCGTGATGTGGCGTACCTTGGCTCTTTGCCTTGGCGGTGCTGACAAAATCGATGGGGAGATGTTTCTCGAACTGTGCGGTAACGAGGTCTATTTTCCTGTAGCCTTTGCGCGAACTTTGATTCCCTGCGAAAGCGATATCGCGGTGCCCCTCATGGCGTTGTGGTCGAATACGGCTAATGTGAAAGCGGCCACACGAGTAGCAGAACAACAGAGCTCAACTTTGGCTATCCTGGAAGAGGAGGGAGGCAGACAACTGCCTAACGATGAGACGGGAGATTTAGCGGATGTCTACGAATACAAGAAACAGGTAAAAATGGTTGGACAAAGAGAAATGATGAATGATTGGACAATTATAAATGTTTTTACTGACTCTCTTCTATCTTCGACGTTTATTTTCTACAACCGTGTTAAACTCAATACCAGATCGCCTGCGCCTTTGTGGACGACGATATTATCCAGGAGCTTCTGCGTGCTCTGGCTTCTGCGCTGAAGCAGTGGGAGTCACTTCCGGAAGTCCAACAGTGGTTTATGGCTGTGTTAGAATCTCCAGACTTGTCTCAAGTTCTGGTTCCTCAGCCACCTGTGCCTTTGGGCTATAAAGCTCAGGAGTTGGCGAGATCCGTACTTTTGTTGTTTGCTGCCACTTGCCGCTGTATGAGCGAGATTGCAAACGTATGCTTGGATCCGCACTATAGGGTGTGGGCTGGAAGGTACTACTTATGTTTGACAAATTGTGTTTGTGCTGTCGCGAGTGGGATTTTGGATTTTCCTACTAGTAGTAAGTACTAGGACGATGCCTACGTACTACTTTGAAGATCCGTCAATCTTCGTGATCCACCAGATATCCATCCCTAATTGGTCGGATGCAACGGCACTTGACTCTACACGGCAAAGGCTTTGTCACCCACCTGATAAAGCCGCATTTTGCTCCCCATAATGCGGTGGGCATGAACAGCGACTTGGACCTGAAACTGCGCATGCTAGTCCTCAGTCGACAAACGCACGCGGCGAAACAAGACATCGACCGGAGCGTCTTTCGAATGAGCTGCGTCTGTTTGGACACACTTTTGGCGCTGAAACACGTCAACTGCGATCAGGTATTCGAAAACTCAAAATAACCGAGTTACTGACTGAAATAAGGGAGGTAGCTAAACGTCAAGGCTACCTTTCCTTCTCATCAGTATCTCGGTTATTCTGATCAGTTACTCGCTTATTTCAGTTTTTCGAGTATTCGGATTGCCAGATATGGTAGTTCAAGAACATCATAGATTCTACCTGCATTCACCTGTTGTAGAGCTAAACCAACTCGTCACAATGAAAATGCTAATTTCTGTGAAGATTCCACGTCCACGACATCACAGCCTCCGCTACTCACTGGTAAACTGCCCAAGTAGTTTGCGACCATTTATGATACTCTCCGAGAATGACCACGACAAAATTTATCTACCAAATCAAAGGTAATCGGAGTCGATTTCCTTTCCTTAGTCGCCAACGGTCTGCAAAACCCTGCTCCGGTCCTTTCGTCTGCGGCAGATGCAACTGTTAGTGCGAAAGCAGCACTGTTGAGCATGAATCCTGCTGATTACACGGTTAGCATGGATGCTGATGGTGCTTCCCTGGAGCATGATATGGAAAGACTGACCTCAGAGCTAGCTGAAAAAGTGAGGCTTTTAGCGCTGCCAAGATTAAGGGTTGGAAGTTGACCTCTCTATCCCGCGCATCTCTATACGGCTTCATCGAAGGTACTACTTCACTGAACGGCCTCATACATAGAGACACATTGCTATACAAGAGGCGCCATGACATGACGTTAGATATGCAGCGGGCTAGGGAGGTCAAGTTGCAACCTCTAACACGAGGACTAGCTGAGAACGCTGCTTACTGGCGCACTTGTAAGAAGTACTTGCAAAAAGCACTGGAGAATGGGGGTGCTGCTGGAGCGATTCGCGACTTCTGGGAAGGAAGTGTTGTGGCCAACGCAGGCCCCCTTATGGGTGGTCAGAACTTGGCAGCAGCGGATGCACAGGCAGTGGAAGATTAAGGCAAGAGGATGATTTAGATGTGCTGTTAGCGTCTTGGCTTCGGTCATGTTCACTTCTATCAGAACTTATCTCTACGGGTGCTAGGAACACAACAGCATCATTAGGGATACACACATAACAAATCTTGGCGTTTATTTTTTGCAAGAACAGGTAGTACCTGCTTAAAGCTACAGGAGCAGTTTTTAGAGATAGAGTCTTTCTTTGTGCTTGTGGTACATCATTTTCATCAAAGTCCCAACATTTTCTAATTCAAACAAGCTGGCACCGACATGCTTGCTGGTATGGGCCTATTTGCTGCCGGAACAGGCGAAGCACCAGCGGCAGTATTAGAGGATTACAATTCACAGGGTGTCAATGCTGGAGAACAATTGGTGGCGAATGGTGTGGTCGATCCCTCATTGCTTCTGGCTGATGACGCTCCGTCGGCTGAGGTTGTGGGACAGCTTAGCGGTGTGGGCGGGAATAAAGTTATGAGTCGTGTTTCAGGAAGTGTCTAGAAGTCGTACAAAGATGTGACACGATTTAAGTAAAAGCAGGTGATCAAATCTTGAATTCAATGAAAAATTGGTTCAAGTGGTGGAAAGACTGGATAACTAAGTGAAAACATTGATTCTTTACAGCTAGCACCTCGATTAGTAGAACCCACTGGAGTTTGATCGTCATTAGTGGACTCAATTCTAGCTCCCCAATTTCCTTAAGCTCACTCGCTTCTAAGAAAAGCCATTCCCAGCGTCCGCGAGAAGCTATACCTGAGGAGTTCCGCTGTGCTATTGACGGCAAATTTCTGCAGACTCCTATCAGATGGACCAGTCCTACCACTGGTATATCCTACGTGTACGAACTGGCGACATTGCAGGCTTGGGCAGCGGTCCAAGGCGACATTTGTCCGGTTACCGGGGAAGCTTTTACCCCCGACAACCCGCCAGCAGTAGATGAGGCGTTGACAGCGAGATTGCAAGAGTTTGCAACGGGGTTTGCAGCGTAGATTTGAGCATGTGCTGGCTCCTGCATGCTGAGGACTCTTTGCAGATGCTCCACGATCAACATTTACAATCTCGACTTCTTAAGAACAGCCAACTCCAGGAGTGACGCCCATAATTATATCAAATATTTCAACCACAGAGTGCAGTTGTGGAAACTACAGGAAACTGGAGGAGAAGATGACATCACAAGATTTTGGGAACCCTGATCGATGTTCTTCGAAATCGTAGAATCTTATATTCTAGTACAATCTTCCGCTTTGTTTTAGAAACTTTGTGAGGTACAGGTTATTTGAGTGATCAATCGGCCGAGAGAGCTAGATAGGCGACTTGAATACTTAATCTGAAAAGACAGGTTCTGTTCTTTGAGAGAAGAAATGATATGAAGCTACTCCTGACGAGTCTACTTCATCAAATCTGCTATAATCGATCCTTGAGTCATCTGTTTTGGAGAAAACCGCTTGCAGCTGAATCTGTCTTGAGAAAAGTGCGAATCTGTCTTGAGGAAAATGGTAGGTCTGTTTGTACTAGTCCCATCATTCAAGATTTTTGCCATCCTGATTTCTTTTTTTACTTTATCGTGTTTGTGGTCGCAGGCAGAATATCTTTGGACTACTATTAATTTACACGCTGAACTACAAGATTCTTTGCTTGGTTTGTACGCCCCCCTTTACGCCGCATCTTAATATTGTAGTTCCAATTTTATCCCCCTAAGCTGATGTGAGTGTTGTTCTTGAAAAACAAGATGTGGATAATTCGAATTCCTTGCTGAACCGAGTATCTTAGGAACTTCATTTTGATTCTCGAAGATAGAGTCAACCACGGTGTCGTTTTTTTTTTATACTTATAGGCAACCACACCCACAGTGAATATTCGATGGCAAGATGATCATGTCGCGTTGCTATCGTCAGGGAGCACGGGTCGTTGCTTTGTTGTCCTCCAATGGCCTATTGTGGCACCAGCAGTCCGAAGTTGATGTTGGACTCGTCTTCGCTAGTGCGACCGCTGTTGCCACCTTGTCTAATACCACAAAGACGACGTTTGTGAATCAATGCGAGGCCTCTGCGGTTTCTCAGGGTCATGTCTGTGAACTCGTTGGTGCGGACAAGGTGAAACTCGATGACTGCGCAAAGGCGAGCAGTATCTCCATTGGTACAGCGCCAGGCACGGTTACTACTATTTTAACGAGGTACCCGGACACGGATGACCCGGCGGGCGAGTGCTATCGTGCAGAGCCGTACCTGCGTGGAGCAGGTACGGGCGGGACGACGGCGGGAAGCTATCTAGAATTAAGGCTCGATACAACGAATATACTTTATTCATTTCATTTCATCCAGCAGTGGTCAACATTTTCTTCGGCTTTTTTCCTTTCCTCCTAGTATAGATTGTTCCGAAGAAATGCCTCCAAGGAAGAAATGAGTTGCTTTGAGCTCTAAGAGAAGTAACATATACGTGCCTCGCGAGTGGAGGTACCGGATCCGCTAAGTATCTGAATGTGCCGACCACGAAATTCAACTCGGCCAATGGCGACTTGCTCTATTTGGCACTGATGCGCGAGTCTGTTGGGGATGCATTTTCTTTCGGCGGTATTGGTGCTGCCACGACTCTGGCTCCAACGACTCTGGCTCCAACGACTCTGGCTCCAACGACTCTGGCTCCGACGACTCTGGCTCCAACGACTCTGGCTCCCACAACATTACCTCCAACGACGTTACCTCCTACCACGGCAGCTCCACCTTTGTTTTCGTTTGTTACTACGTTGCCGCCAGCAACCGCGGCGCCGGCTCTTGGTGGCCTTTCTTTTGTAGGAGGAGGAGGACCTTCAGGTCCTCCCCTGTCCTTCGTTGTGACAACGACGATCGCACCACCACCTGGCGGTCTTGGCCTTGTTGGCGGCGGCACCAGCGTGGGTGGCGCTCGAGTCTTGAGGGAAGGAGGGGAAGGAAAAAATGAAACGTATTTGAATTTATGGCTTGCCCCAATCCATCTTCGGAAGCACCCCCAAGAGGCTTCTCAAGGGGAAAAGCCACCTTGGATGCATCTCGGGATGGATTTGGGTGAGCGCTAATGAATCATCTGGTGTCCACCGAGTCCGACGAGTCCACATCATCCGCAGGTGAGAAACGTGAATTGAGTATTTTTGGAGGCTCTTCAGGAACATTAAGGCAAGAACCAAGTCAGTGACCATCCTCAGCATCATCCCTGGGCTCTTTTTCAATGGGAAAAAGGGCCTGAGGATCATGGCCTCAGGGATGCCACGCGGTAGCTCTAACAAGAGGGAACTTTGCTGATGCGTATGCTCGTTTCATCGTCTGCAAAACGACCACAAGCACTCCTGGGCCAGCTACAACAATGACTCCTATAACTACAGTGGTCGTCACCACGACTCTTGCTGCTACCACCACTGTTGTTCCTGCTAGCACGGTAGCAGGGCCTGTGCGCGGGTCTTCGGTAGGAACGCCGGTTACCACATCGACAACAGGACCAGCTACCACAGTCGGCGCGACCATCACACAAGCTACATCAACTACAACATCAACGTCGAGTACTACAGCCGCGTATAGTCCGGATGTTGCCTATCCCGTTCGCATTGAGGGAAATTATACTTCCTTAGAAGTCCTTCCCGCTGGCGTCACGGGACCCATACTACAGGCATCATCGCTCTTCAGTTAAGGCTTAATACAGTATAATGCATCTTAATACTGTAATGCATCTTTTCTTTGTCGTCCTCCTTTTTTCCAAGGGAAAGAAAACACGGCAAAGATGCTTTTGTTTCGAGATGAAGTATACTATAATTATCTATATTATAAACCAAAACTTATTTTGAATGCTAAACGGGAGTGACTTTACGGCTTGAGATGTACGCAAATCATGGCAAAGATGTACGGGCTAGATGTATACGTCTGAGATATATATCTCGAGATATATATCTTGTACGTAAATCACGGGAAAGATGTACTCTTGAGATGTACTTACACCGGGGCGATTCGTAGTAGGTTTCCAAAATTCCACTTTTTTGAGATGTACGGAAATCATGGGAAAGATGTACGGGTTAGATGTATACATCTCGCGCCGTAAAAGTGCCGCGTTTTTGAGTACAACTTTCCCGCGATTCTGCTCCTGCTAAGGCTTTCGGCAGTACCTCAAAACCCTGAACCAACAGCACAAGCCAAGGACCGCGCTGCATGGTCAAAAATAAACGAAGAGCGAAGCGCCTCAGCCTGGGGCCAGTCATCTCATGAAGAAAATCCGCTGCGTCTGCGTATGTGCTACAAAAAGGACCCACATGCAAACAAAGAAACGCAAACAGAGGCAAGCACCCAGCAGCTATACGCTGAGCAAGTTAGCACCTGCGTGCTTTTTGGATCAGGCGCCTGGGCTTGAGCTGGCTCAAAGGGTCAGACCTTTCAAGCAGGTCAAAAGTAGCCAGCGACTTCATAAAGCTGCGCGCTTTGGATAAGGGTTTCGAGCTGACTCAAAGGATGGGGCCGCTCAAGCACTTCAAAAGTAGGCAGCAACTTCATAAAGCTGCGCCTTTTGGATAAGAAGCCTGAGCTGGCTCAAACTAAAAGGCTGGGACCTTTTAAGCACCTCGAAAGTGGACAGCAATCCCATAAGTTTGCGCTTTTAGGATAAGGAGTCTGAGCGGGCTCAAAGGGTGGGACCTTTCAAGCAGATCAAAAGTAGACAGCAACCTCATAAAGTTGTGCTTTTTGGATAAGAGGTCTGAGCTGGCTCAAAGGGTGAGACCTTTCAAGCAGGTCAAAAGTAGACAGCAATCTCATAGAGTTGTGCTTTTTGGATAAGGAGTCTGAGCGGCGTCAAAGGGTGGGACCTTTCAAGCAGTTCAAAAGTAGACAGCAATCTCATAAAGTTGCGCTTTTTGGATAAGTGGTCTGAGCTGACTCAAAGGGTGAGACCTTTCAAGCAGGTCAAAAGTAGACAGCAATCTCGTAGAGGTGTGCTTTTTGGATAAGGAGTCTGAGCGACGTCAAGGTCAAAGGGTGAGACCTTTCAAGCAGCTCAAAAGCAGACAGCAACGGCATAGAGTTGCGCGCTTTGGATAACAGGTCTGAGCTAAGTCAAAGGGCGACACCTTTCAAGCAGCTCAAAAGGAGGCAGCAACTTCATGGCGTTGCGCTCTTTGGATAAGGGGCCTGAGCTGGGTCAAAGGGTGGGACCTTTCAAGCAGGTCAAAAATAGACAGGAAACGCATAAAGCCACGCGCTTTGCATAAGAGGCTGGAGCAGAGTGAAAAGGTGGGACCCTTCAAGCAGGCCAAAAGAAGACGACAGCAATCGCATAAAGCTGCGCGCTTCGGATAGGATGCCTGAGTGGCCTGAGCTGGGTCAAAAGGTGGGACCTTTCAAGCAGGTCAAAAGTGGGCAGCAATTTCCTAGAGTTGCGCTCTTTGAGTAAGGCGCCTGACTTGACTGAGTGAAAGCGCGGGACCTTACGAGCAGGCCAAAAGTAGGCAGCAGCTTCATGAAGTAGAGCGCGCTTTTTGAGCAAGGAGCTTGAGCAAGGAAAGGCAAAAGGCGGGACCTCTCAAGCAAGCCAAGCCAAAAGCAGACAGCAGCCCCATGGCGTTGCGCTTTTTGGATAGGATGCCCGAGCTTGGTCAAAAGGTGGGACCTTTCAAGCAGGTCAAAATTGGGCAGCAATTCCATAAAGCTGCGCGCCTTGAATAACCAAGCTGGCCAGATCTGGGCCAAAGAGCGAGACCTTTCCAGCAGGTCAAAAGTGGGCAGCAATTTCATAGAGTTGCGCCCTTTGATTGTGGGAGACCTCTGAGTGAGCTGACTGAAAGGCTGGGACCTTTCAAGCAGGTCAAAAGTAGAGAGCAATATCATACAGCTGCGCTTTTTGGGTGGGAGGTTTGAGCAGAGTCAAAAGCCGAGACCTTTCAAGCAGGTCACTCAAAAGTAGGCAGCAACTTCATAAAGCTGCGCCTTTTGGGTAGGGTGCCTGCGCTGGGTCAGAGGGTGAGACCTTCCCAGCAAGTCAAAAGGGCCAGCAGCTTCACAGCGTTGCGCCGTTTGGATGAGGGTCTTGAACTGAGCCAAAGGGTGGGACCTCTTAAGCAGCTCACAAGTACGCAGCAACTTCATCGCGCTGCGCTTTTTGGATCAGAAAAGAATGGGCGCAAAGGACAAGGCCTCTCGAGTAAGCCATAAGTAACCAGCAAGCCCATAGGCTTGGGCCTGCTTTCTGATCAGAAAGCTCAAGCGGCTCACAGATTGCATCGCCCAAGCACATGAAAGCCGCACAGCACTGCTCGCGTGGCGTTGTTCTTGTTCACTTAGATCAAAGCCTTGAGATGACGCATGCCCACACCTCTCGAGAAAGCCAGAAGCAGATAGGGAAGCTAAGCGATAGAGCGCAACTTGCCGTAAGCTTGGGAGGGTAAATGGCTCACAGAGAGCACACGCGAAGCAGCTGAAGCGTAGGCAGCAACGCGACACCATAAAGCTGCGTGATTTGGATGGAAAACCCAAAACGGCGCAAAGAGTAAAACCCCGCAAACAGGCCGAGAGTAGAACGGGGCCGCCCCCTAGTTCTCTCCACGGAAAAGATCCACGGTAGACGTTCTCATGGTGAGCGGAGTCGGGCGTAGTGCTTCGCCCACTATGCGGAGAACCGAAAGCGACAAGCCTGGGGCCCCCCTCGTGACACTGCCATGCCAGCCGGAGACGCAACACACTCCAAGAGTAGGGGACCCACGCCCAAAACCCGGGCCAGGGGGCGCGCGAGGTTCTCACGGTGAGCGGAGTCGACTGCAGTGCTTCGCCCAGCCACTACGCTGAGAACCGAAAACAGCAGGCCTGGAGTGATCTGCTCAAGGATTTGACTCTCGGCGTATGTATTTGGTTACCCGTTTGCCTCATTCGTTCGAAGTAGTTCCTTTTGGGCGTTTCGGGTGCTGCCAGGGTGGGGGTTTATGTAGCACGTAGTAGCTTGTAGCGCGGAGCTGCTTTGCTTATTCCATAGCCCGCCACTCTTTACGTAATTCGTAGCACGCCGGTAGGCCGTATGGATTTTATGTAACTCGTAGCATTTGCCAGACCCTTCCGCCCTGCCCCGGCGTGTGTACACGCCGGGGGCACGTGGGCGGTATAATATATATTCGCAAAACCGGTTAGTTTTCACCTCCACAATATCAGGCTTACACCGTGCAACAATGTATAAGGAAGCTCTAACTCAAACAGAAAAAAGCTGAAGGGCTTCGCGACGGACTCAGCTTACCCGGCCAAAATTTGGTGGTTGAAATCTTATCTATCATGGAGTCAACGTCGCGTCTCAGATCATTATCAGAAATGAGTGAAGAAGAAGAGGAAGGTCACGATGATGATGATCGCCATTACAGCAAGAACAGAAGCCCCGCCTCTCCTCCACCCAGAAGTACGTCAAATATGCTGAATAGAAGACTGCAGTCGTCCTTTACGACAGAGTGGACGATTTTGTTCCGTGTGGATGCTACTATGAAGGAGCCAGAGCGTTGCGCAGTGCCAGCTCTGGCGAAAACGAAGGGGACGGACATTGCGGTCGCGACAAATGCTGTCTTCAGTGAAACAGATTGGAGTAGCGATCCGCTTTTTGCAGGAAATGCAAAACCTCAAGTGTCCACTGTGCTCAGTGTGGGAGTCCTTTCGCTGAAATTGGCCATGAACGGCGTCGCAGGTGTGTCCGCGGGAACGACGGCCTTCGAGACCCCACCTTTGTGTCCAGGGGTCACTCTGGCGCCTGTGTCCGGATTGCTTGGCTCGACCACGGACGATGATTAAGGCTTCAAGAAATCCACCTACTTGACCAGCAGCATCTTAATGGGCGTGTAGTTTTCCAAGCAGGGAAAATTGTCACCAGGATGCTCCGTAGGATGGATTTCTCCAAGCTCTAAGATGATGACACAGCGACCTCAACAGAAGAAGACAACGGCATGGTGGTGGTTTTGATCTTAGTTGGTGCAGCCATTGTGGTTGGCATTGCTTTGACCGTCCACTTTTGCCATAAGCGAGAACAGACGACAACCCATCAGCGAGTATCCAAGCGAGTCAGTGTGGGATTGGATTCTTTAGAGAACATGAAAAGACAGCAAGATGGAATCAATGAAGACATTGACATCGTGGAAGAGCACACGAACGCTGCCGTGTACAAGAAAGTAAGAAAGAGTATGGCTGCAACAAGAAATCCATCTTCATCACTGTCATCCTGGTCCCGTTTTCAAAGGGAAAAGGAGACCCAAGATGCTGCTGAAGATGGATCTCGCTTAGTTCTAAAAAGAGCATGGCTGCAGCAGATGTCGAAGACATCGATGTCGAGTTGGTCATAGAGAAAGCCGCACAGCAAAAAATGGACGCGTTACTGATCACAACACCAAAGGTCGTTAGGCAGTTCAAGATGTTGCCTCATCGGAAACAGAAACAGCAGAAGGAAGACGAGCGGATGCATCAATCTGGACTGCGTGTCATTAAGGCTCACAACACTTCATCTTATGAAGCATCTTTGGGCCCTTTGTGAAGGGGACAACACGCCAAAGATGTTGCACTTCATCAAGATGAATATACTTATGTGCTGAGGTCTAATGTCAGTACAGGCCAGTCTGTTCGAGAAGATGGCAGTACTGCTAGGGTCTCTACAATCGGAGGTCAATTGCCTGCGGCGCGGTCTACGTTTGCCAGTGGTCGCAATTCTTTGACACCGCGTGCCAGTGGACGAGGTAGAATCTCAGGAGGTATGACGCCTCGTACACGTACAAGTAGTAGTGCTCTGACACCTCGTATGTCCGCAGTGGAGAAGCGGTTTTCGAGAGAGAATGCACTTTTGGGAAAACGCATCTCTAGAGATCCTGCCGCAATTGACCTGAAGGACTTCATAAACCGATCCTCACAGTCGTCAGGGTTGAGCAATACCAGTATTCGCAATAAAATGATCGTGGAAGAGAGGTGCAGCAGACTCAGCAGGTTGAGTGCGCCAGGTGCGCAGGAGAATGCAGAGAAGGTCCTCATAGGGCAGGAGGCTGTCGATGCTGATGGAAATAAACGGCGATCAGGAAGATTGTCGCCAAGACGAGTCTCACGTGGTTTAACTTCTAGATCTAGAAGCAGGAAATCCCCAGCTGCTAAGCCAAGATGGTCGCGACTGCCGCAGACAGAAGACGACTTTTCCGGAGTACCTCTGGCAGAGGACGTACAGAGGGAAGAGGAGCGTCTGTCTGCTCTGGAACAAGAGACTACAGAAGCAGATGGAGGAAGGACCAGCCAAGAAACGGATGCAGGAGCACAGGAAACAGCTGGTGAAAAACACAAAAAGAAAACCAAAGGCAAGGGTAAAAGAAAGAAGAAACACGCTGAAGAGCAATACAAGGACGATGGAAACACAACGAATCAGAAACCAAGGAGAGCAGACAAGGTGTTGCCAGAGAAATTCGAAGCTCCTGGGATCATCAAAAAGGATGGCGAAGACGGAGAAATGGCACGGAGTTGTTTGATGGGTAAAGCAGGTACTACTGGCGCTGGCGGTCGCCGCATCCTTGTACCAGACGCAAACATACAACAACATGCTTGGGGAAAGCATCCGCATGATCAAGAGCAAGAACGGGATAATGTTAATATTGATCCACATCCAGCAACCTCTACTGTAGTAGAAACACTCATAGACATAGACAACCATGTTGTGCACCAAGATCGTGGAGACGAGGGTAATGATCCGATGCCCGAGCCTGATGAAAGTGATGGAGAAGGACAGAACGTGAATATTACGATAGGTCGTGGAACAGGAACTGCTCCTAGTGGAGACACAGCTCGCGGAGGTCAAGGTGCGCCACGGCCAGTTAAGGTCAACATTTAGTATCCATCTTTCTCGGCATCTTGGTACCCTTTTGTTTCCCTTGTGCTTATTCTTTTCATGGGAAACAAAGTGGTCGAGATGCGAGGACCTAGATGAATAAAAGCCGACTCTAAGCCAGAGCTGAGTCCAAGAGGGGCAAAGGCAGAGGGCGAGCAAATACCACATAAAAAGAAGGCAAAAGCAAAAGTCAAAAAAGTCGCGAAGAAAGGAAGTAAAGCGGCAAAAGATGAGGAGTAGGGGAAGTGAGTTGGTCAATATTCCATGCAAGAAATTATGAGTTTGAATTCTTTGAAAACGCAAAATGAATACTTTTTGATTTGTAAGAGCCGGTTTGCGTATCCGAAAAATAATTGCCATCACGCAAGTAGGAGTAGTCTCTCTTTGGAAACGCCAGATACTTTTTGATTTTTAAGAATCGGTTTGCGTATCCGAAAAATGATTGCTATCACGCAAGTAAGAGTAGTCTCTCTTTGGAAACGGATGAAGATTTAGTAACTACTGCAACTTTGAATTGTTTATCATGTATAGAAAACATGTAGCTTTTTTCATGCAGATTGAGAGCACGGGAAGGTGATACAATAGAAGAGCATTAGCATTTCAATGTAATTGGACCACCGATTAAACAGATCTTGTAGTTGGGCGTTTGCGCACGGTTATCTTTCGACGAGGGTTGAGTACTCAATTCTAGGAACAGGGAAAAAGTTAGACGCGTGCGTTGCATTTGCAGCAGACGAGATGGCTAAGGAATGATGTGAACAGCAATGTGCCGCCTTGTTACAACAATACTTGATGAATTTGAACAGAACTTGAAGAATAAAACTCTGAGTTTGCGCGTCATGGATGATAAGTGCTTCTTTTCCACCTTCTGAGAAAGCAACAAGGAAGATGAGAAGAGCGTTTACCACGCTATTTCCTGCGACTTCAATGTGTTCGTGCATGTAAAAGACAGAACGCTACAGATGATGCTCTCGATGGCAGAGAAAGACTGGCAAAGAGAATGGATGCGATCCGAAAAGAAATGATCCACAGGGACGAGCAGATGATCTTTTGTTCAACTTTTGAGATGATGTTGCCATTCCTTCTTGGGCATGATGTTGTTCTCATGTAGTTCTCCTAAACACGAGTCAAATTTGAATGGCAAACGAACTTTCCCTTGACAATCTCATCGGCTTGGTTTGTCTAGTCACGCAGACATTACGTCGGATCCAGAATGCCTTTCCTGGCTCCCAACCAAAATTGGAATCCTTCTTTCTCGTTGAGCGCCTCCTGGTTTCACCTCTCAATTGGATCCACGAATCATAAATACAACATCATCTTCATACACCGCTTCATATCACTTACCGACTGTCTTCTACGTAGCAGGGCCTCAGGCCACGACGACCAAGCATTCAAGAGGCTTTACATCACAACGTAACTTCGTTCCAAATCTTTCTATGTATTGTCTTGTGATTTTGAGTCCTTTTGCTTATAACCTATCACGTATCTTCGTAAAAAAAGTTTAAGTAATCACTATTTAAGAGTGAGAACTACCACAATCAACAAGAAAAATCATGCCACCGAAGCAGAAGACTAAAGAGGAGAAGGCGGCCGAAAAGGCCGCCAAAGAGAAGCGGGCCAAGAACGCTGAAGACAAGACTTTCGGTTTAAAGAACAATTAAGGCTTGACGTTTTCTTGTCTCGAAAGTAGAAGCAATCAATTTTGATATCTGAGTACAACTAATGAATGTGTTCACAGGTGGACAGCTTTCCTACCACCACAGAACCACTGATGTCACCAGTTCTGATTGAGTCTCAGGTCGTAATGAATGAGCTAGAACATTTTCACTACCTGAGATTGGCGGTTGAATGATGTTGAGTCTCTAATGCAAAAACAAAAGTAAAGTTGTGCAGCAGCAGGTAAAGCAGATCCAGCAGAGCGCGACTGCACATGACAAGAGGCAGAAACCCAAGGAAGATGAGAAAAAGGATAACAAGAAAGCGTTACAGCAACAGGCCTTGCTAGCAGGCTTGTTCAATATGGCAGTGGACAAGAAAGGTCGAGCCTTCGACCCAACGGCCAAAAAGAAGGCAAAAGAAAAGAACATGGAAGAAGAGCGAAGTGGAGCAAATATACCAGACGAAACGCAAAAGGTATTTTTACCCACCGGCCAATATTGGCGTTCCACTTAAGAACCAACCACATGAGCTAAGCAAAATCTACTACGCCAAGATCTTAGGGTAAGGAACGTAGTAAGCTCTCTACAGTAGCCTCAATGTCAATCTCTCGAGTTGTTATAATTTCCTTCACGACCGAACTCCAACTGGCCTTCGCAGAGGCTATTAAAAACGCAATTTCTCTATCTTTATCTTTATTTTTATCTTTGTGCAGGCTTTCGCAGAAGCTATTAAAACCGCGATTAGAATGGCTAACGCGAAAGGCACGAATTTGAGTACCGTTGGCGGCAGTGTCTACGTCCGAGACGTGCAGGGCGATCCAAAACACGAAAAACACTTGAAGAATGTACTTAAGCTTATACAACAAAAGTTTTTTTTCTTAGAGGACTGACCGTCCCAATGAATACAACGTTTGCATGCTCGCACTTGTACACATCGTAACTAAGGAGCTGCATTTGCATTTTTACTCGTACATTGTAAAAATAAGTAAGGAGTTTGTTCGTGATGCAATAACTTCATTGACCACGACGACCAAACAATCTGAAAATTTATCTCCACTTCTACTTGTCTTCTTCTACTTGTCTTCTTCTACTTGTCTTCTTCTACTTGTCTTCTTCTACTTGTCTTCTTCTACTTGTCTTCTTCTACTTGTCTTCTTCTACTTGTCTTCTTCTACTTGTCTTCTTCTACTTGTCTTCTTCTACTTGTCTTCTTCTACTTGTCTTCTTGTTGAGCTCTTCATCTCTTCGTCATCAATTTTCCTGCTCCTTTTTCAGGTAACAACTCTCCATTTCATTCGACGACGAAAAGCAGACTTCTGGATCGCAGAAGAGGATGCGGATAATTCCAACCCTACTATAAGGTGTCAGGACGATGTAGACGCTGAGAATGCAGAAGACGACAGAGATATCTTCCTCCAATTGGAAGAGAAAAGACAACCTTTTTTTATGGCATTGGATGATGCGATATTTATATTTGTGAAATTTGTGCGTGCTAAAAAGGGTACGTTTTAGGTGTTCCTGTTAGACCGTTTTTTTGCGCCTCCTAAGGGAGAAAAGCATAACAAACGGGACACAGAAACACCAAAATCCTACCGCTAGTCGTGTCATTGTGAACAAGTGGAGACTGTCTGTGTTGGAAGGTGTGCCGTACTAAATGTTTTTGCCTCACATATGAACCTTTGATGCATCCTCTACAATCCGGCTTATCCGAGATTCTTATTCCCATCTCCTTCTTCTAATCTCTATGGCGACACCACATTAAAGCGAGTGGATATGCAGTATCTGAAGTCGTGGTGGCTGGAGAGTGCGAGATTGGAGTTAAGGCGAGATCCAGATACAGGACTCATCTTAGAGGAGGCTTTGCTGAAGGTACTGCTTTTCTTCAACTAATTTATAATTTGATAAATATTGATGTTTTACGTTTTCCTTAGGTGGGAACCAGTGTGTAGTAGTTTCTTTTCTAGTACTAGACGGAGCAAATGGTCAATAGGTATCAAAATTTTATCTCACAATATCTATGTTATGTTTATCAATAATAGCATTTGATTCTTGTCCTGACTAGCTGATCATCTACTATGTTCAAATTTATTCAGGCTCGCATGGCCCCTCCGAAGAAGATGACAGGCGAGCAGTTGTTTAAGTCGAATCCTTCGCTGGCTCATGCCGCTCATCATGAAGAGGGGACCGCAACTGCTACTGCGTCGACTGCGGCGAGTCAAACCACGCATGAGGGCTCCCCTAGCACGCGTGGTGGTGCGGCGGATTCAGACGAGGAGGAGGAGCTCGAGAGGGACGAAGACGTGCCTGTGGGCCGCGCATGGGGGGAAGTAGAACTAGAGGTACCGATAGAAGAGCAGAGAAAAGAAGCTGCTGCTAGTTCCGAAGGACAGAAAGCTAGTGTAGCGAATGGAACGGCGGGAGAAGAATGGTAAATCAATTTGTATAGTATCTCGTATAAGCTATATCGAATTGTGAGCTTCGAGAAGTTCTGCACTCCTTGCCCGAGAGTCTGAATTTTTTTTGAGCATAAAGACGGACGAAAGACGGGCGCACGGCGATGATTTTTTTATGCTGGAGACGATGAGAGAGACAAAGAAGCTAGACCAAGAACGTAGACGAAGAAGCGAGTCGATACATTTGATTACCATCTTTTTGCTAACTTTCTCTTTGTTTTCGATCTGTCGGCGCTTCGTCTACGTACAGCTGGCCTCTTTTCTGCTTTTTCAGGCGTTACATCTAAGGCGTAGAGAGACGCAAGGCATTTACTCTGCTGATGGTCTAGAATGCGCACGCTCCTGCTTACGGCGTTGCGTTCTGCCTTTTTTTTCATAGGAAACAGAAAAAAAATTTCTGCTATCTTATCAAAAAACTAAAGTTGGCGCTTTCGTTAGTTTTCGTCTACGCTCTGCGTCTCTGCGTCGTGTTTCTCTCTCGAAACGCTTCCAGTTTCCATGGCCCAGCCCTCTAAGGCTCTCCCCCTTTCAGGTCTATGATCTGCGGGCGCAGTTGGTAGCTAGCCGCAGTACCCGCCAAGGAGTGCGCGACGTCAGCCACCAGCCACAAGGGTGGCGATGCCTCTGCGCTGAAACTCGTGCGCAGTATGGGCGAAAATAAATCGCAAGTCCGTACTGATTTGCTCACGGTGCCGGACGTGCTCCGCCGCGATTTTTCGGAGAAGTATGAAAGTGAAAAGCTTGGCGCTGGCTGCTGCGTACCAACCACCCCCAAGCCCCTACGCAGCACCCCACGGATTTGCCTACTTCCGACCCCTCTGCGCCTTCTTCGTCGGAGCTCCCAGCGAGCTCAAGCGGCTGCTGCTGGTAAGTGTCTGCCGAACTCTTTGCGTGAGAAGCTACCCGACCCCATACGCAACCGAAAAGCTTGGGGGGAATTCGTCACATTCATACCCCTCCGCATTTCCACTCTTCTTCCGATACCAACACCGACGCGGAAGCACTCAAGCAAGAAACAAGAACAAACCAACTTCGCGGCCAGCGAATCGCCCAAGGCTACCTGCCACGACAATGAAAAGCGTTAGCACGAGCAAAGCCATGAAGGCTAAAGGCGTTGGGGAAGAGCCTGCCTCTTTGAAGAAAATGGCGAAAGTGGGCAACCCAATTAAAAAAAACACAAAGCAACCGAAAGCAGCGACGAAGGCTGCCAAAGTATCGAAGAAGGCTGCCAAAACACCGGGGAAGGCTGTCAAAAAAATGATGGCCATGGAAGCGGAGTAGCTTGCTATGTAACTTCCTCACTGTGGCTCGCATCGCTTTCGAACGCCAACGATAGACGCACTCTCATCAGTTTCCGACTTTAGAACGCAACGCATCGCGATCACTTCAGTAAAATGAAAGCAAATCGATCAAGTTCGAGAATGAAAGCGCGGCGCCCGGTTGATGGCTCCCTCTCACTTTCCATCTATCCAAGTGGAGGCCTTCGAGCAATATAGAAAAAGCACGCAGGTAATACGTACGGGAACAGTAAGCGAGTGCCTCGCTCGGTGATATATTAGAAAGAGCGCCAGCAAATCACTGCGGGCGCTATCCTTTACGAATTGCATGGAGAGCCTCCAGACTGGCCCAGAATGGCGCCACAGTTGTGACGAACTTCGCACACGGTTAAGGATCAAGATCAACACGAATGCCACGCACAGGAACAAAGCTACGGCATACCGGTGAGCCATCAGCTTAACCAGTCCACAGCATACCACACGCATGCCATACGCATAAAATAAACGCCAGAAGCGTCCAAATGACACGACGCCAAATAGGGCCGCACAATCAAAGGAGAAGCCGCCTCACATCAGCGCGCGGCATTTGCATTACCTGGCTAACGCGTCTCGCACTGTGCGCGTGTTCTCTTGCATTTTTTGCAAGCGACGCCATCGGTGTCGACGGTTCAGCCGATGCACCACGGCGCGCGACATGAGAGGAGCTAAACCGGACAAAAAAGCAAAATAGGGCCACCGAGTGCGTTAGGGTTGCGCGCTTCATTGTTATGCCATCGCGGTCGGGCTTGGTCTCTCTTTTGCTCTCTATGCATAGAATTCAAATGCCCCGCGTCTTCTTCTGCTTTCTTGTCATGTCTTTGCTGCAAGTCATGCCATCAGCGTGCTTTTTCCGGGGCAAGAGATGCTGCACATGCGCCGGCGCCAGCTGAACGAGAACGACGACGGAGACACTCGCGGCAAGTTTCTTTTTGGAATTGGAAACCAAAGAAAACAGAACACCAGTCCAGCGATGTGGTTGGGATGATCTTCACGGGCGCGAGCACTATCCACGCACGAGCATGAAGCACGGTGTAACCAGAACTGACAGTCAAGAGTTGTCAAGAGAACTGGCACGTTGTGAAGGTCCAAGTGCGAAGTCTGAAATCGGTCATGTATGACAGAACTTCGCATGAGTTTTAGACGTTTGTCAGCGAGAGCAAGCTAGTTCAGTTCAGAACGTAAGAACGGTGTGCACGTAAGTACAAGCACAACAAAGAAGCACGACAAAACAACACTGAGACTCCTGGACGATTCTCAACCTATGAGCATCCTTCGACGATGTAGTCTACGTTTGTTTTGAGTTAGATTGTAACTACGTTTTCACGTATATGCAAGTAAGCAACACGTAAACAACAAAGTGAGTAAGTTTCCTGAAACTTGGCTACAACTTGAACAAAGTATTCAAGTGTTCACGCAATCCCAAATACATGGATGGCAATTGTTTCGTGGAGAGATCAGTCATTTTCGGTTACATTGGTGCATCAGCCGAGAATCGAATCCGACTTCGATCATCCGGCACAGTAAAACGATGGCAACGACGAACAACTACCACAGTTGAATAGCACGATACAACTACACTAGTCTCGTGTTTTTTAAAAAAATAAAAATCCAACAACATAAGGATAGATAGCAATACTATCAGCGACATGCGATAGATACACGAAGAACAAGATAAGCAGAAGGAGCGCGCTGGCTAACCGACGGAAAGTGCTTGCTTGCGTTATCTATCTTCTTGTTCTTCTTCCTTCTTCTTGGTGAGAAGTCTTCTTGCGTGGGTGCGCTACGCGGACTGACGAAGACTGCCGTTGGAGTAAAAACGTAAAATTTTTTTCTCTCGGCGACTTCTAGTAGAGCGGTTAGCTAACGAAGACAGCGCGGCCCGGTCTTAAGGTCGGCTGCAGTTCTCCCTTTCGCAACTTGGGATGTCTTTGCAGCTGGCCTAGCAAGGTAAGGAAAACCGAAACCAGACGCAAAGCCACTTCCAAGCTGCGAAGCGGAGATCGCAGACCAAACTAACAACCAGCAAGCAGCGCTTCTACGTCAAATTCTACTTTTCCGATAAGCAGCTTTCCCCTTTTCCGCGCGTGTTTACGTGGCCTCTATCTTCTAGTAGAGTAGTGGACCTGCAGCAGCTACTTCTTCTTCCTGCAGTCGACCGTAGTACACGACACCCAGAGATACCACGGCCGCAGCAGCGTTACGGTCGGTTGCGATTCTCCCTATCGAGTCTTGGGGTGACATCTTTGCAGCCGGCCACGGGAGAGCACGACGGAAGATTCACCCCAAGCAGCACACAAGGGAGAATCGCAGTAGCACTAACTGGACACCCATCCGAAGTCAAACGAAAGACGCTGACCTAGTGGCTTTGCGAAACAAGCAGCGGCTTTTTGGTTTTGCGAAACAACGGCTTCGATCGATTTTGCGAAGCAACGGACTCGGACAGTTTTGCGAAGTAAGCAGCGGCTAGTGGTTTTGCGAAGAAGCGGCGGCTTTGTGGTTTTGCGAAGCAACGGCTTCGGACAGTTTTGCGAAACAGGCAGCGGCTTTGCGGTTTTGCGAAACAACGGCTTCGAACGGTTTTGCGAAACAACGGCTTCGATCGATTTTGCGAAACAACGAAAGAACGGCTTTGCGAAACAACGGCTTCGGACAGTTTGCGAAGCAAGCAGCGGCTTTGTGGTTTTGCGAGTATCGGCGTTTCGGAGGTGTTGCGAAGCAAGCAGCGGCAGGCTTTGTGGCTTTGCGAGAAAACGGGTTCTCAAAGGTTTTGCGAAACAGCAATCAGCCTCAAGTGGTTGCGCAAAAGCGTTAAGGTCGGCTGCAATTCTCCCTGCTACGTCTTGGGGTGACGTCTTGTCTTGCAGCTGGCCACGGGATAGCACGGTGGAAGATAAGCCAGCACCCCAAGCAGCATCCGAGGGAGAATCGCAGAAGACTAACATATAACTGCAATTCGGTCCGACGACAGATTTGACTTTGAGGCTTTGCGACACAAGCTGCGGCTTCTCGTGGTTTTGCGAATTACGGCTGCAGCAGCGCGCTGAGGTTACGTTAGTTCAAGAAGCATCGGCTTCGGACGGTTTTGCGAAGCAGCGCGTTTGAGGCTTTGCGAAGCGGCGGCTTTGAGGTGTTGCGAGACAACCCGTCGGACGGTTTACAAAGCAGCGGATTTGAGGCTTTGCGAAGTAGCGGCTTTGAGGTGTTGCGAAACAACCCGTCGGACGGTTTACAAAGCAGCGGGTTTGAGGTTTTGCGAAGCAACGGCTTCGGACGGTTCTGCAAAGCGGCGGCTTTGAGGTGTTGCGAAACAACGGCTTCGAACGGTTTTGCGGAGCGGCGCAGTTGAGGTTTTGCGAACCAGCGGATTTGAGGTTTTGCGAAGCAACGGCCTCGGACGGTTTTGCGACGCGGCGCATTTGAGGTTTTGCGAAGCAGCGCATTTGAGGTTCTACTAAGCAACGGCTTGCCAAGGCTTTGCGAGCTAAAGAGTGGCATTTTGACGGATTCGCGAACAAGTCGACAGTTGTTCTAAAAGTTTTGCGACAATCAAGTGCAAGACTCGACTAGTACGACCGCAGAAGCTGTTCTACAGGTGCTGTGAGGCCACTACTCCATCGTGGTGGATCATTAATCGCAGCGTGGTGCAATTGCTACCAAGTTCCGACAATCCTACCGGAGATTGCAACGGACTAAAAGCAATTACAGCCGCCCCGAGTAACACTAACAGGCTGGAGCTGTAAGCGATTTAATGAGCTCGCTTGACCATTCTGACAACGATCAAGGGAGACAAAAAGAAGCGCACGAGCTTCGCAGCACACTCGGACCAAACGAAACTGATCAGCTCCATCCGCGCCGAAGGATGAGCTTGATAGTGAAGGGCATCGATATTGGCACTCCGCCACAGGCGTTCGATAGCCTAGCTTCTTCGGACGAGAGCATGAACTCAGTGTCGTCCAGCGGGGTCAAGGAGCACTTTGCAGTACTTCGTAGCGTTCACGTTACGTTGCAGCAGATAGTCACGGAGGCCGGAGCGTTTGAGCTCGGTCAGCAAGCAGACGACGGCAGCATGCAGAACATGCTCGACGACCTGGGCAAGCACGTGTGCAGACTAAACGGATTAGTGCACAAGACGGGCGAAACAACAGACCTCCTCCGAGATGACGCGGAAAAGGTGAAGTCGCAAGTAGTAACAACGCACTCCTGGCTTATCGAGCTATATCAGGAGGTGACCAGACACGCGGCATCAGTTTCCAGTGCGTTATTGGAGATCAGAAACAACGTAGTGACCAAAGCAACACTCGCGTCCGAGTTGTCCACGAGTGGCATCTCAGCAGACGTTACGAGAGCAGCGGCACAGACAGCAACTGACGCGCAGATGCAGGCTGCCGCTACGAGTGCGCGCCTCATCGCCATGCAGGTCGAAGTGGACGCCGTTAGGGCTCGACTCGACGCAAAAGAAACAGGAGCGCAGTTCTTCGCGATGTCGCCAACAGCTGGGTCTCCAGCGAACGTCGAGGACGATAGCGTAAGACAGGTTCTTCAGCAGGATCTAGAGCAGCTAAAAGAGCAGGTCGAGGACAACAAGCGCGACCTCTGCTACGAAATCGGCAAGATTCGCGACGATATGGAGCTCGTTGCGAACATGAGGGGCAGAATGGCAAAAATCGAAGCCAGACCGATCCCCAAGCCAGACACGTGCGACTGCCCGAGGCTCATCTGTGACCTCCGCGTAGAGTCAAGCGCGTGGCGAGCTGAGCACAAAAAGGAGCACGACGCCTGGACAGAGAAGCTCCGCGCTCTTTCGGAGCGCGTCGATGAGCAGGATGGCAAGGTCGTGGCGATGCAGCTTCGCGTGGACGAGTTCAGAGACAGCATCGCGAAGCAGGTGACGGAACAGGTGCAAACCAGGCTCGGGCCTCTCCTAGCAGGAATAGAGAAGCGGCTGATGAAGAACATTGAGGACACCGTGGCAGCGGCGACGCCGCAAGTCGTCCCCACGGCAGACACGACGGTGGACGAGTTCGAGTTATACGCTGGTGAGGAACGATGCTTCTACTCGGCTGACGCGCTCCCGGAGGACACAACAACGCGATTCGTCATGATCAACAACGACAGCGACTTCGACTGCGGAGGCGACGAGACGATAACGGAGGCGGAACTCGCGGACGAATTCCCAGATGATGAGGACGCGATCCTCGCCATACGTGGAGGCATAGTCCTCCCGCGAGGCCTCGGCATAGCATCGTCCACAACGGCAAAGAAACGACGGCTGGCCCCGCAGGTTATGCTGGTAGCGCAACAAGGGACCGACGCCAACGTCGTGTGGTTTCAGTTTACAGACGAGTCAGTGCATGCAGACAAAGCAGCAGCTCTTCCGCTGGCAGAACGACAAAAACTGCGCCAGCTGATAGTGACAGCAATCGCTACAGAGGCTGGAGTCCCTGAGTCTGCAGTGACGGTAGTCCTCTACACAGGGTCAATCATCATCCAAGGCACGGTTACGTTCGCGGACCAAGCGCTAGACAATGTCTCGGAATCTGAGCAGACTGAGAAACCAGCGTCGATCGCTAACCCAAACCCTGTAAATGCCACCAAGTCAGGTTATGCAGCGTCAAGGTGCTCAACGACAACATGCGCAGTACCAATGCCGCAGCAAGCTTCACACCGACCAAGAGCAGTCCAGGACGTAGAAGAACGTTTCCGCGTCTACGTCACGGCGGTCGTCGAGGGGGCTTCTTCGTGTGAGTTCGGTAAGGTGCGCATAGTGACGGTGCAGGAGGCTGTGCAGAGCTACGCTGCTGCGGCACAGGCAATTGGTAGGCTGGACGCAGGCGCATCCATCGCGGATGACGAGGTAGTGTTCAACGCTTTCTACATCGCTGAGTGGGAGACGCCACAAGACGCGAAGGACGCGGCGAGGGCAAACCTAGTAGTAGTGGACTTTACAGTGCATAGCGTCGAGGCGATCGAGCTGCTAGACGCGGAAAAACGACCAGGCATCCTGCGATCTATCAAAAAGGGGATAGCAGACGCAGTCATGTACCCAGTGTCGGCGGTGCGCAGCATCGACATGTTCGTGCCTGACACGGACTCGGGCGTGGTGGTGCAAGCGGTGCTGCAGGTCGACGCAAGACCAACGGGAGGCATTGCGCAATCCTCAGGTACCCAGCAAGCGTCCGCAGCGGACATCGTGAAGAACAAGCAGACAGTATCCATGAGAGCAGAATACACGGGTAAGACGGCTGAGAAAGCTCAGGCGAAAGCCGAACTAGATGCGTTGCAGCTGCTAATCCAGCGCTCGCACAGGAACTGGCAGGCAGTCTGGGACCAGCTCGGGTCGGATAACGCAAAGCATCTTGGTGGCATTCCCCTCAAGATATACAAGGCAGCATTGGCACGGATGGCGACACTGCAGACGCTCTTCAACCTCTTCGAGAAGGAGAAGACGCCGCCTGCAAAGCGCCAGTATCCGCTCATGCTGGAAGAGTACGTGCTCAAAAATACCCTCACTTATAGCTACGAGCAGCTGGTGAAGAAGTTCATCGCGGACATCCGGTCTGCGTTTGGACTCCCGGAGTCAGACCAGGGCGCAGTGGACCTGAGTTTCGAGGTTCTCCGTGAAACAACACCCGCCAACACGTCCGCTTCTGCGGTGCACGAGTGGGTGCGAAATGTGGAGACGCATTTCGAAACATGGGTGACGGAACGAAGGGCGCGCAAGCAGCAAGCACCAACGGAAGACACAAAGCAGTCTGAAGACTCGTACATCGCCGAGATCATGTCCCGCTTTCTTTCGGTGCTTCCGGATGAGTATGTCAAGGAGTTTCGCCAAAGCTGTCGCCATCTCGGAAAAGAGACAAGCGAACGCACGCTGGCGATGCTGCTGAAGAACATCAAGGCTCAAGCTGAGGAGGGGCTCCAGATGGGCAGCGGCGGAGCCAACGCAGGCAGCGGCGGATCCGGTGGCGGACTTCACGGGAAACGAGCAAGCAAGACGCTCTCGCCTGAAGAGAATAGGAGCGTCAACGCGTTCGCCAAGGACAAGCAAGTAGACCCTGACAAGTTAGCCATGTTCTTGCAGCAGCAAAAGACGGGCGCTGGCCAGCCAGACAAAACCAAGTGCAACGGCAAAGGCCACTTCGGTTCGCATCTCCGCCAGTGGTTACAGGCGATGATCAACAGGCATGGCCTCAAGGAGATGCAAGGCGGACACATGGGCGATTGCACGACATGCGCAGGGAGCCACCAGATAAGCACAACGTCGGGGACAAAGCTGCTGTGTATCAATACGTGGATGCAGGAGGCAGGCATCAAGCCGATCCGAAACAAGGCGTCGGGATGCAGTCACTGCATCAGTGACGAGATCAAGGTCGACACCGAGGTGCTCAAGTCCCTGAGGGCCCAGCAAGAGAAAACAGACGCAGAGAAACGCGCTAAGGAGGCCCAGAAGACGCAACGAGACGCAGACGCTGCTGCGAAGACAGCAGGCGCTCTCGGCGCTGGGACGGATCCAAACTGGCGCAACGGAAAGGGCAAAGGCAAGAAAGGAAAAGGCAAAGGCAAAGGACACTACGGCAGGCAAGGATCGCAGCAGCCGCAGCAGTCTGTAAACTCCGTAGACTACGGCGCTGCCACACAATCATGGGGATGGGCAGACGACGCGTCATGGCAGGACTACTCACAGCAGTGGCCTACGCAATGGCAGCCGCAGGCGCAGCAGGTTCAGCAGCCGACCGCCGGAGCCGGATCTGCTACCCATCAGCCAGCAGTCGCGAGCGCCACGGCGCAACAACCAGCGGCGTCGGGGCTGGCCGCAGTATACGGGCGTCCTATCACGAACGCCAGCGGAACGCAGATCCAGCCAAGGATGGCCGTTCTTCGTCCAGCGGTCGGCAGTGCCAACCCGCAGCCGGAGATCAAGAAGCTTGCCCTTGCCTCGATGTACCCCGACACGACAGCAGTTGCAGCGACGCATACGCACGGGCGGGTCGGCGCAGCGGCAGCCGCGACCGAATCAGACCCAGCAAAGCCACACGGATATCACATGGCTGTGTCTATCGCTGGTCACAAGTACTGGGCAGAGAGCGATACAGGAAACACAATGGCAAATGTGGTAGATCCGAACTTGTACGAGAGCTGGATTACAAACCCAGCCTTCAAAGACGCGGTTCGCCCGATATGCGACGTCGATCTGCGGGCTGGACAGTTTATACCTTCTGGAACTCGCATCTCGTTCACGACGTCGTGCTTCGCCGATATCCAGATCCATGACAGGCACGACCCGAGTAAGTTCATCAACGCGACGGTGCTTCTTCTAGTGTCAGCGCAGCCCACCGGATCGCCACTAAACCTGTGCGCATTCGAGCTGCTACGCATTGGCATGGTCCCGAGCCAGCCTGTGCTACTAGATGGAATTCAACCAGAAATGTCGCATCCGCCAACCTTGGACCACCTCGAGGGTCACATCAGGAACTGCTGCCCCGTCGCAGCGCGCCCAGTGATCATCACTCGAGTTCCGTCGATCTCGGTCACGCCAGTGCCGGTCTTGTCGAATGACTTGCTCGGGCCGAAACAGTCAGCAATCGTCCAAATCAACCTTCCGCGTGAGGCACAGCTCGGGTATGGATTCATAGTAGTAGAACCAACGGCAAGACTGATAGCCAAGGGTGGATGGTTTACCCCGGTATTTGCGCGCCAGTGCGCCCCTGAAGCAGTAAAGTTCAGCAAGGCGCCGCCGGTGCAGCTCGTGCTGCACAACGAGTCTGGCGACTACATCGCGCCAACACTAGAAGACGACGAGTTCGAGGTCAAGGTTTGCCGCGGGCCTGCGATGGCTCAGCATATAGCGGATCCGGAACAAGTCGCGGAATACATGCTGCAACAGGAACAGTGCGTCAAGGTGACCAAGTGGGAAAAGCGTGAGGCGTCTCGTGCGCAGAAAGCGCCAGATGCTATCATGAAGCTGCGCGCGCGCCTACGGGAGCTGCAAGACAAAGACGACGCGCAGGTCGCGGACGAGGAGCTCGAGATCCAAGTCGTCCAGAACTACACGTCGCAATTCCCAAGCGAGCTATCAGCCGAGACTGGTCTACGGCTTGCTGCATCCGCCGCGCACCGCTGTAAAGCGTACCATTCACCAGGCAGAACCAATCCGGTGATCGAAGGTGCCGAGGCTAGGTGGACGCTTGCGCCTGGCGCAGAGCCGTTTGTTGGCCGAGCCATCGCACTTGGAGCGTATGACACGGAGGCTATGACGCACCACGTCGTCACCACGGTCAAAGTCGGGCGCGACAGACCGTATGACAAGGCGCTGGCGTCAGAGATCGGCCTGCCGCTTGGAATCTCCACGGGGTTCTTGGTTCCGAAGCCAGACGTGAAAAACCCAGCGGGCAAGCCAGAGAAGCGAGTGGCTATCCACTACAAGGACCACAACGATAACACGCTAGGCCCAGTGTGGTACACTAAGCCGCGATCGGTGACGTCAATAATCCGTCGATTCAAGTTCGGAAAGGACGCATACTTCGGCTTCTCTGGGCTGCGTGTGTCCCCTCAAACGTCACGGTTGGTCGCATGGCAGTCCAACGTCTCGGCAGTGCCGCTGCTGGCGCCGATAGGTTCCACTCTAGGAGCAAAACAGCTACCGCCGTTGTTCAACGCGGAGACAGACACGACATTCGGCCAGATGGAGTCGGGTTCAAACGAGATGATCTTCGAGACGTTCGTCGACGACATAGAAGCCAGTGGGGACGACAGGTTCGTCCAGGTCAAGAGCGCAAGCGCGTTGCCTGATCTGACTGTTCCAGAGGTTCCAGTTCTGCTCATCGACCGACCTACATTCACGATAGACGAGCCTGAGGTCGTGCCAGACAGCGAGCAGCAGCTGCGGTCAATGCCAGGCATTCCGTTCGACTTCATCGGCGACAAGCAGTACCGATACAGCGCAGAGAAGAGCAAGCAGCGAATCGACCTCCACAAGCAAGTGTCGGACAAGATCATGCGAGGCGCGTCAGCTAACGCAGGCATGTACACGATCGGCTTCGACATATCGGACTCGAGGCGGGCGGCGTCTGTCTTGCCGAAGGCACCGATAGAAGACCCAGCCACGCCGGACACCGCGCCGAAGGTTTCGGTGCAGATCATGCAGGCGTTTGCAACAGTGAGCTGGCGCGATCGGTTCACAGATGTTCAATGGAGCGCACTGACATCAATAACAACGCGTGACTTAGCAGGCAAAATCCTCCACGTATTCACTCCCGGCGGTTCAGCGCAGGCAATAGCACCAGTGTCGGGAGAGCTACATAGACCAGTGTCCATCGTGGTAACGTGGGCACTCGCCGAGAATACGGACATCAGACACGCAGTCGAGGACATCGGCGGGCGTGTCTTCCTCGAGAATCAGTGCGTAGACGCTGACGGGCGACTCCTCGCGGCAGCGCTGCTCAAGGGATTTCAATTTTCCCTCGAGAAAAATCAGGTCGCGCAATTGGAGTCTGCCAGATTGGGCCTCCGCCGAACAGAGTGTGGCGGTGAAGCGGTCGGCGACAAAGCTCTTCTGAAACTCGACAATATGAAGTGCGTCGCAACAAAAGAGTCAATCCAAGGGCTAATCAATTCGACTGCGTGGGAGGGTATCCGAGATTACCTCTATGCATACGTCGAGATTGCGGACCACCTACGTCGGTACACGCTACCGGCGTCAAATAAGCGGCACCTCCCAATGCGACTCTTTCCGAGCGATGAGAAAGCTAACCGGTATTGGAGGCAGCTAGTATCATCGGTCGACCGTACCTTAGTGATTTATCCAATCGACTTCTCGTCTGTCCTCTTCTTCTACATCCTCGGCGACTCTTCGAAAAAAGGCATGAGCGCCTCACTCCACGGGGTATACGCGACACGGCCTGGGGAGCCTCCGGCAACGCAAGAGCAACGTCAGCAAAGCCTCCATGGCGGTGAGCAATATGTCCGTACGCATAAGGTCATACGCCGCGGATGGACGGTCGAGCAAAACCGCCCAGCGAAAAGCCGCGAGTTAAGGACAATGCGCATTGCTGTCACGGAGCTCTACCCACTGGTGCGGGGTTGGCCGACCATAGTGGGGCATGACCATCAGACGAACGATCCGAAGTCCCTCGAAGTTTCTGCTTTTTCTACCAACGTTGACGAGACGACCAAGCGGGACATCATGAAGATGCGCCCTTTTCTGCACGAGCTCTACTTCGCGTGGATCGGCGGAACAGCTTTGCGGTTTGCTGATGGTAATTCGCGTCTCTATGATGCGTTCGAGTCGAGTGAATTGACGGACGTTCCAAAAGCCGTGCAGAAGAGCTGCTCCATGATGCAGCACTGGTTGCTTAACCCGTCGTCGCGCAATGACCCAAACTATGAGGCCACCTATAGAGCACTTCGAGACGAGTTCTTCGACGATGATTTCGATTCGGCTCCTGGTGATGCCCACAGCGAGGGAGCAACATCGGCGTACGCGCTTGGCGCACTACGCGCTGCAGACGACGTGGCAGACTTGGCGATCGAACACATAGTCATCGACGAAGCCACGTGTCAGCGAGTTGGAGCAGCAACGAGCAGCAAAGCGACGACAGGCGCACCGAAAAAGACGAAGATCGTGCTGGACGAGCTCTTAAGCAATACCGACGCAGAGCTGACACCAGTGCGCATTTTCTTCAAGGAAGACCTCTCGTCGTCAACCCTCTACCACTACAAGAACTTCGTGTGTGAGGTGGATGTAGTACATGCAGGGGAGAAGCAAAAAGTGAGCAAGTGGTTCTCAGCAGCAAAATATGGCGGAACCGAGCCAGCGAAGCTCGCCTGCTTCCGGTTTGCGAGAGCGCTCATCGGACGAAGATGGGGCCAGGATGACAGCGCCAAAGTTGTCGACGGTCATCACGGAAACGACATGCGTGAATTCCTCATTGTTTCGCCACTTGAGCGCGGGTTCTCACTCGGCGCGGTTGCGGTTGATGTGAGCTTCAAGTGCGTGATGTTTTCAGACGACATCCAGTGCGACAACTACATGACGCTCTCGGCTGCGCCCGGTGTCGTGTATGCGCGGTGCCTCGGCCACGGCTCTGCAAAAGATCACGTCGCGCCAGAGCCTAACGAGATCCCCGCGAGCAAGTACGCTGAGCGACTGACGGAGACGCGATGGCGTCGCGTTCCAAAGAAAACCGAGATGATATGCGCTGAGATCTTAGCTGGTATTCCGACCAAACAGTCACTCGTCGACCAAGCGCTACTGGAGACGTGTGAGCCAGGTTCCCCAGCCGCGGGCCCGGTCCACAATACGTTCGACGCACTTGCGTCTTCAGACGACGACGTCGAGGACGATATCTTGGCTCCAGAGCAGACAGCACCTCCAAAGCAGGCTGCACCTCCAGACCAAGCAGCGCCTCAAAAGCAACAGCAACCCCCGCCACAGCCGCTGACTGCACCGGCAGCAAGCGCAAAGAGCAAGCACAAGACAAACTCACGAAAGATCAAACCAAAAGTCAACTTCGACGACGGCGCCTCGGTGACGGTGTTTGACACTAATGAAGCGGCGAAGGACGTCGCGTCACACAGCGCCGATAGGGATAGCATGGCTTTCACGTGTGCAGACTACACGCAAGTCCAAGTCGCTCGAAAGCGCATCGTGTTCGGACCCCGCGCCGTTCACTCGCCGATATTTCCGAAAGAGTGCGCAAACTCGCTGCAGGTTGGCGTCAACGCAGGAAACGAGAAGTATTTCATTGGAGGCAAAGGGATCAATAAGGCTTTCGCAACGGAAATTGCTGCCGCAGGTCTAAGCGTGAAAGACACAGAACGACTCATCAAGTCGTGTGTCGCTATCGCAGTGCGAGATCCTGGAACGGTCGCACGAGAAGCCCGAGGCGGAGCTAGTGCAATTTCGTACACGCACGCAAGGTCAAAGGTATCCTCAGCCACCAGCGTGACGTGGCCGGGTACAAATCTAGCGATGATCTACGTCGTCGGGCCAGACGGCAAGTCGGCGATGACGAAGAAAGACTACTCGAAACAAGTAGTCCAAGCAGCTCAGTCGATCGGAGTCGTCGCAGGAGAGCTGCGCAAGGAGATCAAGCGACCGATGATAGTGCAAATCCCTCTAGTATCTGGCGGCGCCTTTCGACGAGCGAGAACGTCGAAAAGAGAGGTCGCGCATCTTGTGCTGTCTGGGCTTATGCCGCACTTAGGCATCGACCCACTCACAGCGGGCATCAAGTGGGTCTTCTCGTATGACGAAGACGCTTTCGCGCTATCGTTTAATGCGAACGCAGCAAAAGAACACGCAATCAGCAAGGCAGTGTGCGGAGCGGCGCTCGAGACAGAGGCAGGCGCGAACTCAGACGCATTCTCTGACTTTGATTCGGAGCTGTCTTTTCCGGGTCTCACGCGTGAGGATCCAGTCGACACGGCAGACGCGGGATCTGGGCTCGGACTTCTCGGCGAGCCATCAGACGCAATCGAGCTTTCTGACAAACAGCAAGCTGCAGCGAAGGCAGCGTTCCAAGAGTTGCGCGATGCTGAGAGGGTTTCCGCAGCGGTTCCAGACGATACGACCGGCGTAATCACCTGTGGTAGACCGTATCAGGGCGTAGTTGTACTAGTCTCGAAGAGCAAGATGCAGTTCGCAGGACTATCGGGATTTCAGTCAACCATGGCGACAGGAGTTCAACTGCACATCCCAGAGCGAATTGCGGGCCGATGTTTCGCTCTGCTAGCATACGGTGACGCAGAGGCGCAAGATGGTGACTCCATTCAGCGGACTGCAGTCTCGCTGTTTATGCACAACATCTCCATAGATGAGCTACGACAAAAGCAAGCGACGTGCGTCGAGTTCGGTTTCATGCTGCGCTTCTTGGCAGGTCAGCGAGTTACCGCAGCCGAAGAAAGAAAGGCGAAAAACATGCGCGGGCGGTTCCGAATATCTGGCGACGTCCTTCTCTTCGACGACAAGATCTACATCCCGCTTCAGAGCGCTCCGGATTTCGAGTTACAAGACGAATTCGTAGCATCCACAACGCACCTTCGCGTCGCGCTCGTGACTTTCGTGCACCGAAAATGGACACTACACTCCTCACCGATGAAAACGAAACAGGCCGTGGAACGTTACTTCTCGTGGCCGACGCTGATGATCACAGTCATGTCAGTCATCAAGAAGTGCCTCCAGTGCTTGGCGCTTCATGCAGCCGAGGACAGCAACTCGCTGTATTTGTGCAACCCGGCTCCTTCTGAGCTCTTCCGAGAAGTGGTGATCGACCACATCACGGACTTACCGCCATCTACAATAGACGGCGTTACTTACCGCAACGTCCTGCGAGTCGTAGAGCGGTCAATTGGGCTCGTGTGGCTCGTTCCGGTGCAGACGAGATCTCCTCGTGAGGCTTTCAACGCCTTTAGTATAGTCTTAGTTCCACAAATTGGCTGGCCCATGCGAGCAACAGCAGACCAGGCCTTTAAAGCTGTGAAGCGTGACTTCCGAGAAAGGGGCACCTACTTGGCGCTCACCTTGTCAGAGGACGCCAGAGGCCGGCACGAAGTAGAGCGTGATAACCGGTGGGATGCGCAGCGGGTTTTCAAGACGTGTCACGCCGCACCGGAGTCATGGCCTTTCGCGTTGCCTGCTCTGCAGATTTTGAGTCGCAACACACCGCTAGACCGACTAGGAGGATTCGCACCAAGCGAGCTACTTTGCGGCCAGCTCATACGTGAGGAGAACGCGCAAGGCGTTGGGCCACCGGTGAAGCGTGATCTCGAACGAGCGCGCAACCTACGTCAGCTTCTACCGCAGTTTGCAGAGGAGATCCACACCAAGTCCAACAACTCGCATCTTCAACGTCGAGGCGCAATTGCAGGAACCGACATCAACGAAGGGGATTTCGTGTGCAAGCGTGTTGACTACGCAGAGAAGAAGGCGAAGTCCCGGCTCGAGTACGGGTGCGACTTCTCCAAAGTTTACTTCGTCGTCAGAGTCGCAGCAGGACGGACACTAGACGTTGTACCAGCAGACATGATAATCCTCGATCGTACATCAGACGAGACCGAGGGTGGCGAGCTTGTCGAAAAAGTGCTTCAGACGGAAACACCAACGCGAGTCAGCGCCAAAATCATGATCAAGGTGTCATCTTCAAAATATGTCAGATTCTTCGACACACCATATCAGACAGCAAACGAGAACGACGACTGCATAGGAGTTAATCTGCTAACCGGCAAGTTTATCATCCGCTCACGGCAGTCCAATGCAGTCGCGGTCGCGGGGCAACGTCGTCAGCGCGTTCTTCCATCGGTGATCTACACCGAGCGAGAACGCTTATAAAAACAAAGTGATCAAGGGTTGGCCTCGTGTTCACGGGCCTCCCTCAAGTAACGTAAATGCGGCGTGCTCATGCCAGTGCAATTCGCTCAGATCACACGACTTTAGCTGCGTGATTATGCAGTCAAAACAACTGAAGACGCACGTGGTCACGTACGACTTCAGCCATCAGATGCGTCCCAGCATGATATGCGGCGCAGTATAACAGCAGTCGAGGTTCAAGCTCGGAGTTTCCGTTTTCAAAAGTTTTTCAAGTCCGACCCAACCAGAAGCACAAAGTTCCCAGCAGCCAAAAACAAGTCTGGGACTAAAAGGTGCTCTCTTTTATAAGTATGCACATTCCGACGGATACTCTTATTGCGAGCAAACCACAGGTACTCGCAGTACGTTTCACACGAGTTTGACGACAGCAGAGCAAGGCGGTTTTTGTACATTTTGCGGGTTTTTGTCGGCAGCAACTTCGGGCTACCGAGTTTCAAGATCGACTTTCGACCGATTTCAACCGAGTTCCAAAAGCGGTTTTTTAGAGGGTTTTAGCGTCTTTAAAACGACCACTGGGCGGAGTTTCAAGATCGATTTCTAACGGACCTTTAGCGACATTCGACGGATCCCCATCGAGTTTCAAGATCGATGAGGGCAGCGGAAATCCCTCAAGTTTCAGCGTTGTTTTGAGCGACTTTCGAACGCAGAGATGCAGGATAGTTTTGCAGATTTTCGACAATTTTCAAGTCATATTTTGCAGCAAGTTCGCTACCTTTTTGCACGAATCCGCACCCAGATAGCGGGTTCTCTTAACTTCGCACAAGCACCCTGTTGAGCACACCGTGGTGCATTTGCCAGCCACCAACTTCCCTACCGAGTGGAAGAATTGGCGACCAAGCAAATACAGCCGGACCAGAGAACTAACACACTAAAAGTACGCACTTCTGAGGACAGCAGTGAGCCAGCTGCTTTCTAAACGAACTATCTCTACGCTTCTACCTTACCTATGGGCAGATAAAACTGAGGACCAAAAAAAGTTATTGTTTAATGGCGTCAAACATTAACCGGCCGCAAGACAGACAGTTCTGTAGCGTGCCTCATTCACTCCTTCCACGGATTTACTAGTCCTCGAGTTACCGTGAACTCGGCACCATTAGGGGGAGGGGTGGATGTAACCAGAACTGACAGTCAAGAGTTGTCAAGAGAACTGGCACGTTGTGAAGGTCCAAGTGCGAAGTCTGAAATCGGTCATGTATGACAGAACTTCGCATGAGTTTTAGACGTTTGTCAGCGAGAGCAAGCTAGTTCAGTTCAGAACGTAAGAACGGTGTGCACGTAAGTACAAGCACAACAAAGAAGCACGACAAAACAACACTGAGACTCCTGGACGATTCTCAACCTATGAGCATCCTTCGACGATGTAGTCTACGTTTGTTTTGAGTTAGATTGTAACTACGTTTTCACGTATATGCAAGTAAGCAACACGTAAACAACAAAGTGAGTAAGTTTCCTGAAACTTGGCTACAACTTGAACAAAGTATTCAAGTGTTCACGCAATCCCAAATACATGGATGGCAATTGTTGCGTGGAGAGAACAGTCAATTTCGGTTACACACGGGAACACTATGGAAAATGGGCACTACTGTGCTACCATCAACCACAACGCGCCAAGACTTTTGCAGCTTCGTCAGTGTTAGCGTATAGGATTCGCACCGCGTCGATCTATTTCTAACTCGCGGGCCAGCGAAGTCGTGCCTCTTAAGCACTCGCTTCCCTGATAGCAATCCCAAAACCAGCGGAACCAGTCAAGTCGCTCGCTGTGGACTATGCTACTGCCTTAGCCGCTGCCGGATTCAATAAGCCACGGCCACGAGCTCAAAGCGATGGGCGCAGCGCTTGCGTTACGGTAGAGGGCAGAAGCCTTGCAGCAGTGCAGCACTTTGGCCTTCCTTCAGGCTACCCCGCTGCGCGGTTTTTGTATGATCGTGGAGAAGCATGGACAAGCTTCCCCGCGACGGTTTCGCCAATATCTGAAACAGCGCAGCCCGCTATATTCTCAATTCGTTTGGCGCAAGGAGCCAGCCAAAGCGCTGGCCTATCGGATCCAGGTGGTCCGTACGTGCTACAAGTTTGCTCTCTATTAATTCGCTAGCCAAGTCCTCTCCTTTAGGTGTTCCCTCAGTCTGTGTGAGGTGCTTTAGCAAGTTCTCTCTCGATCGTGGGGCGGTCGCTGTTTTTGTTTTTCTGATTCGCTCGGCCTCGAAGATTGTTCCAATTCTTGGCGCCAGCAAGCTCTTCAAGGTTTTCACTGCATTGGACAAGCAACACAGTGGCAAGAGCTAGGCTGGGCCTCTCGCGTATACTGGTCAAAATTTTCGAGCGGGTGCGCTGTCTCAATCTGGTGCGAATTATCTTGCGCGCAAGAGTTTGCAGCTTCTATCTTCAAAGATGTCACACGCAGCAATTCTCTGCAGCAGCACCAGACCCGTCCGGCTCTGAACGTAGTGGCCTTTCTTCTGCTGAGTAGCAGTCTTCAACTTTTTCAGCAGTATACTGCTGAGGCTTCGGCCATTGCGTGGCTACTGTAGTACGACTGACCGGAGACGCGGCGCGTAGATATTTCTCACGCGCGTCGCGTGCAGTCAGGTCGCGTCGCCTGGGTTCTTTTCAGTTGATTCGTGCGAGGGCTCCCTGCTCTGACGCGTGCAGCCCTTTGGTGATACTTTCACGCGCGACGCTTGTCGTCAAAGCAGCGCACTTCTGTGCGTATTCCTATCAGTTCGGGCCCACGTTCTTGCTGCCAATCGTTGGCCGCTTCCAGAAAGTAGCGGGTGAGTTTTTTCCTTCTTGTCTCTGCAGTATTTCCCTCCTCCCTCTTCTTCCCTTTTTCCTGAAAGTCGTGCACTTTGCCAGTATGTCAGAGCCTAGCGGTCTTGTTTTCTAAGTCTAGACCTTATACTTACACGAGACAGCCCGAAGTGACTTAATAAACTTAACAGCAGCGCAGGGATGTCGTCATCCCTGCGCTAGCCTGTGATATTTTTACTAGGGATGCTGAAGAAGAGCGGAGCTACAGCATAATTGAAGTGTATCTTGTAGTAACCAAAAGATTTGCTCTCAACAACCAAGCACCATCTGAAAAACTACCCACTCCTCTACAGGGCCTCTAAATCTCCAAAGGGGAAGAATCCTCTTGAAGAGGTTGCCAGCTCGAGTTCTAAACAACCACCGTCTGAAAAACTACCCACTCCTCTACAGGGCCTCAAAATCTCCAAAGGGGAAGAATCCTCTTGAAGAGGTTGCCAGCTCGAGTTCTAAACCACCAGATGACAGGCCCTTTGGCAACGCGCTCGCTGGCCTGCCTGCCGACCTCGGAGACCTCGAATCTGTAAGCGAGGAAGATGCATAGAAGTGTTCCAAACATATGACCGAGTCCTCTACGAACCCTTGTGGAAGGTGTCAGTAGACGTGAAGCTTTGTTGTCAATTCTGGTTGGTGGAAAACATGTTGTACATGATCTAGCTGACTGGACGGCTGCACCTACGCGGTGAAAAATGATGATGAAGAACTTATAAAGGAAGGAACACAGAATCATGGAAGTCCTCTTCAACCAACATGCGACTGCTCTTTTGTCATATGCAGATGACTGCATTGACATGATGAATATGCTGAATCCTATGAATCTCAATCAACCCTTGTATGAAAGGCTTTGATGCTCCTACGCGACATATCTTCCAGAACAATGAAACTCCTCTTCACTACCTACTATTAGACCTCAAAAAATATCAGAACTGTTGTTTCGCTATAATGATTCCTCATAAAAGCAAGCCATTTCCGCGTGCAGGGTCCTCGTTCACCTTCGCGGACGAACGAACATAAGGGGGATCGTTTGTCCGTCTTCTTCATTGTAATGATGATCGTGTTCCACCGTATCATGTTTGCTATTCCGTTACGTTCCTGTCGCTCGGTTGTTAGATAGACTGTGGACGGTAACAGGGAAGCAGGTTTGATATCCCCTATCATAAAGGAGAAGAATCGCTTTACTCCAAGAAAAAATCGATTATGTCAGAAGGATTCCTTGACCGACGCCGGTTCCTCTGAAAACAAGTATTAATATGATAACATGGGAGGATGAATAGATCTTTGATCTGAATGCACACAATTAGACCTTCGACCTCTTGCCAGGCACATCAATCAGTCAATCAAGCACCTACCATCTAGTGAAGATGCCTCTCTCCGGTACCAATCCTCTGTTGTCTTACTGGTCCATGCACTGCGCGTCCGGTGCACTGGCCGTTGCCTTAGGAGCTTTTGGCGCGCATAAGCTCAAATCAACGTTGACGGACCTCAAAATGCTAGATGTCTGGGAGACCGGTGTCAAATACCATTTTGTACACACGTTGTTGGGGTTATTTGCAGTGATGCATAGGGAACAAGAGGTGAAGAAGGGCACGACGCACGCGAACACGAGTAACATAGGAGCGGGGTTGTGTTTGCTAGGCAACCTGTTTTTCGCTGGGAGTTTGTATGGAATAGTCCTGACAGATGTTAAGAAATTAGGAATATTAACGCCAATAGGAGGATTGATGTACATAGCCGCATGGGTTTGTGTTGCGGCTGATAGGTAATTCGTGGGCTCCTCATTGTCATATATCTTGGTCTTGCGATCGAGATGAGTATCGTTTATCGTTTCTTTCAGTGTAGTAATCGGATATTCTTTGCAGGATGCGTGTACAACCAACTCGTGATGTAATTTCACTAGACATTTTGTAGTCGAGCATCGCGCACTGCTTTGATTGTTCGCATTACCCAGGCTGTCGTGAGCGACATGAGAGAGACAGAGATAAGGAAGAGCGGTCGAAAAGCGAACGATTGTCGTGCAAACAACTGCATCACGTACTTTGTCGAAAAACAGGCAAAAATCTCATCGTCCCCATGCCCCTCGTTGTTTATGTCCCAAAATTGAAAAACGCTGAAAAGGCTGCTGATTCCTCCTGAGCTAAATTTTTCTCAAACGACTTAAACTTCCTTGGCCTCTACAACTACATCATCTATCATAGACTAACCGGCGATACACTACACTGGGTATGAAAATATTGCACATGATAGATAAACATAAGAGGTAGATGGCTGAAGTGATTTCGGGACGATCAGCCCGGGCATTGGGCCGCCGAGGCCGTAAAATGGCCCTAGGCTTGGAGCTACGTACCGTGTAGTAGGCCGTGAATTAGAAGCACATCGACCGGATAAATATTCGAAGGCTGAGGTTTTCGCTGCGCTTCGGAGCAAAGGAGAGCTGGAGATACTGCGTCTTCGATTGTACTCATCTCAGTGAATCCGCGACTTGAAGCACAGACTAGCCTTCTGAGGACGCAGGTCATCCTGACGTACCATACCAGGGAGTTTTCGACGGTCAGCGCAGAGTGAACAGAGCAAGACAATAACGAACTTTTCTGCTTCTACTGCTTTCCGTATTCTCGCGATACAAGAAGAGAAGCAGAACGAAAAAACTACAGCACCACAAGACCTGGACCTCCACTTCTGTTTAGTACATCCTCACCTGTCACCTTCTGGCTTACCTAAGAACAGGAGGAGGAGGCTGTATTCCACAGTCATCTACGTCTACAACTTCTCCTTTGGATTTGAGCTTGACCTTGTTCTCCACCAGCAGGAGAACCAACAGAATCTCTGCCCAAAATGCCACCGAAGATGAAGAAAGACCCCATGGCACCCATCCTCGTGCACGAGGATGTGTTCCTTAGGGGTAGGAAGTTTATTGAGCTGAAAATAGCACCGCCACCAGCCAAAGGCGAACTGACGACGAACGAGTTGTGCATAGCACCAAACTTTCATATTATGACATGAATGTTGAGAATGATTCATTGAAAGTGAAAATCGTCGCAGTAGTACGTGAACCTCTTTTGTTTTTCCCGGCGAAAGTAAAAACAAGGATTTGATGTTGTAGCTAGGCACTGAAAAGAAGCAAGAAGAGAAGCTCTAATCTCAGTCTACCGGAGTTGAAACCAGCAGTACAATTCTGGACACAGCAGAGTTGCGTGAAGCTGACAGACGATAAGAGGATAGAACCAAGTAGAATATCAAGGCCAAGTAGCGATATAAATTTGGCGCCAAGACCTAGGAAAGAAGCGCAGGAGGTGATGAAGATGTATAAGGGGCAATTGAAACAAGCGGAGAAGAGGAGTGTACTGCGACTTTACCTCGTCGAATGAGTGTGAGTTAGAACAGAGGAGTTTATAGCACGCATGGTGCATGGAGTAGCATGGAGTGCATGGAGCGCAGAGCTTTAAGGGGCGCAAGAAGCTCCCCCTTTAGCTCCATGCTACTCCATGGGATCCATGCACTCCATGCCATGCGAGCTGTGAAACCTTATAAATTGCTCTGTTAGAATGAGCGAATTATATGGAATTTATTACCTCCTTTGGTAATGACACTCACACTCACATTCTGCAAATAGTTTCACTATATTGATTATGAATTATTTTCTTTACCACTGCACCAAGATGAAAAATCAATTCACATTCCACGACCTTTCATCTCACCTCCTCCTCCCTCCCATTTTGATTTTCCGTAACGTCCCCACCTCCCGACCTCCCTCAAGAACCCAGGTTCAATTTTTGAAGCAGTTGGAGAAGAGTGAGGCGAAGCAGGCGAAGAGGCAGGCGCAAATAGAGAAAATAGACGCTCTAGAGACAGCTATGAGTGATGAGCTCAAGGAAGCTCGAATGTATTCGGAGAAACAGGAGCTTTTCGTGCCGAAATATGTGAACGGGTCAAAATTCGGCGAAAAGTGTCCAAAGAAAAACGTCTGGATAGTAGCAGAAGCAACGAGTCTGGTATTATGATTTACACTCGTAAATCACGGTAGGTACTATATCACCATCATTTCTACTAGGAGGAACCTTAATAAAAATTTGCGTATCTATGTCGAGAACTGGTGGATAGCGTAAGCGTTGAAGAAAATATATCCATGATGCAGCTGAATCTTATTCTCAATTTTCCCAATGCTGTTTGAGGTTCATCTTCAAGCAAAGCATCCTCTCACCCTCTCTCACCTCGACCACAAAAACAGACGGCGCCCTATATAGCGAACATAATAGACGAGATAACGAAATTCGTGCAGACCTGTATCGAGGAAAACTGCTCCGCATTTAATGTCGCGCTGTTTGGGACGGATGGATGCTGTATTAAGCTTTTGATACTTTGTTCAGATCATATGATAGATCCGTCACTCGAGAGAGAGAGAGAGTAAAACTGAATCAAGCGTTGTTCTTCAAGCCATCTTCAACGAAGCATCAGGCGTCCAAATTTTCCTCCTTGTTCACCACTTTCCTACTATCTAAAAATCCAATGATATGACAGGGCTGCAATGGTGTCCCACTTTTCAGTCACCACAAGACCCGAAGAAGGGAGCGGCTGACAGTCTCAAGTGGGTAAACAAGCAGTTGACGACGAAGTTGTGCGCCCAGAGTGAATATCCACCAGATTGGGTACAACTATTGCTTTTCATTTGAAGAAGGAGGCTCGTCCAAAAGCGTGAGTTGTGTGTGTTGAATATGTAGCTTTATCTAAGCCTTATAGCGTGAGTTGGACGTGGAACGCTGAATGTACTTGTTTTTACCCCACTGACTTTGGAAAAAAATATCCAGGTCCAAATGTTCGAGAAGTGTTTTGAGGAGGGTAGAGCGAACCCGAAGCTGGAACCTAGTACGATATATCTAGCTTGTAGCAAGCCCCCAGAGAACACAGATGCGGTGTTTGAGGTTATGCAAGGGAAAGGGGTGCCGATTCAAGCCCTAGCTTTTTCGGAGGACATGGAAAATGACACAGACTGCAAACAATTTTTCGCAGAATTGTGTGGACCGAAAGGTAGTATAGGTTGAGCTGATACGACTACACACACATCAATAGCATCACCAATTATCTAGCATCACAAATCTAGATTGGTTTATCCCTTTTTCTAGGGATTGGCTCAGGTCCAGCGACGCTAAACGCACAAAAAGAAAAACACCCCGTTAGTTTTCCTTCATAGCCACCTAGGTGTATCCCTACATGCAAGTCATCATCAATTTTTCTGCTCCCCATCTACTCCAGGTGGCCTTTTAGTGGACACAAGTTGCAGGGATTTGCTTTATGTCGACAAACTGCTGAACAACGTCAAAGCGAAGAAGAAGCAATTGGAGAAATTGTACTTGAAATTTCGATTCGTTGCGTATACTATTGCTTGTCACGCTAGTACTAGTTTGCAACATCGTTTTGGCTATGGAGATGATTTCGTTTTAGTTGTCATGTCAGAAACACTATGATCTTTTTGCTCCCACAACGCACACCACTCACAGTCAAAAGGACTCGCTCACCCACTCACAGCCAAAACCAGCTCGCAAAGATGGACGATCTGTCAGAGGTAGTGAAGGAGAATAAGGACCTCCTAGCGCAGCAAATATGTCTCGAGAACCTGGTCCGGAGTGAGTTCGAGGTGGCAGAGCAGGACATGCTAAACCCAGACATTCAGAAGGATATGGACGGCAACCTAGTGCTCCCGGACAGCGTCCAAGCGAGCATGAAGGAGCTAGGGAAGAAAGTCACATGCTAAGCTGTCCTTCTTGGCACATAACATGCTGAGGAAGAGGCTGAGGAAGAGATGAACTTGGCGGGATAAGAGAACTTGGCGGGACTCTTGTTCTATCTTCTTGGCACCAGTGCTAAGTTGTCCTTCGACTAGTTTTGGCAGAACTGGTCTTTGCGAAGATGAAGAAATACACTAGTGGTCTATGAAAAAGCAAATTCGTTATCCCCGCGGGATGTTGCTTTGCAAATATCGATTATATCCCCACCTTCGGGACGAGGCTATAGTTACTGATTCACGAGGTAAATAAGCAGAACTGTCTTCAGAAAGAAATTGTCTTCAAATGATCACTGGATTCTGGGTTATTGGAAATTTGTCACATTCTAGTCACATGATGCATTTTTGGGCTGAGCATGATTTTCTTATAAGTAGACTAAGTACAACGCGCAATGAATTTTATAATGAACTGGTCACCTGAATAAAAAGCTGAACTGTGATCAAATTGTTGTTGTGTGTGGAGGAGCAACAGGCAGCACGATCGCATGAGTACCTTGGACTTCAAAACTCAGCGTAAATTAAAATTTTCCTTGACGGAGGAATCCAGAATAGGAAAAAAGAAATCGGAATTGCACACTACGCAACAGAGTAACATCGCCCTGTTGCACCCTTTGCCTCGTAAAAGAAAGGAGTCAAATAATGTTCTCGAAAATCAATGTTGGATATCTCAATACCTGCTTCAGGATCGATCCAACGATTCGAGGATGATCATGAAGTAGATGGTCCAAGGAATACAGTACACAAATTAGAGGCTCTGAGCAAATGTATGAAACTAGAATTGATTAACGACCACTGCTGCACATGCGATCTTGAACTTTCTTAGGCGTTTTTGATATGTTCTTGAGAGCACAACATCTTTTTAGTAAGTACAATATTTACACCAGAGCTCACATTGGACCCCTTTCAAGTCCGCAAATTTTGTTAAAACTACTAGGTAGAAAAGATATAATTGCAACGCTGCCTTATCCGCTTTTGAGTCTCTGTTGCCGTAGAATAAATCATTATCATCTGCTTCGTCTTCGACCGTATTTCACTCTTCTATTTCCCTTTCCAGAAATAAAGACTTCTTCTGCATCAGCAAAAATGACGTTGTGTCAAGATGATGAGCTTGCTACGCCAATCCGCGCGTACATTGGGGATGTGAGTGGAGCTTCCAAGGTAGCTCCATCGAGGGCGACGGCTGTTCAAGCCACATCATCGTCAGCAACTTCTTCAGCGACGGAAGAGGAAGTAGCGGCCCCAGCTGCGCCAGAGGACCCAAGGTGAGACTTTTCTTTACACACGCCTCAATACTGCTGGGAAAAGACTATTATAACTTACAGGATTGTTGACGTATTGATTTGCACTTTTGACTAGTAATTATTGATGGTTACTCTTAGGGAGACGTATGCATGTGCATTTCCTTGATCATCGTCTTTCTTAGACATAAAAATTGCTCTGTCCGCAACTACATACAAGGTTCACCCTCCTCCGTTCTGTCGGCGAAGAGTGTATTTCTGAAGCCGAGCTGAAGGACTTACTCGGGAAAAAGAAGGAGTTCGTTCTCTACGACGGTTTTGAGCCGTCTGGTCGTATGCACATTGCCCAAGGGCTCATGAAGAGCATCAACGTGAACAAATGTACGGAGGCTGGTGGCATCTTCAAGTTTTGGGTTGCCGATTGGTTTGGCTTGATGAACAACAAGATGGGAGGCGATTTGGAGAAGATTCAAGACGTCGGGCGCTACTTGATTGAAGTATGGAAAGCGACAGGGATGAATATGGAACGAGTAAAATTCATATGGACGAGCGAAGCAATCGAAAAGAACGCGAAGGAATATTGGTTGCAGGTGATATACTAGTTTTCTATCAATATATAAGAGCAGTCTCCTAGTTAGGCGCGCTCCACCGTTATATAAGAGCAGTAGTTTAAGCTCCTAAATAATGCTTCCGTTCACATAAAGTTTGAGTTTCTAGGCAACTGCTAATCACAACTCCTATTCGGCCCTCTTTCTCACATGCCCACCACAACCAACTGACAGATGTTGGACATTTCTCGTCTTTCTTCTTTGTGGCGAATCAAGAAGTGTGGACAGATTATGGGTCGAAAAGATGAGGAGTCCCTCTCCGGTGCTCAGATTCTGTACCCTATTATGCAGTGTACCGACATTTTCTTTCTCGGAGCCGACATCTGCCAACTCGGTGTGGATCAGCGCAAGGTGAATATGCTGGCGCGTGAGTACTGTGCCTTGGCCGGACGCAGCTCCAAACCGATTATCTTGTCACATCATATGCTCTACGGCCTCTTTGCTGGTCAGGAGAAGATGAGCAAGAGTAATCCGGATAGCGCGATTTTCATGGAAGACAGCGAGGAAGATGTGCGAAGAAAAATCACGAATGCCTATTGTCCGAGTGAGCCGACGCAGGAGAACTTGGACAAGTTGGAAAAACTCCAGAAAGAACAGAAGGAGAAAGCCGAGAAGTTAGCTGCAGAAAAAGCATCGGCAAGCAGCAAGAAGAAGCAAAAGAAAGCGGCGAAAGGTGGCGCTGGTGAGGCAGTTAATCCAGACGCACTGTACGATGCTGCGGAGCTAGAGGACGATAGCATGCAATTGAACTTCGATGTCCTAAAAAATCCAATCATCGACTACGTAGAGCACGTCATCTTCTCCGATGCAAGGGCAGCACCGTTGACGATCAAGACTAGTGGTACTAGTGCATCGTCTGGTTCTGTCCAGTCCTACACCAACGCAGCCACCGTCCGTGACGACTTCTGTGCTGGTAAGATTTCAGAGGCGGATCTGAAAGCAGCAGTGATTGAGCGCGTCAACGAGCTTCTAGCTGGTGTGCGTGAGAAATTCCAGAAAAACCCAGAGGCAAGAGCGCAATTGGAGTTAGTGGAACAGCACAAGAAAGCAGTAGCCGCAGGTGGACCGGTCAAACAGAAATTGAGGTGCTTAGTGGCAGCTAAAGCATCTTCTTCTTCTTCTAGGTCTAGCTCCTCTTCTTCATCTTCTTCAGCTTCTCCAAATGCAGCTTCGGGTGTAGTTTTCTTGCCCAACCCTAACGGAACTGACATCAACTCTTGCGGCTTACCGACTGACGTCGTGCTGGACACTGCTGCTACTCTAAAGAACGCGGTTAAACAACTAAGTACAGCACCTGCTCAACATCCCAGTACAACAAACAACAAGAAGATTGTCCTCTTCGTCCCTGACTGGTCGAGCTTCGTTTTGAACAAGTTTAATGGCGACATGGGCATGCAAAAACGCTGGTTCGACTTGTTCTTGGACTGTTTGCAAAGGTTTGTGCCAGAAGCGATGGCTTCAGTGGAAGTCATGTGGCAGAGCGAAGCCATCCTGCAGGACCCGAACAACTACTGGATCTCTGTCATCGATGTGGGCAGAGTCTACAATCTTGGAAACGTACTACTTGTAATCCGCGTTGATGTAGAAGTTCTTATGCTAGAAGACGTACTTCTACTTGTAATCCGCGTTGATCTTGATGTACTTCTTGTGCGTCCTTCTACTTGTAATCCGCGTTGATCTTGATGTACTTCTTGTCGTGCTAGAAGTGGTTGGAGCAGTTGCTTCTGATAATCTTTAACTTCTTTTTATGTTCCTTGATTTATTTGCTTGTTGAAGATCACCAAAGAAATGACACAGGGTACTCCACACTGTAATATCTACCTCGAATCAGACGTTGATCGAGAAAGCTCGCCCTCAAACAACTTTCTCACCACATCAGGTCCGTGACATGATTCCTGCCAGTGAAGATTTCGTCGCTAGTGGGCAGGTTGTGGCGGGCTTGATGGGTGTTGGAGACGTGCTTGCCCTTTCCTGTGCCTCAACTAGTGCTCCAAGTCGAAGAAAGACCACCTTTTTCGCCTGCAATGAAGCACAACAACTTGCCTTGGTGGCTGCCCAGAAATACATAGTCGAGAACATTCACACCGTGGATGGTGTTGAAAACAAAGTGTCAACTGTTGAGGTGGTGTCTCCACCTAAAAGTATTGGAGAGCAGAATCTTCTTCGGGCAACCATAGCCTCAGACGGTCCTCCTGTTGGAGAAGCGGGTGCGAAGGCAGGCTCTTTGAAGTTGGAAGTAGCGGTGGGTGACAACGCGAAAAAACTCGACAAGAAGATCAAAAAGCTGTTCTGCTTAGCGGGAGAGGTCGAGAAAAATCCGGTATAAAAATACTACATAGATACTTACTTCTCACTTGTTGTTATACCATAGAGCAGCAGAAGATTGCTAGGCTAACTTGGTATCCTCGGTTTCGGGAGATGTCGAGGAATCCACTTATACACACTGACTCCTTTTTCTCGACCTTAATATGCATTTTTATCGCATCACAGAACAGGACTTTTCTTTTCAGTCATGTGACACTTTTTTCATATGCAACATTAACATCAACACACCTACAACAGGTCCTGGACTATCTCTATCGACTCAAATCTCTCGGATTGTTGGCTAATGAGGGCACTGAGACGTTTTTCCATGTATCTCGGTCTGGCCCTGAGGATGTGGAAAAATTTGGACCGGAACAGAAGTTTGCTACGCTTGAGGCTGTCGAAGAAGCCTTCAAAAAGGGAGAGGCCGAATTGCATCCTCGTGACTTGAAAATCACAGGACAGAACGTGATCATGAGTGCTTTGGGACCTTTACTAGGTGGATCTTCGGCCGACAGTTCTGCTGATTCTAGTAGTGCTTTGCCAGTAGACACAGTGCCGCAAGTATTGGAAGACTTTGCTCAGAAGACGTTCGGGAAAAAGAAATAAGAAGACAACTACTGACCAAGAAAAGAAAAATCTAATGAAACATTCTTCTCGTGATTAGTATTTTTGATGACATTGTACCACTACTTCCCTTTCCACTTTGATGGCCAACTACCCGCGCCGGCCCCCCATGAATATTTTATCACTCCTGTTGAACTCGATTTTCCTACTCGGAATACGCGGAACTGAGTGCGCTGCTCCGGTGGTGCAACGCACGCAATTACATTCCGTTGCGCCTCGGAATAGAGGGCTTTTGCTGCGGCCTTCGTCTGTGCTCGAGCACTTAGTAAATATGTTCCGATTCATCTTTTCACAGGTGAGTTGATGCTTGTCCCCACACTTGCTGCGAGAGACCTGAGGTAAACGAGAGTACAGCCCGAGCCCTGAAATAACCCCCTTATTTTTGGCCTACAAGAACAGGTTTGCGAAGTTAGTTGGCATTTAAGACAGTTGGTATGTCTGAATTCTGTTTAAGGATATTCGAAGATTTCGTTGCCGACAACACTGACTTAGAGATCGATGTGGTGACCACCGCGAAGATCAACAACCATACAGTCAAATAGTAACAAGTTCAAGTACTCAAGTTGTTAGTAGTGAAGATGGAACAAGGTACCAAGTACAATAGACTAACTTGCTACTACTTTTATCAAACCTGGAGTGGGTACATAGACTAACTTGCTAAACCCCTGGAGTGGGTACATTCATTCATTCAAATATCACTGTTGTAGAATAAACCTAAATTCAAACTATTTATTCGTGATCGTGATTCACTTGTTCCACATTCAGACTCATTGTAAGGATCAAAAACAAAATGTTCTATCGTTCTCTCGCGGATCGTATGCGGCCAACTGCGCAGAGGCAGCGCGCAGAGGCTAGAGAAGCACGAAACGAGTTTTTGCAGACTCTACAAGTTTCTGATTGTTACCTTTTTGCACTCATCATCGGTGGCTCCGTATTCGCAAGGTGGTTGGATATGAAAATTACGGTTTTTGCTTCACTCCTGGTTTGGATACAACTAAGTAAGTACTTAAATCGATCATAAGTACGTTGCTTGAACTTGATTTGATTGTTTCTGCACAAGCGTAAGCTTCTTCTTGAAGTAAATTGCGGCAGAATGTTGAGTGTAAGTAGCAAACGTTCAAGAGTAACAAACGGATATAATTTCTTCTTGTTATGCAGTAGTTGTACTTCTGCAGCACACGGCTAGATCAAATCTTGTTTCTCGATGTCTACAGCAAAGAAACTCTAAGAAACCAGTCCGACAAGTGTACATCGCGCTAGCGGTATATGTGCTATTTTTTGGCGTATATTGTGGCCTGCGGTATTGGGAAAACAAAAAAAATCCGCCATTAAAAAAGATGCTGGAAAAAGTTGATTGAAGATGCCTAATGAAAATTTGTATTCAGCAGCCTTTCGCCTTTTCTACAGTGAACCTTTGAGCAAATTATGTCGTGCCCCGTGCGCCAACATTTCGTTGTTTGCCGATCCTATGTTCATTTGAAGAACAAATGATCCCCAACTCGTCTCTGCTCGCAGAGACCTGTTCACCTAGAAATGCTAAGAGCAATCTCAATAAATGAATCGGACTCCTCCGACGCGAGAATCTACTTCTTAAAAAATGAGTCGTAAGAGAAGATTTTTACTTCTGCCGCACACGATACTTTGTTTAGAATTAGAACTTTTTTTTTTAATGAAGTATCTATTCACCTCTAGCTCTACTAGTTCGGTTCCAACAAGAACCTTAATCGTGACTAAGAAAAGTGGTCCTGACATCGATCTTACTGGGACAAAACAGTGAAGACAGCACAACGTTACGAATATTTCTTAGTCAGTACAACGAATGAATAGCCCAGAGAATGATCGGAGTTGGATCTTATGGAGATGGAATTTTTTTAGGTCTGAAAAAATCACGCGCTGCACAAATATCATAACCTGCGAAATATAGAGTTTAGCTCACAACCTTTCTTTCACTATATGGATTTCAGCCAGCGCTACGCCAAGAGTGATTCCACCCATTGTTTCGTCCGTATCCGACTGGATTCTTGATCCAGTCCTGAAATTGATGTCGTTTTTCCATCGGAGCAGGTCAAGCATATATTTAGTAATTTAAATTTTGTGTATGAATGATTCATTGACTACAGGGAAGTTCGAAACTACATACTCCTGTGCTGGCATTTCGATCAGGATGAAGGAACAAGTATACCGATGAAGGAAAGTACGAAGAACTATAGTAGCTGACCCTGGTCGTAGTACTCAACATATCACTTCCATTAAATATCCCGACGTTGTGTTGTATAAGATGCCAGGTGCTCAAAACGGGGACCTTAGCACATCAAAGGGCACAGCAGGATCACAAAATGCGGCTGTGTCCGCCTCGAAAGGTGGAACAACAGCTGGAGGACATCTAGTTCCACAAGGACAACAAGGTCAAGGTCAACAGCATCAGACTGCTTTCGTCAGTCAACAGCAGCCGGGCGGTGGGCATGTGGTGGTTCAGACAGCGAAAGGGAAGTTTGCTGTGCCGAGAGAGCAGTATTTGCAGATGCAGCTAGCAGATCAACAAGGATTACGACAGTTGACGAGTGTCGAACAGATGGCAATGCGAACTGCACCCATCCTAGCAGCACCAGGACACGGTGGAGCTGTGGGTGCGGGGACTGCATTTGGTTCTATCCCTGGGAGAAATCCGCTTGTAGCAGGAGCTGCGGGAGCAAATCATCAAAATCTTGCGCAGGCTGCAACATCTTCGACAGGACGACATCTTCAGGGGTTACCTTTACAACAACAACAACAGCACCAGTTATATGCCCAACAACAACAGCAAGGCTCTCTGGTGATGCAGCTACTGCAGCAGGGAGGCTATAATCCGGCAACTCTGACGAGGACACTAGGTCTAGGAGGTCAACAAGGAATGCAGCCAGGTATTAGCCCTGGTCCTGGAGGTGGTGTGGTTTATGGACAGGAAAATAGATGAAAGTAGAGAACAAAGATCTACTCTATCTTAATGAAATAGACGGATGAAGATGATCAACAGCACTGTTCTTGGTCTAGTTATCTAAGTCAGTGAATCTTGTTCACAAGGAACTCCTGTGGTTCTCTTCTCATCGTTTCTTGCGAACTTTTCTAATACCTTGCAGTTGCACCAGAGCAAACACAAACCTTGCAGCAGCAAGCAGCTAGTGCTTCCTCTCCAGGCAAGAGAAAAAGCGGGAGGACGCCTGCGCAAGATGAACCAAAGGACGACGAGGCTCGGACTCCAAGCAACACGGATATCAATCATGCCACGACAAACGGCGGTGGAGGGGGTACTAGAGAGGGAAAGCATGTTGCTTCAGCTGAGAGTTCTCCTGCATCATCAGATGGCGAGCGACCTCGCAAAGTAGCAAGAACTGCAGCAGAGAAGAGGCCGTTGCCACGTCGGAACTTGCGCAGTTTATGGGTCACCCTTATCCATCTTCGGAAGCATCTCAGAGGCGTTTGCAAGGCGATAACGCCCTCAGGATGAGCTTCGAGATGGATTAGGGTGAGCTCTAAGCAGTGCTACGGCAGCTGCAGAGGCGGCGCAACAAGTGCGACCTGGAGTGGGACCCTCAGCGTCGTCGACTAGCACGATGTTTCTTCAAAGCAATTTACATCAACAACATATGATCGGTGCTGTTAACCCACAAGCACAACATCATGTTGTTGTACCTCTCGGCGCTCAACATGTAGCTCAACACCAGATGGGAGTAATTGCAGGTGGAGCTCCTGGACGTTATAATCCTAATCTTGCAGCAGGACGAACGAATCCTGTGAGCGGACAACAACAACAACAACTTCCTCCGCAGCTGACACATATGATACCCCCCGCACCAAGTCAGCAGCAGGTATTTGCCTCACCAGGACAAGCGCTGCCCTCCCCTGTTTCTGTCTTGTCATCGGGGAACGGCTCGGCAACAAGTTCCAGACCGCCACTCTTTCCCTCTACAGCTGCAAGCGTAGTTCCACCAGGAGGCGTCGCTGGAAGAGGAGGTGTATCATCATCTTCATCAACAGGAGCAGTAGGTCCAGTTGGTGCCTTTCTTCCCGCTCCGACAGGTGGTGGTAGTGCGTCTTCATCTTCAACTAGTACCTCCTTCATGATGAATCCAACAACTTTCGCCGCTGCTAGTGTTGCTGCTACAGCAGCCTCTTCCTCGACTCCCTTCCATCGTTAAGGGTAGGTTAAAGGTGCTTTTCTTACCGCTTTTTATGCCTCTTCTAAGGGAGAAAGGCATAACAAGCGGGGTAAGCGAGCACCAAAAACCTACCTCTAACATCAACACCAATTCCCCATACCACCTGCCTTTGATTTGGCGAATTTGGTAGACCCACAGAGAAAATTGCAGTTCGGAATACGCGAAAACGAGACGTTCGGGAAAGGAGCAGCAGAGCTTGTCATGCGCTACTTGCAAGAAGAAGTAACTGCGCTGCTGAGAAATATGCAAGGAGTGCATTCGCTCAACGTACTTAATATTAGAGTAGTTTATAGAACGGATGTAGGATGGACTTGGATGGATCGGATGGACCCCCCTGATTCTTCCGATCCTACTTGAAATGGTGGAAAGTCCAACAGTCTTTGCTTCTGATTAGCAAACTGCTATGGACCTAGCTAATCTCTGGTTACCAACTTAAACGACCAAAGATCATCTCTAGTTCAACGATGAAAGATCATCTCTACTAGGTATCAACCTTTGTAGTAATGAAAAAACCGAATGTTAGTGCCTCAAATCTCTAGTACAAACCTCCACTCAACACAAGCACCACGACGTACCTCAACCATATACAACATGAACATTATAGGTGGAGGATTTTGACGTTGCTTTACGAAAGTTTCACGATATGCGACCGCCACCTCGCAGTCGTACCGAAATCGGAGGCAAGCTGGTGATTCTTCCCTCACAAGGCAACGCTTTGTCCAGTCATAGTCGTAGTACTGCAGTGCATTGGTCCATGGTCGATCCTATGGGAGCGTCCTCGTTAAGAAGTCAACCTATCCCACGCGCTGGACCAGTGACGACGGATGCTTTGACGCATTTGATAAAGGAGGTAGCGAAAATGCGAGACCCGGAGAAATTGCGGATGCTTATCGCCAGTGCGGATCCGGTATTCTCCTGTCCCTTTCCGGAGATTAATTATTCTTTGACTCAATGATCATGATCACAGACCATCAACTACCGATCCTTTTTCTCGTATTGACTCAATGATCATGATCACAGACCATCAACTACCGATCCTTTTTCTCTAGTAGAAGTATGACGTAAATGATTCTCACTCTCAAACAAGAACTTCCCACTTCTATCCACATTCATGTCCACATTTATTCTTTCCACATTTTGTCCACCTTCTTCCATCTTCCGTCCACTAGGTATTGCGAAGACATGACTTTTATCTTTGTGTGGTGGACTTTTTTCGGGAAGGGATTATGCCCTTGCTTTGTCGGCGAAAAAAGGTTCCATGGAGCATGCGTTGGTGTATGTTGGTCTTGTTTGGCAATCTCGTGCGTCGTTTCCGCCAAGTTCTGCGTGAAGAAGCTAGTGAAACATTGTGGCACTTCCTAGAACCAGCAATAGCAGAAAGAGCTGCCGAACATGAAAAACAGAAGACTTCTGCCAGCTTGAGAAGAGGGAAGGAGGTAGAAGAAAGGGAGGAAAAAGAAGAAAGGACTAAGAAAATAGGAAATAAAGTAGAGGCCCCTGTCGCTGTCTCCACGTCTAGTACTTCTGGTTCGTCGAACCAAGTAGGCACGACAGTGAAAGTACAACGTCTACCATGTGACGACTTGCCCTTAGCCAATGGCGGTCTCGAGCAATTCGCCACAGTGTTTGGAGCGGGAGAAGATTCAAAAAAGCATGGACCAGCCGCGTTTGCAATTTCAGAAAAGCAACTGTGGGGTGCCTTGAGCGGTTTAGTAGTCTGCGGCGCACCGATGCACGAACTCGCTTGTCTCCCTTTCTTGAGTGATGCTGTCTCAGGTGTTTTACACCTCGTGTCACGACAAAGAGGTAGTGGTGAGACCTCCACATCAGAGCAGTTGCTTCTATCCGCAAGTAGTTTCGCGCAGAAAGGCATGGCAACAGATTTGCTGTTCTAGCCAGCTTCTTAGTGCCTGCAGACGTATAGTAGAGCTACATGAGACGCCATCACTCTGACCGACTGCTAATACTATCACATGCCTCATGCTTCATATTGACCAACTGTTCATTCGGTTGTCGTTGCCCCTGACCATTTACAATGGCATCTTAATGTACTTGCTTCAACCAGCAGATTCAGCAAGGCTCGATATGCTGTCACAACAAAGAGTCGATTTTCGACGCTTCCTGTGTAGTATACATCCTCATTTGCGCGCTTTCTTCATTCGACGATCAATATCAGAGAGTTTTCGTTATACAGGTCTGGAGACAGAAGAGTTTTCAGGCGGGTGTTCACAGAGACGATGTGGTTCCAATCGTTGTGCAGAAAAATCTCTTCAAGTAGTCTGAACGAGTTGTAAAAGAAGCGAATATTATAGGGACCTGTAACAGGTCGTACTCGTAACCTAGTACGTAATAAAGGTAAAGCCAAGCAGCAAGGTTAGTACTGTCTTCAGACAAGAGATTTGACTAACAAGATAATAGAGTCATGCCATCCTCAACAACTTCTTCGACTGCAAGAACGATGACGTTGACCCCCTTTGGCGCTTCACAAATGCCTCAGATGGGTATGCATGCTTCAGATGCCTCTTTCCATGATAACGAAGACCAGGAACAGCGTTCAAAGATTATCATACACAGTTTCGACAACACCTCCAAACTTCCTGGGAGTTACTACGAACGAGCCGCACTTGAAGTTAAGGCATGAAGTACAAGGCAAAATGGGCCCAGATCGATGAGGGGGATTCCGGCCCAGCATTGCTAGAATTCTTCCCCTTCATAGTCGTGAATACTCACCTCCTCGAGGCGAGCAAATTCCCATCCCCATTGACCCAAAATGCACTCGAGCACACGCTAATGAAGCGGAGGAGCACGAACGACGTCTGGCACGTGGTACAGATCGGAGTCTTCCTAGAGAGTTTTTGGTTCAACATGCGACCTCCAATCCTGTGTACGTCGTGGGTGAGGTTCCGCGTTCTCCTGCAGACGTAACGTTGCTAAGTGCAGCAGATGAGCATGCTGAAAATCTTCATGACCACGAAGTAGTTCTTGATGACACAATTACAACTTCATCTCGCATTTTTAGGGAGCGGGAGGAAGACGCTGATGTTATTTCAACGACGACAGCGGGAGAGACAACAGACATCGACAGATCTGAAGACTGTGTGGGGACGCAGCTGTTGAGACGACGGAAAGGCGGAGCGGAGCTACGGGAAAACACGACAACTACGAACAGCAAAATATACGATACACTACATACTACAAGAACTGTAGTCCCTTGTTCGCCACCGACTCCTTCTTCATCGTCTACTACGACTGCGTCGCCTTCTAGAAGAGGTGAACGAGATGGACTACAACGGAATCTGGGTCCTTGGAACTGTCTATACAGCTGTACAACCGTAGCCGAGCGAATAGAGGCTATATGGGGAGAACCTGCGACGATGGAGTTGAGGTATTTAATGATTGCTGAACACTTTTTATTTGCTCCTTCTACTTGCTCCGTTCATCTTCATCTTCATCGATGGGCACGAGACGAGGACTTCAAACTTCTATTCATACCTTTCCGACAAATTATTTGCTATTATATCATCTGAGACCACACGACAGGTCCGCAAAGCAAGCAGTGTTAGCGCGGTGTACAGGGGTGAAAGTTGCACTTCTAGAAGGGGATGAAGGGGAAGAGGCTTTCGTCCTGTATTCGTTTCGAGATGGAAGCACCTTTTTCGGCGGTCCACCTTTAGCCTTGGAGTTGAGGGCCGCTCCGGCATCAAGTAAGCGACGCAATTCGAAGCCAGTTCATAAAGCAAATGAGGTGATTGAGGTGGAGAAGACTGAAGCAGTTGTTTGGGCGGGGAGAGAGCCCTTGAGTACTAGTATGATTTACTCACTAGTTTCATTTTATGTTTATCCGATACCAGTGAAGGAACATCTAGTAAGAAGTTGACTTGTTTCTTTTTCTAGTTAGGGCTCGACTTGAGATATTCGAACATCTAAGCTCGTTTGAATTCCAACACGTTTTTCTATGTGATACATCACCTGCAGGTACGTCCAAGCACCTTGCAGTAGAAGACTGCGCTGCGTCCAGAGCTTTGCGTGAATGGTATCGCATTCACAATGGGGCAGGTCTCATTTTATCGGAGAAACACTTGCAAACTGTTGTAGAAAAGCCATTGGAAGGTTGTGGTTTTTCGATGTATTACCTGTTTCCATTGGAAGTTTGGGCCACTGCTGTAGTTTCTGCGGTGTCGGGAGAAAGGTTGATGAAGTCCTCGGCAGGGAAGGAAGAAAAGTCTTTGTCGTGTTTTAGATCGAGATCAAGAAGTACAACAAGTAAAGAAAAGACAACGAATACCAGCTTACCTAACAGCGATGTTTCGGTGGATGAAGGAGAGGTGAATCAAGTAGTATCTTCTGGTCAGAAGCAGAGCAACCTCCAGAGCAGAAGAAGTGAACACGAAATAAAACCTAAGCCTTTTTATCGTCCGAAGCGTGATGGGGCATTCCCGCTTATTGGCCGGATGGACAAGAATTGCCTTGTCTGCTGTCACACGGATGAAGATGTGGTGGGCTATGTAGACTTATGGCTTCCGCTCCTCTACAGTTCTGTTCGCGTCAGAAGTATTTCTGAAAACGTAGCATTGATACAAAAATTTATTCCTACTCCTGAAAGAGCCAAGAAGACTGCTCTAATGATCCACAGCAAAAATTCCTCACACGAGAAACAACCGGAATGGTCACGAAGCGACGATGGGACAGAGGTAGAGGCATGTGCAGACTTCATAGAATCAACGATTAGCAATTTTGTAGGTTCGCATTCAATGTGCGTGCACAGGTAGAAATTAGGTTCGCATTCAATGTGCGTGCACAGTTAGAAGTGGTAGATGGATTTTGCGTTTCGGATTCGGTGTGTGGGATTTTAGTCGTATCTCCTAGTACTAGTCTGCAATTCCAAAGAGCATAGTCGTCTTCCACCTAGTAGCTAGTAGTTTTTCTGTTCGTCTCGATACTGATGTACTTAGTTACATTTTATAGGGATGGAGTTTTTGATGTATTTGTAGAAGTACTAGTATCCATCGCCCACGACAGCATTTTTTACATAGCTTATGCATGATCTTCACTGGCAGATTTCACAGAAATGTTTCAGAAGATCGTCAAACATTTTGCATCACATACAACATAGGAAATGAAAGCTGCTCAGTACTAAGAGTAAGAACCCAATCCAGAAAGCTCCTGGCCATCAAGTATGGGCACTAATATTGAGAGATACCAGAGGGACATTTGAGAGAAGGTGCATTGAATAACCGTTGTATAGGGGGTGGCTAGTCCATAACTTCTACGCAATATTGTCTCTTAGGTGCTGCTCATGTTGGACTGCAACAGGAGCACACACATGACATAAGAGAAGACGCATCGCCAGAAGAAAGAGAAAGGAGCGACAAGAGGTCCAAGAGGACGGCTAAAAGGATAGTAGAGTGCACATGCTTGTTGTACTAGTAGTCTCAGAGTAAGCGGAAGAGGGCAGTAATGTGTGAATGCAAGAAAAAAAGTGACAGTCATCGCTGTTGATGGTTAAGCTCAAGCTTGAGTGATCTTTAGCTGGTTCCTCCTGCAAGTCATGGAAGAGATCGGTATCGCAAGCTTCAAGGCTAAATCTTCAAGAACTAAGAAGATGAGATCTGCATCTTCAAGCCTCACGAGAAGGAGGCGCCACCTGCTGGCTGGCCTTCTGACGGCATCTTCGAGTGTATCGGCAGATACTGCATCAAGTGCAGCGATGGGAGGCGTGGATATCGAGAACGTGATAGAGCTGAGCAACGAGAACCTATTATGAGAAGACAACCGGTTAGTTTTTACCTCTAGCGTTTAGCCCTTCCAACAACTTATTACGCGAAGACAGTAGGTCGTTTAATATCCCGATCCCTCCAATCTTCATCAAGAGAGTAGACTGCTGCTGCTCTGTTTATACAAATACAAGTAGGAGGTGTTTCTCTCTTCCAGAAAGTAATTGGATCTTCTTCTCAGTCCGTATCCTTACATCCTGTTCTTCCTTATCCTTAATACATCCTGTTCTTTCTTCATTTTCCGACCTCGCAAAGACGTCAGCAAAAGTAGCAGCTTTGGCAGAATCTTCTGCCAAGGCTGCGGCGAAAGCAGTTGCGGAATTCCCACAAGTTTTGGCCGACATCGAAAGTGCAGTGGAGGCTGCGGCAAAACAGTCAGCACTCGGAACGCTAGCGGATATCCAAAAGGCCGCCAAAGAACAGCTAGCTGCTGCTTCCAAACAGATGGGGAAAAGTGCCTCTAGTATGAACAAAGCAAAGGAGGTCGCTGACGCAGTAGCGCCGTTTCACGAGGCTTTGGTGACGGCACAGCAGCATGTCATGTTCTACAGACAACGAGCACTAGAATACGACACCGCAGGTACTACTACAACTAGTGTAACTTCCAGTCCTCCTTTTCGCAGAAGTAAGTAGAAAATGATGACATTATCACACTTGATAATAAGCCACTTAGAGATTGATAGTGTTTGCATTATAGAGAAATTTGAACAAGGTAATCAACTTTGACAACATGCGAATCAGGCTTTGCTTGTTCTGAAACATCAATACTTTCCCTTTTCATGTTCTTACTTCTTTGTCACTACTAACATACTACTGGTTCTTGTTCATTATACGTAAGTATCTATACCTCAACTTATTTGCAGCCCGCGCTCTCGTAGTCGAGATGCAGAAGCCTTGGATCACAGGAGACTGGCTAACCAAGGAGAACATGGAGAAGCAACAGGCTCAGCTGGAAAAGGAATCAGAGTCCTACGCAGCTCGCGCCGCTGAGATCCAGCGCTCCTTTGCCTCCTATCTTAAGGCTGTACCTAATACATCTTTGGCCGCGTCCACCTTGAAGAAGTGTATGGAGGAGTATCCACCTAAGGGAATAATACTCTCCCATAGTACTTTTCAAGGATGCACTTGAAAGATGAATTACGGACAGCTCTAACTATCGCGATGGTGCAGCGGCGGCGGCTGCGGGGGTAGCGGCATGAGCTGGTCGTGGAGATCGATTGGGAAGATTCAGATTGTGACTGTGAATTTTCATCCCAGAGGGTCGTGGTGACATAAAGGTGAGGTTCGTTGTTGTATTTTCTTTTCCATCCAGTTTCACTGTCAGGACACTTCATGTTTGGTACATGATAGAAGGCGCCGCCCGAATGCGCAGAGAAGAGAATCGTGGCTCAACATCTGCACAGATCTGAATTGAACACAAATTTTCCGTAGACATATTGAACAAAGAAAGACGTACCCTACTGTAGTCTGCCAAACGCACCAATCATTAGTCATTTATCAAGCGATTACCTGAGTTTTATGGTTTGCGAAAGACACTAGAAAAGAAGTTCTTTCACTCACGATCTGATTGAGTCCTGGACGGAGAATGCTTGATGCATCGACTTCAGAGTGGAGCCTTGGAGTTTAGTGGCTCGCCTTTGTGTTCTGTGAAGGTGACCGTGCGTCCTTTTGTTGTTCCAGTTCTCAAGCCGACTTGTAGAACTGTCCACAACATTGATGCACGACAATCTCCTCGATATAATATAACTCACTATAATGACGTGTAGACCAACTATAACGCCCATAAGGCAGTCTGCGCTGAACTTTGTGCGAGATATATATAGTCCGCAACTCTCATTTTTCATTACAACCCACAACTGCTACGCTTTCTAGGAGATTCAGAAGATTTTTATCACGAGTGATTTCGAAGTCCATCTACCTCTACGAACCGACCGAGAGAAGAGCTCCTTGTAAGTAGTTACTGAGTAACTAAAACAACTCGTCGCAAGCTCATCAACCAAGAACCACATCTTCAACTACTCCGCGACGAGGTCATCTTCCTGACCCCTCGAACACAAAACAAATCTCCGAAAATGGCCGTGCCTGCTTCTGATGTTGTCATTGCTTTTGGCTCTGTTGCGGCCTCTATTGGGATGAGCGGGTTTTTCGCCTACAGGATGTGGCAAACGCCAGAGGAATACCTTACCTCTTTCGGATTCAAGGACACTGATAAGGAAAGCCTCTTTCCCGTTGTGGTGAACAGCCTGCGCATGTATGCAGTGGCCTCGGCGTTCAAAGGTACCTCCACTTCGTTTTTAACAACCGTCACAGTCACTTTCTACTGCAAAAAGTTTCCAAGTATGTTGCCATACCAAACATCAACAATCTCAAAACGAAAACATTCACCACTTCCACTGGTACGCTTCCATGATCTCCATTAGCCTAAACCTTCCACTAGTAGTACCTTGCATCACCATCTTGCATCACCATCCTCCACCTTTCTAAACCGTCTTCCATCCTCCACCTCCATCAGCCCTCGTCGCTTTTTACTTACTCGTCCTTTCTTGTGCCAATCCGGGATTGTGGGCGACGACGGTTACTTTTGTCCTCCTCTGGAACCTGGCTTCTATGATTGCGCCAGCATTTCGCTTCTACGAAGACCCCAAGAGCCCTCGAAACAACGCCGCTAGCATCGCTGCAGCTGAACAGTTTTTGAAGACTGTTGGTAACAAATTAGTTGTTGTTGTGTTTGTAAGGCTTTGAAATTCAAAACTCTATCGGAAAAATCGTATTCGTTCAAACACCGCGCCTCCTGTATCATCCTCGGACTGTAAATATTCACCGAGACTGAGACTCGCACAGGCTGCATACACCATTACCTCCTAATAGTTTTACCTCTAGAGATCTAGCCCTTGGAACAAAACCATTACCTTCTAAAAATACATAGTAGATCTAGTCCTTCCAACAAAACCATTAGTTACCTTCTGATCTAGCCCTTCCAACAAAACCATTACCTTCTAATACATAGTACCACATCCACAAGTACCACATCCTTCCACACTACAGCCCCCGTCGCGATCGCTTTGGTTTTCGCCGAATTTATGTTGTGGTGGTACTCCGAGGCTGGCACCAACTACGTCCACGACGCTCTTCATGGTCTGCCGGAAGACCTCACTTTTGTGAAGTCCCACGCCAAGAACTTCCTGCAACACCATCTTCGATTGTAAGTAACAAGGTTTGGTTCTCTTTTGGTTTTTTTACTGGAGCAGTAACTTGATTCTTTTGGTTTTTTTGTTTCCTAGTTAGGTGTGCTCCTTCGTGAACTATAACTTTGATGGGCCTTCTTGGTTTGGTAGTGATGAACTCATCTTTCTTCTTGACGTAGTACCTTGATGGGACTCATCAGACTCCTGATCTTCTGAATCTCCAATTTATGCTGATGTAAAGACACTTGTAGTGACTTTTGTAAAGAAATCCAGCTTTGAACACCAACATGAAAAGTTGTATCTTATTTTCAAGGTTGTAGCACTATCATTATCATAATATCCTTTTATTTTCCGCTCGGTCTTTCCGGTTGTTGCACAGAGGTCTTTCCGGATATGATCCGCAGTTTTATTGAACTACGTGTGCAGTGTCGAAAGAATGTCTAGAAAGTATCGATAAGGTGTTTGTTCGTTTTTTCCTCACCGTTTGTTCTACTTCTCACAGTTTGTTCCTCTGTACCGTCCGAATCAAGAAAGCTTTTTCAGAAGCAATCCGCACCATTCAAAAAAGTTGTTCTCACAGGAATGTCTTGCTTGTGAAGTTGTGACTGTTTGATGTGATAGAAACTAGAACGACCACACTGTGACTCATCTTCTTGGGTGTTCTTCTTATAAGCTGCAAAGAAGTCTCCTCTGTTATTCCCAAGCCGATGACGGTGCACGGCTGTTGAAAACAATCTGTCCGATTCCTGGAAGAGATCTCTGGATCCATTTTCAAGCAAAAGAGGATGGTAATGTATGGAAAAGAGGTCGTAGCACAAACATGACGAAAGTTTTTTATGATCTTCATGCTTATTTACATGGGGTAGTTGCTTTTACCTTGCATTTGGATTACTTTGCATCTATTCACTCAGACATGACTTCTTCTACGTCAAGAACGTTTTTTTGAGACGTGTTCGTTGTTTACTCGAAAATGTTGCTCCTATGTCAAAATTCCCAATCAGGCAAAATGGAGGACGATAGAGTTTTTCATGTTGTCAAACTGAATAGAAATAGTTTGTTGACAAGATAGATGAACACGTATGAATACGGACTACTGATAGGTTTTTTTTTGAAACGCAGACAGTACAGAAAGAGCAGCATACGATAGCATTCGTTTGATGACTAGTAGGAAAGCATTTCTTCTGAAACAAAAAATATATCAACATAGATCTTCACAAGTTAACTGATACATTGAATTCTTGTACATCATCATCTTCATCACATAACTTTGATGGGCTACACCAAGTGCTATTCACATGATACTTATTGTACAACATCATAAGTTTCTGCGAATAGATTCTATCACGATTGATCGACTTCCAAGATTACAGTCATACCTCAGTCGTATTACAGCTACTTTGTCAATTAATACTTTTACTGATTCGATGGAAGTCCTCACTAGATTTTTACTCCATAGAAATACTGACTTTGAAAAGTCCTAGGTAAATCTCATTAATACTTTTACTGGATACGGAAGATGACGAGCAAGATGTTTCCCCAACGTGTGCATCCTGGGCAACAGGTGGCCGCGAGTCAGCAATTGGGATCCTCTCTTATGGTGAAAGCAATGATTTTTTAGCGAGATCGTCTTTGTTTAGCAGCTTCGTTCTTTGAAGCGATGTATCAATGTTGGTTAGAAATAACTCAAACTTCGGATTCAACTCCTACGTTGAATTTCGATTTCGAGTCCCCTTGTAACACGACTTGAATCCCACACTATTTTCCACCTCCTCTAACTCCTTCGCCTCCTCACATCAACTTGCGCAGAATCGGTTGAGTGCTACTCGGAGTCCGGTTCTAACTCGTGCGGATAATGATGCTCGCCAGCAGCTGTTTAACGATGTCAATGCGAAGATAAATGAGTGGCAGACGAAACTCAATGACGATAATGCAAAATTTACGGCAGGATGGGAACAGGTAAGTAGTTGTAGTTCTATTGTTCGCGCAAAAATGGGAAAAGCTAAAAAGGAGTATTAGTCCTCTCATTCTACGACCTTTTTGATATGCAGCAGAAGATATGAATAAATATGTTGTTTAATTATCAAATATTAAGTAACAAGTTGAAGTTTTTCGAAGTTGTAGTAGATTGGCAGCCAGCATGTTGATGTCCACCAAGAATGCATCCTTCAACATCTTTCCAGATGGAGCAAAGATGGGAGCAGCTGGAGAAAGCGCAAAATACTTTCAATCGACAGCGAGAAGAGGAGATGAAACAGCGCGAAGCCAAAGTTGCAGAAAAAGCCAGGTAACTAACGTGTTTAGCGATGAGATGTGGGGTGATTACAATAATTTGAAGTGATATAGCTACACTAGGGCTCAGGTTTTAGGGTGGCTTAGGCTTTTTTTAGGCTTAACCTAACCTAATATCAGATTGTTGGAGGAAAAAACACGAATTGAAAAGGATATTGAAGGGGCGAAGGAACGAACGCGTTTAGAAGTGCAAGCAGCTGCAGAGGAAGAACGCGCGAAGCACAGGGAAACGTGGGAAGCTGAAAAACTGATACACGATGCCGAAGTGCGAGCAAGGGAAGAAAAAAAGAAAATTTATGATCAGGCAACAAGATCAACAGCTGTCTTTCACAACTAGCTCTTTATCTTCTTTTTAGACCATTATAGAAGCAAGGAGTCCGCGGGTATAACAGATAGAGAAGGAACATTCACACTATATATACTTTTTAACAAAACCTCCGTCATCGATCCCGACCATGACCAGCTTTAGCATCCCTTTCTTTCTTCAAATTGTGTGGCGCATTGAGGACAGTGCTGCACTTGCAGACGCGAAAGCTGCGATTGAAAAGCAGCGAAGCGAGCTAGTAGAGAAGCAAGCAGATATTGAAGAAAGGGAGAAAACGCTGGAAGAAAAAGAGAAGAAGTATCTATTCATCTTTCTATGTAGGAGTGGTCGTTTGTTACAAGAATGCGATGTAGAGGTGGTCTAAATTGTACTACTTCCAGGAAGTAGTAGGTTGCTTTCTCTTATTTAAAGTCATTACCGAAGATAGTGTTTTAAATTCTAATATTTTTGAAATCATCAGCACTTTATTCAACATCGATCATCTTCAGGTACGAAATCGAGCAGAGTCAGATCAAAACTGGTCAAGAAGAAATCGATGCTATACGACGTGAGGTGGAACAAGAGAGGGAAGCAGCCCGCACCCAGCGGGAGGCAGTAGAACGTTTGGAAACAGAAGGCATGGAAAAGTTAGGTTCTTGGGTTGTAACGAGACTACTCGAATAGTCAAGATAAGCGAGTAAGTAACACAAATACCGAGTACCTGAGATTATTCCCTAGCAGGCTCGCTTACTTCAGGTTTTCGATTAGAAGGCAGAGTAGGTGGAAGAGGATACCCATCAGCGGAGGACATTGCCATTATTGAGTAACACCTACACCTGCTTCAGCCATTTTTCTTGATGTTGCTAAAAACAAGTGTCTCCTCCAGTATCTGTCTCTAAGAAATCTTCGAAAAGAGCACGAGAGCGCTCTCGAGACAGCTCTCGCCGCACTGAAAACGGAGCATGAGACTGTGGCAGCGCAATCCAGACAGACTCTCATGGAAAAAGATCGAGAAGTCGTGGACAAAGATAAAGAAGTATGCACTCTTCGAGAGGAACTCAAGGATCTTCAGACGAAACTCGAACAGGCAGCTCAACAGCTTCAGGTACAAGGAAATGTTGTTGTTGTGCCTCCAACTTCTCATCAAGTAGAGACGACGGAACAATTGCCTGCTGTTATCGGAGAAGATACTCCCATGGAAAAAGCGGAGGAAGTAAACTTTTCAACTGCTGCTGGTGCAGAAAAGGGCGACGAAGCTGGTACAGCTGGTGGCGCGTGTGGAGGCAGTGCTCAACAGCGCGAAGTAGACAAAAAAGAGAGTGATGATCATGCTAAAAAAGTTTCTATAGACGACGAGGTCGCAGTTGAACAATCTGACGAGAACAATTCACCTGCTGCTGCTGCTAATGCTGTAGCAGTAGAGGAGAACGAAGGGAGCACTGCTAGGCTGGAGGAACAAGTAGAACAAGCTTCAGCAAATAGAGCGGACGAGTCGGAGATGAATTTATCTCCTGCACGACCAGCCTCTTCTGTTGATTCTCCTGCTGCTGTAGAGGAAACTCCAAAGGAAGAAGCTGTCGATTCTCCTGCTCTCCCGACGCTGCTAGATTGTAATGATAACAACGCAAAAGCAGGAGCCGAAGATGAGGATGTAGGACAACAGGAGGGACGAGAAGGAGGACAAGGACCATCCTCCTCAAGGAAAAGCGTTTTGTCAGCACCAGAGAAGCGACGATCTTCTGTTGAACAAGCTGCTGCTGAAAAGAAAGGTAGTAGTAGTAGTAGTAGTAGTAGTAGTAGTAGTAGTACTTCTGGTGGTCTCTTGGCGACTGCGAGTGTGGTCGTGGGAGACGAGATGGCAGTGACGGGAGATGCATCTTCGACGAAAGCAGGAGTCGAGGAAGCTCGTCCGGGAGTAGCTGTCAATCAAGAAGTTCTTGTAGACCAAGTTGAAAAAGGACCATCGTCCACTTCTCTCAAGGACGATGAACCAGAACAAACACCAGCCAAAACAGAAAGTCGAATAAAGCGGGAGGTATTACTTATACTTTTTCTTTGTGATAAGCACTTGAAATACAACAACCGGTTCGTTTTTCCCTCTTTTCTTAGGTGTACCCCTTCAAGCAATGTGTTGTCTCTTTTTTATCGTACGAGAGTAGAAGAGTAGGAGTACGAGGACAGCAATGTAGGAAGATAAAGATCCAGCTCATGCTCATGCTCATCTTGCTCTGATCCACATCCACTTTCCCAACACAGAAAGAGGAGGAGTTTGCTGACATCGATAAGTTTGTTACGAACCGAATGTTGCAAGAGAAGCAAACACTGGAAGGAAAGACCTCCACGAATGATGAACAATTATGGTCAACATTTAGTGTCCATCATTCTCGGCATCTTGGTCCCCTTTTCCCTGGATTCTCGTGAAATACAAGGTATAAGGGACCCCAAGAAAAGGGTGGCCGAGATGCAATCGAGTCGCAGACTCTAAAACAGGGCCAACTATCAGACGAACAACAAGGATCTTCATCCACTTCCCCTGAGCAAGCTGTTCCACCAGCTGCCGCAACTGCAACCGCCGCTCCTGTGCCACCTAATAGCTCCACTTCGCCACTGAAAGAGATCGATGCCGTCACCTGTTCCGCATTTGTTGAGGACGAAGGAGCCGCGTCTGCTTGGAAAGGTACAGAGCGCAACAAGCAGGTCAAGGTGACTGACGAAATCTGGTCCGTTAGTTCCCATGGTTCGATGCCGACAAGTTCTCTGGTGGCTCCTTATCATGGCGTTGTAGCTGAACCGCAGCAAGGACACGTCGCTATGATGCCTGTAGACCAAGGCCAAGCTGCAATGATGGCGGGACACAACGCTGCATGGGGCTCGACGACTGCTGCAGACTATCATGGCTCTGGCTGGATGGGCGAACAATCAGGCTGGCAAGCGCAACAACACTGGACTACAAGGCAGCCCGTGCATCATGGCGCCGCTGGGTACTAGACTCATACATTTAGATTGACTTAAATTGCGCTAGGTTTTCGTGTCGTTATTCACAGTTCTTCTCATCTTCTACCTGTCGATGTTATACCTAATAGATTTAGTTTACCATCAGCAAGAGAACCAAACCATGTTGATAATGCCTCACCACAGGTATAACGCTGCTGCGGAACAACAGCCTGCCTACCCACCACCTCCTGTGCCGCGAAAAAATCATGGCTATCACGATTCCTACGAGACTTTGAACTCTGGTCGGCGTCCCGAAAATAATAATCATCGTGAAGCGAATGCGAATAAAGACTCTACTACATCTAGTACTCATAAAGAAGCTGCGGCTCTCGGCGTTTATTCTGCTACTGTTGTGCCTCCAGTTGGTGCTGTTGCTGTAACTACTTCTGAACAACCAGTCCCAGGCATTGGTGTTGCAGCAGCCCCGTCGCTTCCCGAGAGTGCGATTGGTGCTGGATGGGCCGACGAAGCCGTGGTTCCGCAAAATGGATCCAGCTCTCAGGACCATGCATCTCAGTCGAAGACCAAGGATGCCGAGACAGCAGAAGAAACGACTCCTGTGGAAGCTGCGATAAAGGCTGCTGAGGCGGTGGCAGAAGCTGCAGCTTCTGGGAAAGGTAATAGATAGAAGGTACATCTAGGAGGGACTTGGAGTTGGTTTTGAGGCGGTAGTTTTCGTGGAAAGAGGCCGATCTGCCGACGAGAATCCTTTTTGTCTACGTACTAAGTAAAGGTAATTACTCGAAGAGAAACAACATTGACTTATAGTTTTGCTTTTCAATCATTACAGACGCAGCAGCACCAGATGGAGAAGAAGCGGTGCCCGCAACTAGCGCAGCAAAGAACGAAGGCGATTCGCCTGGAAATGTAGTTGATGTAGTTGGTGAGACTCAAACTAGTACAAGTGAAAATCCTGTTTCTGGTACCGAAAAAGCGAACAAGGAGCCAGAGGACAACGCGACTGGTGGCATTCCCGAAGTAGATTTTGGTCAAGAGGCAGCAGCACCTACTTCGGAGATCACGAATCCCTCTGCAGCGACTAATAAGGCAACGAATGAACCCATCACGTCTGGACAAACAGGGGATCATACGAGTGGTAGTGCTGAGAACACCAACAGGAAGATGGAGGAGAACGACGATCCTCCGAATACAGCGGGTACAACTACAAGTACATCGAGAACTCAGCGAGTACACCAGGTTGAAGACGGATACCACAACAAGAGCATCGTCCAACAGCATCGAGCTCAGCAGTCCATGGAACGCCGTCGGCCCAGTCGATCTCGCTCTAAAGAAGTACTACGTGGACGAGGATACTCCTCTCGTTCGCGCGCTGCAGATCGGGGGCAACGCAACACCAGAGGTGGTCGTTACGGCACGGTTGGCAACAGTCGCTACAACAATATGGGGCCATCTCTCGGAGGTAGCGACGGAGCCAGCGGAGTGCGAGATCAAAGTTTGCCTGCGATTCGAGGCGGAGAGCAAAACAATGCTGATCAAAAAGGACAAAGTGCTGAACAATCTGGTGGACCTGGAAACCATCTTCCAGTTTCCAATCCTGCTTCCACGACTGTGTATAACCGATTTACCGCTGGGGCTCCGCCTAGTAGTACCGATAATAACAGAGGAGCAGGAGGTGCGAATCATCGTGGTGGTGGAGGACGAGGGCGCAACAATTCGAGACAGCGCGGAGGAGACACCACCAATAACATGCTGCCCTCTCGAGGAGGTGCTGGAGCTGGAAGCGTAAACAATGCAGCTAGCAGTGACCGCATGATGATCGACCGCAACACGTTGATGAACAACAGTGCTCGAGGCAATAACAATAACAGTAACTACAACAATATTCGAGACAACAATAATCTTCACGGCCCTCGTAGTGGCAACATGGGCGGAGGTGTTCGTGGACGAGCAATGTCCCCAAGACGTAATGGTCGAGAGCGTCGCTCTCGCTCGTCGCGAAATCGGACGCGCACAGCCGGACGTAATCAAGACTCGCGCAGCCGCAGAAATTTTCGTGGTGGACGAGACCGATTGCAAGTCGGAAATAATCGCGATCAGCATGGCACTAGGAACACCCCGAACGGCTACAACAATCAGCACAATGCAGGAGGATCATCTTCACAGGCAGGTGGAGGGCAACACGGAGGACAGGATAGCAACATGATCGACCGCAACAATCTGCAGGGACATCGTAACAACAACAATTTCTATAATCAGGGAGCCTACGGAGGACGACATAGCGACCAGAGGCATTCGATGCGGCCACCTTTCGGTGTACCCAACAGGGGAAGCACTTGTAATAGAGAAGTGCCACGCGTTAACGTGTCTGTCTCTACGGCCAGAGGTGAGCGAACGGTACCGCAGCTCTCGCGACAAGATCATCATGCTTCAACAAGAGGAGAGCATGCTTCAACAAGAGGAGATCAAGATCGTGTTCAACAATACGGCAATCCTTCATTGGTTTCGTGTTCCAGCAGCAGTGGCGTTTCTGCACAAGAAAGTCAAAGTATTTCTGCAAGTTGCTCTTCTTCCAGTAGTACCTCGACCTCGAATGTGACGTCTGCGAACCCATCTGCAGCAGCGTCACCCCGTGAATCAAACCACAGCGATATGAATGACGGCAACAGGCGTCGTGCTAAGCCTGGACGAGTGTACAACAATGCTGCGAACATATGTTCTATGGTCTCAACGGCTTCTGAAGCCAGGGCGGCAGCTCCAACTGGAGGTGCGGCAGAAGATGGTGGAGAATCCACAACCAATTACAAATCCTCTTCTGCCACAGACACAGAAAAAGCAGCGGGAGATCAAGACACGACAACTAATGCTGCTGCGAATGCGGAGGCTGATACTCCTGGAGGTCGTGCTGTCGAGAAGTCAGCAAGAAAGAGTGTTGCTGATGCTGCAGAGGACAATGCTGCACATGATTATATACCGGAGGCTGGCGCTGGTGTCGCAGAAGGTCGTCGCTCTCCTAGAAGGAGCACAGGGGGAGACGAAGCTGAGAAACGTAGAAGCAATGCTTCGCAGCATCAAGAGGAGGCCGCGAGTAAACGGGAGGACAATGACAACTCTAATTTTGTGGGAGAGGGCAGAAAGAGGGCAAGGTCTCAGGACTCCTCCGATGGAGAGCGTGAGCGAAGTGAGTCCGCGAGCTCAGCAGTTGTAGCAGAGAAACAAGTAGGTGCTGAGAAAAAACACAACAAGACTGAGAAAAAGAACAAAAAGGACACCAACAAGTCTTCAGGTGGTGGAAATAAGAGTAAGAAAGCCATGAAGAAGGACGGTAAGGGTTCGGGGAGCAAGGCGAAGAAGAACAAAAGCAAAAAGGACGCTTCTGGAGACCAGGTCAGGAAGGACAAGACGAAGTCCAAAAAAGACAATGGGCGAAAGAAAAAGCAGAATAAGAAGAACAAGAAAGATCAACAAGCTTCCAAAAACGCCAAAAAGCCATCTTCTGACTCCGAAAACGAAGATGCCCCCGCTCCTAAATCACCTACAAATCAACAGCAACAGAATAATACACAAGAAAATGCAAATTCTGCTTCAGCTTCTTCATCTAGCTCCGCAACGGGAGTGAGCAAAGACATCGAGATGAAGAATAAGCCAAGAGTAGAACGTAGTCCTCGCAGCTCACGCTCTGACTCTTCGTCGCGATCGCGCAGTCCCCAAGTCAGCAGTCCCATTAGTCCGAAGCGTAGTGACAGAAGCCGATCTTCAGATGAGAGGACGAAGAAACATAGAACTAGTGGTCGTGGTCGAGAGGAAAAGGCAGATGAAGAGGAAGATGGGAAGAGGACTTCCGGTAATAAAAGGGACTCTACTTCTTCTCAACAACAGAGGCGACCGGAAGCTCAAACAGCAGCTGCGTCGAGCTCTTATGGGTTATTTTCGAAAGATTCATCAGTCAGGAGAACACAATTTTCCAAAATGTTGTTTCGCACACCTCCATGCAGTCTTGTTTTTTCCACAGGGTCGGTTGGTACTTCGGTTTGAAGATGTCTGCGCAATCGACGTTCATATATTTTAATCACTAAACTTAATGCAGGGGTTAGTATCCTAAACGACCTACAATCTAGTCCTCTCATCATATGAAACTCAACAAACTCACAAGCATGCTAGTGTTTTCTTCTTTCAAGATGTTGGCACTACCTGCTCTAAGATAGCCATGCGGCGAGTAAGGAATCTTCAGAAGCTCCTGCAGGGACCGGAGTGGATGCGGCAGGCTCTCGATCGTCATCGCATGCTCGGAGCTCCCGATCTCGTTCTCGGAGCAAACGATCTGATAGCCTAAGCGAAAGCCTTTCACATTCGAAAAGTTTGAGCGGATCGTCCAAGTAGACAAGAAGTGCTAGAGCCGATTGTCCATCAAGTAAGAAGAACGATTCAATATGTATCTCACAGAGTTTTTAAAAGACATGAAGCTAAAGCCGTTGACTGCGCTGTTATGTATTTATCAATCTGCCCTATAGATGGGGGGTTTGTTAGAGGAAAACTAGAAATAAAAGATCATGGCCACCACCCAGATACAACACCCGTGCATGGATGCGAAGGCAGGAGTCGTTCCTTTCTTTGTTGTATGGTATAATAGATAGACATACAACTACAAACGGAGAAACACAAATATAAAATTGGACTTGATATAGTGCCTGCGCTCCACCATCATGATTACAGTACTACATGCGGCGAAAATATTGATGTTTTTTTTTCTCACCAACCATCCAATATTTGAATAAATGTTGTCCGGATCACAATTGATCGCAATCTAGTCGTTCCACATATTTACACATTGATTTAGCTTTTCCATTGGTCGTGATCGTGTTGGTTGCGATCGGTCGGTCGATGCAAATGTTTGAAAGTACAACTTAAGCAAAGTTTTTCGAAGAAAACAAGAACTCCGCGATACCTTTGAAAAAAACCCAGCCTGTTTTTTTACGATCGGAAAAAACGAATGTTTACCAACATTTTTATTCCGTTGTCGGCATAAATTACATTCATGCTCATGCTCATGACCACTGTTTTTTTTTACAACCCCCGCGTAGTCTTATGTTGATCATTTTCCACAACATGCTTGTAATCTTGTCCTTCGTCATTTGATGAAAGTAAGCATATTGATGCGTCTATCATTGTTCTAAAATACAACAAAGAACTTTGAACTTGATTCAACTCTTCTCTTCATAGAACTAGAACGGCACCTTCACTTCATGACCATTGATTACCACAATAACCACACAAGCTGTTGATCTTGAAGACCCAATTTGGAAATAAGGCGCGCAACTCTTTTCACCGTTCGAAATGCAAGCCATCGATGAACTATGCGCCACGACTCTGAGACTACGAATGGTTTTGCGAAATCAAGGAGTCTCTCCTTTACGTGGATGATGTAACTAAAAATCCATGCGACCCCATGGCTTTTGTTCTTATTTGTAGTGTTGCTCAATATCGGATGTTGTGCTGTTTCCTGACGTATGACGTGAGAAACATGTCTCTCATCCGAACCGTCCACCCTTTTGTTGCAATTGTTGTTACTCGTCAATGCAATTATTTCAATGACGATAGACTCCTGTCTCTTTGTCTTCGGATCACCAGGGAAGATTACGCCTGTCTTTCTAGACCACTGAGACCGAAAGGAGCTCTCCGATCCTTGCAAATCTCGAAAAGGAAAGCCATCATCATTTTTCTGCAACGTAAAAATACAAAAACTACTATACCTCTACCCGTCGTCATCTTAGATCATCATGTGCATGCTTGAACAGGACTGCGGAATGCAGATGAAAACCCACTGTCTGACGTCGTAGCTACAACGTTAAATATGATAAATTGCTGAATTTACGGTAAAAAATGTGGAAGCACGAGTTTTGCTTTTGTATCTGATTCTCGGCTACAATAGAAAGAAGTACTTCTTGTTTTATTCGCGGCTGCGCTCATAAGCGTAACAATGATCATGTTCGTGTCTGACTGAGATTTAGACATGGACGCTTACAACCTCCGCAGACCTTTCGCACCGGAAGGGGTCGTGGAAGACATGTCGTGGACTTCTCTTCATTCCGTTTTGATGACTATCGCGATCGGCGCATGGTTTGCGCTTTCTCTCAGAGTCAGGCGGGCCGTTGACTGGCGCGAGTTGTTGCATGATGATGCCAGTGCGGCACAAATACGCGAGTTTGCTGCGTCGCGGAAGAAAAGGGTGCTTCAAGCTGCAGGGGGACACGTTAGTAGATTTTACTTCTACCTCATCCGCTGGCGATCGGTTTTACAAACTATGTCTTTGACACTTGCGTGTTTTACTGCACCTGCATACTGGAGCAGCTTTTTCACCTTCTGCTTTGTAGCTGCTTTGTGTCTCGTTGCGGCTCTCTTGCGTACTTGGGGAAACTTTGCTGCGGTTCTGGAAGAATGGCGAAGCAGTAAACAACACAAGTACTGCTCAATTCTGTTCGCCGAGCTCGGAGCCAAAACACAGACGGGCCGCTTCGCCATAGACGGGTTTCCTGCACTCTCTGGCCTATGTGATCAGGCCGACTACGTTTGCGAATGGTTTGCGGACTACGTAGAGTAATAAGCCTTTCAGCTCTAAAATAGATAACCACGAGTGCATACAAGTGACACTGATAATTCCCCTGTTTGTTTTTAATATCGTAGGTAATGCTTATCTTCTGACGAGAGAACATCATGCGCTTGACTCTACTTCATTCGCTGTTAGTTTCATCAATGATAGTCACCAATTTGACGTTTTTTTACAGTGTATCACCGCTGTTAGTTTCATCAATGATAGCACGTATACGTTTTTTTACAGGTATCATCTTCTGCGACATCTTGTATGGCTTTTTGACCGCGTTTTCTACGCTCAAGATGGACGACAGTGGCTGCAATTGCGTGTGCGGACGATCCTGACGGTGGATGTTCCGGAGTTAATCGAGTGGATCTGGGAGTTTTACGTCAAACTAGATGGTTTTGCGCAGGAGCCAGAGGATGCCTTCTTCCAGTACCTTGAGGGCGCACGAAGTTGGCCGCCGCCACAAGACTTTCCAGGTTCGTGGACCCAACCTGATTGGAGACCAGCAGATCTCGTCGATGCGATGGAATCTTCAACAACTACAGGTAAAGCAAAACAAGAAGGCTCGTCATCGACTTCATCTAGTAGAAATGGCGGCCAACAAGAACCACGCAGCAGTTCTAGCGTTTCAGTACCTGGAACTGTTTCCGGCGGGCCTCTATCTAAAAAAGATAACCCTTCTCTTCAAACATACCTCAAGCAGCTTCTGAAAAGCGTTATCCGAGAATTGCTTGGTCGAAGGAAACGACATTGGGAAAATCGACCAGAGGCGCCAAGGTTTGCTTTCTGGCAGAAACTGCCTGGACAGGCATACCCGATCCGTAAGAACAAGGTCTATGAGAAGTGGAAATGGAATTGGCTCACTCATCGCAGTAGAGTACGTTTTTTCCTAGGTTCTACCCGCTGTCTCTGCATCCTGTTGCTTTTGAACTTTGTTGTTGGCGTTTTCGTCTCGGCGTGGACCAACGTCGTGAAGTTGGTGTTGACCATGGTCTTTTCGGCTGCACAAGCGGAAAGTGAAATGAACCACGATGAAAACCTCTTCATCCCGGAAGACCATGACTACTTGAATCCTGATGGAGTTTCTGGTACAACATCGACGCAGAATAACACAAAAAATATCGCCACGGTGCTCAATTCTTGGCTGCGATTCTTACTGTTGAACCAAGTAGTGGAGCTAGCTTTTTTTGTGTGGATCGTCGCAGGATGTTGGAGGAAGGTGTCCGCACCACTGGCAGCTACGCGCTTAGTGAAGCGATGCCTGAAACGTTGTGGCTTTCGACCAACTTCACTCCTGCGATTAGTTCCTTCTATACAGAAGAAGAAAAATAAAGGTGCGAAAAATGCAGATCTTTTCAAGAAGCTCTTTCCGCTCCATTTTCCACTGCGATTCATGCGATCAGCTATTGTGGTTGGAACGGTGCTTTTTGTGTGGCGCGGATGGGGGCTGTGGACGGGCATCGTGAGACCACTTCTGCGCGCTTTCGTGACTTGTGGCACAAGTGTGACCATTTTCGATTTTGGGCTCTTTCTGACCAAAGCTTTGTGCGGGTATCCATTTGAAGCGACTCTGGTGTGGCTTTCTGCAAACGTCGTTAGAGGGCTTATTTTCGAGCGGATTCAGTATCGCTACTACTTGGAGTCCTCAAGCGTAGAGCGGTTGCGCAATGTCGACTGCCTGCAAGGCCTCGAAGATATTGAGTCTGCCTCATCAACGACAACCTCTAGTGATCATGGACACACTACTGCTAGAGATATCTCGCTCTCAGACTCGGTCATACAGAAAGACAAGGACCTTGCGGATCGGCGAAGAGAAGCGCTGAAGCAAGTGCTTGAAGAGAAAAAGGGGGAACTGTTGGCCAAAATAGAGGAGTCTTCTGTGAAGAGACTTGATCCGGCAAAGCGGGGGGCCTCCGTGAGTACTCGACCGAAACAGGCAAATGGACGCGGAGCTGCTGGAGGTGCATCAAATGATCGAAATATGAACACGATGAGAGGAAGCAACTCGAATTCGAGTTCGTCTTTTAAAAAACCTGTGCGTAAAGAAGTGATCTCCGAATCGCGACGCGAAGAGCTTGAAACGGTCCAGGAGTTGGCGCGGAGCATCCGAAGAACAGACACCGATGCAGAGTTTGTAAGAAGAAGAAGAAAAGCAGCCTATGCCTTTCTGACAAACAGGAGAGAATTGTTGAAGGATGTTGTTGAGCGAGGAGTTAACGTAACACGAACACCAACAGATGAGGCTACTTCTGCTATGGGTTCTTCTATAGAAACAGATAAAGCAACTTCCTCTCCACAATCTGGATCTGGCAAAGATTGCCCCTCTAGCAGTCAACTTGCGGCCTTTGCAATGACGAAGCTTTCTCGACGTAGGCGCATTCCACTCAGCTGGCAGCATGTCAGGAGCAAAGCGAGGTCTCAGAGGTTATTGGCGAAAAGTAAGAAACGGTTGATAGCCGAGTGGCAGGATCCGAGCTCGCGACGCATCAAAATGGGTCGCACGCCGCGCAGAGCAAGAGCGTATAAGAGCTGGAGCTACAGCAAAAATGACCCGGACATTGAGTTCGCGAAGGCACGATTGGTGGCGCCGAAAATGATCTATCCCTGGAAGCAAGCATCATGGTTGCGGCAACCACGTCGACTGAGGACGATGCCAAGTCGGTTGTTGTGGAGCTGCTCCAGCCAAAGAGAAGCAGGCAGACAACGATACAAACTGAGGAACTACAGTCTATCATTACAGCAGGTCTCGTGTCTTCTGTGGTTGCTCGGGGTGTAGGCGCGTCTATCATTACAGCAGGTCTCGTGTCTTCTGTGGTTGCTCGGGGTGTAGGCGCGCTTGTTTTCCTGGTACTTAGAGGTTCATCTTAAGGATTATTTCAACACAACAGTTGCAACATCAGAGGAACCCGCAAAACTCAGAAGAGACTCAGGGAAGTCGTAGGACAATTCCGAACCGACTAACGTCATCATTTCGAAATAATTACTGCCCCGATCCGAAACCAAGGAATGTCGGCCCTCCCGATAATTTCATCATGACATACCGATACCGCGGCCTCAACCCATCTTATATCGCCATTTTTCAGTGTTATGTTGATATGTGTTCGATCTGATACCGCCCCGCATCATGTTAATGTTTCAAGAAACGAATATGGTTTCGAAATACTTTTCTCAGAAGTGAATGCATCACAACAGCGTGCTTCAGTGATGGAGTGGTAGGCTTCAGTTATGAAGTGTTTGCTTATGTCCCATTTGAAGTCAAAATGTACCTTTGATTAGAAAGAAGGTCGTTTCCGGTTCCCTATTCACGATACCTCCTAGATGTTATCTATTCTACCATACCTTGGATCCGTTATAGCGATGTCGAGCAAGGTAGCTCTTGCCTATTCATCGGCGGGCGGTCTTGGTGTGCCCAAGAAGAATGATTTTATAGACTGGTACCTATAGGTATTCTTGCAGCAAATGCAGTCCCGATAATAATTTCTTAAGGCGAGCAAACGCATCTCGCTTGTTAACGATGTTCAGAATCTTCTCCAAACCGATCCCCTCTTATGTCGCTCATTCATTACGAACGTGAACAAGTCATTGAAACAAGAGGGGCTCACCAGATGGTAAGTGCTGAAACAATTGCAACGTGTTCCCGAGAGTCTCGGTGGAAAGGAAGTATGGGTGAAGCTCGTGGAAATTGTTCGGTCATGCTGTCATCGGTCGGGCGTGAATGTCAGTATCGGTCTTGCATCAAAAGTTGTGTCCAATCTGCGTACTCTGAAGAGCTCGGACTTGGGTCGCTTTCGGTAGGAGAGAACTATGATGAAAACCGCGTAATATGTTGTCCATACGTCACCTCGGTCTTGAAGTATTGACTCGGTATTCACTGTACTGCGAATCCCGTCCATAGCCCTCAAGATCGCAAAAATAGAAGCTTGGCCTAACACCATTGCTTTACGCCCACGCATGAGCATTTCAGAAAACAAGATAGAAAAATTGGTGACCTCGACTATGGTCCGTCTAGGTATAAGTTAAGGTGTCAGGACGATCGACGATCCTGAAGAGGCCGTCTCACTGAGTCGAAATTATGCTAGGCTGCGAAGGGCAAAGGTATGGTGAGTCAGCGTGGTCTGAACTGCTTGCGCAGCGGTCGAAAGAGATCACTGCAACTCTTGAGGCTCCTCTTCAACCTACCGCACCAGCTGCAGCTGCCCAACAAGATGAACCATTGAGACGATTACGTCAAGGACAACAACTCGAAACTGAGTCAGAGCTCCGTATTGCTGCTAGGAAGGAGTCCGAGAGACGTGCTGCGCTTATTGTAGGACATTTTGCAACACCGATATCAGCAGATACGAGTGCACCGAATAATGCAAGACCTGTGCTTGAAGATGGCGGTACCGGTACTGGCACTGCTGCTGGACGAGGTTTGTTTTTTGGTGGTCCGTTGTCCACAAGTGCACAAGATGCGAGCACGAGGGTCTTGTTTCCCAGTCAACACCCGATCGGAAGTGGCGGAATTGGAGCAAGTCTCGTCGGAAGCGGTCTTTCTGCAACTGAACAACTGTCGCATGCTACTAGACGGCAAAGGTTTCTGCAACAGCAAAATTTTGAAACCGTTTGGGAAGCAAAATACCGCGTCTACAAAGAAACTAAAGCGAGGGCGAAGGTATTGACTGAATTGCTTTTGAGATTTTTAGGTGAGCACAAGCTAGCATTTTTGAGTTTTAGCCGAACATCACTCGCACTTACTCTAATATCACTTACATCAACAACTTGTGATTATTCTCCGAATTCCAGGTCGAGCGCAGGCGTCAAGAAGAACGAGAAGCGGAGGCTGCAAGACAGGCTATATTAGACTCCGAACTGGAAAGGCTTGAAGAGGAGCAGCAGATAGAGCTTGAGAAGAGAGAAGAGCGTGAACGAACTTTCCGCACGGATGCCGAGGTCTTGCGTGCTGCTGCTGTTTTCAAGAGGGAGCTGAAAAAACAAAAGCAAAAGCATGGTGGAGGTCTTCATGGGGATAAGAATGGAGTTGACGGAGGTTTGGGTGGACTCGGCGCTGACATTGGATCTTCGGAGCATAGTGCTCTAGGTGCAGGCAGTAGTTGGTCAGCGGGCGGTGGGGCATCTTCTTCGAGTGTTCAACAAGCAGCCGTAGCATTGGCTAAACCCGGCTCACTAGCTTGGGCACGTGCGCATCTTTTGCCTGGCGGCTCAGGGGCAGCGGCAGGGAGTGCGGGAGGCGAACAACAAGGACAGCCTGGAGGAGGTCCCGGAGGAACTGAAGCTCAGCAGCAGCTTCAACATCAGACACAAAATGGAAGTGGAGGTGGAATTCTACAACAAATACAGAACCTTAGCGCCAGCGCATCTCAACAGTTCTTGAACGAAGCCACCACTACTAGTACTACCATAGCAGCAGCTGGGCCCGCGCGTGGAGACTGGTTCTCACAACTTGGCCAAAAGCTGGGTCAAGCGTTTGTCCACTGGGACGAAATCGAGGATCCTTACTTTGTTGCCGTGCAGGTGCTCGTACACCAAGCACGTGGACTGCCTGCTACCGACTCTGCGTGGGAACACGGTGGCGAAACGCTAGGCCGATGCGATCCGTACGTGGCGGTGTCGTTAGTTAAAGTTATGAGTGACGAACAACTTTTAGATTACTCAGACCGTGTACTTCTAGACTTCTAAGAAGAAACTTTGCTTACAGAAAATGAAAAATAGAATAGGAGGTTTCTCTACTCTGCGTCTGCGCTAATCTGCGTAGTCCCCTAGGTCGCGCTCCACGTTTCGAAGTGCAGACGCCAGTCTCGCGTACCGATCACATCTCTGGTTCACAAGAGCCAGTATGGGAAGCTTTGCTCGATTTAGACGTTGGCAACCACATCGTACAGCCTTGGGATGGGAAAGACATGTTCATCTATCTCGAAGTATGGGACGCCGATTACCTAGTTGACACGAAGTTCGCCCATTGCTGTGTGCCGTTTGGCGACATCCTAGAAGCACGGGGAATCAAGTACCTGCACTTGCGACCATGCCTGTTTTTGAATCAACGTCGGAGTCGTGGAGCCGCGGGGTTGTTAAAGGGGAAGAAGGGTAGTAGTCCCAGTGGTCTACCAAACAGACGAAAAGACATCTCATGGGGAAGGCGAAAATCTTCTAGGAGAAATAACCAATCCTCAAAGAAAAGAGTGTCCTTTGTGGATGACTCATCAGACGGTCGCAGTGGAAAATCAACAGCTTCTTCGTCAGAAAATTCATCACCCACTTCGTCGCCAAATAATAAGAAGCCAAACACTTCTGCGACTGCGACCTCCGGGAAGAAAGGCAAAGGCGGCAAACGAAAAAACTCTGACGACGACTTAAATGCCGAGTCTTCAGATCCAGCCTCTGTAGGAACATTACCGACAACGGAATCGTCCGATGAGGACAACTACAACGATACTGATAAATCGTCTCCCACTCCTAAAAAAGGGAAAGAAATAAAGGATCATGGAAGAAGGAGTCCTGGACAAAAACGAGACCGTGGCTCTTCGTCTGATGAAGAAGGGGAAGACTCACCTTCGCTACAACCTAGGAGACGACATTTCCACACGAATTTCGGGATCCTCCGTATGCGTGCGCGCTTTGGCAAGGTAGCCGGTGATCAACGCACAGGTCGCGTGCGGCTCAAATGCTTCGTTGGTCACGTTTTAGGAACTTCTACTTTCCAGCTGAAAGCTTTTGTCGAGTTGCGAGCTGTGAGGGGCGATCCGCGCAAACGGCCATACGAAAAGGACGGGGCATTGGCTAGTGCGCGCACGAGTGCGCGATTCTGTGAACATCGTAGTTGCGAATGGAACCAGGAACTTGCGATTAGTGTTGTGCCAGCAAACGACGTCTTCGTTTCTCTTGTTCTGTACCGTTCCAACACTGTTTCTGAGGAAAACGCTTTAGGCCATTGGTCCACCAGTCTCTTCAAGCTGATGAAGTTCTCAGGGCAGCGTCCATTGAAGTTGATGCCGGTGTATGAGCCTGGGAAAGCAAGTCCGGTCTTCCCTTTGGTCGCGAATGCGGGTATCTGGTGTAGCTTTTTGGGAGCGGGGGTGATGGAGGAGGTTTTACCAGACTACGACAACACAGTGGAGCTGGACGAAGATGCCATCGGGTCTGGAGGAATCGTGGCCAATATACTTGGTACTTGGAAATTACGATGCTTGTGAATAATGTAACCGGTAGTTATAGTTTTTTTCTCATAATAATCTGATTAGGCCTATCCCTCCGAACAATAAAGTAACTAGAATGTTGAAATAGGACGAAGTTGTGACGACCATTTTGATGTTGCTTTTTTCATCCCAACAACATCCATCTTCTACAGATCCCGCTGCCCTTCGTGCCAGTGGCGAGCAGTTACTTCCAGTCTCTATCCGCGTCGACCGAGCGTTCAACCTGCCACCTCCTTGGGGTCCTCCGGAAGTGCACCACGCTGGAACAAATCTACTTAACAAAAGGTCACTAGAGCGTCCGAAAGTGCAAGATGGTGCCTTATTTGTGGAAGTTTCGCTTCTCCAGGATAGCGGCGTTGGCAAATTCTTGGCTTTAGAACCTGCTACAACGGAATTGAACGATGGAGCGGCTTTCCCGACATTCTACGGCTGGGGCCAAGAAGACGTCTCGCTTGATAACGTGCCATTGAATGACGAAACTTTGGCTTTGGGTGTTCGCATTTTGCGTTTTGTGGTAGACAATCGGACGAAGGAGAATCGATTCGTAGAAGTGGCACGAGGAGAAATGCCTTTTCGCGGAGTGTTCGAGAACGCTGGACTTCGTGCTTGGAAACGGTTTGCACCGATTCCGATTCCTAGAGAAGAAATCGTCAAATTACAAAAGGAACGTCAACAACTTGGAACAGCTTCAGGAGGATCACCCACTAAAACTGGTATTGGAGGGGCAAATTTCGACGATGAAGCAGATGCATATCGGACAAATAGTACGACGAGTCCTTCCCAATCTCGTCGAGATCAATTAGCGCGTGGAAGGCTGTTTTTGACCCAAACTGCTGATTCAGGTTCAACGGAATTGCGCATGAGGCTGGCACAATTCGATGCACGTGAAGGCGTGGTTTGGCGTGTCGACAGTCTACGGCGAGTAGGACGCCGTGACGTGTTTAGCAAGGTTGGAGTCAAAGTGGAAATACGACTTCTTCGCTATGACCTTTCGTCTTGTGGAAGCTCTGGTTCTGGTAGCAGCAACGACAGTCACAACAATCCGGAAAACGATGAGTTCTTGTTTTTTCCAGAGGCAAGGCAAAAAGCGTTTCAGGAGAAGATGGGCATTTTCGAGAAAATGCCGAGATTGACATTACGAGAAAAACGCGCAAAACGGATGTGGCGCGACAAACTAGGACGTGATCGCGATCTTTTGATCGTGCACACTCAGGAAACTAGTAGAGTCTTGCCAGATCGCGATGGAGTTTACAAATTTCCTGCTACTGGAGGTGAGGAATTGCGGTTCGATTTGGCGAGATTGGTGCGCTCGCATTATAGTTCGGAATTGACACGAAGCGAGCTGGCTTTGCCAAACCCTGGTGGTGGAGATGAGGTCTATCGTTCTGCGGCAGATGTTGATAATGCAGATGCTGACGAAGATCACCCACAACAAACCGAGGACGATGCAGCGGAAAAAGAGAGGCAACGACAACAGCTTTGTCTCGAGGATGCTTTTGAAGGTGTCTTTTCCTTTTTCCATGTCATAGTCTGGGGCCAAGAAGAAGCGACACCGAGTATGAACCCTCTAGCGAAATTTACATCTGAGCAGTCGTGGCAACCTTTGTGTCACTTATCAATTCCGATTTCTGACCTGTTGCGTTACAACGGTCTCACGCCAGTCACTCTGAACAAGACCCTGGGGGGTAAAGGCTTTGTGCGGGGCAGCGAGGAAGTGCTAAGCTCTTCAAGTGACGGCAGTGACTCTGACAGTCTAGCCTCCTTCTCTTCATCCGAAGAGGCAGGGGGAGATAACAAGCAACGCCGGAAGAAAAATGGGGGAGAACGTGCGAGCAAGAATGATCCACCGTCTACACCACCAAACTCGTCGACCCGGAAGAAGAAGAAGAAGCGGCCACAAGGGTCAGCTTCACCTGCCTTGGAGTTTTTCGGTTTGTGTGATTCTGTAGGCGAACGAAGACAACGTCGTCTTGAGCGCCGCATGGTTCGGAGAAGATTGCGGAAAACACAAGTTTTTCTACAGGTTTTGCCAGTTGGATCTTCTGGTCGTAGTGCTGATCTAATAGCGTTGCTTGGGCCTGGCGCCGAGGACCAGAACAATGACGATAACTTCTTACACGAACCGGCGACCAAAGTCGGCTTATCTGCGAGTCTGACTTATGCGCGAGGTCTGCCGCAGACACGGACGAAACTGTTTGGCGGCAAGGGGTGCTACCCCTTTGTGCGCGTGAGCCTGACACGCGGCAACCCAGTGAAAGAGGAGGAAGAAGCTGCAGCGACACTAGCGCAAAAGACTACATATTCTAGAGCTGGAACCGCAGTCAATTTCAAACAGAAGCTAGCATTGAGCACGGTGTCTTCGGAAGAGAAGAACCTTTTCGTGTATTTTTAAGGCTTGAGGCATTTCATATTTGTGCACTAAATTTGATACATCTATTCAAGAAGAAACGTTTCAAATAGGTGAGACAAATATGAAGAATTGTTTCAACCTTTAATATTTCGAGGTTTTTGACACGAGTTCCTTCATGCCACATACTTTGCTGGGTCGTTGCAGTGTTTCGGTACATGAAGCTTTTCAGCTCCGTGGTATCAGAGCACGCAAGATGCGTATGTTTAACAATGGTCAGCGTGGCTCGGCTCCGACGGATCATCACGCAAGTACTAGCATTCCAGGATTTGGAGACTCTTCGTCTTCAAGCAGTGCCTTTGTTGAAGATCCACCAGTAGACCACTACAAGAGCGCGACTTCTTTTTCCTCACTCTCAGCCGTTTCTCAGGGAGAAGTCTTCTTCAAGTTTGAGAAAGTCGACTACTCTGGATCCTCGCAGTCTCCGGATGGGGTTGTTTCCCGTGGTTTTTTCTCTGCCTCTGCGGAGGACCGGACTGCTGTTGGGCACCTTGGCATCCAATTGCGCTTGTTGAAAGTGAATTTCCCCTCAAACTTTCCGCCTTTTCCCTTGGAGAGCGTCAAGGATCCGGTGTTTTTGTACGCGGAGATACGGTTGACACGCGGAGGCGACCCTCGACACTGTGCAACGGATGAAGAACTGGATGAGCAAACGATAGCGAAGACTATGGCGACTGACACTAGCACTAGCTAGCAGTTATTTTTGTGTTGTCAAGTACTTATATATTTAAAAACTCATAGTTCTTGTTGAGTAGAAGTTATCTCGATTCTGATCCTAGTAGAAATCGAACATAAAAAAGATTGTTCTGCTCTAATGCCCCAGTGCGGCCGGCCACTCGCTTTTTCCGTGCGAAGAAACGTGCAGCACGCGCTCGCACTTCTGGGCGCGCCAATATCCATGCACGCAGACCGCATTTTGACGAGGTTCTCAAAGTCGTTGCTGACGACCTCACTCATGAAGAAGACGTCTATTTCTACCTACAGCTCTACTATGAGGGCCATCCTACAGGATGGCTTCGCGCGTTGTTTGGAGGAAGGGAGCGCTACTACGCAGGTGAACTTAGTGTGCCGGTTGCGACATTGTTGACGCACTTTGGACATCGTGGCCAGAAGCTTGTGCATCCACCTCACACAGATCTCACGACAGCGTACGACCTGACGAGAGCAAGGCTGCATTGCAGTGTAGAATGTAGGAGAGCGGGGACAAGTGCGGCGCAAGGCTGATCGCGAAGGCGCTTCGTCGTTTTCTTGGTCACGTCTTAAACTTTTTTTATCACAATACGTACCAAATGCTGTGACCCATCCTGCATCCATTCTCTTATACTTTTCCTAGAAAGCAGTCAAAGTCTCTTTTCTTTTTCTTCTCCCATTGCCAGTCATTCATTATCATTGTTGTGATTCTGCACGTAAGCCACACGTGATGATTCACAACGCTTAATACAAGTACATTTCATGGAGATCTTGACTGAACAAATACAACTTTGAAGATCCTCAGCATTCGATTGAAGGTTTAGTAATAACTCCCACTTGCGCATGAGCGAGAGGGATTTTTCTGTTGTTCCCCAAGAAATGGCATTTGATGTTCTGAAGCAATCTATTACAAGAAAGGGAAGATGTGAATCGATGATCACGATGACGATCACGTGCTCAACCAAATTCTGAAGATCCATCCTCGCGGCATTGTTTCACTGTCAGTTCCAGCACAGGGATCGCATCTTTCAAAGGCTGAAAGAACGAAGTTCTCTGATTCTGGATATCACGCGAACGCCTCCTCCACGAAGGCAATTAAGTTAGATCTATCGCCGATAGTGATTACTTATAGAATGTGATTGATTTACCCTTCATCCGTCGCCAAACAGTTCTTCACTTGACGTCGACGAGCGAACCTTTTCGTTTTTCCTTCGTAGCGACACATCTTCAAGCACAACATAGCCTCTCTGTCGACATTTTTTTGGTACGATCTAATCATGTCACTTTCGCACTAAAAAACACAATGATGCGACCTCAACGGAGCACTACTTCTTCCGCGAAACAGGCCCCCGGAGCTGCATTGATTCAAGAATTAGACCCTAACGGACGTGGTTCTAAGTCGGAAGTTGCGCTTTTGGAAATTGACGGTGCGAAGAACGTCTACGTCCAAAAAGGGTCGATCTTTTTCAAAGCTACGGCTAAAGAAGCCAAACAACGTGTAGCACAGCTGGAGAGAAAGGAGGAAGAACGAGCAGCAGCAGAAGCTTTGAGTCGGAACTAGAAACTGAAATATATTTCGCCGTTCGAATGGAAGTCCGTCGACGAGTGGAGGAGTGGAGAAGATGAAGGATCATCAGCAGATGCCTCAGAAACCTGAAGTAGCTACAAATCTTCAACGAGGAGCGGAGGAGTTGCAGCCGGTTCAGCCAGGTGTAGGTGTAGGTACACCTAAAATCTGCAAAAGAATGGCATCTCCCGCCGGCCTTCTGGAAGAAAATGGAAGATCTGGAGCATCTTCAACATTGCAACATCGACAAGACCGTAAGCGGCAGAAGCAAGAGAAGCAGTTTGCCAGAGGGAGACCAGCCGAGGGAAAATGTCATTTTTTCCTGGGCCAAAAAAGTCGCTACTGCAAATTTCCGCAGAGGCCTGGGTCGTTCTTTTGCGTGTGCCACAGTGATCAAGACGCTGTACTAGTGGTAGGTGTTGACCAAACTCAAAACGGGCATGCTGAGGAAGGTTCGGACCAAGTCCATCAAGTTGTACCCTCTGTGCGATCTTCAAATACGGACAAGGACATCAAAGAGTCAGCACCTGCACTTGCACCACCTGCAGCACCAACATCTTCGACCACCACTTCTAACAATATTGAGATCCCCAAAGCACCTCCACCAGCAAGACAAAGAGAAGCTAAGGCTCCTCGCAAACGCATTCCGTGTCCTCTGGATCCACGTCATAGTATCTACGAGGATCAATTGAAAAAGCATTTGACCAAATGTTCGAAACTAATCCAAGACTTGTTTGTCCAAGCACAGCCTTGTTACAAACCCAACGTGAATATCGTTCCGGAAATTGCTGCAGCGTCTGTTTGGACAGAGCCGATGGAGTATAAGGTGGAGGACGTTATGGGATTGCTTTTGACGCAGGAAGATGGTAGTCGGTATGCGAGCTTTATGGACGTAGTAGAGAAGGAAATGGCTGAGGCGGAAGCGAGATACGAAGCGGAGCTGAAAAGGAAGGAGGAAGCACTGGTGGAGGTAGAAGAAGAAAAGAATATCCAAAGAAGGTCTTCAAATAGGAATACATCAATTTCGTCTAGTACAGTAAATGGACGAGAAGCAGAGGAGGAGGACAGAAAAGGAGAAGCGACAACTACAACCTCCACCAAACCCGGCAATGACGAGCACGAGCTTCCACCGGAGCACCATGGTTCGAAAGTTGATATAGACTTCTGGGCGCCTATTGTTCGAGCGGTATATGCGGCTGCGTGTGAGGCTCTAGGAGTGTCGGATATTGAACGGAATGCTTTGGCGGAAGGTTCGGTGATGGAAGACCACTACCATGATCATGAAAAGAATGATCGTCTTCACCAGCAGGAAAAACTAGTACAAACAGCGTCCATCTTGGATCGTGTCGCTCAGGTCGTCGCCCAGATGGAGAACGCCGATGGCAAGCATAACATTCAGAACCGCAATCTAGTCGAACTTTTTCTACGTTCCAATGTTGTAGCACTGGGACAACTTGATGCACTTGCACGAACAACAGAAGGTGCTAGCACAGACGCACCTCCATCCACTGCTTCAGATTCATCTTCATCCGAGATGCTCTTGGAGTATGGCAGTGGTAAAGCGGCTTTATCGAGATGGCTGGCATTGGCCTGCAAAGAAGCGAGTCCAAATTCCACTTCGTCCGATACTACTAGACCAGCAGGAAGGAAGCAATTTTTCGTCATCGAGCGAGAAGCGCGACGAAATAAAGCGGAAAATCGGGTTGACCTAGAAACAAGCCGTTTGCGGCTGGATTTGGCAGACTTCGATTTGGCGCTTTTGTTGAATGAAGCAAGGAAAAATAGTACTAGGACTAGTGCTGCTGAGCCTGAGGGGCAGGGGATCGAGAGTCCTACTCCTACAGCAAACATTCGCACCACTGACCAAGAACAAGAAAAAACGAACAGGGATGTTGCTGCTAGAAGAAGCGGTAGCGCGACACCTTCTTCAGTGGCGTCCTCTACTCCTCATCCCTCTCCTGACATCGACATGCCTTCTAGTTCTTCGTCTACAACAAATAATAGAATTGGAATTCCAGAAGTCAACGAAGAACTTCCAGACGCTCAGAAAAGCAAGTCCTCTTTCTTTACATCTCTACCTGCAAATCAGCGCCTTCTTCTGGATCAAGTATGGGCACAAATGAAGAAACTAGAGACCCCTGGCAGCATCGTCTGTCATGCGAAGCACCTTTGCGGTGGAGCAACTGACTTAGCTCTTACAAGTCTCCGCGACCTCGACAAGCGGGCTGCAGCTTTGTATCAGTCCAAAAACAAGGATAGTGCTGTAGTTGACCTTGACTCTACTGCAAGAGCCGTAGAAGAAGCAGAGGACTTGCACTGCATTCCTATCATTGAGAATGAAAATGATGAGAATCCTACTAGTGTTGGGGGTGAAATCTTGCCATTCCCTTCCCTGAGCAAGAAAGTTGGCATAGCGACTTGTTGCCATCACCGCTGTGACACTCGTACGTACGTCGGAGCACCGTTCCTACATGAGATGCTCAGTAAGGTGATGCTTGAAGCGGCCGCCTCAAGCTCAAGGAAAAAAGCTAAAGCAGTTTTTGTAGATGATGTGAGCAGGAACTTCGAGGTGGACTCTGCCTCTGGTGAGCAGAATGTTCCTGGTGAGCAGAATGTTGACCAGGAGAGGCAACGAGGACTTCTACAGAAAAAAATTTCACTGCGTGATTTTTTTGACACTCTGGTGAGTATGAGTGGGTGGGCTGTCAGTGCGTGTGCCAAAGGGCCTAAAGGCATGCTAGGACGATTAGCCAAACGCATCTTGGACTTTGGCCGCATCTGGTACTGTCAAGAAGTGTTGCATTTGCCTCATACACGGTTACAAAATTACGTGGCCCCTACTGTGTCTCCAGAAAACGCTTGCCTCCTTGCAAGCACAGAAAAACTGACGAACACGGGAATATGAAAGTGAATGTGCTTTGCACCACGAATTCGACTTCCCTGATGAACTTCTATCGCAAGATAGAAGGAATTTCTTTGCCCTGATTACTTATATAGCAAACTACTGCAGCTATCTCAAAAGAACAGGACTTGCGGAATCGTATGCTTGTTCTTGGAAACCCTATTGTGTTTGTTCTATGAAGGAGCTTCTAACTTGTATGTTCTTGTCCAGCACGTGCACTTTTCCGCAAATGAAGATGTTTTAGATATGAAGGCAACGTGCTTCGCGGTTTTCATGTAGCACCCACTGTGAGTTTTCGTGTGGTAAGTCTCGGTCATTACCATTTGCCCCAGATGAAAATCTCTGGAACGGTAACCGAACAAGCGCGCAAAAAATGGCCCTCTCTGTCTTAACGACCGTTCTTCTGTCTGCGTACTACCTACAAATCATCGGTTATCGCTACTGCTATAGATAACACGGACTGAGGATGTCTTCGGGTTATACCAAGTGATAGGGGATTAGATTCGTAGCAGTACAAGCACTACCTACAGTCATTATTTTTCATGTAGCAAATGCAACACGGCACTAAAGCGAGTCAGTTGAAAAGTCAGTCTCTGCTTCGGTTTGGAAGATCGCATCGAGAAAGCCATCAGGATTGAGAGTAGCATAAAAATCTGTGATTGTAAGTACATTGGTTGGAGAGGTGAGAGATGGTAAGTTACAACGTACTAGAACTACATCAATAAGACTGTAAACAGATTCGAACAGATATTGCTTCCAACATATTCATGGCTTAAAGGCTTAGTAACTTCCGAAGACTAGAAGTACTAGTAGGTACGACTGTTTCATTTACAACATGATGATGAGTATTTTATGTATGATTTGTTCAAATTTCATATCCATGATATATCCACTCTCCTTCCAATTTCGAAAAAGATAGTGATAGTCATACATTGGCAAAGGCATGGCATAGATGGGGAAGCCACAAAATAGAAGAAACGCACGTCGGCATATTCGTCTTTCTCTTCGTAAATTTTTTTTCAACGTAAGTATGTAATGTAAGTGACTACGTGGAAGTAGAGTAACCGATCATGGACGTCCATGATTTAAGGGATTGTCAATTTGTTTGGTTGTCTCATACTATCGATCCATCTAATTTGTTCTCATTTTTCATTTCATTAGCATCATGAAAAAATGAACCATCCATTGCCTCCTCCATATTAAAACTTACCTATACGTATGTCCTCACTCATCTAGAAAAAGCATCTTCCACCTGTCAAGCATAATCAAAAGCAAAGGGAGCTATGGTCACTCGTCATGAACAGGACTCGTCCGGCAACAGGACTGCTGTAATAGCTGATGGGTTCGTGCTGTCTACCGATGTTCTCGAGGACCTGTTGGCCACCGCCTATGACGGAAGCGACGGCCACCCTGAAGAGGCGGTGGCGCTTCAGACGATTATGTTTTGGAATGGGCTGGGACTGGGTATCTCATTATCGTCGCGTATTTGACAGAATGCGCTGCTACTTTTTGGAGGTAGAATGAAAGAAGTAGTGCACTCGTACATACGAGGTCAAGTTAGCAACTACTACTAGCAGTAACTACTGTCATGCTGTGCAGCTAGAGTAGCGTTTTCTTTGTGCAGCTAGAGTAGCGTTTTCTTTCTATCTACGGTACTAGAACTAGTCCTAGCTAAAACATCTTCAATGACAATGTATGAGACATGTGCATCCCCGTTTGGGTTGGTTACATAGTTCTTGTCGGTGTAGCTTTCATGCTCTTGGGGATTGGCGGGACCTACGGTGAAGTACCGTTTGAATCGGCAAAGCAGATTTTTGATTTTCTGCAAGCTGAGAAGAGCTTGACGAGTGATGACGTGTTCGTCGATCTTGGGAGTGGGTTGGGGAAGTTAGTTGCGCACGCTGCTTTGGCGACGCAAGTGGGACGAGCAGTAGGAGTAGAGCTTGGTCCTCGTCGACACGCGAAAGCCTGCACAGGACTGACGCGTCTTGTGAAATTAGTATTAAGCGGACTAGGCTAAAGGTTTGTTTTCTTTGTTCCGTTTGTTTTCTTGCCTCTCTACGTAAAGGAGAACAATAAATGCAGAACAAACGGGAAGCAGAAACGCCTCCAAAGCCCTGCCTCTAATTGGAGGCGGCCTAGATAAGGAATTGGATCCGGGAGGTGGAGGGGGAAGTTTTTCAGCAACACTCAGTACTACACTAACTGCAAGAAGCACTAGTGGTTTCACTAGTAATAGAAGTAGTTCCTCTACTGCAACTGCAATTCGTAGTGGTGCTAGCGCTCCTCCTACATTTGGGTCACAACTTGTAGTCAAGGATAAGGCACACCCTTCGCAAGTGTTAGAACAAGTGCGGAGAAGTAAGAAACAGTATGAGGTTGTGCTGATGACAGAAGACGAGCCGCGGTGGACCGTCCTGGTAACGAATAAGAAGAAGTCTCCCTTCTCAACGTTCTCAAATCTTGCTGAAATTGCACCGTTCATCGTGCAACCGAAATTATGCAAGGAGAGACCAAGGCATTTTTTCTTAGACTTTTTGACTTCATTGCCCAGAAGTAGTTCTGGTGTGTCTTCCGATTGGCGAGAGGTCGTCTTCGTTTTTCGTCTAAAATAGATCAGGACGGTTCGAACCCCACCAACAACTGGTGCTGTTGCACTCGCAATACGGGTGAATCTGAATTCTCCAGCGCAGACTAGTTGTAACGATCAAACTAGTAAGGATCATGATCTGCTTCTACACGCCAACAACATTTAAGGCTTCCCCAAATCCATCTTCGGAAGTATCTCGAAGCTGTGCCTGCCATCTGGGTGGAACAGATCCGGTCCCGGGATGAGTCTCAAGATGGATTAGGGTGCGCTCTAAAGCATGTTGGTCGTTGAACCGACGCCGCTTGCGCCGACATTGGTTGCGCCGACGTTCAAGATCCTAAAGCCATTGATTGATCGTCAGTCAAGGCGATCAGCTTTGTGGTTGCGACGCAACGCCTATTCTTTTCGGAAGAGATCACGCCGTCTTGCCGATGCAGCAGACCTACGTTGTGATAATTTGCTGACTATTATGTTCACACGAAAATGCTGTTTGCTTTGCGCGAGATTTAATATTGTATTCTCGTATTGTTGAACCACGACACTCTTACTGACTTCTCACTATCAGTTCGTTAGTTCGTTGTATCATGTATCGTGGGTGACCAGTAAGTAGATTTAGCTTCTATCTGCCAGCTTCTTCAACATCTAGTTAGTTTGTCTTTGTGCTCCAGCTGTATGTACCCAGCATGTAGGTGTAAAGTATGAGAAAGGCGAAGTAGACCTCCTCAGTCATCAGGAAAGTTGGCAACAGGGGTGTAGGTATGCAGCACATTTTTTTCGTTTCCTTTTCATAGAAACTGACCTGTCAGCAGCAACTAGCGTCTACTGCGCCACCGCTCTTTTTAAGCCAGATTTTTTGGCATCTATACTGCAAAAGCTGGCAGATGAAGCATCGCAATTGCGCTGGTGCATTACCCTCAATCGACTAGAACGGACGCCAAGGAAACTGGAAGAAACACCGTATTTCGTCGTCAACAATGCATGCAGGGATTCGTCCCAAAATCCTTACGGATATTGGATAGCACATCAAGGAAGATCTAGATTCAGTACTTGCAATTTTTTCGTGGTTTTATCTTGAAGGGTACTAACTTCTAGACTCCAAGTGTCGTCGTCGTGTCTCGTTGAGTGGCTCATGCCTCCGTCGTACTAGATTCAATTTGTCGAAGATAGTTCGATTCTAACATCTTGGTATAAAAAACTTGACCTTTGTTCTAGTCCTCAGGTGATCACAAGAAAGAGTACTTGTTCATCTTTTGTCTCGTCTCCTTCTTCTAATGACCACAAGCGAATAGCACTGCTTCAAGCAGGACTAGGAGAGAAGAAGGAGAAGGAGGTGGAAGTCCGGATTTTGTCGCGTCAATGCGAGCTCGACTAGCGCAATGTCGGTGCGAGACGCAGGTTGCCAAACAGCGAGCTCACGATATACAACATCCAACTATATTAATTATGGAGCGACGGTGTAATTATATCACTCACTTGAAGATGTACAAAGAATAACCTTGTACGGCTGCGTTAATCCGCTCGAATATGCAGGTAAGACTGTGGGCGGCGGACTGAATCCTAGTTCTAATCCTAAATAAAAAGCATCTAGTACAGTAAGGATGTTCATGATGTTGTACTTGTTACACAGGAAAGTGAGCAACATAACTTGTAACTTCTATATAGAATACGAAGAGTGATCTTGTTGATCTTCTGAGAATCTTCTACTCCCTAAACCTGCAACTTTCATTAACATCGACGACGAGGAAAAAGAAAAACAAACACGACCTTTACCTGTTCCAGTCGTTCCTATGGCATCATCTTCAGTTCTTGCATCTTCAGCTGGTAGTACCAGTAGAAACAGGGCAAAAGAATCAGCAGGAGGTAGTTCCAGACACATCGACGGACTAAAGGAAGAACGTCGCGAGACCGAGATGAAAGATGGGACCTTAGTTCTGACATTGAGGCGCGTTTGGTCATTACCGATGTCGTGGAGTGTAGACGGTAACGAGCATCCAGTCTACATCTATGCCTGTCATCGAAGCATAACTAGTGGTCATGAGAATGATACTGCTCCCAAGAAGATCATAGCTCGAAAGAAGATGTAGATGCCGTCATCATTTTGACACTTTTTCTCGGACGAACCAACATCAAAAGATGTTGACTCGTAGCTGGAACAAGATCAAGATTTGATCTCTCAAATCCTGAATCTTCTATTATTTTTCAAGAACGACGTCCTCCGTGTTCGTTCTTGTGCAAAAAAATTCATGTTCGTGCCAAAAACTCTGTGCACTCTGTGCGTCCCGGCTACACCATGCAACTACCAGATCCTAGATGCGAGTAAATATTTCGAGTGGAGAGTGCTGTTGATGCTGTATTTGTCGTAGAGAAGAGTCAATGCATCAGAGAACAAGATGTGAGAGAGCAGAGATGGTTAGGAGCACGATCTACATCTAGATTGATTCACTATAATTCTTAGAAAGATGAATCTTACAACCTACATCAGAATCAGGAGAGAAAGAGAATCTTCTATTAACATGTAGAAAATTCAAATCCTCTCAGGATCCCCGGACAAATGATTTTCCTTCTCATGATCCCCGTTTTATTGTTGTGTGTTGACCCAATTTTTTCCGTTTCCCTCTGACTGACTTCCCAAGTTTTCTCATTTGTTCTATTACAATCAAGTACATTGCGATTTCAAGAAATTAGACAAGAATGACTTCATCAGACTTGTCGTGCATATTTTTGTTGTAGAAGTTCTCCCTACTTCGTGATATATGTCGTGCTTCCATGAAGTTTATTGAGTTCATTCTTTGTAGCGTTTCCACTTGATTGGTTCTACATCTACTCCTTCTGTGGAATATTTCAATCAACTATTGTTTCAAGGCTCTTATCTCTTGCCTACCAGCTATTCTTTCGAGAACGAAGAACTCGATCAAAAATCCACAAAAAGACCTCCCATCATCCTCTCGATTTCTTCTCGAATCGAGAAGATGGGTTCGCCACCTCCTCGGAGGAGGACCAGACCCGGCCGCGCCGCGGCGCTGGCGAAAATGCGAGGTGCTATGATCGTTGCTGCTGGGCTTTCCGTTTTATGGTCGGTTCATCAATTGAAGACTTTTCAATTGTCTTCATTCTCCCAGAATCACTAAATCTCCACGAGTAGAGGGGAGCCGCAATCTTAATGCATAGTCCTCCACTCCTACAACTAGTCGTGCTTGTTTTTCGAACGACCTCCATCTCTCTTGAGACTGTCTGAGACTAAGTAGAAAATTCAAAAAAAATCTACCGTCTAATTTCTCAAACTAGTACCACGCGAGCGCGGGAAGTCGTTCGTTCCCGGAACACATTTTTGCAGGCGACTAACCCAGTTGTGAAGGTGACTTGTGGCCTGTTTCTGTGCAGTGATGGAGAACAAGGGAGCACTCGAAGACTGCCGCGCCTACGTGGTTCTCTTTCTCGTGGAGGACTTCTGGGCTCAAAGACCTCAACGCCTCCATCGCCTACGATTACAGGTACTAGTGGGTTTTTCATCACCAAATCAATGTACAAGGACGTGTAGTCCGGGATGAAGATGAAGAAGATGACCCCCATCAAATTTCTTTACATCAGATGTGATAAGATATTTCAAGAAAACAAGGAAAGCCTCTACTCACGACATGGAAGTTTTGGATGATGAGTCGTGAAGAACTAATTACAGATCGTCTCTAAATTATCTTCACAAACAGATTCGGCTGAGCCGGCACCTTCTAGTACGGGGAGTCCGATTAGGCCACCTTCTAGTCCGACGGAACAGGCAAAGGAGGGGCCGGCTGCGGGACCGGTACCGCAGGAGGAGAAGAAGGATGAGAAGAAGGAAGAGGCGGCTGCGGAACCGGTACCGCAGGAGGAGAAGGAAGAGGCGGCTGCGGAACCGGCAAAGGAGGAGGTGAAGGAGGAGAAGAAGGAAGAGGCGGTTGCGGAACCGGCAAAGGAGGAGGTGAAGGATGGGAAGAAGGAAGAGGTGCCTGCAAAAGACACTGACGAGCTGCCTCCACCACCACCTCCACCACCGCCGCCGCGACCAATTATCTCGTCAAACGAAGTGATCGAGGTGGAAAGAGTACTCGCGAGTTCAAAGCTGAAGCTGGACACTGCTGCTCTGTCAAACAAGTTAAGGTTTCCACAAATTCACCAGAAAAAGCATCTCGAAGACGCTTTCAAGGGGAGGAAATAGAAATTTCAAAGAACAAGATGTACTACATTTGAGGTTGCATTTACTAGGTCCGAAGGACGGACCAAGGTCATCGTGTCTAATATTGACACCGACACTGTTCAAAGGTATGAAAGCGCGAAGGAAGGCGGTCTTGGATGCGCTGAAGAAGAACCCAGAAGACCGGACACGCGAAGAAAAGCAGCTTTTGATAAAAATGGGCGAAACCGAGGGTGCTGAAAGCGACCCAGACCCGGAAATAACCCATGCGCACAAGAACCCTGAGGCAGCCAAACGCCACTCGGAACCGGCAGATCCGGAGGGAGAGCGTAAGCAGCCGCCACCGCCTCCGCGAAGGCGGAAACATCCGAGAGACGAGAGCTGGCGAAACCGTCATCACCACTGAAATGACTGTTATGCAAGGACAGCGTAGGCGTTCGTCATGACTGATTGGGGCGATAACATTTGCTGGCATCGGTTGTATCGTTTTCGTGTCGTCTTTCGAGGGGGCCGCGCACCCTACACGCGGTGCACGTGTTTGGCCAGTATGTGTAAATCGAGTCATACTTTCGCAATCGAGTCTCTCTCTCTTTTCTCTTTCGCATTATCAACTATCGACTTCTCTCTCGTTTCTCTCCCACCCTCCTCTCCCTCTAGTCATACAGCACCTTGCCTACCTTCGGTCTAGCTCAGCGCAATCTCGTCGCTCTCTGTCGCATTTCGACAAACATTTCAATGTTTTCTCATGCGAGCTACCTAGTTGTATCGCTGGAGGTAGGCTAGTATGTTGTTTAGACCTTCCAGCAAAATAGTTTATCGCCTCTCACTGACAGCGCCTTAGTTGTCGTCTCAATGATGTACGAAATCGAGCAGAGGGAGTAGCTTGAGGCAACAGTGCACCGGATGGTGGCGCAAACCGCTTCTGAAAAAAGCAGCACCTCACGTGCCATATAACAAGGACGACCACGGAATACGTCACCTTCACTAATTATGGAAGAGCTCGTAGTAAGAAAAATTCCTAGAACTAAGAAATAACTGTCGTGTTGACATTTGATACGTTTAAGTACTTAGTACGGATACATGCATTTAGACTGAGCAAGACATTGAATATTACGACTCACAATTAAACACACAGAAGCCATTATCATGGGACAAAATTGGATGCCGACCACTATCTATCACACAAAATGTACTTACGATTATTGAGTGACCCATTTTCTGATGGAAATCAAAGGTAGATGTAGATAGTTTGTTATCAAAAGACGATCCTGATTCTTCTGTACTAGATGAAATGTTCTTGGCTTTTAACTGTCGCACACGTCCGCGGGTGAAAGTAACTGACAATTATAGCACAGTCTCCACCTGATAAATCAACAACTGTGTCGATCAATCCGTTGACAACAACTATTATGTCCGTGTAGTTCTTCACTCGTGTTCGTATCGCGGAAATATAGACCCAGGTACCAAAAAAAAAAACTCGTGTTGGTGGCCGCGTGAGTGAATGGATTGATGAGAAGAGCGTGGAGAGGACCGTTGATCCTGTAGTCGTTGTACGTAGAGAAGAGCCGACGTGCGAGAGAAGATAGACGGGAAGTTATCAGAGGAGAGGAAGTTGTGCGAAGTGATGTGATCTTCTCTATGAGTCAGTATTAATTACCGGTGAAAGATCCGTGAGTTTTTAATGATTGTGCAGACATCAGTAGGAGTCAATGGCACGACCTACATTGCTTCAGTATTCTTAGATGAATTAGGAATAATTTCATACATCAACCTAGATCAGGATCAGGAGATGCCATTGGCATGTCAAGCTTGTTTATAAAGTGTGAATCTCTTTTGTGTCACTGTGAGTAATAATCGGTTGTGTACTTCTAGGTTCTCTACAGAACAATTACAAGTGTAGCTCCACAACCTGGAACTGGAAGGGAAAATTTTTCTCTGAGGCCGCCTCGTCTGTGCACCTCAGAGTTTGCCCTCGTATTCGGTTGATCGCATCCTAAATCTGTTGTTGCTCTCTATCGGTTTCGGATACTTCTGAATGATCTGTTCTTCACAATCGGCCTTGGCTCTTGTTCATCCGTGTGGGTAACTAGCACCCTGACAAGGCGTTGGCTCTCCTTATCTGGTCTTTGAGTCCGTTGACAACCTTCCAAGTCTATCGAATTGGGTACGGTCACCGCAGTCTTTGCTTGACCCAATGATCCCCAGAGTTACCACCTCCGCAACAGTACCCCCGTCAAAAAGTAGGGAGTTTCCAAGTCATGAAATTACAGCGCTAGGTTTGAAGAACATAGACATACTAAAAGTGAGAGCGACGTCTAGTCAGATTTTAACTCAGCTCTTACTTCGTCTAGTTCTTCACTATAAAGTCTACTTTCTTACAAGTTTTACAACTCACATCAGGATCAAGGGAGAATCTTCTAGTTTTATTACACATATTGTATTGACCCAATTCTTTCTGTATGACTTCGTTCTCAAGTTTTTTCATGGTCCATCGCAATCAAAACTCCATAGTTAGCTGCGATAGAAAAATGAAACAAGAATGACTCTATGAGACTCCTCGTGCATATTTTTGTTGTAGAAGTTTTCCGTAGTACAACTTCTTGATATATGTAGTTGTTTGTCGTGCTTCCATGAAGTATTTTTTTTGAATTTTCTACGACCACCTAGAATATTACCACCAAAATCGTCTCCTTCGTAACTTTCATTTTCATATGATGGCGGGATCAGGTAGTTCACCATCACCACCTCCCAGGAGGAGGACCCGACCCAGCCGCGCTTCAGCGCTCTCGAAGATGCGAGGTGCTATTGTCGTTGCTGCTGGTCTTTCCGTTTTATGGTCGGTTCACCAATTTATATAAGAAAAAGAAAAACAACACACAGAATAGGAATCTTGTTCTTAGAGGTTCTTGCAGCCGTGATCTTAATGCATGGTCCTCCAGGAAGAACTAGTTAATACCTTGTTGCTCTTGCTGTTCTTTGATTCCATCCTTCAGGAAGAATCAGCTACGATTAGGTCGTAGTGACTGGGAACTATAACTAATGCTTGAGAAGTATATTTATAATTTTTGCTTGTCTAATATTTTTGCAATAGAAGGTAGGATCTCTCTCGACCTTGAGACGGAGAGTAGATTCACAATCTTGATCTTCTAACTTTTCAAAGTACTACTACGCGAGCGCGGCAAGTCGTTCGTCCCAGGAAAACATTTTTGCAGACCAGCACTGGAAGCAGTGGGGCCCCCGCTGCGGACCCGGTCGTAAAGGTGACTTGTGGCCTGTCTCTGTGCAGTGATGGAGAACAGGACAGCACTCCTCGTCTGCGTGGTACCAAGTATAATTATGGATTGATCTGTTCGCGTTCTAGAGTTTGAATCAAATAAAAATGTAGATCTAAACAATAGGGCAAGGAGTACTTAGTCAATTACGTGTTGCTAAAGCGACTTACGTTTTAATTCCCCACTAACCCACCCATAATGCCTGGAAGGTCGGCGCGCGTCCAAGCCTTGGTCGCTGACCGGCAAACGACAACGCTTGCTTTTACACCTTTTTCAGAACAGTTGCGCGAGGCTTCGAGTACAGTCAAAAGACCGACTCGTTCTAGCCCCTTGCTTAGCGACAATTCCGTCCGTGTGTCCACACTTGGAGGGTTAGACTCAGACCAAAAAAGAGCTGTTGCAGATAGTCTTGGCCTCGGTGCCGACTTTACACTGCGCGATCAAGTACTACAAAAATTCTCTTGCGGAAAAGATACCGATGCGAGCGTAGCACAACCCCCGCCTACAGCAGTCCCACCCCCCCTTGCTACGGAAGAAGAAGAATTAGCAGTTCTAGCACCTCCGCCAGAGATTTTGGACCAAGATTTGCATAATAGATCCATGGAAGCAATGGCTGCTATTCTGAACAAGGAAGGAGTTGAGAGCATCGCACCGGAACAGAGTGACGCTGGAGCGAGTAGTTCTAGTAGTATTCTAAAGCAGACTAGCCCAAAAGGCCATGGACGCCACTTCTCACGCGGGATTGTGCATAAGCCAGGTGACGCTTTTGCTCCAACCGCTAGACGCATTGGTCCGGGAGAGCTGGTTGACTGGAAGAGCGCACTTAACACTATCCGAGAGGACGTGGAAAACCATCCTCATAGGCTTCCCGATACAATCCCGCTGGT